GTAAAAGAAAATGATAAATATAAAGTTATATAAATTTACCTGATGGCATCTAGAAGACGGCCCTAATCCTGCTGTTGTCCCCCCAAAAAATTCATTCCAAAGCAGTTTAGTACTAAAAAGATTTATGCAGGAACAAACTGATTTTAATTTTAGTAACAAAAATAAATTACTAATACTTTAATTCTCATTATAATGTAAAATTACATTATTTACGTTTAATTAAAAATTACCGTTAAAAAATTTAAACAATATTATCAATTTTAAAATAAGACCTCAGTTATTTCCAAATATAATAGAAAAACGATATGCTACCTAATTGTGTCTCGTTAGAGTTATTTTTTTATTACCCATTTATTATTACTAAAAAAAACGTTATACTAAAGCCTTGTATAGAGTAAGAAAAAAAGTAAAAATGAATGTAAAAATTGCAAATTAAAAAATGAGTACTTAATGCGACATTCTGCAAATGTAGGGAACCTAAAGTTACTGCTTTGGAACCACGACGCGAACCGACTTTTGAAGTTCTCCAAGCCATACCGTATCACCTGTAAGAGAAAAAAAAATAATATTAGAATATTCCTAACAAATACATATGCTAGAAGAAACAAAAAACAAACTACAGACAACAAAAAAAAACAATGTAAAAATATGAAAACTCACCATCGCATCTTGCTTAAGTTCATTTTCAGTCCCACCATAATAATTATACGGCGAAAAAAACAGTGGCGTCTCACTGCTATGGGGCACATCGAATGCCCCCAACTCCATGAACCTCGGTCGATCCTGTAGAGTTGACAATAAACACGTTTTCCAGGTATTCGACGGTGCCTGGAACAATCCGAAATTTTTTGGGACTGATCATATGCAGCATGTAGACAGAATTTCTGACTTCTTCATTCTTGTTTTTTAAAATCGCGCTGCGAACCCGGGTTGTCCTAAAAAAATGAAAAAAAAATAAGTAATGAAAAAAAAAATAGTTTTATAAGTAACTACAAGTTAAATTAGAAAGTTATTTTAAATTAAATTAATTAAATTAGAATTTAAACTTATATCTACCATAACTTTTAAAAAAGTTGCTCTAATTACTATACAAGTTATTCTACTTTAAATTGAAGCTCATGTAACGAAAAAACTAAAATATACAACACTTATATGAAAAGAATTTTGATTGCTACATGGTGGCATAAAAAAGCTATTTGGTAGAGAGTACAGTAAAAGTTTACCATTTAAATGTAATATAAAAAAATTAGACTTACTTTTAACAGGTTTAAGTTAGGCCTGGTTATGCTCGCCTCCTCCCGACATTTTCTGCCTTCAAAATTCGACGCGGGGCAGACCAAGAGAAAAAACATAAAAATGTTTCCACGACCCGCCTGCGAGTGTGTGCTGGTTGCCTTCCTTATGCAGATTCGACCCATTGGTCGACGATTAAGCCTCACCAGTCAGTTCCCATCCCAATTAAGCCGCCTCGTCTGGGGCCACCCTCGTCACCCGTCGGACGGACATCCACCGGGACCCCCTACAGGCGGACCCCCCTCATCATCTTCAATGTGTCCGATATCCCGCCCTGCCTCTTCGAGGGTCACGGAATACGTGCACGAAGAAATCTCGGAGCTTGGGTGCCAGGTTGTATCCGGCCGAAGCCTCTAGCATTAGAACACCTAGCTCGTAAATCAGAGGGTGGTGACTCCCTTGGGTACCTCTGCATGCTACACAGGTCATCGATGCCCGAACATCGGGGTTAGGGGGTGACCCAAGAAGTCTCCTCTCTTGGGGAAGGCCGCGCCGCGCTCTGGAGTCATCTTAAGCCGGGGATCCACACCGACAAAAACACTGTTAACCAACCGCATCAGCTAATGAAATTCACTAATGTTGAATTAGGAAATTTTATTAACCAACACAGAGAGCTAGCAATGCTCGTGTGAGTGGGGAAGGAGTGTGTGGTGTTGTAGTATTAATATAACGCGCCTAAAAAACGAAAAAATATTGGAATACCTATAAAAATATTATCGAACATCTATAAAAATATTACGACAATATATAAATAGGTATATTTATTTTAAATATGAAAAAGGAGATGCTCCATTTATACCTCAGCAATATTTTATAAGATTTTTCCTTGATTATTATACCAAAAATGTCAAAAATATAAAGATGTTAGGTATATGACATAGAAAAAAGGGATATAAATTTGATGAATATGGTCAAAATCCAAAGATTTTTTTCCATGATGTAACACATAAAAAAATAAAAATACACAAGGAGTTTTTAGAGTTGTAACATATATTATTTAGAGCTAAAAGTTAAACCTACAGTGTTTCAAATAAATAAAAAATATTAAAGTTATATTTTTTTAACATTGAGACATCCTATATAATTACATTTTTAGTTTCTACTATGAAGACACAAAAACATTCTATCAAAATTTACCTCAAAATCATATCTTTGATCCTACTGACTGTTTTTGAAATATTTTAATTTTTATAAAAATTCAGTAACAATTGATTTATTTCTTCAATGCAAATTTACAACTAATACTGAATTAGCAAAAATCATTTGTCAACATTAACACTATTTTTTAACATGTAATATTACATAACGCGCTGTAAAAGAGAAATATATTTTAAAATAGAAAATGCTGAAACCTAATATATGTAGGATTCAGGATTCTTAAATAAAAAAAATACGTAATAAAATTCCTAATGAACTTATATACCTATTTAAAATGTAAATACAAAAAACCTATATACTCATTCAAAATATTATTAAAATGCGCCATATTATATTTTTAAAAATAAAGAAAACTCCAAGTATGTCCTATAAAAAGAAATTTAAATTAAAAATAGCAATTTAGAAAAAATCAAGACATCGAAATCCAACAGGCGGCCATTTTATTTAAACATTCCTTGACCGAAAGAATTAAACAAAAAATGAAAGATACATTACGTAATTTACCAAAACTGTAGTACTATTTTACCCTTATGTAACACGCAGTATAGAAAGTACCAAAAATACATAGTTTTACATACTTATTTATTAATCTACGTATATTATTTAAACAATATTCTTAAAAATTAATAACTTAATGGGGAACATTGAGAAGAAGGCAGCCATGATGGATATTGCGAAATCCCAAAATTTTAAACTAAAATATCCCAAAAAATACATAAAATTATGGGTACTCACTTTTTCAGGAGGCTAAGCAGGGCACTAGTAACAGATTACGCATAAATTGTGTACACTAAACGCACTTTTTCGTGAGAAAATTAAGAAATCCATGCAACCGACGAGAGGACGTACGGATCCTTCGATTGCAAACGATAAAAGGAGGACCGGCGTTGCCAGATTGAAGTCATTCGTAAATTTTAAGCTGCTCATAAAATTAATTTATTTATTACTAATAAAATTGTTTATAGGAAAATTCTTCTAAATTAAGCTTAATTTTCTTCTCAAAAGTTATTATTTACTCAATACGTTCCACTGATATCGTTTTTTTACGTAAGGTAAAATATTTATTGTCATAAATAATAAAAACAAATAAGTAATTATAAACATAAACACACAAAAATCATGAAATAAACATAAAATGAAGCTGTTTAAATACATTTTTAATGCTATAAATACATCGAAACCAAGAATAAAGACTATAATGTTAGTACGTAGTTACAAGAAGAAATAAAAGAAATTCCTACAAAACAACATTACTAGTACTTGTTTTATTAAAAATATATAGAAATGGCCCTTACTATAGTGCCAGTGATCAATTTAAACTAATATAATTTGACAAAAATCATACAGAAAAAAAGATTTTCGGCATTTTTTAACAATCCGACAACATCGAACGAGAATAAAATTCAAAATCTCCACGCGACCGAAACTGACCAATCACGATCGAGTATTTTTTGCTCTTGGATGCCACGATATTAACTTTTTTTAATAAACATGGATGATTTTTATTAAAATTTCAGTAGAATATGCTTCTTAAATTAATTAAATGATTTGTCTTTATTTGTATTTATTCCCTCCAGTATAAAATATCATACAAAACTTATTTTATATTGAAATTATCTGGTACCCACGTAATTAGATGAACTATAAAATCATGCATTTCCTTAATATTTTAATAAATTATTAAGAAACAAGTGTTTTTATTCAATAAATATCCCTTAGTTTAATAAGAAACTAATTCTATATAGTTAAATAGTAAGAAATATGAGATAAATTATATAAAAAATAACTTCATAAGTCTTTAACTTGACTCAACGTTGACAGCTCTTACCGGATGTATCTGTTCAACTTTTGGCGTCACAATTTTCAAATTTGAAATTTAATTAAGCTGAAAAATCCTTTATTTACAAGAAAAAATATATTAATAAGTACAAATTAGGATAAAAAGCATTTATTACTAAGGACAACTATATATTACAGTACTTTTGTCTCCTGAAACTGATAAAATTTTCGATTTATCCGGACTGAATTTTACACCCCAAACCTGCAATGTTTTTTAGATAAAATATTATTATTAAAAAACAAATCTTATTTAAAAATGGTTATATCCTTAAAAACTTTCTTCATCAGTATGGGAATTAAAAACAAATTTTATTTGTGAGTGTATCGTGCTTTCGATAGTTTATGCACAGTTTATTGCAGTTTATGCCTTGTTTATTGTCACAGAATAACTATTTATTGTTTTCCAGTCCCACTCACAGAATATACTAACGAAGAGAATTAAAAGCTCTATCTCTATGCAAAATTGCAGCTCTATCGGAGATACTTTAATTTGTCTGTAAAATGTCGCCAAAATTTTGATATTTTTGCAAAGATCTATTCTAAATCTTGTTTTTGTTAATATAAAACGAATTGAACGGTTATAAAATCATTATAAATCTAATAAACACTTTATTTCTGTAGAATATATATTTTCTTTTAGGCACAGCATTATTTATGCAGCAAAAATGATCATGACTGGGCGACGTTTTCCTTTGTGGGAAGTTTTTTAAGATTTTTCTGGTAGAAAAAGTGATTTTTCAGTGCACTATATTTGAGCTTATTCTGTCCCTTAAGGCCTGTTTAATCTACTGTAAACTGTAAGTACCCATTGTTTTGACGTAATTGACTGTTCAGGTAAAAAAGCATTTTCAACATCGTTTAGAATAAATCAGTGTGTTAATAATATCACACAAGAGAATGGTGTCTTTCTGTATCCTTTCCCAGAAGAGGAGACCTGGATCATCCTCTAACTATGATGTTCGGCCCTCAATGACCTGCTAAGCAAGTACAGGTACCGGAGAAATTTACTACCCTCCATGTCTAAAAGCTGGCCGAGGCTGAAGGTTTATCTTTGACCATAGGTTAAATTAGCTGGGGGCAAGAAGGTAAAACATCAAAAATCACATCAGGAGACGAAGATTTATAAGAGGAGGTTTTTATAAAGATTTAGCTCTATCTTCAACTACTGCAGTAGAAGAAATTCAAAGTAAGTTTTATTTTTATTAATATATGTCTGGAGATTGTCTTGGAGAGAGGAGAAACTTTTTTGCTTCTAAAAAAAACATTTTGCTTTTTCTAAAATGGTTAGTTAATCCCATTTACAGTTTTCCTAATTTTCGTACTGTTAGAGAAACTTAAAAAATTATGAGAATATCTGTGGTAGCAGTATCTCGTTTTCATTCTTTGATAGATGGTTTTTATTAATTTAATGATTAAAAATAATTTTGTTTTATATATATATAAAGGATTCTACAGCTCTGGCTGCCTTCCTTCCATCAACCGGGTCCTCCATTCGTCTCGATCATCCCATGTTCCCTCTCGTAGTCCTCTCCGATGCATAGACTCGTCCACTTCATCTCGCCATGGTCTTCTTGGCCGCCCTCGCTTTCTTCTTCCAATCGGGCTCCACTCTGTCACTCTGTTAATCCATCTATTTTCCGCCCTTCTAACATGACCGTACCATACCAATCTTTTCGTTTCTATGTACTTTAAGACGTCGGTCTTTCTCCCCATTCTTCTTCTTATTTCCTCATTCGTGACTCGGTCTCTTCTGGTTAGTCCACAGCATCTTCTCCAATACATCATTTCGGTGGCCAGAATTTTTCTTTGGTTGTTTTTGTTTATGACCCATACTTCTGCTGCATATGTCATGATACTCTGAATAATTGTTTCATATATCAATGTTTTAGTCTTTTTCCTGATATTTCTATCCCAGATAACGGAGTGCAGTTGTTGTATACAGGATCTTGTCTGTCCAAGTCTGACATTTATATCTTCTTCCGTAGTTGCGTTTTTCGATAGTGTAAATCCCAGGTATTTAAAGTTATTGGTTCCCTTTATTTCCAGGTGGTCTTCTATTTGTAAATCAGCTGTATCTTCCTCTGTTGTCATGTACATGGTTTTCTTCAGGTTTATTTCTAGTCCTACTTTTTCATACTCTTCATTTAGCTTCCTGAGCATATAACTTAGATCTTCCTCATCCTGGGCCATCACCACCTGGTCATCTGCAAAGCAGAGCGTGTAAAGATGTTCATTTCTTAGAGGGATTCCCATACCTTCACATTTGCGTTTCCAGGTTGTCAGTGCATGTTCCAGAAATATTTTAAATAATGTTGGCGATGTTGGACATCCCTGGAGCAGCCCCTTCGATGTTGTTAAGCTGTTTACTATCTTGTTCCCTACTTTTATGTGTATTTTGTTGTTCCTATATAAAGTCTTCATTGCATTTGTGAGTGTTATCGGTATGTCCAGTCTTTCCATCGCTTTCCATAGTTCTTTCCTGGGTACAGTGTCATAGGCCTTCTTTAAATCGATGAATGCTAAGTGTACTGGTTTGTTCTTTGCTTTTTTTTTCTCCAATAATTGTTGGATCGTGTAAATATGATCTATGCATGATCTCCCTGCTGTAAAACCTGCTTGTTCTTCTCCGATTTTTCCTTGTATGTTCTGTTCTAATTTGTCTCTCAGTACTCTACCATATAGCCTCCCCATGGTTGCTATGACACTGATCCCTCGATAGTTATCGCACTGTCTTCTATCTCCTTTTTTGAAAATCGATGTTAGCTGTGCTTCCTTCCATTCGTCTGGTATGTTATGTCCATTTATTGCTTTCCCAAACATTCCATGTATGATTCTGAATAATTTTTCTGTGCCGCATTTTATGAGCTCTGGTGCGATGTCCCCTGGTCCTCCTGCTTTTTTGTTTTTTATTGTTTTAATTGCCTTTCGTATATCTTCTATTGTTATAGGTATATGTTGTGCTCTAGGTTGTCCCTCTTCTTCTTGTCTTTCCTCTATAAACTTTTGTCTTGTTTCCGTGAGTAAATCTTTGTAGTGATCTTTCCACTTCTCAGGTTCAATGTATGATATGTATGATCTTTCTTTCCTATCGGATCTCAATTCCTTAATCACTCTCCATGCTTCTGATCTTCTAGCTCCACCGATATATTGGTCCAAGTTCTGGCAGGTTTTTTCCCAATTTTCGTTTTTCTCTCTGTTTACCATCCCTTTAACGTCTCTGTTTTTTTCTCTATATTTTTTGTAGTCATCTTCATTCCTGGTACTCAGCCATTTATTGTACAGTTGTTTTTTACATTTAATTTCGTTAATCGTCGTTTCACTAAGATTGTATTCGAAAGGTCGTTGTTTTCCTTCTACTTCTCCGAGGGCTTCCATCCCTGCCTGTAGCATACTTTCTTTGATGTGCTGGTATGTGTCTTCCATGTTATCATCGTATCTAAATTCTATGAGTTTCTGGTCAAGTCTTGTTTGGTATAGATGTCGTGTGGATTCATCCTGTAATAATTGTATTTTTAGTGGTTTTCTTTTTTGTATTTCTATCGGTGTTCCTTCAATGTTGTTCGTTTTTCTATTCATCCAAGGGAATTCCATTTTAGCTAGTAATAATCTGTGGTCGCTTCCGCATTCTGCCCCTCGCTGTACTCGGACGTCCCTTATTTTAATTGTAGATCTTCTTCGTATGATAATGTAATCTATTATAGATTTGAGTTCTCTCGTTTCTTGTGTCCAGGTGTATCTGTGGATATCCTTATGTCTGAAGAACCCATTTGTTACTTTGAGGTCGTTTAGTTCGCATATTTCTATGACTCTTTCACCGTTATCGTTGGTTATTTCTTCTCCAAATCTTCCTATTACGCTATCATTTTCTTTTCTGCCTACTCTCCCATTCAAGTCGCCTGCTATAATGAGTTCTTTTTTCCGTATGTTAGCAATTTCGTTCTGTATCGTGTCCAAAAACTTTTCTTTCTCTGTAACGGGGCTGTCATCGTTTGGTCCGTATGCGCCTATTATAATTACGTCCCTACCGTATATCGCTATCTCCACTCTTATCACCCTTTCGTTTACTGGTTCCCACGTCTTGATGTTCTTTCTAAATTTTTTCTTCACTAATATTCCGACTCCCGCTTTAGCTCTTTGTTCTTTTTTCACTCCGCTCCATATATGCAGTGCGCCTCCGATCTCTTCTGTACCGTTTCCTTTTTCTTTGTCTCGGTTACAACCAATATATCCACGTTCATGTTCTTGAATTCCTCCAACACTTCTTCTCGCTTGGTTCTCCATCCTTGGATATTCCATGTGGCGAGTCTTAATTTCCTTTCCTTGATCTTCCTCCCTTTCCTCTTTCTGTCCCGGTTGCTGTTTACAGCTTGTACTTGAAAATCTTCAGCAGAACTGCCCCCCCGTATCCGTTGGGGCTCCCTCTAAATGAGGTGTGGATTGCCACCCGGGGATTTTTCTTATAATTTTTCATTCTGCATCTATTTTTCCCAAGCACTTAAGATTTTAAGTGTGGTAGGGTGCTTACGCCTGCCGCCACAACCCCCTTTGGAGGACCTAGTAATCAGCCGCTCACTCTGAGACAGACGCTGTTTGCGGCCGTTCACTCTGAATCAGACGCTGCATACCTGTTGGTCCGCGGGAGGTATTTCATTTTCCTCCTACCACCCATATCTGGGAGGCTTTCCCCGATCCGCCACCTGGGGACGCGCTCTCTAGGAGTTTCAGGTTCTCCCGAGAGATTATTAATTTCTCCCGAGAGATTATTTTGTTTTAACAAAAAAATATTTTGCTAGATATAATTTGCTAAACTTTAATAGTAAAATGTTTATTTTGTTTTGAGTGTTTTAAATATGTTTCACATATTGACACCACCTTGGACCATTTTAAAATAAATTTAGTTTACTATATATTTACATTTTTATAGAGCAGTATACTATTGTATATAGTAAAGTCATAGTAAAGTTGATGTTTTTAACTGGCTTTGCCTGTTGTGATACTGATTAAATCATAAATAAAACATATGTTCTTCATTTTTGGCAAATTTATTAGTTCAAGATACCTAATATACATTAGATTACAAGATTTTTTTAATATACAAGAGTAGCCATCTAATTTATCAATATATACAATTATAAAAAACTTACTAATTAACTTACTAAATTAATCCAGCAAGAATTAAAAATATGCAATTACTTAAAACCAGGGCCAAGGTTAAGAATCATCCAGTTCCTAGAGTGGTCACTTCCTTGGGAACGCTAAGCAGGTCCCCAGCATATATTTAGTCGATACAGGTCTGCTTTTGGCCGCTATTAAGTCCCATTGTTGCTAAAATTTACTTTCTTCCCTACAAATCAATAATATAAACAGTAATATATATGGTAACAAATATTTTCATTTAGGTCAAAATAACTATTAACTAATGTTTTAAATACCTTCTGCTGATGAAATAATATTCTTGGCATTTGGTGTTTGGTTGAATAGAAGACTCCTTAATTTTTTTTGTACCTTTTTGTATTGATTTGATTAGATGTGTAGAAGCATCGACCTAAGATGTGAAGTACAACAAAATTTACTTTTGAAATAAAAAACAATAATAGACACCCCTTTATTCCATACCTGATAGGCTTATTTATTATAGTTTCTAAAAAAACTATGAATATGGTCTCAATTCTTGAATATAACAGTGTGTTCGTAAACGGTCAATATCACCATGTTTCAAATCACTAATTCCACTTTCAGTGCCTTGCGCTGTGTACATTTTTATTCTGGGTGAGTTTAAAACACTTGAGAGACAAATTTATTAGGAAAATATAACGAATTCAAAGTATTTTTCACTTTTCTTTGAACACATTCCATTTAAAATCGAACTCTCAAAATAATGCCATTGGCCGTTATTTTTAATAATCATAAAAATACCCATTAAACTTGATTTTATAACTAATTTTCATACAGAAAGTTATATGATATTGTTGCGAAATAATTTTCTTTAAATTCTTTGATATTTTCATAAGTATTTTTAAGAAAAACAGATACTAAATTTAAAATTTATAACTAATTGGCAACCAGTAATACACCTTTGGTATACGTCATTGCCTTAATATCTCACCGGTCGCTTCCGACATAAAATAAGTACTTATATAAAAAACAAAAGAATTTTATTTGGGATTCGCAGACGCGGCGTGCGATGTAGACTCTAATCCTAACTTTCTGGCGCTTGAGGAATGCGACGTTATGGGAACTGGCCAGCCCATAATTTAGCCCTCTTGAGTTGTTGTTAGAGAATTGTCTGCAGGCGTACGATGTCTGTCAAGGTAGTCTTGATGCCGAGGCGCCGGTCAAGTTCTACCACGAAATTCCGCATTCCTAGGTACCTTCGTTTACGGGGGGGATTGTTAAGATTCGTCTAGTCGGAGAGACGACGCTTGCAATTCACCCTGTAAATGCTTGGAGTTATAAACTTGGGAATGTTTTTTGTTACTTTTTACAATCATTTTTCCAATTATTTATAGGTAGTTCCAGCATGTTTCCAGTTTACCCCATTACGAAGTAGAACATTTTGATCAAGCAATTTAATCGTAATAACACAGTGGGGTCGAAAAAACGGCGTCAAGATAACAGTTGGATAATTTCTTGCCAGCAAAATAATATGGTTTTTGTTCTCGAACGGCATATCTAAGGTAACGTTGCTCCAATTTTTCTATAATAAGGTAACTTTAAATATTTCTCCTCTTATTTTTGAACGTTACAGGAAGTTCGTTGGAAAATCAATCACCGCAACCGGCTTATCTTCACCTAACCTTAAATCAGAAGTGGTTCGAAAATATATAAATGAAATACAAGAGAAATACAAATAACAAGAAACGTTTAATAACTATATTGATAATTCAGAATTGAAAATACGTAAGCTGCATAGAAATATGTGACGTTCAGCAGCGATAATGAATGTAGTAATTGAAAGTAATCATAAACAAGCCAACAAACATGTTCTATGAAGCTAAAAAAGGTAAACATAGCACCAGTTAAGTTTTAAAAGTAAAAGGCATATAGTGTATTATTATGGTGTATTATAGGTATTTATTTCTGTTTATTATAAGGTTCCCATGATATTAAAAATAAATCATACAAATCATGGACATTACCGTTTCAAAAATTGTAAGCTACATTTTAACAGAAAAAAAAATTACATTAAACATTGAATATATTTAACGACAGTCGCCCTCATAGCTTGTTTTATTTAGTAGTTGGTATATTACAAATGAGTGACTACTTTACAGAAAGTTCATTGTTTTATAGATGCTCTCCTGTATGATCTATGATGATCTCGCCCTATAACCAGAGATAAATAAGGTATTTACTTATGAAGTAGGGAACAGGATAAACTAATAGCTTATTGATAAAACAAAACAGATGTAATGGAATGTATTTAAAACATGAAGTTATTATTTGTGTATGTGTAATTTTGCTAGCAATTCCCGTGGAATTCAAGCTTGGAATGGCAACAGCAGCTTATCAAATTGAGGGTGGATACAACTGTGATGGTAAGTACCTTTAAAATAATCAAAATCAAGTATACCTTACATACATTAAAAAGTTCCTTTATTCTATATACTGAAATGGCGATTTTCTCAAAATAAAGAAGATTATTAAGGTGTACAAAAATATTTTTAGGCAAAGGGGAAAGCATATAAATTTATTCTTATACACATATACAATCAATGCAGGCAAAAAATTTGTTATATCTTAGTCTAGAAACAAGAAATGTTAATAAATGACATTAGACCATATTAGCATTAAGTAAAGTAAATTGTCTTGCACTAGGACTAGCTTCATCATTATTTTTAATATGGCCTCAAATCTAGTCCAATCTTTGCAGGAAATATTATTATATTTATATCTGTAGAATAAATATTTTCTTTTAGCCACAGCATTATTTATGCAGCAAAAAATGATCATGACTGGGCGACGTTTTCCTTTGTGGGAAGTTCTTTTACGATTTTTCTGATTTCTACCAGAAGGTAGAAAAGTGATTTTTCTGCGCACTAAAAATTTGAGCTTATTCTGTCCCTTAAGGCCTGTTTAATCTACTGGAAACTGTAAGTACCCATTGTTTTGACGTAATTGATTATTCAGGTAAAAAAGCATTTTCTAAGTCTTTTACATCTTTTAGAATAAATCAGTGTGTCAATAATATCACACAAGAGAATGGTGTCTTTCTGTATCCTTTCCCAGAAGAGGAGACCTGGATCATCCTCTAATTTTGATGTTCGGCCATCAATGACCTGCATAGCAAGTACAGGTACCCGAGACAGTTACTACCCTCCATGTCTAAAAGCTGGCGGAGGCTGAGGGTTTATCTTTGACCATAGGTTAAATTAGCTGGGGGCAAGAAGGTAAAACATCAAAAATCACATCAGGAGACGAAGATTTATAAGAGGAGGTTTTTATAAAGATTTAGCTCTATCTTCAACTACTGCAGTACAAGAAATTCAAAGTAAGTTTTATTTTTATTAATATATGTCTGGAGATTGTCTTGGAGAGAGGAGAAACTTTTTTTGCTTCTAAAACAAACATTTTGCTTCTTCTAAAATGGTTAATCCCATTTATAGTTTTCCTAATTTCCGTACTGTTAGAGAAACTTAAAAAATTATGAGAATATCTGTGGTAGCAGTATCTCGTTTTCATTCTTTGATAGATGGTTTTCATAAATTTAATGATTAAAAATATTTTGCTAGATATAATTTGCTAAACTTTAATAGTAAAATGTTTATTTTGTTTTGGGTGTTTTAAATATATCTCGTTTTGTTTTAGACATATTAATACCACACAAGAGAACGGTGTCTTTCTGCATCCTTCCACAAAAGAGGGGACCTGAATCATCCTCTGACTCTGATATTTGGCCATTGGGGACCTGCATTCCATATATGGCTACCCAAGTAAGTTACTTAGTATAGTGCTCCATATTTAGATATGTATATTTGGTATTTTTTAGACCATGCAGGCAAACTAGTATTTTCTACGTCTTTGTCGGTGTTAGTAAAGGGGGCACCTAATGCTCAATAATTATCTACAGTAATACTTTCAGATAAAATAAAATAGTTTTACACACACGTTTCATACAATACACACTGTGACTGTTTCTCTCTACAATTTCCTGTCTCCGATGTACCGTTTGTGTCCGGGAAGGGTTCATATTTTCATAGATGTCGATTTTCGAAAGAAATCAGTACATTTATTTTAGTTCTGGCTTAGTACTAGTATTCTTATGTTACACAATTGCACAAGAATATAAGTACAGACTACCTAAACATTTTTTTTAATCATATTTCTTGGAGGCCGTTCAGAAAATTTTTCTGCTGGGATGTTTAGTAAATATTGTTTGTATGATGGAAACAATATTATACAATTATTTCTGTTTATAGGTTTATGGTACTGGTTCCGTAACAACTGCAGCTGTTATTGGTACTCCTACTTACTTGATCCTCCTGTATATTCCCCATTGAAGATATAGAGCAGAACGCGGACTTGCGATAGGAACACTTCGTTTTGATCACACTGATCTCATTTTTTTAATTCTACGATTTTTTTAAGTAAAATTTAGATAAAATAATTAAATTCTGTTATTTGTACATACATTCTTAGTACAAACGCAAATGTTTTTACATAATTTAAGTTAAAATTCAAATATTTATATTCTTAAAACTAGTATCTCTTCAAGAATATATTTTAGTTAATTCTAGTTGTAAAAAATTACAGAATTTAAAATTATCTAAATTTTATTTATTGATTATTTGCAGTGTTAACACAACCGGTTCAATTTCATATTTTTATTCTTTGTTTCAGATTGCTCCACAGCCCACTCGAGCAGCGAACCAACCATAGGCCTATTCCGATCTCCGAAGAATATTCGATTGATATGTTCATACTACTGCACGTTGTATTTGTAAAACTTAAATATATACCCACTACGATTATACTTATTGTCATGAATAAATTTATTATATGTACAAATGTATTTTATTTTCCAACCTAGGTATATCAAAAAATATTAAGCTTAAATAATTAAAAGAATTTGCAAAGCCTGTCTATTTTTAAGTCTGGTCTATTTTTACACAGAAAAATAGTCAGCCGCTGAGCAAAATACTCAGCGGTCGGTAAGCCGCTGTGTTCCCTGAACGCGCACATTATTATTAATTTAATGATTAAAAATAATTTTGTTATAACAATAAAAATATTTTGCCAGGTATAATTTAAAGTGTTTATTTTGTTTTGGCATTTTTTTTATATTCTATGTTTTTGATGGGGTTTTATTTTTTCTTTTAAAGCGAATTTGATTTTAAGTATTCTTAGTTGCATACCTACGGCCAATCTCTGGCAACGGCGCATATCGAGTGTAATGATGACTGATGACAGGTGACAGTTCATAATTTCGGAAATTCGCCATATTGCTGATTTCAAAGGTAAATGTTCCGTTTTCCGTTGATGTTGCAAATATTTTGAAAATACGATTAGAAACTGTTAAAGGTGAATAGTTGTGAGAAGACCATAGGATTTAAGTGAAAATGTTTCAGTCCCGACAAGAAGTTGATAAACACGTTAATAATAGTTTGTTAAAAGTTAATAATGAGACTGAGGTAAGCGGCCATTTTTAACGATTTTTTCACTTTTCACGTACCGGCTTTAGCATATTATGCATTTTTTCATGACAACGATTTATTTAAATCCTCATATCTGTTATATAAGCGTATTAACAAATATTTTGTAATATGTACAAAAAAAATCAAGAGTCTGCTCTAACCTCAATGATTACCTATGCTATTTTAAAACCGGGCTTGTGGGCCTTATGATATTTTGGCGGGAAATTTGTTTGTACTTCATATTTGTTTCGATTTCTTTCTTGATCCACATAATTCACTATTTACTGCTTAAATTTGTAACACATTTTCCGTGTCTGTAGTGAATTCTTAATATGTATGCCCTCACAATAACAAAATTTTTATTTTTCAGAGAAATTTGCGATGTTTTTCGTTTGCAAAATTGTATTTTAATGTTGGAGACTACGAGCAAGCAGTACGTTATGTTACATCTTATCTTAGCGTAAAACCTAAATCAGCCGAGGGACATAACCTGTTGGGAAAAGCCCTGGAAAAGTTAGGTAAAAAAAATGCCGCCTTGGAGGCTTACAGAACAAGCTTACAACAAAATCCTAAACAAAATAATTTAGTTATTAAAGGTTTGTAACTTTTTCTTTTTTTTTTTTAAATAAAATCACCGAATAAACTAATTTTAGTGTGTGAACTGATGGCTCAACATGATGTCGAAGTTGATAATGCCAGGGCTAGGTACTTCTGTGACCTAGCTCAATCTTTAGATCCGCAAAATCCAGTAATATTAAGTTTAAAAGAGAAAATTATTACAAATGATGGGAAAGATCCTAAAGAGGTGTCCCAGTTCTTAATAAAAGAATTAGAAATTAGGTAGGTGTGATAAGAATCGGGAATCAAAGTGTTTCTTTTTGATATTAATACTTAATTCCTTTCCAGACCAACCGACCTTAATTTAAGAGTGAGACTTCTGAAACACTTTCTACAGAACAACATGATAAAAGAGGCTTTTAAACACGCCTCGGATATCGAAGAGAAAAAATTAGATTTGTTCGACAACAGTTTGCCATGGTACGAAACGTTTGCCGAGGTTCTCGTCAAGTACCAGAAAGAAACTGTCTCTTCCCAACTGTCGTGGGAATTTTGGTTCCTTTCCATCTCGGTTTTAGAAAAGCTGGCATCGCTCTCCATGGACGATCACACGGATGCTGTCAAAAGTCAGGCGGACTACATAAATTCCGTCTTTAATTTCGATCAGTCCCTGTTAAAGGCCAGTCAGAATGTCAAGTCGTGTCCAGATAAAAGGCTTTTAAAAGAATTTCTCAATCACTACGAGGTGCAGCTGTGTTTTCATCTGGCAGTGTTGGCCTTTAAGCAGGCCAAGAAAGGTCTGATGGGTTTTAAAGAGGTAGGTCTGCTTTGTTTTCTTGTTATTTAACGATTGCTCACAAGATTATTCAATATTTCATGTTGCCAGTGAAATTCATATCCTATTTTACTAAATAAGTAATTTTTTAGGTTCAGAGTATTGTTGTGCCTCTGTTATTCATCTCTTACAATACCACCCCTCTAGATATACAGGGTGTTTGGTTTAATAGTGTCTCAGAATCTAGCAGGAAAATAATTATGTGTTGGTATAAGGATGGTAATTTTAGGTAGGACTGTCCCGATCCCGAAAATTGCAAACCCCACTAATAATCGATTTTTAGATGTTCTCAGGCGGGACACATCTTGCATTCCATGGCCAAGGATAGAAGAAATGTTTTTATAGAAAAAGCTAATCAATATTCCACAGGGATGTGGCGCGATCAAGCGTTTAAAAAAGTAATTTCTCGATTTAATTTGTTTATTAGTTAATTTAACTTTTTCGTTTTTCTTTCAAGTTATTCATCACCAGAGATCAACAACTGAAAAGCGCAACGAGCTATTTTATCAGCTCCAGTTCCTTGGAACCAGTCACTAAACTACCTGAACAGGTTGATTTAGTGAAATATGATGAGGTAAAAAAAGTTTTATTGAATAAAAGCTAGTAATCGCAAAACATTTTCCGATGTACGTCATCAATCATGTCGACATTGTCCCTAAAGTCTATAAACCTAACTAAATGAAATTTTGGCAAAAATGTTTAAATTTGTTGTATAATGTAAGATACCTAGCAGCTCTTCATTTTACTTTTTGGAGCAAATGATTCAGATTACTCAGATTTAGATTAAAGCTGCAAAAATTAGTTTAAACCATAACCAAAGATAAAAGAAAATAATCTTCTATTGTTTAAACCGAATTTTATTATCGGTATGTTGCTCGCATTGCGCCGTTTTCAGCAAGGTTGTTTGTTATTTGACAATTATCCTAACGTCAGTCATTATTTTGCATAATATTGTGTTGTTGTTGAATATTTGTGAGTAATTCTGGTTTTTTGCCTATTTTCATAATCTTTTTTTTAAAACTTGTACTTTTAAGCAAAAATATTTCTTTTAAGAACTAAATTTTCGAGTTTTTGTATTGCATTTCTTGAAATTGTGTGTTGAAAATATGCCGAAGCATTTAAACAGTCGAAGCAAAGAGCTTGTAACTTCCCTGATAAACTATTTTGAACGAGAACGTGACAATAAAGGTCCTTTATTACCCTTGACTGCAGTCAGACAAGTAAGTTTGATTGATAAGTACATTACACCACTTTCAAAGTTGTTTCTACGTTAGTTTTCATTAAATTCTGTGATGATTAGTTTGTGCATTAATAGCACCCTCTTGTTTTTACCACTTATGGCGTTGTAAGATGTATATCAATAAATAAATAAATAACCCATAATAACGCTTAGAATAGTCTTCACAATGGACTAGTTTTTGCCAATGTCCAATAAGTCAAATAAGCCATAAAACAAATAAATCAATTAATTACTAAAAGATTAGTTATTAAATTAAAGATAAAACGTAAAAATCTTAAAAAAATTATATAATAAATATTTTAATATTTTGTTTGTCACTTTTAAATTAAGTTTCATCTCGTAAATCCATCACAATGTGGCAGCGCTGTCGCCGTCGCTTTTCATTCAAAGTTGATCAGGTGCATCGGAAATTGTTTTGCGAATACCATTCCCCGCCGGTGCTGCCACCATCGGAGCATACCGTAAACAGCCGACTAAACAAATGCACGGCTTTAAATCTTTGAATAAGAAGACTAAGGAAGGAGCATAATGCTATCCATGTATTCATGCATGGTGGGCGGAAAAAGCGCCATAAAAGCACTCTAGGGTGGGGATCCTTGACAGTTCTGTTTAACGATTCATTTGACACATTTGAATTTGATTTGAAATTTTGTAGATTTGTCAGTCTTTACGAAGCTTATTTTATGTTATTTATTATTTATTCTACTACTGATAGTTGTATAAAGGTAGTAAATCTAGATGGAAATTGTGGCAGAACTTAAATTAACAGTGACACTATCGCGATTTATCGAAAAAGACTCTAAAATAGTTGGTTGTGTAGCGTGCGGTAGATCTCGGCAAAAATTGAGTGAAATAATGGAACAACTTTTCGCTAGTAAGTGACTATATAATATACATACGTGTAGTAAACCGATCAATTATGAAATTCACTTAAATTGACTAAATTATATATTTTTCTTGCATTTTAGCTTTTATTTATTACTTGTCAAAGATTAGATGTCAAAGAATTTAGATACGTTAATTTGACTTACCTGCTTCAGTAGCGTATCGGATGTTTGTGTTAATAAATACTTATTATAACTTATCTATTTTTATTAGAATTATATATTTTTATAACAATTTTAATAACTACCAACATTTATTCACAACGTAACATAAAACAACAAATTATTGAGTCTACCCCAAGTCTACCCTACATCATAGTTTTACATTTTTTAAATAAAATTAGAACGACACTGATAAACCGGAATTTAAGTCGGCCATATTTGATGCCCATCGCGGTGTACCTAAGATTTTTGATATGCTCCTTCCTTAGTCTTCTTATTCAAAGCTTTAAATAAATAAAACATGTCCTAACAGAATACAGTACATCTGCTGGATCTGTGTCTATGAAAGGAATGCGGACAAAAAACATTTAAATAAACAGCAATATATTTTATACGTCGATTTGACGAGTGCGTCACCGCAAATCGTTCCGCCCACTCATTTTATTGGCTACTTGCAAATTTGTTGAATTTTTATTGATGGGATGCGTCGTCTATTTTTTTACGAAAAACATCGAGAGAATATCGTTTCCCCTCTCACGGATACCCCGTAGCTACAGAACGGACAGACGTACTGTACCTTTCTTGAATTATTCAATTTACAGCGATAACAAAACAAGAAAAATGTTTTTTAAACGGTCGCCAAGACGTTCCTTCCGTCTTTAACTTACAAACACAAGAATGGCATTTAACTGTATTAATTCCGATTACCAATGTTTGTTCTCTTTAGGTAGCACAAAACGTCCGTCCGGATTCCTTGCATCACTACATCTGGACAGCCCTGAACACCGAGCCCATCCACAATTTTAACCTAAAAACCTTCGACGGGTTGCAGTACACGATTAAGAATCTGACAAACTGCGCCGCCGAATCGCTGAACGTTCTGGATATACAGAGTTTCGTGTTGTGCGCGGCCTTGTCGGTCCGGACAAGCTCCAAAGGCGCCGACTCGAGTTTGAGCTATTTTAATCAAGACAAGCCGCCGGTTTTGCCCGCCTGCCTCACCGGACATTTGGGCACTCTGAATCAAGCCAAATTCGTTTCGGCCGCCTACAAGATGTACAAGCACGAGCACCCGTCGAATACGGGGGAGATCAGATTGCTTCTGGTCAGGGGGATTGAGGTGAGTATGGGTTTTTATTAGTAATGAATACGTTACAATTGATTGATGTATTCAATTTGTTCGGATCACTTCTTGTTTCACCGGAAATGATTACAACTTTTGATTTTTAAATGGCACCCTCGGTATTTTTTTTTACTTTATTTGATAGAAAATGACGCTCTGAATAGAATGGCATATCATATGTCAACTTTTGACATTTACTGTTAAAAAAATCGTATTTTAAATAAAAAATTAGTGTTTTTGTTAAAAACACTAATTTTTAATCAAGGATACTACGAGCCCTAACAACTATATGTTGGGACAAGGTCTTTTTTGCAATAAAAATAGTAATTTGTTAAAATGACTCAATTTATTTTGTTTATTATTCTAAATTCAAACATTACAATATGATCTAGACAATTTTACTATATTTTTATAACTTTGCAAACAAATCACTTTTGATAATAGCTTATTTTGCCAAAATCAAGCCAAATTTGCTGACAACTATACAGGGTCCGGCAATAGTGCGTCGGGCATCTGTAGCTCCTAGAATAAAAAACTTGAGAATTTTGTTTAAGTGCAGACCTAAAGTATGCATCAGGATGTATTTCAGGAAAATATTTTAACTTCTATAGGGTGGCTCAAAAAAGTATGAGTGGGCCTGGATGTTTTTTTTTAAATGGAACATCCTGTATATTATTGCATTTTTGGCTTCCTTTCAGATCACTTTACATGACCCTAAGATATGAATAAATATATTTCGATAGTTTCACAGATATTAAAAAATAAATAAAAAATATATATTTTTCAGCCCTTCTTAAAAAAATTATTAAAAATACAAGAACTGTTCTGAAATCAAAACTATATTAGGTATTTACTTTAGATAGTCTGTTCTTACTTTGCTATTGCAAAACTGCGATTGGAGAATCGCAGTTTTGCTCGTCTCCAGTTTTTATAGTGGTTTCAATGGTCTGGATTGATTTTAGGTGGTGAGGTGTGTGGGGAACCACGGATTGGACGTGAAGCTCTTGGTGCATCTGGCGAAAATATTTGAAGAAAGAGCCAACAGTTTGACTAAACAGTCCGAGATCGAAGCTAATAATCATAGGTAAGTTATTCTAAGTCATTTTTTTAGGGTTCCGTAAATCTAGCTAGGAAAGGAGCGAACACTCCACTAACTGCACCAGAACCGTTCTGCTTTCCAAGTGGTAACCAACTCAAGGCGGAACTCAAGAACTTTGAAGATTCCATCCGCAACCTGGAATGGAAATCTTGCAATGGTCTAAGACACTCGAAGAAGTTTCTGAGGGCTTATGATCAAGAAAAATCACAGACCTTCCTGGGTCTGAGTAAGAACAATCTTCGGATTGTCACGGGGTTTTTAACAGGACACTGTCTCCTCAATGAACACCTCAGTAGATTGAAACTAAGAAGAAACGGCGAATGCAGATTCTGTGGGGAAGATGGTGAAACACCAGTACACCTCATCACTGAGTGCGCCGAGACGACAACCATTCGTGCCATGAATTTTGGTACAACTGATATTGGAGATGGAGAACTACCCTCTATAAAACCGTCCCAGATACTGGCTTTTGTCAAAGCCCTGGGACTGTATGATGAGTTATGATTCAAGAAAGGGGGACACAATGGATCTGTAAGGTCGAAGTGATTAACCCCCCTTCCACTCATTCTAAATTCTAAAAAAAAAATTCTAGGGTTCCATACCCAAAGGGTAAAACCGGGAACCCTATTACTAAGACTTCGTTGTCCGTCCGTCTGTCACAAAGGTCTATCTTATGAACCGTTATAGCTAGACAGTTGAAATTTTTACAGATAATGTATCTATGTTGCCGCTACAAGAACGAGTACTAAAAACAGAATTAAATAAATGTTTATAAATAAAAAAGTACTTTCACTAAACATTATCTTTTAAGTAAGAATTTTACATAGAATCTTTCAAGTCCTCGGTGGCCGCGTGGTTAAAGCCTTAGGGCTTTACGCTGCTAAGACGTTGGAGCCGTAGTAAGGCAGGTTCGAATCCTAGTCAAGGCGACTTTTTTTTAATCGTTTTTTATTTTAATTTTTACAAATTTATTTTTACTTTTTACATATTTATTATTATTGATTAATACAATTTTTAGTAATGTGTTTCTTCATTTTTTTTAAATTACTTATACGCGCATTCAAAATTTCAGCTAAATCGGAAAAAAAGTTTATAAAAATATAGTCTCTAATGTTGTATAGATATATAAATATATAATATATAGTATATATTATATATTAATAAATATATAGGTATATAAATAAATATAATAAATAGTACGGAACCCTTCGTGCGCGAGTCCGACTCGCACTTGACCAATTTTTTTTATTAATTCAATTTGAATTTATTGTAAAAATTTAAGAAACTTGAAACATTATCATAGCTTTTTGTTGGAACACCCTGTATACAACAATATATTATTAAGATATGCACTATTATAAACTCATGCAACATACGTATAATTTTTTTTTATGTGTATATCTTTGTCATCATTAAAGATATTGGACTTCTCGCACTAACGGCCCACCCTGTATATGGACTTTCAAAAGTTTTCGCTTTCTTCATAAATATATAAAAGTACTGGGCCAATCTGTACATACAATTCTAAACATGTCGATTTTTTCAGGGCTGAGTTATATTGGAAGGCAGCCCTACCATTTTTGGAAAAACTGAAAAATAATTATGCCATAGTGTACCCCAAAAACAGATTGTTCGAATACCGATCTAATAAGGAGCTCGGCCAAGAGGAGGTATCCGATTACCTAGAAAAAGCCAAGTTGTTCTTGGGTAGGAAATTTCACACTAATCGTCTCTCTGTCCCGTTTTCATTCTAACATTTTTTTACTACAGGAATTCAGCAAATGAAAAAGAAGGAATACGAAAAGGCCATGCACGTGTTCGAAGGACTGAAAGACCCGTACGCCAGCTTCTACCAGTCTCAGATGTACAAATCGATGGCCGATTCGAAGACCAATCAGAACAAGGAGAACGTGACGTCGGAAATGAGGAGTCAGAACGTTATTTTGCTGTCGAAAGCTAGGGATTGCCTGTATTTGACGTTGGACAGGCTGCGGGATCCCGCGCAGGACAAAGACCATCCGTTGAACGCACAGTTGGGCACCGAAATCGACAAGATAGAGAGGTTATTGTGCAGGTTCGATCCGGATTGCGCCAACAGGAACGAATGTGATGGTAAGTTATGTTCTCGAGTTATTATACACTAGTTTTTTTTTCGGCGACTTCGTCCGCATCAAGATCATTTAATTTTATTAGTATAAAGTGTAATGTTTATTATAGCACCTAGTGGCATTATTTGAAAGTAGCTGTTACATGTGTCTAATAAAGATAGTCGTTTTATCGTTATGTTTTGGACAATTCACACAATATCTTTATAAATTATAGCCTATGTGTTATTCCGATGTATAAGCTCTCTATTATTGTTAGGTTTCATTAAAATTCATTCAGTAGTTTCTGCGTGAAAGAATAAGAAACATCCCAACTTTTGCGTTTATAATATACGGGGTGGTCCGAACTGTATACCGAAAACTTCTTCAGCATATTCTGCACATAAAAATAAGTAAAAAAGTTCATATAAACTTATCTCCTACAATGTTTCGTTTCGGAGATACAGGGTGTGGAAGTTTTATTTTTATTCCGATTTTTTCCAAATAATTTATGAAGTAACGTCAATATTTGGATGAAAATTGGTGTCTGGTGAGTTTTTTAACATGAGAAATTTGATTTTGATGTCACTATGATGACTTCTACTTGTAGAGGGCGCCACCTACATATTTTTAATTGGTTTGAAGAATAATAACTTTTCGTCCGCACCTGTATAAAGCTACTCGGTAAAAAATATTAATTTACGACGTTTTTACGTAAAAAAAGGTCTCTTGGTAAAAATCGCTACAAGTAATGGTTCTCGAGATATTCGGAATCGAAATTATCAATACCTATCATCATTGACATAAATTAAACATGTTGACTAAATAGTATATTAGACTGAAATCATAAATTTGAAATGTTTTTATGTCAAAAGTTGAACAGAAACTGTTTTATCATCATTTTTTCGCAGAAAAATTTATGATTAATTAAGAAAAATAAAAAGTTCCCAAATTTATCATTTCAGTCAAATAACTATATCTACTCAACATCATGTTTATTTTTTGTCAATAATGACATGTATTGACTATTTTCATCCTAAATATCTCGTGAACGGTTGCTGGTAGCGATTTTTATCAAGAGACATTTTTTACTTAAAAAATCACGGAAATGTATATTTTTTCACTCAGTAGTTTTATACAGGTACGGACGAAAAGTTATTACACTTCAAAACAGTTGAAACACGTGTAGGTGGCGCCTCCTACAAATAGGAGTTATATTGATATCAGGATAAATTTTCTTATGTCAAAAAATTCCTAGACACCAATTTTCATCCAAATATTGATGTTACTTTAGAAATTATTTGGAAAAATCGAAATAAAAATGAAACTTCTAGACCCTGTATCTCCGAAACTAAGCATTTTAGGACATACATTTATACGAACTTTTTTACTTATTTTTCTCTGCTGTTGAAGCTTCCGGAATACAGTTCGGACCACCCTGTATATATCAGATGGGATCAAAAAGGGCAAACATGTTTCTCAAGTCGTATTTTGTACAGGAATGTCCGACGAGAACGTGTCTGACAGTTCTGTGGGCGAGCACTACCTCAGCACCTACACGCATCACGCCAGTTTCCAAAACGGCCGCGATTTCAGCGCCAAGAACGACTCCCACCTGCACTCGACGCCGCTGCGTTTGGGGACGACCAGAACAGAGGCGCGACCAAGCCCCGAGAGGTAAAAAAATAGGAATTTTCCAAAAATTGTCACTAAAACAATACGAAATATCGTTCTGTAGGTTGGACGCTCAGCTGCGTCAAATGATGGCCTCCAAAGACCTGACCATGAGGAATCTCATCGAACAAAACAGGACCTTGACAGAACTGCAAAGGTCTCTTATGGAGAAGCATTTTGTCGGTAAGTATCATATACGGACCTGTTTATTTTTTTATAATAAATATTTTTTGAAGAGCTGACCCATACAATGGACGATCGCCTTCAAAACGTCATCGATATGGTTCAGGGCATGAAAAAGGAGATGAACGAGATCAGGAAAGAAATAAACGAGATCAAAAAAAATCAGATCAAGAACACGCAACTTAGCGACGAGGATCTTTATGTCTTGGGTAGATACAAAAATTCTTTTTCTTTATTGCTATTTTTTTAAGTACTTACTTCTTAGATCCGGACTACAGCTCTGCTTTGGATTACAATTTGGGCACGGGCTTGAGTAATCCAGCTCCAAACATAAATCCAGTTGTTAACAATATGTATCCGCCTCAGTATAACCCCGCCAGATTGCAAGGTAAATATTTAAGGTATTGTAATCGCAAAACGTTTTTCGATGCACGTCATCAGTCATATCGACATTGACATTAAAGGTTATAAACCTGACTAAATGAAATTTTGGCAAAAATGTTTAAATTTGTTGAATAATTGAAGATACCGATCAGCTTGTCCTTTTACTTTAAAGAGCAAATAATTGTAACAGATATTTTACTTAAAGTTGCAAAAATTAGTTTAAACCGAATTTTATTATGGCTATGTTGGTCACATTGCGCCGTTTTCAGCAAGGTTGTCGTTTATTATTTAAAAAATTATCCTAATGTCAGTCATTATTTTGTATAATATCATGTTGTTGTTGAATCTTTGTGAGTAATTCACGTCTTTTTGCCTATTTTCATAGTTTTTTTTTTAAATATGCTTTTAAGCACAAATAGGTCTTTTTAAGAACTAAATTTTCGAGTTTTCTCGTATTGCATTTCTTGAAATTGTGTGTTGAAAATATGCCGAAGCATTTAAACAGTCGAAGCAAAGAGCTTGTAGCTTTCCTGATAAACTATTTTGAACGAGAACGTGACAATAAAGGTCCTTTATTACCCTTGACTGCAGTCAGAGAAGTAAGTTTGATTGATAAACACATTACACCACTTTCAAAGTTATTTCTACGATAGTTTTTATTAAATTCTGTGATTATTAGTTTGTGCATTAATAGCACCCTCTTATTTGTTATTATTACCACTTATGGTGTTGTAAGATGTACATCAATAAATAAATAAATAACCTGTAATAACTCTTAGAATAATGTTCATAATGGACTAGTTTTTGACAATATGTAATAAGTAAATTAAGATATCAAACAAATAAATCAATTAATCACTAAAATATTAGTTAATGAAATTAAAAATAAAACGTAAAACTCTTTAAAAAATGATATAATAAATATGTTGTTTGTCAATTTTAAATTAAGATTCATCTCATAAATCCATCACAATCTGGCAGCGCTGTCGCCATCGTTTGTCACTCAGAGTTGATCACGTGCATTGGAAATTGTTTTGCGATTACCATATTTAAACTAGGTTTATGATATTATACACTGTGCTCATAAAATAACGGATAATTAGTGTACCAGATGTTTACCAAATCGATGCGTATACCAAATATATCAATTTTTACAGGCCAAACATTGCTGCCTGGTTTCGGCGCTCACGCCCCCTGGTCAGCCGGGTACTTCGGCATGCCGTACCCCTACGGTCCCATGGGACTCCAGGCGCCGCCTTTCCTGCCCCCGGCCGACCAGCAGCAGCAACTAAGCCAGCTCGGTTTGGTACAGCCGCCCTACCAGCAACCGATGAACCTGAATCTGGGTTCTTTGATGGCGGCGCAGGTTCAGAACGCCCAAATGCCGGCCAAGGACAGTCCCAAAACTGCGCTGAATCTCGGTACGCAAAGTGCTCAGAACGTTGCCGCCGCGGTACCGCTGGCGACGACCAAGGAACAGGTGCCGAAGCCGGCGTTTTCCGGAGGTTTGGGGGCCGTTCAGGCTCCTTTGGTATCGAACAGCAAGGCGCCGCCGGTCAACGTGGTCATTACGTCTTCGGATCCGTTGCCCAGTATCAAGAGTCCAGCTTCGCAGCCGGTGTTGTCGGTTACTATTCCTCCGCAGCATATCAAAGGTAATTTTTACGTAAAGGTAGTTACTTACAGTCACTGGCACGAAAAACGGGCAACTTAAAATTTTCCTTAGAAATATAAAGCTATTTAAATGAACCATTAAATAAAAAGAACTATAACACAATATATCAACTAGAACACAATATACAGGGTGGTCCGAACTGTCTTCCGGAAACTTCGGCAGCATATTCTGCACAGAAAAATAAGTAAAAAACTTCGTATAAATGTATGTTCTGAAATGCTTAGTTTCGGAGATACAGGGTGTAGAAGTTTCATTTTAATTTCGATTTTTTCAATTAAATTATGAAGTAACGTCAATATTTGGATTGGTATCTGGGAGTTTTTTGACATGATAAATTTGATTTTGATGTCAATATGACTCCTACTAGTAGAGGGCGCCACCTACATATTTTTTAACTGGTTCGAATAGTAATAAATTTTCGTCCGTACCTGTATAAAACTACTGAGTAAAAAAATATACATTTACGATGCTTTTTACGTAAAAAGGGTCTCTTGGTAAAAATCGCTACGAGTAATGGTTTTCGAGATATTTGGAATCAAAATTATCAATACCTGTCATCACTGACATAAATTAAACATGTTGACTAAATAGTTATTAGACTAAGATAATAAATTTGAAATGTTTTTGTACCAAAAGTTTGACTGATTTTATCATCATTTTTTTTGCAGAAAAAATGTGATTAATTTAAAAAAATAAAAATATTCCAAATTTATTATTTCAGTGAAATAACTATCTACTCAACGTGTTTATTTTTCGTTAATAATGGCATGTATTGACTATTTCCATTCTAAATATCTGGAGAACGGTTGCTCGTAGCGATTTTTACAAAGAGATATTTTTTACGTAAAAAATCACAGAGATGTATATTTTTTGCCTCGGTAGTTTTATAGAGGTACAGACGAAAAGTTATTACACTTCAAAACAGTTAAAACACATGTAGGTGGCGCCCCCTACAAATAGGAGTCATATTGACATCAAAATCACATTTCTCATGTCAAAAAACTCCCAGACACCAATTTTCATGTAAATATTGACGTTGTGCTTCAGAAATTATTTGGAAAAAATCGAAATAAAAATGAAACTTCTACACCCTGTATCTACCGAAACTAAGGATTTTAGGACATACAAACTTTTTTAGTTATTTTTATCTGCAGAATATACCAAACCCTGTATAAAACTTTAAAGTACATCAAAATTTTAAGGTGTCCATTTTTCATGTCGGTGAGCGTATTACCTATTCGGATGAAAGTATGGTATTTCAATACTTAAAAAATTCTTTAAAGGCAACATACCAAAACCCGTCCCGGTAAGCACCCAGCCACACAATTACCAAATACCGCTACCGGCCAGCAACGCGGTAGCCTCCACTCCGTCGGTACTGAGCAAGCCGGCGCCGGTGATATCCACCCAGAGCTTGTTATCCGGAATACCGTCCCCCGCTATATCGGCCATCGTGGCCAGCCCCAACGTATCCTTGGGACTACAAATCGAGAAATCCCTGGAAGAGACGTTCCCGGGCGACAAGAGCGGCGCCAGTTTGAACAGGTCGAACGCTTCTGCGGAGGAGTACGACCCTAGGCCCGATTTTAAGCCAATTATACCGTTGCCGGATGAAGTTCCAGTGACTACAGGTACGATTTTCCATTTATAACGCTTAACGGAGAAGTATAAGTGAAACTAGAGATACTACTAACACTCTAATACACTCTAATTTTATGGTTCTATAAGAATAAAATATTTATGTTTTCAAATAAACAACAAATAATAAAAAAAATTAGACAAAACGGAGAGAAAAGACCTAAAAAACTTCTATTACATATTATATTTTTTTGTTTTTCTTTATGTTAGATTATTTGTCTGAGATAATTTTTGTACATTAGGGCGTCTCAATGTTTACTCATTTCTTTGAGACTGTATCTATATATATATATTAATTTCCATTAATATCTAGGCGAAGAAAAAGAAACGGAATTGTTCTGTCAACGAGCCAAATTATTCAGACACGTTACAACAAATGAAGTAAAAGAATGGAAAGAAAGAGGTACGCACATGCTTGGCGTCTATTATATTCTTGACTATTTCTGATTGTTTTTTTTTTAATAGGGGTAGGAAACATTAAGATCCTTCATAACCCCGAAACGGGCAAAGTGAGGGTGTTAATGAGGAGAGACCAAGTGCATAAAATCTGCGCCAATCACTTCCTCACCAAAGATATGGTTCTGACGCCCAACACGAAGAACGAGAAGGCTTATTTGTGGGCGGCCCACGATTATGCCGACGGCGAGATGGTTTTGGAAAAGTTCTGCGTCAGGTACTGTTGCCACAGCCGTTTAATTTTCATTCTTCTCGGCTCTATATCGTTCGGTTTTCAGATTCAAAACAGCGGAAGAAGCCAAACAATTTGCCGAAGCCTTCGAGAAAGCTAAGAACAAGATTACCGATGCGCCAGCAGCTGTTAAGTCGGTAACTGATGCACCTAAAGGTACAGTGTTGTGTCATCTGTGTTTTTTCTTCATCTGCGTATTTCTTGAGCTTGTATTTTATGTTTATTTTTCTATAGGCAAACAGCCCGAACCCAAGAAAGCGGACGAGTTGCCGAAAGAACCCATCAACATGGGAGGCTTCAAGTTCACCAGCACGCCCACGTTCAAGCCGATGGACGAGGCCAAACCCGTCCAGACCAAGCCCGAAGAGCGGAAAGAGGTGATCGTGGCCAGCCCGTTCGCCTCATTTAGTTTCGGCGCCAAAGCGGAACCGTCCAAGCCCGCGACGGCGTGGGACAACTTCTGGAAACCGCCGGCCGCGGGGTCGTGGAAGTGCGCCGTGTGCGAGGTCGTCAATAAAGAGGCGGATAGCAAGTGCGTGGCTTGCGAGACGAGTAAAGATGGGAAAGATACCGCTCAGGGCAAGGGCGGTGCTCAAGGATTGAAAGGAGTTGATTTGGATACAGGTAAATACTGTTTAGATTTTATGCCATGCCAGCATCCATTACAGTGTTCCCAACTCTCTCTAATAACTCGTTATTATGAATATTTTTATGCAAAGTAGAATGTAGCAATTTTAGGTTGGTCACTTGCTTGTTGTTGCTGGTCATTTTCAGTTTGATTGCGAGGGTTTTCATCGGCCACGACACCTGATTTATACCAGTAAATATGTAGAAATGGAAATTAAAAATCCACGAGTTAATGTAGTAATTTAGCCGGGGTTTTTTTGGCTTGCACTGAGGGGATCGATTTGGTGTCGAATCAAAATAATTTACCTAAATTTTTAGCTCTTTAATTCAAACGGTTTTCGAGATTTTCAAAGAATCTGTTTTTTCAATTTTATTTTTATTTTTATAGTAAAATTCAAAATTAATTAATGATGATATTTTTTCTAATTCTTAGAAGTCTGAGACATGAAAAAATAATGTGATCATGGTTCTTAAACGAAAAGCGGATTTTTAGCGGACTAAAGAAAATGAAAATCTTCATTTTTTTAACCTTTGTGAAATATGTCACTCACTAAAAATCTTCAGAAAATGTCTTTTATACTTCTTTACACTCAGGAATTTTTTAGAATTTTTTGAAGTGGTGGAACAATATGAAAAAAAAATAAAAACTTATTTTTTTTTCTAAAATATTTTTTTTTCTAAAATCTGGGACTCATTTATTTACAATAATCTTTATATTTATTTCTGGCAAGGATGTATTTTTAATGAAAAAATATTTTCTACTCACTTTTTTAAACTAAACAAAAATATAAGTTAGTTAAAACAGAAGATTTTAGAAAAAAAACGCTTATTGCAGCTTCTGTAAGCTACACTATTCTGTGTTTATAAGCTAAATAATGTTTAAAGAACAAAAACCAGTAAGTCATATAATCCACCATAAAACACAAAGTAAGGGCTGGCAAAGGTTAGTCTTGGGTCGAGATTTCCGTATGTAAGAAGAGTACAATGCGTTTATAATGTACTGAACAAAGAGAGGACAGTAAACACGTTGCCAAACGTATGAAATAAACCGAGAAACTGTGCACATCGCTAAGAGATGTGGAATATATATGGACGTGCTATATATCCCTATATAGCAGATTTGTCGCAGATGACCGGTCGACCCAATCAATACCTCTGACAGTACTTAAAGTTCTAGGGAAAGGTGTACGTCATGCGTTCAGCTTCACGATTTAATTACGTCTCGTGATACTTAATTTCTTCATTTATTAACGAATCGTTATAATTTTCCCTATAGCTTGAATTTTTTTAAGTGCAAGCTAGAAGCACTTGCATTTTTGGTAAAAATAAGTGGAATTGAGTGGGTGTTCGATAGTGGTCGCGCTATTAGAACTCTGAATTCAAAAATCGATATCTCGAAATCTATTAGAAATAATAGATTGTAGTTTTTCAAGAACTTTGTTAATATTTCTGCTGTATTTTCTTTGTAGACAGTATGTGAAAATCTTTATCAATAAAAAAAATTACACGATTGCTGAAAACTGCTATGCTCTAAAAGTAAATGGATGGATTGTTTACAATTTTTGAATAGAAAAAACAACCTTATCGAATTTTTCTTATGTAAACATATTGTAAAATATTCGATATTGAAAATAAAAAAGTTTCAAGATCTAAAGTGGTTCTTGAGGCCTGTTATGTGTTAAAAAGTTGAGTTCTTAAATTATCGCGATTACTGACGTTTTCTCGTTATAAAAAAAATGACACCCTAACGATATCCTTATAATTCCATTTCATATGCTCAGAAACATTACAAACCTAATGATTTTATCTAGTTATCTCTTGAAAAAAGTCTTTTAAAAATAAGCGGTTTTCGATCGTGATTTTACTTTACTTGATAGGGAAACGCGTATCGGCAACGCTGCAACAGCACACCGTCGCGTCGGTCGGTCGCATTTCTCTCACTCCGATTTAATAAGATCCCTATGCGATTTACTTCCACACATGTAAATGCCGACCCAAAAGTAACAGTTGCCAGCACGGTATGTATGGCAATTGTTTCTTTTGGAAAGTGTGTATTTTAGGTGCGTGAAATAATAAAATAGTAAAAACTATTAGTTGTTAGCAAGAGTAGCGATTTTACTAAGTTATTTTTCGTTTTTCCTAGGTGGCCAAACCTTCAGTTTCGGCATACCGGCGGCATCCAAGCCCTTAACCGCTGCGCAGACGCAAAAGTCCGAACAGCCAGTGCAGAAGTTCTCGTTCAGCGTGCCGCCGGCAAACAAACCCGATCCCAGCGCCGTTCTGTCCGGTTTCGGGGATTCTTTCAAACCGAAATCGGGAACGTGGGAATGCAAGACTTGCTATATTCGAAACGAGCCTTCGAGCCAGTATTGTCTGAGTTGCGAGACGCCAAAGGACGATACGGTGCCTAAGAAAGAAACAGCGCCTAAAGGGGTAAGGGAAATGAATTGATATAGTCTTGATATTATAATAAATATATTTTTTTCTCTTTTGTAGGTAAATTTAGAAACTCCTGGTTTAAAATTCAACTTTGGTGTACCGACAACTTCGACGCCAGCCACCGTATCCACATCTACATCACTATCAACTCCAAAATCGACATTTTCTTTCGGATCTACCTTAGCTACAACAACAGAACCGGTTTCGGAAAAATCCGCATCGGAGAGCAAGTCCCAGCAGGGCTTCGTATTCGGGTCACCACACAAGCACGATTTCGAGTTCAAGCCGCGAAGTCCCCGAAGGATCTCCTCGGGACAGGGAGACGAGTCTGACGGCAGTTACATGGAAGAAGAAGAGGCCAACGTGTACTTCAAGCCTGTCGTACCGCTACCTGATAAGATCGATGTGAAGACCGGCGAGGAGAACGAGGAAGTACTATATTGTCATAGGGCGAAATTATTCAGGTTTTCCGCTGGGGAATGGAAGGAGCGCGGCCTGGGAGACGTCAAGATTCTCAAGGACAACGTTTCGGGAAAATTGCGGTAAGCGTAATCTATATGCATAATAATTATTTGTTTATTGCTTTGAATGAGAAGACTAAGGAAGGAGCATATCAAAAACCTTAGGTCCATCGCGATGGGCCTCAAATATGGCCGACTTAAATTCCGGTTTATCAGTGCCGTTCTAATTTTATTTAAAAAATGTAAAACTATGATGTAGGGTAGACTTGGGGTAGACCCAATATTTTTTTTTTATTTTACGTTGTGAATAAATGTTAGTAGTTATTAAAATTGTTATAAAAATATAAAATTCAAATAAAAATAGATAAGTTATAATAATTATAACCATAAACATCCGATACGCTACTGAAGCAGGTAAGTCAAATTGACGTATCTAAATTCTTTGACATCTAATCTTTGACAAGTAGTAAATAAAAGCAAAAATGCAAGAAAAAATTCATAATTAGTTAATTTAAGTGAATTTCATAAATGATCGGTTTACTACACGTATGTATATTATATAGTCACTTACTAGCGAAAAGTTGTTCCATTATTTCACTCGATTTTTGCTGAGATCTACCGCACGCTACACAACCAACTATTTTAGAGTCTGTTTCGATAAATCGCGATAGTGTCACTGTTAATTTAAGTTCTGCCACAATTTCCATCTAGATTTACTACCTTTATACAACTATCAGTAGTAGAATAAATAATAAATAACATAAAATAAGCTCCGTAAAGACTGACAAATCCACAATTTCAAATCAAATTCAAATGTGTCAAATGAATCGTCAAACAGAACTGTCAAGGGGCCCCACCCTAGAGTGCTTTTTCCGCCCACCATGCATGAATACATGTGTGTATAGCATTCTGCTCCTTCCTTAGTCTTCTTATTCAAAGGTTTATTGTATGCCAAAGAGTTATAATTATCTGTGAGTTCTATAAGATTCTAACAGATGGCGGTGTAAGGCAATTTATCGGCTGGATTTAGGCTGTATTCCGTTGCAAAACCAGGCGAACCAGACCGGTAAACTACGGTAAAGAGCGGTTCCTGAAGAACATCGGTTTCATACGTAACGGTTTGGTAAAATATTGGAAACGTGAAATGTTGACGTTTTCTAAATTTCAATACCTCTATTATAAAATTTATCTTTTATGCATTTTTAATGTACCTGTTCTCTGCTTTTACGTTTGCTTCTTCTTTTCAATGGAGTTTAATATTGAAAAGTACTTTATTAATAAACTGTTAAACTCGTTAGACAGCTCAAGTGAAGATTTGCAGGTCCAATATTAAAACAGGTCAATAATAAATAAACAAATCTAATCAATATTTATATTTTTATAGCTTACAAAACATTCACGATTACTTGTTGTCTTGTTTTTCATGTTTTCTTTAAATGTTCCTGCCTTTAAGAAACAATGGCTGCTTGATGTGTTTAAATGGTCCTAAAAAGTCATTCTATTTAGTTAATGAAATTTATTTACCTTTACTGCCTACCTCCATTACTTTTGGATGTAAATACAAAATATTATTACAAATTTTAGAAATTAAATGAGAATTTCACTCGAACTTCCAATATTTGCTTGATTTCTGTCACATAAATGACATTAATTGACAAACAAAACCAGAAAAACCAGCCTTCTCGCGCTGGTTAGTTTGGTGACAGTTGTAACCGAATTTTTCAGGAACCGCGTTCCGTAATAAGAAAAGTTTCAGGAAACCGATAGAAACGGCACATAAAACCATAACCAAGGTAAGCAACGGAATACACCCTAAGTAAAAAATTCCAAACGTTTTGTTTATGCTATTTATTTCGCGTCACGCACGCGTGTGTTAGTTTGAGTTGTTTTTATTAAGTTAAAATTTACTTACGAATTAGTAAAAAATAATAGTAAAATTTACTTACACCAGCAGACTCAGCCACGCCTTGCTGTTAAATTATTATTATTGTGCGTTACATTATATTATAGAAAACTATTCAGTACAGTGAAATGATTGCTCTATCGTTTAACGTATATCTTAGCCACAGCAACGCGTGACCGGATCTGATTTTTTAACTGTAATTAATTTTGATATATCTCTGTTTTCATCTACTATTAGTGTGGTGATGCGCCGCGAACAAGTACTGAAAATATGCCTGAACCATTGGCTGACCAAAACCGTGGAATATTTACCCAAAGACGACCGAACCTGGCTGTTTTTCGCTCCCGATTTCTCCGAAGGAGAGATCAGCACAGACCAGTTCTGTTTAAGATTTAAAACCCCCGATATAGCCAAGGAATTCAAAACCGCCACAGAGAACGCGATCAAAGACGACGTTAAAAAGGATAAAGAACGTAAGCGTTATTTTTGCAGCCTTTTAGAATATGTTTTATGTAGTGATTTCATAATTTCAGCTGAACCGATAATTGAAGAACCGGAATCTTCGGACGATTCCGATGTTGAATTTGTTTCCGATACTCAAGTCACTCTCGAAGAAGAGACTGATGCATTGAAACTGGGTTTGCCTGCCAAATTTTTCGCTTATAGGTGAGAACAACTCATTATTCTGAAGATTCTTGTACCCATAATTTAGGAAAATAGTTTAACAATTAATATAGATATAATTATAATAATCTAGCTATCAAACATTGACGAATTTATGAACGTAAACATTTTTTTATTAGACAAAGACCGGATTGTACTTGCGAGCAATGCAAGAAGGAGGACGAATATTTGAAGGAACTGTTTGGAAAAGAACCGGACTCAAAGCCGGAATCTATCAAAGTGAGCAGTACCAGTTCAACTGTATTTGGCACGCCTACTTTAAGCTTGGGAACCCCATCATCGGGAAGCGTTTTCGGCACGCCCATTACCAGCTTTACCTTCAGTTCTACCACTCCAACAGGTATGAAAGTTTCCTCCTTTTTTATGATGATTGTCACCGGGTCCCTAATAAATATTTTTTTCAGCGTCCTCGCCTGTTGTAAGCGCTCCAAAATCGGATTCGTTACGCGATCTGCTCCAAAAGACCGTGCCGATCGCGTCCGAACAAACACCGAAAAGCGGCGAAGTGTTCAAATTCAAATTCGGACAGGCCAGTGTGGAAACGTCAGTTCAAAACGCACCGACGCCACCTACAAAGTCCGAAAATATATTTCAGACTTCTTCATCCGGAGGAAATTCACCGTTTCTGGGCAGCGGACTATTTAATTACCACACCCCTAAGGAAGGAGCCACGCCTAATCTTTTCGGTGATTTGAACACTAGTAAAGCCGACTCTGCCGGTGGATTGTTTGAAAGCAAAAAAGATTCGGATGCGGGTGAGTTTTCAGCCGTTAAAATAAAATTTCTATTATTAAAATGATTGTATTCTGATTAATAGTTATTTTTTATACAAGACGATAATGCAATTTTATCGTCGTGTATAAAACAATATTTTTTCCATAGCGAGTTAACGTTTTAAAAAATATTCAGAAATTATTTCAAGGAATTTATTACGAGTAGAAAAAATGCTGCTGGGTTGCCGTTGGTTTCTATGTAATTTGACAAATAAATAAAGCTGTCTCTTTAGTTGTCAGTTTTGAGTCAATATTTTTTAATTCTCTTTCGTGTCGATTGCTGATTGAATTGGAGCCAGAAATGGCTCAAAACGAAATAAGTAAATTACCAACAGATATTCAGGCTGATGCTACAATATTTTTGATAGATATAAGGCAATTTTAACAGTTGCTATAGAAAAAAGGACATTTTTTGTCACTAAAATTCACATATAATGACATTATTGTCGTTAAAATAACATTATTCTTATTAAAATGACATTTCAGGCAAATACACCTTTGGCTCCAGCAGTTCTGCCAACTTATTTGGAAACTCTTCCGCTCAAAGCTTGTTTGCGACACAGCCAACGAACATCTTCGGTACTGCCTCCGCCACCACGACTAGCAGTGCCAATATTTTCAGTTCCAACAGCGGATCCAGCGACTCTAGCAATATATTCTCCAGCGCTGGCAATTCTTCGAATATATTTTCTGCGGCACCTGGCGCAGCCTCCACGGGAAATATATTTAGCGGTACCGGCGTGAGTACCAACACGAGCTTGTTCGGGAATGCCGCCACTCAAAGAACATCCGGTACGAGTATCTTCGGTGGACCTCCTTCAATACAGGTAAGCTTGATGGTACTTCCTTATACACATTCCTCATTGAAAGAACGTCAAAAATCATGCTGTTGTTTTATCATTAATAAAAATGTGTGTGAAAAAAGAGAAAACCCTAATCATTTAATCGTTTTTCTAGGGTACTCCAGCGAAGCCCTCTGTGTTGGGCACCACTATTTTTGGCAGCAAGGCGGAGCCCAAAGTAACCGACGCAAATTTAAACTTTGGATCGTCCAATAATGACGCCGAAGAGATCGTGTTGAATTGCGATCCAAGTTTATCGTTTTCAAGTTTGGCAGCAAAAGTAAGTTTACTGAAACAACCTTTGCTTATTTTATTATCGTTTTTATGCAGTGTTCTTATAGTCAACGACAAAATTCTTGACAGTGATTGATGTGTCTGTCATTTTAATTTCAAAGTAGTTTATTTTATTATACAAAGAAATAAGTTGGTACAACTGGAACGCATAGCAGGAAAATATTGTAAAAAAACTGTATAAAACTGAACAAATGTAATAGTTATTTTATTTAAAAAAAAAACGTTATGTGTTAATACAAAACAAACAAGAACAAAACACCACATACCAAAAAAAAAGAACTATTTCTTACTTTCAAGTTTCAAGCAACTTTCCGCATTTATTATATTTATCAATATATCTTATGTACAAATACAAATTTGTAATATTCCACAGGAATAAATAAAACAAACTATTTTATTAATAATAACACTTACCAAATTTTATACCTTAAAAGGTTGATTAATTAACTTTAATCTTAATTTTTTAAACCATTACCTTTTGACATTTTTCTGCAGTACTAAAATCCATATTTACCTATCGTGTGATGTTATTTTACAGCTCTTCCAGTTTTAGTTATATGTTTAGTACGATCCTTGTACCATATACGAGATGGTATACAAACTTTATTGATGGTAACTTTATTGGTCTATAAGACTTTCTGCCTGGGCAGCGAGTATCAACTATAAACTGTGCTCTGGGTCTTCAGCTAATTTTCCCTCGATTTTTCCTCCACTTGACTTCAAAAGACACAAAACCCACGTAATAACACGAATCAAAATACATAATCTTCCAAAACGCAGGGTATTTGACATAAGATGGCACAAAATTATAACCTATAATTTGGCAAGACTTTGACGAGCCTCAAAAATCTAAAGGCGAGTTCATACGCATCGGCGCCCGTTTGTCGTTCATCGTTCTGTCAAACCAATAAGGTTGAAATATGATCTGTCATTTTTGAAATAAACCGTTAACTGGTTAAAAACAACAAGAGACGACGCATGACGGATTTATATTTAAACGCGTCCATAGTTAACTTAAAAAATATTAGAAACTTTTTAGTAAGATAAATAGATTGGTATGGGACGTCATCTGCTTTTCTTCTGTCATCGTCTGTCGAAATCTTACCTCAGAAAAAAAAACAGTATAGCTCAGGAGAGACTTGTGGCAGTGACTTCTCCATAGATTTTTTATTCAGTGATTATTTCTGAAAGTTTTTCTAATCGTTATTTAATTGTTTTAGGTGGATCCCAAGTCTGAGCCTGCTTTCTCCGCCACGAAAACAGCGGACGCAACCAAGCCTTTCTCATTTTTAGGCGCGGGAGCTCCGGTATTTGGCACATCCCCTTTGACGAGGGGAACCCAAAACGAGGCCGAGAATAACAGCAAAGATGGCGACGATGAGACTGGGGAGCAAGACGATAAAGAACACGATCCACACTTTGAGCCCATAGTACCTTTGCCCGATCAAATTGTCGTGTCGACTGGCGAGGAGAACGAAACGGTTTTGTTTGGAGAAAGAGCCAAACTGTACAGGTACCACCCGTTGTCTAGTGTTTTCAGAAATTTCTGTATTGGGTAATAATGATTTATATATTTCAGATATGACGCCAACGGCAAGGAGTGGAAGGAAAGGGGCGTGGGCCAAATTAAAATCCTGCACGACCCGGCCAACGGTACCTACAGGTTGCTGTTGCGCAGAGAACAAGTGCACAAAGTTGTTCTGAACGAAAGAATAGGGCGCGGTTTTCAACTACAACAAATGAACACCTCAGATAGGGTAAGACGATATATACAGGGTTGTTCACCACATACAACACGGAGTACTGTAGCTAAACGATCAGATTTTTACAAATTGTAAGTTTTGGGTTTGTTGAATTAGAGCTACAATTTAAAAATAATTTTACAAGATACAGAGTATCCCAAATAAGTAAAAAGTCTTATAGTTGTATTTTTTTTAAATGGAACACCCTGTAGATTATTCTATTTTTAGATTCTACGAGTGAAATAAAGGTAAATTTTATTAAGGATCTATCACACTTAAACCTGACCGTTTTTGAAATATTTTCAATTTTGTGAAATTGCAGTAAAAATTTAAGGCTTCGTTTCTACAAGGGTATTAAAGTTTTTGATACTAAATATTTACTGAAGATTATTTATTGATCAGATATTGTATTGCAATAATAAAAATTATATTACCTTATACAGAGTGTCAAAAATGTTATTTTAAATATTTACTAGCTTTAAACGGCAATAACTTGTTTAATTTAAATGGAACACCCTGTATATTTTACGTGAATCAGATGCACAATTTAATTGTCTATCAATTTGTATTATCATTTTTTACGTATCTCTTCGAAATTTCGTAGAAAATGCATTTTTTATAATTTAGACCTCATTTTTTTTAATGATGTAACAAATTTTCAAAGAGTACAGATACGAATATTGTCGATATAGTTCGCTTATTTCGCTTTTCGCTTAGGCGTTTCATGTAAAATAAACAAGTTATTGTCCTTTAAACCTAGTAATTATTTAAAATAAATTCTTTGACACTCTGGATAAAATAGTATTTTATTTATTATTGCAATACAATATCTAAATCAATAAATAAATTTCGGTAAATATATAGTATTATAAACTTCGATATCATTGGAGAAATGAAGCCTTAAAATTTTTACTGCAATTTCATAAAATTGAAAATGTTTCAGAAACGGTAAGGTTTAAGTGTAATAAACCATAATCAAATTTACTTACATTTTAATCCTAGAATCTAAAAATAGAATACTATACAGGGTGTTCCATTTAAAAAAATACAACTATAATATTTTTTACTTTTTTGGGACACTCGGTATCTTGTAAAAATAATTTTTAAATGCTTGGACTGTTTAAATGCTTCGGCATATTTTCAACACACAATTTCAAGAAATGCAATACAAAAACTCGTAAATTTAGTTCTTAAAAGAACTGTTTCTGCTCTGATAGCTCTTCAACGAACCTAAAATTTACAATTTCTAAAAATCTAATGGTTACAATACTCCTTGTCTTATGTTGTGAACAACCTTGTATATCCTTTATTTTTGTAGGCCTGGACCTGGATCGGCCATAACTACGTCGACGACGAATTCAATATGGAGAATCTTTCTGTCAGATTCAAGAACACCGAGCAGGCGTTGGCGTTTAAAAAAACCGTCGAAGAAGTTGTGCAGAAGGTAAGACACAGTAAAAATGTTTGCCGTGTAAAATATCTGTGTATTGTCATTTAAAGATAAGCGATGCGCGCGGTCCCAGCCAGGCAGAATACGACGGCCAAGAAGATCAGGCGTATAGAGTTCACCATGAAGACGACTACGATGACGATGAGGATGAGGACACTGAAGATGATGAGGATGATAGGTTTGTATTATAATTTGTTACAAAAAACAAAGAATAATATTTTTGAGTTCTTAATATGAAATAAATACACATCTTTAAAACAATATTTTTCTCGATAGATCGATAATGTTCAGCAAAAACTGCACGCTGAGCGAACTGACCAGTAACAACACCTGGCAGACGGTTGGTATGGGCGAGCTGCAGCTCTACTACGACCCCGACATCTATGCGGCCAAAATATGCGTCACCGACCACCAAGGTCAGATACTGACCAGTAGCATAATCGGAATCAACACTTTCGTCACCGTAAGTACCTTAAGAAAGTGTGTAAACTCCATATTAAATTGTCGTGTCTCTATACATAAGTATATGTATGACTTAATTTGACCAGTGTTCCAAAATAGCTCCATAGATATTTTTAAACCACATATATTTTCATTCTGGATGTACTGGGTGGTGTATCGTCCTTGGAAACATAGGAAATCCCATGCAAATTTTGAAATGTCCAGATATTGGCTCTAAAAATAGATACATTTAAATTAGTTAAAATCTGCTAGTCCAAAATTGTTCAAATTTGGCATGTATATTCAGCATAGGCAGACCTTTAAAAAACAGAATGACGTAGCTGTAAAATTAATAGGGCAGCCAATATATGGATAGTTCAAAATTTGCGTGGGATTTCCTGTTTCCAACGATTTTATGTTGTTGATGTTTTGTGTATTTTAGATCGAAGGCAGGGACTGCTGGTATAAAACTGTAGAATGGGTGGACGAGCGTCAACCCGCCTTCCGGACGTTGAAAGTGACTTTCAGCAGTCCAAATGCAGCCCAAGAGTTCCATTCCAACTACCTTGAAGCCGTCAACTTTGCACAAGAGGTGGGCATCGTGGACGAACTACCCAACGCGGAAGATTAATTATTATAAATTGTAATTCTTTTTCATTCTTTTAGAGTTTGTTATATTTAGTTGCAGTTTGTTTTTTAGGAAGAAAACAGGTTAAAAAACTTATTACACATAATGTACTGTTTATTTACTATTTCTGTAATGTTTTCTCAGTTGAAAAGTTAAACTATATTATAAGTTCGAATTTATGCTTTTTGTTTACTACTCGTCAAACATATCCTCGTATGAAACTAGGTCCCTCTTGTCTCTGTGATTTCCTTTTTGTGAATGTGTAGAAGCTAAAAAAAAAATATTAATTTAAATATTAAAAGAATAAATACGAGATTTTTTACCTAAAGTAGACCAGGCTACTGATGAAGTTGATTCTCCCGTGGGTTCAATCTGGGGCTGTCTCCTGGCCAGGGACACTTGAAGTTGTATTCCTGATACCATACTTCCGTCCATCTACAAAAATTCATAATTTTCTAATATCATATAGGGCGAGCTGTGTATATTTTTACCTCTGCAATAGCTCTGTCTGCTGCTTCAGTTTTATCAAACGTTACAAATCCACGACTACAAACAATATATTAATATCAGGCTTAAAATTATAAATGCCACATACTTTTTCTCAATTTCCATAGATATATTAATAATGTTTCCGATCGTTGAAAAATGCTTCTTCAAAAACTCCTCTGTTATTTTGTAACCAGATACATAAATGGTATTTCCTGTCCTGGGTTTCTCGGGTTTTTCTTTGGGCTTTTCAACTACACTTCTCTCTTCTCTGTCCCTTCCGTTTGCAAAGTTATCATATAAGTTTTTAATGCGAGGGGGCTATAAATTTAAGAGTGTATGCTATTTTCATTTAAAATGTTTAATATATTTTATTTCTTACCTTATTTTCAGGATTATCAGGTCCATCTTCCATTTGTATCGCTGAAAAAGGCTGGTATCCGCTCACAATCTTGTCCGAGATTAATTTACGTTCTAAACCTCTGGGTCGTTTAAATCCTAAAATATAAATTTAGCAAAACAATTCGGTAGAATTTCTATGAGTTACCTTGCTCTGGTTGTTTTGCTTGTTTCGTTATTGCAGAAATTGCACCTGATCTTATCAATTTTTTCGCAATCTCCCTTGCATCACGAGCTTCTGCCGGTCTTTTCGGAAGAATGGGCTTTTCAGGTTCAGGTTTTGGAGTCTTTAATGCTACTAAAGCCTTTTTCTGTAAGAAAACAAATGTAAAAAACGTAGGACGGTAAGTGTGTGCACAAACGTACCTTTTTCTTTAATTTCGCATATTTAGCTTGAAGCATTAACTCTTCTTCAGTAAAATTTGCAGGGAAATGAATATAAACCATTTTAAATTAATTTAAATAAAAAATAACTACTATTTTCTAAACATAAATCCCAAACAAAAACAAAACCATAGATCAAAACAGTCGTCAGCCTCAAAAACATATGTTTTGATCAGGAATGGGCGATAAGGGCGATACTAAAAGAGTCGAAAAGTCGATACTAAACTATAGAGTGGGTTTTATACGTATTCTGCGATTTATTAACCGTGTAAAAAACTTGTTTTTTTTTCGCTCGTCCCTGACAGCTGACAGTCGTTCCCTTATCCATCATAATTGTCAAAAATTTCAAAAACATATGTTTCATTGACATTTCCATTTGGAACAAGTGGTGATCAATGTAAAAATAACTAATTTATAAGTGTTTTAGAGCGTTTCCATTTATTTTAATTTATTAAAAATGCAAGATTCCTTAGAGGACTATGTGAAATTAGCTAGAAACACAAAGCAGGAAGATCCTGTTAAAATTAGGTGAGCTATTTCGAAACGAAACCCCAAGTTGTTAATAGATGAAAGTTGCGAAAGTTTCACAACGTTTTTTACCCGGATTTCGAAAGCAACCTCGCCGGGATTTCTTAATTTAGTCACGGGTTTTACCGTTTCAAATTATATTTCTTTTCTTTAGCCAAGAAATGGTTGTAACAGCTCAGCTGAAAAAGGACTGTGATGCCCGAGCAATGAAAATTGTAGAGTTCTCGATCGAAGGCAAATTAAGGCCTGAAGTGTTTAAAAAATGTGTAAGTTTTTATATTTGCATATTTTCTTACATTTTTTAGTTTGGAATATATAATTTTTAGCTTCCATTTATCAATCAGTTACATTATCAAGACATAGTCGAAGAAAGAGCTATTACAAAGCTGTGTGGTTATTCTCTGTGTGGTAAAAGAATTCCTGACATGCCTAAGAAACAGTATTTTATTTCTACCAAGAGTAATAAGGTATATGATATTACAGAGAGAAAGGTAAACATATTTGAGAGTATTTAAACTATAATATACTATCTAAATTTTCTTTTAAGAATTTTTGTAGTAACTTTTGTTATAAAGCCAGCCTGCACATTAAGAAACAAATAGACAACAGTCCCTTGTGGCTTAGGAAATTGGAAGAAATTCCAGAATATAAATTACTAGACATATCTGAGGGGTAAATAAAAATTTTTTTTCATTGATTCACACTGAACTGTTAAATCTTTTTTAGTGGTCTTCCTGGAGAACACATTGATCATGGTATGGTAAAACCAATACAGGAGCATCAGTTCACATCAGTTGGTTCATTTACTCAAGTATCTTTGAATGAAATGACCAAGAAAGAAGTGGTTAAGGAGCGAAGAAATAATAAATCGAAAAGCTATAAAAAATCTTCTCGCTTGAAATCTACAATGCAAACTATAACAGAAAACGATATTGAGGAGGAGACTCAAAGTAAGTATTACAAGATTTAATATAGAACTTTATTAACCTAGTTTTTTTAAGATAATTTTATACAGACTAAGGAAAACAATGTGGAGAGAAAAATAATTGTTCATACAATTAAAAAGGAGAGTCACAAAAAAAGTTGTGTTGTAAGTTTACCATCAATCATAGAACAGGATGTGGAAGTTAGTGAAAATTTACAAGGTTTGTAAATTTGTAAAATGCCCTACATTAGTTTTCCTGTGTGATATTTTCTCTTTCAAAACGAATTATTTTTTATTGTAGTAGTGCAGATTTAATTCTTTTTGTAGCTTTAAGAATTAGTCCAAGCGACTTGGAAAACAAAGAGGAATCGGATCAAACAGAGACCAGTAAAAGAGAGACAGTGAAAAGTAAAAGAGAAAGCACAAAAGTTAAAAAGAGCACAAAGAAAAAATCAAATACGAATAAAAGTAAACCGGATGTTGAAGTGTTTGTTGAAACGCTCTTAAAGGACTGGTTCACCCTGGACACATGCATTTTCTTACACGGTGAACAGAAAGTCAAGGAAGTGCTAAATGAAACGAAATTGGGCGAGTACTTTGAGGAATTGAACGTTGTCAGGTTAAAGACGGAGCAACAGATGAAGTATATGGAGATATGCAGAAGGCTTCAACTACAACAACTAGCGGATGAAAAGTTTGACAGGGTCTTTACAGGCGGGGAAAAACTAAAACCTTTACCAGACTACAAGAAGCTCAAAGAAGATACTAAAGAGATGAATCTGAAGGTAGGAATATAAAAAAAGAGTATACAGTGTTGCAAAGAAGCGCCGTATCAGTTTTTTTTTTTTGGAACACTGTATAATTTTTTGATTATTTTAATAGGTGAGATCATATTATCAAGGGGGTATGTATGAGCAAGAGGACACTAATTTTCCTGTTAAATCCGACTCCAAAGAAGAACAGCCTGAAGAATCTGTTCCGACAGTTCTGCCACCTGTCGATACCAATTCTCAACGTCTGCTCCGACGAAAAATATTTTTGACAGCCCTGAGTAAATCGTAAGAATTTTTTAAGTGTTTTTTTTTTCTCAGAAAATCTGAGCGAGTAATATTTCTTTTAGGATGCAGCTGTTGTTGCAAAATTTGGGCGTGCCGTCATTCGCTTCCGTGATGTCTGACGCGAGGGCTTTGGTGAAAACTTTTAGTTTGAGGGCGGACAATATCACTTTTAAGCCGGCCCAGTGGAATTACATAGCCTTGACACTCTTGTATCTGTTAGTATAATTGTTTTTTTTTTCTTGAACAGATTCTATCACATATACAGAATTTTGCTTTTTTAGTAGCAGGACTTTAATAGTGAGCTATATTATATATTGACTCTATTTTGCTACTAAACAATACTAAACGAACTATCAAAATAAAGTGTTTATTTTTTTCTTCAGGTTGTCATTCAACGATTCCTCGCTGAAAGAAACTTTAGAAGATCGAAGGAACACCGAGTATATCGATACCTTTTTATCCTCAGATGCAGAGAGAGAACGCGTTGCAATAGTTGCCAGATCTACCGCTCAGATAGAGGACTTTATTCGACAATACATCACCAAGATTGAGACCGTTTAGTTGTTACATATCATAAATAAAGAAAAAATAAAACAAAGTATAACTTTTCCTGGCTTGTTATTCTGATTTACACTACTACGACGATTCGGATAGCAATATCAAAGTCAATGCAGTCTATAGTCAATGATAATTCTGACCTTCTTGACAAAATGGTGAAGGCGACTTTTCTAAAAATGTATTTTTCTAAATAAAAATTCTAATTTAAAATACATGACCAACGAGCTCGAAAAGTTAGATTGTTTTTGAGAAATGTAAATATCTCAAAAACATCCCTTAGCCCGGGGCTACATAGAAAGCGTTTTTTACGTGTGAAGCGCTTTTGCGATTTTACCGTTTGAACCTGATGCTTTTCCCACTGCGGGGACCTAGTGCTTTTCCCACTGCGGGACCTGGTGCTTTTCCCACTGCGGAGACCTAGTGATCTTCCCACTGCGAGGACCTAGCGATTTTCCCACTGCGGGGACCTAGTGCACTAGACCACGGAGTGGAAAAGCACCAGGTCCCGCAGTGGGAAAAGCACTAGGTCCCCGCAGTGGGAAAGATATTTAGAGACAGACCAATCAATAAATCAATAATTCAATAAATCATTACACTTAGAGACACACAAATCAATTAATGGATAAATCAATAAATCATTACACTTAGAGACAGACGAATCAATAATTCTATAAGTCAATAAATCGATATGTCCATAAATCGATAAATGATAAGTAATAAGTCGGTAAATCAATAATTCAATAAATCACTACACTTAGAGACAGATGAATCAATTAATCAATAATTCGATAAGTCAATAAATCGATATGTCGATAAAACAATAAATCGATAAATCAATAAGTAATATATCGATAAATCAATAATTAAATAAATCAATAAATCATTACACTTAGAGACAGATGAATCAATTAATCGATATGTCGATAAATCAATAAATCGATATATCGATAAATCAATAAGTATTAAATCGATAAATCAATACATAAATAATTCAATAAATCATTACACTTAGAGACAGACGAATCAATAAATCACTAAGTCAATTAATCGATAAATTAATAAATCGATATTTCGATAAATCAATATATCGATAAATCAATAAGTAATAAATCAATAAATCATTACACTTAGAGACAGACAAATCAATTAATCGATAAATCAATAATTCAATAAGTCAATAAATCAATAACTCAATAAATCGATAAATAGATAAAGAATTAAATCGATAAATCAATAAATAAATAATTTAATAAATTATTACACTTAGAGACAGGCGAATCAATTAATCAATAATTCAATAACTCAATAAATCGATAAATCAATAATTCAATAAATCGTTACACTTAGACAGATGAATCAATTAATCAATAAATCGATATGTCGATAAATCAATAAATAAATATTTCAATAAATCATTACACTTAGAGACAGACGAATCAATTAATCAATAAATCGATAAATCAATAAATAAATAACTCATTAAATCATTACACTTAGGGACAGACGAAAATATAAGTAATAAATCGATAAATCAATAAGTCAATTACTCAATAAATCGATAAATCAATAATTCAATAAATCGTTACACTTAGAGATAGATGAATCAATTAATCAATAAATCGATATGTCGATAAATCAATAAATAAATATTTCAATAAATCATTACACTTAGAGACAGACGAATCAATTAATCAATAAATCGATAAATCAATAAATAAATAACTCATTAAATCATTACACTTAGGGACAGACGAATCAATAAATCAATTAATCGATAAATCAATAAATCGATATTTCGATAAATCAATATATTGATAAATCAATAAGTAATAAATCAATAAATCATAACACTTAGAGACAGACAAACCAATTAATCGATAAATCAATAACTCAATAAATTGATAAATCAATAAATAAATAATTTAAAAAATTATTACACTTAGAGACAGGCGAATCAATTAATCAATAATTCAATAACTCAATAAATCGATAAATCAATAATTCAATAAATAAATAACTCAATAAATCACTAAATAAATTATTACACTTAGAGACAGAAGAATCAATTAAGTAATAAATCGATAAATCATATGTCTCAGTGTAATGATTTATTGATTTAAGCAATGGAAGGGCTTTTCTCTGTTCAAAAAAGCTCAGATAGAATAACTGTTCGTATCATTAACTTTGAACTTAGTTATCTTCACTTTTGGGATGGATGTAAGTCTATGAACGAAATACATTTACTTATTGATTTATTAAATTGTTGAATTATTGATTTATTCATATTCAGTTTGGGATGTTAGCATCTCTTAGAAGAAACAGACTTTAGTAAGTGGGACGAATATAGTTTCAACTTGGTAACTAAATAAAACGAACGGAAAATAAATGGCTTTATTTGTTAACAAACGTATAAAACTCGGAAGATAGAAAACGTAAATAAAACTCGAGGTATATTGCGTGAATCAAACTAATTATCAGCAATTTCGGTAACTTCGTTGATGGTGCTCTGGACCAGCGTCTTGTACTCCATGTCTTTGAGGAATACCAGCATGGCCAGGACTAGTTTCATGAATTCATTGAAGGTATCGGAGTCGTCACTGATGTGATCTACAATAGAAAAATCAAAAGTAAATCTAACAAAAAAAAATGAGATAATCTGCGGGACAAAATATTTATTTTAAAATATAAGTAAAGCACTATAGACTGCATGTTTTATAAAAAAAATACAAGTGCAAATCTCAAATAAAAAATCTGATAAGGTGATTTTTGAAACACATCCTGTAAAATGTATATTAAAATTTATTAAAAATTTACTCACCTTTATTTCTATCTAGTAATCTGTACAAAGCTTCTACCGTGGGCAAACACTGTTTTAACATAAGATCCCTGAATACACTCTTCCAATACCTAATGATCCTGAAAAAAAAACGTATTTAAAAAAAAAAATCTTTTTTATTATTAGTTAGTTACCTTCTTAGACACTCCCTAAAATTCCAGGGGGCCCCTTGCAGCATGTCCATCTTGTCCCAGACATTGCCGTACGTTTCCTTGCACCTTTCACAAATGATTGTCGAACACAAACTGGCCATCTTCTGCGATATTTTCAACGATTTGACGTTCTTTTTCAGCTTGAACAGCAACTTTTGCAGGATTTCGCGGGGCGAACTGGTCTCCAACTCGCTCAGCAAAGCCTTGTTGCGCAGATTCACGTCGTTCGTCAGCAATATCTTAAAAAAATCAGCGACGTTTATTAAAAATAAGAAGTCTGATATATTCTGTTATTTTACTTACCACAGATTCGTATTTTTTAGAAGCTTGAACGCAGCTACTCAAGATTTTATCGTCCGGTGACAGGCCATAGTCTTCTTGCTTTACGGCTTCCTCTACAGGCTGGCCTAAACATAAGTTAATATAATTCTGACTATTAAATACACCCTGTATCTCCAAAACTGACCCCCCCCCTTTTAGGACATACAAACTTTTTCGCAGAATATATGGTGCCAAAGTTTTCCAAATACAATTCGGACCACCCTGTATATTAATTTAAATGTAATAATCACCTAAAACTTTGGGATTTTTCTCTTCCAACAACCGGTTTATGTATTTGGCTGCGTTCAGCGCTGCATTTTTCCCCTCTCTTGAGGTATCTTTAATGTAATCCAATTCAGTTATTACCATCCATGGAATGAACACTTTCACGTTTTGAGAACCTAAAAAAAACCTTTATCAACTCCACAAAATTGAGGAAAGTATTTTTAAGTCGTACCTGTAACTTTAAAATTAACAATATCCTTTATTTTATGTAAGAAATGCATAAATACATTTGTGTCGGTCACTATACATATGGCATTTTCTTTTTTTGTTTTCTCTGGTGATTCCTCCGTGGCCGACTAAAATTTAATAAATACAATTGTTTATATTATACACTAAGTTTTGTTTAGTAACTTACATCCCATTCCATTGAATCCTCTGCTATCGTGTTACACGTTTGTTCACGTTTATTTACTATAGTATCATCAAAATTCACTAACAAAGAGTCATTTACAGTAACATCCAAATCTTTTTTCGCATTTATTTCCATTGAGCCACTCAGTCACAGAGGTTTTTTTGGTTGGGTAGACAAATCTCTTCGGCAGGTGTTGATTTAGAATCATCTTCACACGTAATATCACTAAATTCAGTCTTTTTCTTTAATTTCATTACCCAGTTTTATGCTGTCATTATTATTACTTGTAGCAAACTCAATTAAGCTTATTTGTCTGTTAGATTCTTTAACACTAATAAGAATATTTTCTTTAGGTTCCCTATAATGAATTAGTACAATGTTTGTTAGTATTTTATTATTTTAGCAAATAATTGTATTATTTAATCTTGAGGAATTTGTACTTTTGGTTTTTATACATTTAAGTCTATTATTAACTGAAGAGTGACTAGAAGATTCAGCTTTCTGATTTTGGTTAGCATTTGTACCTGGATTAACTAAAGGCAATGTGTCTCCCTTAAGCTTGTGTCGAAGATCGCTAACAACATTCACCTCTGGCACTCTATAAGAAAAATTACATAAAAAAACCAATCCTTTAATAGTATTCAGATAATACCTGGGACAATTTGAGCTGTTTAATCTTTTAAGTCTATTATTGACTGCAGATTGACTTACAGATTGGTGTTAAGCCTGTCTTCAGGTGCACTAACTATATTTCTTTCATCAACCCTGTAATAAATTATTACTTACAACAAATGTCCCTAATATAATTATGAGAAAATACCTTTCAAAATTACTTTGTGAAGCAAACTTGTTATTTACACATTCAGTCCTAGTTTTAACTGATGACTGACTCAAATATTTGGTTTCGCTATTTTTCCTGCAAAAAGTCCGATTGGAATTATATGAAACTTTGTTTTGTTCCAAATCTCCTTTAATTTTTTGTCGAAGTGTGGATAGTCTATTTTGAGCCCTATTATTATTAGTATTTAAAACGTTGGACGAGTTTGAAACCTCTAGCTTCTGCGAGTTGGGATTAAGGCAGGACTTCTTATTACTAAGTTGTTCCTCGTCATCCTCCTCACGTTTTCTTTTTTTAAACTTATTAGACTGGTATTCTGTAGTCTGACTATTTAGTAAGTTAGGAGTGGATCTTCCACTGCTTCTTCTACAAGGTTTTACTTTAAGCCTGTGTTGTTGGGACATATTTAATTCAAATATTCTCTTCTGTGATTCAAATCACATATTGTTTTTTTTTTGGAAATCTGATATAATAAACACTAAAAAATATGACAGATAAAAAGATATAAAATAGAAACTCATTAAATCTCACAGAAATAATCATATAATAATAGCAAATGGAAAAAATGCCTTTAAAAATTGTCACAACAAAATATATCAAAAAATTATGACATTTTCTTTTTTTATTTATGAATCAGTAATGGATGTTACGCAATATCGTGGTTTAACCTTGGCTTAACGCGTTTTTGATTACATCTTTTTTCTGACGCAAAGTGCACGTAAAAAATATAAAATAATTACCAAAAGGACTAAATAAACGAATTACTAATGTCTTTAACCGTTAACGGGTATTTTAAAGAAGTTTAAAATCTGTGTACGTAAGTTTTATTACGGTTCATTTACTTTTTTACAGGGCGTAAAAAACAAGTTTCTTTCCTACGTCAGGATGTATTTGCTCATCCCTGCTGAATTACTTATCCTGTCAACTTTTTGCGGCTTACAGATACCATTTTCCAGGTGGCAAAAGCCGGCATAACAGATCCCTACTATTATTACTTTAGCGCTTGATCGCTAGATGGCGACACTTTAAAAAGTAAAACAGAAAACTACTAAAAATTTATTACCGACTCATAAAAGCGCCAAAATAAAAGAAATCAAACCTGTGTAAAAATTTGTTGCTAGATTTAAGTTCGTCAAATCAAAAATAAAAATAATAAACACAAAATGAAAATGCAATTTACAGATATTATTACACAATATCTAACCAACTAGTAGCACATTATGACAAAAAATCTATTTACAAAGGTTAAAATTAGTAAGGTAAGTTTCTTAACAAATAAATGAATCAAAATATTCAATATACAATAATAAAATTTATTATGTACATTAAATGTAAAATTTTGTTTATTCTTGCACTTTTTCTTTTGAATAATGCCTACAAAATCAAAAAGCTTAGACAGAGCTATGCAAGATAGAATTTGTGAACAATCGAGACAATATTTCCCTAGAATAGTTATACAATAGTTTATATATCTTTAATATACACAATTTTGGTTGAAATATCCTGAATAACTCTGCCATAAGAACGTATATATAGCTAAATATTTTATATCGTAAAATTATAATGATCTTTAATACAGATTTTTAGCAACATACACGTTTAATTTATGTAAAATAAATTAATGCTATTTTGATACATTTTCCTGATGTGGTAAAAATGGTCCTTTCTAAAAACACTGATATCTCTTTTTTTTTCGTATATATAATAAATATGTAAAGATTCTAAAAATATACAAGGTGTTTTGATTCTACCTGCAACATTATTATCTAACACTGAACTTAAATCATTAACAAAACAATTTGGATAACACAATAAAGTAAATAAACATTAGCCGTTGTTAGTTAATAACTTGAGATTCTTTAATTATTAATGTTTTTCTTTATAAACACCCAGTATATAATGCAGATAAATAATTTCTCCGTTCTCTAGTAACAAAACTGATTTTATCACTTTCATAGAAAAGATATTAAACTGATACATAAAAAAAACGTAGTCTTAACTAAATGTATTTTCTGTGATAGAATTTCTATAAACTAAAAATTATTTAACAGAATTTTTACCTACAATTAAATGATGCCTTATTTTACTAAATTATGTACAGAAAATATAGTTTAATGTAATGTCTTTGGTAAATATAATTTAAGATCACTAAACACTCTATTCACCATTTTTTTTCCTAAACATTACAACAATCATAAAGTTTGATTTTAGGTTATTAAAAAAAACAGAACAAAATATAGAATAATGGTACAATTTGACAACTTAACATTGTTACGGTGTAATACTATCTATATATAAAAAAATTATGAAAAAAAGGATGTATAAGTATTTTGACTAACAAATGTAACAAGTAACTCAAAAAAATAATATTTATTCTTGGTATTAAGGTATCTATTTGATACAAGATAGACGAAATGTTACATCTGATGGATAACTAAACTCGTTCTATATTTTTTGATCGTCTCAGACCAATACGAATTGCACCAATCTCAAAATTAGAGAGACTTTACGAACATTTATTTTATCATTCACAGTTATCTCTAAACCAACTTGTCAAATTATTAGTTAAGGCAGATTACACACTATAAATGTTCATTAGTTGTTTCTATATAATAAAAAAATATTTCAGCATTTTCTACCTTTGTAAAAGTATTGGAGCTAAATGATTATTAGTTTCGGAGCTACAGGATGTAGAAATATCATTTTTATTTCGATTTTTTCCAAATAATTTCTGAAGTAAGGTCAATATTTGGATGAAAATTGGTATCTGGGAGTTTTTTGACATGAGAAATTTGATTTTGATGTCAATGTGACTCCTACTTGTAGAGGACGCCACCTACATATTTTCTAACTGATTAGAAGAGTAATAACTTTTCGTACGTACCTGTATAAAACTACTGAGTAAAAGAATATACATTTACGACATTTTTTGCGTAAAAAATACGAAAATATATAGTTTTTCACTCAGTAGTTTCATACAGGTACGAACGAGAGAGAAAAGTTATTAGTCTTCAAAACAATTAAAACACACGTAAGTGGCGCCCCCTACAAATAGGAGTCATATTGACATCAAAATCAAATCTCTCATATCAAAAAACTCCCAGACACCAATTTTCATCCAAATATTCACGTCACTTCAGAAATTATTTGGAAAAAATCGTAATAAAAATGAAACTTCTACACCCTGTATCTCCGAAACTAAGCATTTTGGGACATATGTATATTTATTTTATACGCACTTTTTTACTTATTTTTATTTTCCGAATATGCTGCCGAAGTTTCCGGACCACCCTGTATACCAACGATGGAGAAAAACGGCGTCAAGGTTGGCTTTGAAACGAAAATCTCTGTCATATAAATTTTGAAAGAAAATACATGTAAAATACCGAAATAATAAGAATAGAGACTCTTAACAAAGTAATAAAAAAATTGTTCATTAATGTCATTCTTTGATGTCATTTTATAATCTTCAAACATAGAAAATGCGTTAGGTCAAAAGTGTAGAGACTTAAATGCATATTGTATAACCTAAAACCAAGTGATATGTCACAAATCTGAACACTTATAGCCGCGAAACTACCTTACCTAACCTATCTTTCTTAAAACGCGCCCGCTTACAGCCAGGAAGGCCTCGAAATCGAGTCGTAGGGTTGTCTCATCGCCAGCGCCGGGTGGTATCCCGAGGGATACGTGCCCGCGGGTCCCAAAAGACCCTGGTTCAGCACGCCCGCCTGCAAATAGTGCTGGTACAACTGTGAACTGGTCGTGTCCATCAGAGATCCCTGCGCGCTCGACGGTATAAACGGATTGGCCAGGGGATACGCGGGCGGCCTGCTCTGATGCGCCGGGTTCAAGAACGACGGGTAATTCTGCGCGGCGGCGTTGCCGCTCTGTGCCGCTCCCTTCCCGGCCGTCTGATTCTCCGGCGTGGAGCGGTGATGAGCCGCGGCGGCCGCCATGTAGAAGTTGGGAGGCGGACGGAACTCGTCCAGGAAATTCGACTCGCCGTACAGGCCGGATCCGAGTCCCAGCGCTCCGGGGGTTCCCGGACCGAAGTTGAACGCGCTTCCCGGCACCACGCTCGAGGTCTTCAGCGAAATCGCTCCCGGTTCGAGGTTGGAGGCCGAGGAGGTTCCGGTGGATGCCGGCGCCTTCAGACCTGCGTACGATTGAAATCCCTGCGCGGCTTGGGTCGACGAGGAGGCTTGGGACGTGGTACTCAGTTGATTATCTTGGCTTGCTGCGGCTAAAAGTACAAAAATATATTTTAAAGTATAAAACCTTAACGTTAAAAACCAGTTCTTTGCGTACAGCAAAAATTATGCGGGCACTATTAAAAAAAAACGTTTTATCTCTGTCGCATGCATTAAAATACAGACCACAGAGATAAAGTGTCCAGGACCGTACAGTATTAGATTAATTTAAGACAATCAAGCGTAATTGAAGTTTATTCAAGGATAAATATTGTGCATACAGAGTGATTAATTTTTTAGTAGCCAATAATTAAAAGTCAACAGAAATATACCATTTTTTTTAAAGACCGTTAAGTCCTGCTTCTAAAAGCGATCCACCCCGTATATAAAACTCACCAGCCTTGTTGCTGCTCTTCTTCTTCCTGCTCTTCTTTTCGGGAACCGCGGCAGGCACGCTGCTCGCCTTTATTTCGCCTTGAGCCTGATGAGCTTGTAGTTCGTTCATTTGCCTGTTACACATTAAATAAAAACCATTCAGAATAAATTCAAAACAACAATATTTAAATGACAGTTATTACGACAGTACCTGCTGTATATAGAGGCCGCCGAAGTGGCCATAGGCTGGCTGTAACTGGTCATACCGGCCATATTTGCCTGGCTAAATATCTGCGATGCCGAAGACATGGTTTTATTGAACATGTGCTGCGTGCTTAGATCTAAAAATATTGCAAACATTATCGAATCAATCACAATAGTTTTATTTTTACTGACTTTTATCGCTGTAGTATGCACCGGCTGATGACTGCAAGCCCGCCATCATTCTTTGTTCGTTACTGTATCTGTCAACGATGTTTGACAAGTTTGAAATGTTTCTTCCCAAGTTCAATCTTTGCTCGACGTCCAGCGATGCGGAATTGTAGTTACTGCCACGTCCAGTCGATACATCTGGTTTATTAAACCTGGTAAACAAAGTGTGAGGTGAGAGATACCATAAATCAATATTTCCCTAACTAAATTATACAGGGTTATTCACCACATACGACACGGAATATTATAGCTAAACGATTAGATTTTTGCAAATTGTAAGTTTTGGGTTCGTTGAAGGACTATTAGAGCTACAATTTAAAAATAGTTTTACAAGATACAGAGTGTCCCAATGGAACACCCTGTATATAATTACATTTTTAGATTCTACGATTAAAATAAAGGACCGTTTTTTTGAAATATTTTCAATTTTGTGAAATTACAGTAAAAATTTTAAGACTTCATTTCTCCAAGGATATCAAAGTTTCTAATACTAAATATTTACTGAAGTTTATGTATTGATCAGATATTGTGATACAATAATAAATAAAATACTATCTTATTCAGAGTGTCTAGAAATTTATATTAAATAATTACTAGCTTTAAACGTCAACAACTTGTTTAATTTAAATGGAACACCCTGTATATTTTATGAGAATCAGATGCACAATTTAATTGTCTCAAATTGTAATACCATTTCTTGCCTATCTCTTCAAGTTTTCGTAGAAAATGCATTTTCTTGTAATTTAGACCTCGTTTATCACTATACCCATGGAATATTGACATTTTAGATTATTTTTAAAGATGTAACAAATTTTTAAAGAGTACAGATACTAATATTGTCAAAGTTTTTTTTATTTTTAATGAAATAAACAAACTATTATTTGATCAATGAGGTCTAAATTATAAGAAAATGCATTTTCTACGAAAACTTGAAAAGATCGGTAAAAAATGGTATAATACAATTTGATAGACAATTAAATTGTGCATCTGATTCTCATAAAATATACAGGATGTTCCATTTAAATTAAACAAGTTATCGCCGTTTAAAGCTAGAAATTATTTAAAATAAATTTTTAGACACTCTGTATATAGGTAGTATAATTTTTATTATTGCAACACAATATCTGATCAATAAATAATCTTCAGTAAATACTTAGTCTTAAATACTTTGATACCCTACTTTGAAATAAAGCTTTAAATTTTTTACTGCAATTTCACAAAATTGAAAATATTTCAAAAACGGTAAGGTTTAAGTGTGATAAACCTTAATCAAATTTACCTTTATTTCAATCGTAGAATTTAAAAATATAATATTATACAGGGTGTTCCATTTAAAAAAATACAACTATAATATTTTTTACTTATTTGGGACACTGTATCTTATAAAAATATTTTTAAATTGTAGCTGTAATAGTCCTTCATCAACGAACCCAAAACTTACAATTTGCAAAAATCTAATGGTTTAGCCACAATACTCCGTGTCGTACGTGAAAAACCCTGTAGATCTAAAAATTGTCAAAACGTATATACTTACGGTATATCTTGTTGAACTTGAGTTGGTGCCAGTCTTTCTGCCACATTTTCCACAGATCTGTTTCCCTGATAACTGTGAGCAGTTTGCTGACTGCTTTGCTGTTTCTGAATGTTAGACAGAGCCGGGTTATTGGCACCGGGTTGTTGCTGACCGCTGCTCGGCACTTGGGAGGCTGTAAAAATAAAATAAATAAAACGAAAATACACCAAAATCATATTTACTCACTTAGTAACTGAGACGCTTGAGAAATCGCTGACTGAACTGTCGTCCTGGTATAGTTCAGTTCAGGACGGCCATATTGTTGTTGCAACGCTCTGGAAAAGTTAACTTCGGGCCCAGTGTATCCTACAAAAAATATATTAACATTTTGTTACTTTATATAGTTTTTTTCTTTCAAAATACCCATGTTTGTGAACTTGGACATATCCAACTTGGGCTGATGCTGTTGAATTGTTCTGGCCGATGGTATGTTTAACGGGTAAGCTTCTCTACTGTTATACGGTGTAGCGTAGGGGTTTGTTTGTGACGTAGAATAAGCTATGTTCCTCAAGTTAGTTGCGGCAGTGTCGGCAGAACCTTTAACGAAAAAACACACAAATATTTCCCTAACAAAAAAGACAATTTGTCCTTATTATGCTGGTTAAAAAGATGGGTCTAGTTACGTATGATCTAAGGTATAATTTATTTTTTCACTCACTGTGCGAAGGCAACTGCTGTTGCTGAATCTGATCCTGTTGCTGTTGCACCGGGCCGGTTTGTATAGGAGGCGAAGGAGTGGACAGCGAAGATTCCGACTGCTTCGGGTACATGGGCATGGGAATTTGCTGTTGCTGACGGTTTTGTTGCTGCAACAGTTGCTGATTCTTCTGCTGCATCTGCTGGTTCTGTTGTTGCTGCTGCTGCTGTTGGTGCATCAGCTGGTGCTGATTTTGTTGCACCTGCCGCAACAGGGCTTGTTTCTGATGCTGCATGTGTTGTTGATGCTGTAGCAGTTGGGTTTGTTGTAACAGTCCCTGAACGTCGATTTGCTGTTTCGGTTCTGGATCGTTGCTCGGATTCGGATGAATCGATAACTAATAAAACGTGTTTTTATAGAAACTGTATATGCAGGAAAGTAAATTAAAGTACCTGCTGACCAAGCTGCATGTTTCTATTGACCATTTCGTTGGGTACCGTTCCAAACTGTCCCAGATCGTTTTCGACGAAAGCTCGTTTTTTGACAGGAAATACTGCCTGATTATTACCGTTTGGTTGTCCTTTATTTTCGTTTAAAGGCATCTCCTCTTGCTGGGCGTGGTAAGATTCCACGCTGGCTGGATTAACAGGGGAATTAACCTAGAAAAAAATGTTTGTTCGAAATCGACAAGACAATAAATGAAAAAAATGCGAAAATACCTGAGCATGGAGCGGCGAATTCACGTTCATGTTGGGCGAGTGTTGCGGCACGCCTGGCGAATTGACTTGCGGCGAGTGCGCGCTCATCTGAGGCGAATGCACGCTCATTTGGGGCGAGGTAACGCCTAGTCCGGGTGAGTGAAGCGCCGCGTTGGGTGATTGCAATTGGGGTGAGTTCACGGTAGGGCTGTGCTGCGAATGCACGCTCGGCGAGTGAATCCCCGGCGACAGCTGCGAAATTACAATGGGCGAATGCGGCGAGTGCTGCGGCTGATTAGCGGGTGACGGTTGGCTACTCGCTGGCGAGTTGGCAGTGTAGTTCTGGGATGGTTTACTCTGGAAAATTAAAATGTCAATTCTGCATAAAAGTCTCTGCGTCCTATTTATCAAACACAACATAAATTATTTGAGAAACTTAGAAAATTAAGAGGAAAAGTAAGAAAATTCGTAAAATGTATGTCCTAAAATGCTTAGTTTCGGAGATACAGGGTGTAGAAGTCATTTCAGTAATTTTTTTCGATTTTTTTCAAATACTGAAACGTCGATATTTAGCGTAAAGTCCTAACGCTTTAACCACGCGGCCACAGGGGACTTGAAGATTCTATGTAAAATTCTTACTTAAAAGATAATCTTTAGTGAAAGTTCTTTTTATTTATAAACATACATTATCTGTAAAAATTTCAACTGTCTAGCTATAACGGTTCATAAGATAGACTTTTGTGACAGAGGGACGGACGGACGGATGGACAGTGAAGTCTTAGTAATAGGGTTCCCGTTTTTACCCTTTGGGTACGGAACCCTAAAAAAGACCTAAGTAAAAAAAAGACTTAAATCAAAAAAGACTTAAATCGTTTTAATTTTCTTTTTGAAGACTTACAACTTACCTGATACTGATCAGTCAAACTCTTGTTGGTATCGTAGTACGCCGGACTGGACACGTCCGTATTGTACGGCGGCGTCGGATTGGTACTGCTGTACGTCGAGGGATGCGTGTAGTACGGCGAGTTGGCGTACGAATACAGGGTGTTCTGCGTGGTATTGGGCGCGTACACGTGGTCGCTCGCGTTGTAGTAGGGACTCTGCGGGTTGTCCCGCGGACTGCACGACTTGTCCGGGCTGCTCTTGTTCGACACCGTGTCCTGGTAGAATCCCACCCGCATCTGCCCGTTGAAAGGGTAGGCCGAACGGGGGGAGATATCGGGACGAGGCGAGGCGGCCATTACGGGGGAAGCGCTGGAGGGAGACCTACAAAATATAATTTATAATAAAAAAAACCTTAAGGGAAAATTCGAATTTTACCTGTGCAACGGCGACGGATAGGGGGCCGGATACGCTCCTCGTTCGTCCATGCCGACCCTGGGCGAGTCCAGGTCCTGGCTGAAGGACGAGCGTTCGGACACGCTGCTGCCGGTGCTGATTCGCCGCTGTCTCGCGACGGGCTGAGGGCTGTCCAGGCTGGGCGAGGGGTCCGGCACCGGAACTCTTTCGGATTTGGCCGAAGACTCCTCCTCCTTGGACTCGGGCTTGTTTTCGGGTTTCTTTTGCGGCGGAGGTGCCTAGAAAATGACAAATCTTTCAATATACAAGATGTCTTAAAAAATATAGTTGTACGCCGCAAGCGATATGAAATCCTATAACTTTCCGACATATTTATGTAGTATCTTACCTTGGGAGCACCAAAAGCTTTAAACCAGGCACTAAGGTTCGGAGTGGGACCACCAGGGCACACCTCTTCGTTCTGTTTGGTGTCTTTTTCTTCCTTCTAGAAATATTTTTTTTTAATTACATAACATTTTAATTGCTTCAAAAAACGATCTAATTACCTTCTCTGTATCTTTCTGAGCCTCGACTGGAACCTTTTTCTCCTCCTTGGTTTCCTGCACTTCCTCCTCAGGTTTCTTTTCGTCCTCTTTCTCAACACTCTCCACTTTCTCTTCTTCCTCGTCCTTTTTGGGATCGTCCACGAACTTGTGCTTACCAAAACTATCCAAAACCGAACCCAAACTCAGTTTCGGAGCGTTCATGTCCGTTTTCACGATGAGAGAGTTCTTGGTGTCCTTTATTTTCGACAGAGGACCCAGCGGGAAGATTTCCTCAGTTTTAGCCGTGCTCTGAACGTTGGTAATCAAATTTCCCTTACCTTTACCTTGAAATAAATGTCATTAATTAATATACTTCTAATTTATAACAATATGAATAAAATGACTAAGAAAGAAAAAAAAAATCAAAGTATATAAATCTGGAAACACATGTTCAATGATATACACTCCATTTACCTGGTTGTAACCTGTCAATGGTTCTCTGTACTTCCCTCCTTTTGTTGAAGAACTTGGAAGGATCTCTAAAAGGCTTCTTCTTAGCTTCTTTTGTTGCTGGTACGGCAGCATCTTTTTTAACGTTCGCCGGCGCAACAGGAGCGTTATTGGTAACAGGTTTCTCGGCCTAAACAAATATTAACATTAAATTAACCTGATTACGGCATTAAATTATATTTTAATGTATCTAAAATTTGCTCGATTTAGAAAGAATATAATCGACTGACCTTTTTGGCTTCGACAGGCTTGGGGGTTCCCAGCAAATCAAAGTCGTCCAGGGCCAAGTACGAGGGCGAATTACTGGCCGAACTAAAGTCGAACTTGGGCGTGTCGTCCAGCCACTTGTTGATGTCCTTCAAAGTCTGCTCCGTGGCCAAACTCAAAGCGTCGTAATTTGACTGTTTCGGCGGCTTGGGCGGTACCGGAGCAGGCGGCGGTAGTTCCTGTACTTTCGGCGGCGGAACGTAAGGCTCCTTCTTCTTTACCGGCTTCTTTATCGTCTCGGACTGCGAGGCGTTGTTGCTATCTTCAGACTCTTCGACGTTTTTCTTGATTTTCGCTGGCTGTTGTTGTTGTTGTTTCTCCTGCTTGTTCTTATTACTCTTGTTCTTCTCCTCTTTATCGCTCTTCTTATTTTTATCCTTGTTCTCCTTCAGATGGTCGTCCACCTCGAAATCGTACTCGGGCGGCCTGATGCGCGAGATCTCGTTTTTCGCTTTCAGTTTTTCGATGGTCTCGCGCAGCTTGTTGTGCTTGTCCTTGGGCTTGGGCGGTGAAAAAGGGAAGGGATTGAAGGAAAGGAACTCGTCGTTGCTTGGTTTCCCGTCGGGGTGTGAAGCCAGAGAATCTGGAGGCGCTGTCGTGTCCTTCCACTTGTTCTGTGTGGATTTTTTTGACGGCGGTTCGGAGAAGCTCGCGCCATCATCACCAGAATTCTTTGAAAAGGCAAAGTAATATATATTTAGTAAATTAGTCAATGTTTATATGTCCATTCTTTAATTTCTGACACACTTCGCCCTGCTCGACCATTTTAAAGGCCAATTTCAGTCCTTTAAGTGCATAGAAACAATACGGTACATTTGACCTACTATACAGGGTGTCAAAAAATAGTGTATCTAACTTCGGCGGAAGGTTCTACAGATAAAAATAAAACAAAAAGTGCCTATGAACATATGCTCTAAAATGTGTCCTGAAAAAGTTACAGCCCTCGAAAGAGTAAATAAAAATATTATTATTGTTTATTTTTTAAGAACATTGGTAACCCGTTTTTCTTCAAATTTGGTACTCTTGCACACATTTTAATGCCTGAGCGAATGGCGATAGTGTACAATGTATAAAAGATGTCAAAACTTTTTTAGGAGTATATAATTAAATTATTTTACCTGCAATTGCCGTTTTCTGCCGTGACCTTTGGCCACAATCTCATCGTCTTTATCCTCGAAGGTACACTCAGGACTGGAAGGAGGGGGAGTACTAAGAATACTTCTGGCTGGACTCGGACTCGGCGACATGGAACTGGCGCTCCTGCTTCTGGATTCGGCAGGTTTCCTCTTCTTTCGACCTAAAAAGAATTTTAAATATTAATCTATAATATACTTAACAAAAATAATAAAAAAAAACAGGCTAAAAATATATTGTTTAAGGAATGTTTTACCTCTTTTCTTAACCTTTTCTTCTTTCTCTTTTAACTTGTTCTCCTTCTTCGAATCTAACTTGGCCTTTTTGGATTTAGAAACTTTGCCTTGCTTCTTGTGTTCTTTTTCCAGTTTTTCTGATTTTTTAGAATCCTTTTCCGACTTTTTCGAATCTTTCTCCGATTTTTTCGATTCTTTTTCCACTGGTTTTGATTCTTTTCCCGATTTCTTGTTCTCTTTCGATTCTTTATCCAATTTTTTAGTCTTTTTATCCTCTTTTAAGGCCTTGTTTTTGGATTTTCGAGTTTTTTCTTCGACCGGCGGTTCAGGTGGAAGAGATTCCACCGAAGGCGATCTAAAAAAATATATAAATGTATTTTTCGAAAAAAATATGATTTTTTCAACACTGAAATACCTTTCTTTTCTTTTTCCTTGGGCTGCCAGCACTGGCTTCTTGCCTTTATTTGAAGATTTCGACGATTGCGGAGACTGCGAAGGGGGTGGCGATTCCTGTCCCTTCCTCCTCTTCGAATGTTTACCTTGGTTCTTTGTTATTTCTTTATTGTCCTCTTCGGTACTTAAATTTTCCACAGCTATTTCTTCATCGGAAGACGAAATTTGATCCAAATATTTCTCGGTCGCTTTCTCAAACACTTTCAGAAGATTATCCACCATTTCTGTGTACTCTGAACAAAAGAAAATGAATTAATACAAAATATATTTTCTTTTATGGGAATAGTACCGTTTTCTACGCCGTTATACAAACGACAGTTGTTGACAATCAACTGGAAATCGCCACGAAATTTATCGTAAGTTTTGTAGTAACCCTGATCAAGCTTATCCTCCATTCTGGTCAGATCCATTGGCCTAAAACAAAATATTTGCTAGATAAATAAATATAATTGAAGAATTTATCTATTTTCACCTCCTGATGATGGAGTAATAGTTTGGGGCGTATTCTTCCTCGACGGGATCAACAAAGGGCCAAGCATCGTCATGATTCTTTACAAAATCCAAGATTTTGTGCATGCCCACCTGCAGATCTTCTTCAGTTTGTTGAAATCTAAAGATAAATCAAAATTTCTAAAATTAATGCAAATTTTCGTTTAAAATTAAACAATTAAATTCAATCCTTTTATATATGAGAAAAAATACCACACATAGAAAATAAATATTTTATACATACACTTGTGATGTTTTCAGTTTCTTTTTATGTGTTGTCACGGGTGCCGCCGGTTGGATGACAATTTGTCCATCGGCAGCCGATAAAGAATTGTTAGTTTGCCTGCCAACGGGAGCTGGTTTAGTGGTCGAGCCCTTTTTATCAGATGCATTTTTAGTCTTCTTCCTTTTAGTACTTTCTACACATCACAAAGATTCAAATAATATAAAAAACTATTAAATAAAAACGTATTTACCTTTATCACTTGAATCGGAGGACACTTTTCTTTGTCTTGCCTTGCCTTTCCTTCGTGCCGCCATCTCATGCCTCTCCTCGCTCTTCCTGTCAATTTGAGGCTCCTCCTCCTCTGCTTCACTTTTTACCTTTGACCTCCTCTCATGCACCTCTCTTCTAAATTGTTAATTTATTTATATAAAAAACATGATCAGTACAAGAATTTTATCATGTACCTGTGTCCAAAGTCTTCTTCTTTGTCAACAACCTCTTTGGGGACTTCTTTGGTGTTATCGAAACTTTCCTTTTTGATTTCTGTGTCACCACCTTCAATGTCCTTAATAATAGAAAATGAAAAATCGAAATTAATAACCAGAAACACAGTAAAAGTAATTTTCTAACCAATTTCCTTAATCGGTCTGAAGTTCTCCTAGGTTGGTTCTCTAACAGACGCTTCCTAGCCTGCCTTTCCTTCTCTTTAAACAGTCTGGGCAATTCTGGAAGGAAGTTTTTACTCAGAGTGTGATGTAACGCCCTTTCAGGCTTCGAAGTTGAACTTTTAAATTTTTTAGTCAACTGAAAATGAATGTATTTACATTTCAACTGCTTGGAGCGGAAAAACTCAAACTTACCTGAAACCAATCTTCTTCAGTAAAGCAAATTACTTGCCAAATAGACTTTTTCTTGTTGTTCTTCTTCTGGAAGTCTTCACGGTACAATCTTGTCCCATAAAAGTACCAATAGGCTGACTCATTACCGTCGTATCCTAAAGGTTCCACTCTCAAACTGTCAGCTTCTAAGTTTTTCAATTGGTCTAGAACATCTTCAGCATCTAAATTGAGAATATGTACAATTTTCAGTGTTTTACCAAGCGTAACAGTATACCTAAACGAAAATCACATAAAGCGTGTAAAATATCGACTTTAGTTCTTAGTGGCAGCAAAGTAAAATCACAATCTGTATTGAACGGATTATAACGGTCGTGTTCTTGGCATTTCTGGCGAAAAAGACGCCTCAAAAACATCTGATAATTAAATGTGGAGATTTCATTGCTTGGCAAACAACCACTCAACAGACGAACAATTAATTCTTGCAGCCAAGATGATTCTTCTGTACCGTCACTTAATAGAGCTTCCTCGAGATCCTACAAAGTTTAATGCTAGTATTAATCTAACATAATAATGCTACAACATGCTTACCTCAATATCGAAATCCAACAAATTAAATGCTGTTCGAAACAAAGAACAGAAGTGAGCAATGCTGGGTACCTCCCACCATGACTGAATATCTTAAAAAACGAGGGAAAACGAATAAAAGCACTGTAATTTTATAAAACTCGATAATATTCAGATAAAAACAAACACAAACACACCTAGAATGCTTATGAAAGTTGGAAACATAACCTGTTTCTGGATCAATAAATTCGATGACGTAAATCTCACTTGCCCTCCTATGAATTACACCATTTCTGCATTTATTACGAGAATTTCTCAAACGTTCATTAGAAAAATCGTTTTATTTAATAAAATTACTGGGACTGTTGTCAAAAACCTTCCCATTCTTCAATTTCCCAAACAAGCTTTTTGACTTTGACAGGTTTCCCACCACTTTAATCAAACGAGTGTCTTAAATTAGCTTAAAAATGTAATTGATTTAATTATTCAAGAATTATTAACATTTAAAAGGATAGTTCAAATGGAAAGTTGAGCTTAATTTAATAGAGAAACTTTGAAATAATTTTACTAAGTTTACATTTACGAGATTAATTTCTATAGAGACTGATACAGAAAATATTTTAAATTATTATTTTAAATAAATGTAGATATACTACGAAATGTGGCATTTCGATAGTACCTCTATTACCCCTCTATTTAATTATAGAATTATAGAAAAGAAACAGTGTACAAAAAAACTAGATCTGTAATATTCAAAATTTGAAAATTATTATGAAAGACAGCCTTGTTTTGACTAATTATATTATTGTATATTTGGTTGCATAACAAGCTTATTTATTTTTCAGAAATAAATTTGGATTATATCTGGTTGCATATGGTTGCTGACTGATATAGAAAAAATCAAATTTAACGGAAACGCGCCAAAATAATTAGGCTCTATAAAAAATACCAGGAAGCGCAAAAAAGTGAATAAAAACTTTATAATAATACTAACGATTTCAAATCTGGTTTAGACTTAAATTTAAACTGTACCTTTCTAGAAGAATTTACTTATTTTAGGTTAGTACATCTGTGAAAGATCTTAATTTTTGAATTTGAAATTTTGCGTTTGCAAATGACAGAAAAAAATATACTTTCCGAAAAAACTATTATTTTTGTCAATTTACACGATGCCGGAAGAGAGTATAATAGAGAAAATAAAGCTAGAACCCGTTGAAGAAGAATTTTGCGATATATTTATAGAAGACGAAAAGATAATCATTCCAGAGCTTATGAAATATGAAAATGATGGGTATTTGGATCTAAAGAATGAAGATTGTTTATTAAATGAAGCAGCTATCAAAATTGAAGAGAATAGTGTAAAGATATGTGTTAAAAAGTTGCCTTATAACAAAGAAAAAGTTACAAAACCTAAACGATATAGAAGAAAACAATACAAGTGCAATACTTGTGAAGAATTATTTCAAAAACAGTCGCTGCTAAATGATCATGTCTTTAAACAACATAGAAATAATAAAGACGCTCTTAAGCAAGTGGAACATAAAATTTTGATGTGTAATACTTGCTCATACAAGTCTTTACAGAGAAAAAACTTGAACAGGCATCTAAAAATTCACAGTAAGTGTAATTAATTATTTTCTAGGTATTCCAATTTATTTATATTGTCTTACAGTTAAAACAGAAACAAAAAAAAGTTCATCAGATGGCAATTCAAATTATTTTTATTGTTTTCATTGTTCCTATTTTACCAATACGAAACATTCATTGGCTAAGCATTTAAGACTGCACAATAGTTACAGTAGACTGCCGCACTGTTGTAAAGGTACTATACACGGAGAACCAGTGTTTTCAAAAACCATTTTTTTGCAAAATATTTCGACAATAAGTACCATAAAATTTTAAGAATATTTTTATTGATACTTTTTTTAAAGATTTTGTAAAAAAATGGTGTAAAAATGTTAAATACATATAATTTAGTTTTATGAAGTGTTTATTTTTGAGTTTTTAAGGTTGCGGTAAGAAATTTAACGAAAAAAATAGTTTGGATGCCCATATCATCAAAAATCACAGGACCAACAAGCAACTGATTCAATTGGTCACAAATACAATCCACAAATGCAGTTCTTGTGATTATATGGACGTGAATAAAAATAAATTAATTCGACACAGAAAAGCTAGACATGGTTCCAAAAAAGTCAAGTAAACCAGAAGATATTATTATTTATATTGTTAGAAGTTGTTGTGTTAAGTTATTTTATTTTATTTTACATAATTAAGTTTTGTTGGAAATAAAACATGGGTTGTTATAGAAATAATACTTTTTATTACTAATACATAATATATCATTATAAAAGAACATAGACTTACATATACAGGGTGTACTTGAAAAGTCTATACACTTCACTGCTATTTATAATAGTCACGAGGTTATTTTTTTCTCAAATAATATATAAACTCTTGCTGTTAAAAAAATAATTTATTATATATCAATATATTGTATGTACATAAAAAGGAATGTCTTCTTAAGTTGCCTATAACATTTTTCCAGGATATTTGTTTCTCTGTTAAGAAAAAAAAAACAGTCTGTATTTTACATATCCGACATTTTAAGTTTAGAAACAATACTTTTAAATTATAATCAAAAAGAGTTACATCCAACTAGACCTTTAATACAAATTAATTATTTCCCTCAAAAAAATAATGCACTTTTATAAAAAAGACCACTGTTTGAAGGCCGGGTTGTCTGTGCCGTTAGTTACCATTTATTTTTCGTTTTCTATAATGCTTATTCAGCTTCACTGGAATCTTTGTTTTGTACGTATTTATACCGGATTGCTAGCAACATAAACAATAACATATCCACCACCATCAATCCGGCATAGAGGAAGAAATCTTTGGACTAAAATCAAAGTATAAAAAACATATACGAGGGCAGTCTAAAAAGTTTACCTGGTCTTCGAAAATCTTCGCTGATGCTATAAGAACAATGATCAGGTTTCCACAGGCTGTTGTTAGGAGAAAAGCAGCCTGTAATACTGCTTTCATAGTGATGGGCGCTTGTGAATACGAAAACTGCAAACCGGTGATGACAAACATAATTTCTGCCGCCGTGATAATCACATACTGGGGCAGCAACCACAACATGTGAACGCTGTTTGGCTGAGTAACTGTGATCAGTTGGACTGAATTCTGTGAACAGAATAAATCAATAAATATATAGATTAGTTTTTCAATTCACCTATTATTTTAAATAATCTAGTAAGAAAATGTACCGTTTTGAATAAGGCTGTGTATGTTCCTCCCAATTTAACAGTGATTTCCAAAGAATTTTCAGAATTAACATCACGGTATGTTCCAGGATATGGCATACTATACAAACTAGTGTTTCCAGGATTTATTTTAACCCTGTAGGATGTTTCTTTCGTGTGTTGTAGGGTAATATTTCGCGCCAGGTATGGTAGAACCCTGTAAAAAAATAGAGATATGCGTTCTTTAATTTTTTATAGACAATTTTAACAAAGTACTTGAGTTGAAGACTTTTTTTAGAAGTTTTAAAGAACTACCACAGACCTAACTCATTTAAACTTAGTTACCCTTTTGGTTACCTTAGTTTCGGGTATCCATCGTGACTTTTTTCGATATTGTCTGTAAAACTGTACGCTCCTGACTGGCTCAAAAATATTCCATAAGTTCCTTTTTCGCTCATATCAATAGATAGGGGTTCTGGAGCAGCTTCATCGCAGGTTCCGGATTTTGTAAAGGTGAAAGTAATCTGTAATTAAAAATAAATCGAATTGTTGTTATTTAACTGGGTGGAATTTATTAGTCTTACTTTCTGAGTTCCCGAAATACGGATATCCTTATTTTCATAGTATCCTCCACTGATGGCCCCATTTAAATTGTTGTAATCGCTGGTGAAGCTGAAATTATAGAAAATAATTCTATAATAATAAGTTTAACTATGCAAACTTAACGTTCATTAGTTATAGAATGTCTAAATAATTTATATATTAAATACGTGTTTAACTTTTATCACAGTTAAAAAATAAAATTTTCTGCATTTTTTGTACAATTGTATATATTGATATCAAAGTAAAATAAATTAGAAATTTTCAATCATTACTTCCATATAACTAAAAGAAAAAAAAAACATTTAAGATAAAATAGTTTTGACATTTATTTAGTTTACTATTCAAATTTAATAAAAAAACCTTCACCATTTTGTCAGGAAATTTTTACCTCATTTTCTTCAACAGTTAAAAAAACAATAATTGCACTTATTTAAAAGATACTTTTAAATATACCTGTAAGCACAACTGGTAGCGTCGTATATCCGAATCTGGGCTTGTCCAGCGCTGGGCAGTACCGGGTAAGTACTTTCCAGTTTCATTGAAATGACAGCGGACACGGCAAAAGCGGTGGCGGTGAGAAAACCACCGCAGCAAATCCTTTGCAGTGGCTTCATCAACAGGTGGCACTTGGCTAACAAAGGGTACACTCCGTAAGTGAACACAGGAATAAAAATCAAAATTAGAAGAGGGTTGGCTATCTAATGAGAAAAGAAATTTTTATTGAAGACTACATGTGTTTAAGTTTAGGAAAACTTTTTTTTCAAAAAGTCACTTACATACCTGCATTTGGTCAGGCAGAATGGTATAAAATCCGATATCTCCGTCCATTCTGACTGCTTGGAAGGTCCACCCAGAAGCCTGTTGGTCGTACAGAGCCCAAAAAACGGGCAGTGGGACGTACAGTACCAAAACCTTGAGCAAACACTTGACATCGTTGACTAGTTCTGCCCCGAACGCGGGTTCGGATCGATCTAGCCAGTGGTCCACTGTTGGTCCTTTCCTGTGAGTAACGGCATACTACACAGGAAATGAGATACATATTAGTATTATTTCATTTTTTTAAATTTACGAGGGTAGTCTAAAATAGCGACGAAACTTATAAGACTACCCTCGTAGTGTTTTAAGGTTGATATGGTTGGACGGTTGGACTTACCCATATGCATTTGACTACTTGAACTATAATGTTGTCTTTGGGTTGTTTGATTTCGTACAGTGGCTTGCCAAGTGCAAATATGACTGAAAAAAAAAGATATGTTTATAAAAATATTGATTTTTGATGGTAAACTCACCGATTGCTATAATCATCAGACCTCCAGGAACTGCAAAAGCCAAAGGGTAGCAACTGTTCAAACCGAAGCAGTGGACATTCTTCCTTAAGATCGGAGTTAGAAATGTTGAAATTAAACTTCCAGCATTTATAGAGAAGTAGAACAAGGAGAAGAAGGTGGCCAGTTGTAATTCTTGCTACAAATGCCACGAAAATATTAAGTTAGAGTACCTAAAATCTTTTCTACAAACACTTCTTCTCACCTGGGGTAGAATAAATTGGTCTCCACCAAAGGCAGATACACATGGTTTAATTCCTCCTGTACCCACGGCTATTAGGATCAGCCCAAATATGGTAAATTCTCTCTGGGGTATATGTAGTGGACCAACTGATGTTACGGCTAATAATACACTGCCGGTAGCGTATATCATGGATACGTAGAGGATTGTACGGAATTTGCCCAACCAACTATCTGAAATAATAGAACCGAATAGTGGGAAGAAGTAGACGGTCATGTTGAAGGCGTGGTAGACGATTTTGGCTTCAGCTTCGGTGTAGAGGAGCATCCTTGTGAGATATAAGATGAGAATCGCTGAAAAAAAAAATGCAATTAGCTTTTATAATTAGCTTTTACAATTAGCTATTATAATAAAGTAGGATACTTACCTCGCATGCCATAGTAACAAAATCTTTCGCAGAATTCATTGCTTACAATGAAAAATACCGCTTTTGGGTAAGGAATATCCTGAAAAAGGAAGAAAAAGACTTTCATAAACTCTTCGGTATGTCCCCGGATTTGTCTTTACAAAAGGATAAACTTTTTTATTATTAACATTTTCAGAGAAATTATCTGTCTTATTAAAAAATATAGTTTATAATTATTTAAATTTCCATACCGTTTTAGAGAAAGTTGAAGTCCGAAAAATCAAAATGTGTTTTATGGTAATATATCTGGGTAATATAATTTCCTTTTAATTTTTTGATAGATCCTAATTGATAAATTTTAATTAGCGTCATATTTTTTGCTGTTTTAAATTGTTAAAGAAACACGATATTTATTTCGTTCAATGCTACGGAAAGAGTGATAATAGTTATAGGAAAATGTGATACTTTAACAATAGCAAAAATATGACGTTAATCAAAATTAATAATAACCATCTATCAAAGAATGAAATCGAAATTATATTGCCATAGAAACACCGTTGAACTTTTGGTATAATATATCTTTATAAAAGAATATATAATAGGTAGACACATATATACAGTTGTGCTTGAAAAGTCTATACACTTCACTGCTATCTATAATTATAATGGCCATGAGGTGGTTTTATTCTTAAATGATAAACTCGTGCTGTTAGAAAAATAATTTATTATTAATATATATTGTATGTACATAAAAAGGAATGTTTTCTTAATGCTATAAGATTTTCTCCCATGATATTGGTTTCTCTGCGAAGGAAAAAGAAACAGTCTTTATTTTACATATCCAACATTTTAAGTATAGAAACAATACTTTTAAATTCTAATCACATTCAACGAAAGTTGCTAGACCTTTATTTATTTTCCGCAAAAAAATTAACGCACTTTCACAAAAAAGATCACTGTTTGAAGGCCGGGTTGTCTATGCCGTTGGTTATCGTTTCTTTTTCGTCTAATTCTTCATCTTCGCTGGAATCTTCGTTTTGCACGTACTTGTACCTGATTGCCAGCCACATAAACAGTAACATATCCACCAACATCAGTCCGGTATAGAGGAAGAAATCTTTAGACTAAAATCAAAGTATATGAAATATAATATATTTACGAGGGCAGTCTAAAAAGTTTACCTGGTCTTCGAAAATCTTCGCTGATTCTATAAGAACAATAATCAGGTTTCCAAAGGCTGTTGTTAGGAGAAAAGCAGCTGTTAACACTGATTTCATAGTGCTGGGCGCTTGTGAATATGAAAACTCCAAACCGGTGATGGAAAACATAATTTCTGCTGCCGTGATAATGAAATACTGAGGCAGCAACCACAACATGTGAACGCTGTTTGGCTGAGTGACTGTGATCAGTTGGACTGAACTCTGTGAACAGAATAAATCAATAAATCTATGTATTAGTTTTTCAATTCACCTATTATTTAAAATAATCTAGTAAGAAAATGTACCGTTTTGAATAAGGCACTGTATGTTCCTCCCAATTTAACAGTGACTTCAAAAGAATTTTCAGAATTAACATCACGGTATGTTCCAGGATATGGCATACTATACAAAGTAGTGTTTCCGGGATTTACTTCAACACTGTATGATGTTTTTTTAGTGTGTTGTAGGGTAATATTTCTCGCCAGGTATGATAGAACTCTGTAAAAAGAACGGAGATGTGGTCTTTAAATTTTTACAGACAATTTTAATAATATGCCTGAGTAGAAGACGTTTTTAGAAGTTTTAAAGAACTACCACAGACCTACTTATTTAAAGTTAGTTAGCCTTTTGGTTACCTTAGTTTCGGGTATCCATCGTCACTTTTTTCGATATTGTCTGTAAAACTGTACGCTCCTGATTGGTTCAAAAATATTCCATAAGTCCCCTTTTCGTCCATATCAATAGAAAGCGGTTCTGGAGAAGCATCATCGCAGGTTCCGGATTTTGTGAAGGTGAAAATAATCTGTAAATAAAAATATATTTTTTTTGTTATTATTTAACTAGGTGAAATTTTATCCTCTTACATTCTGAGTTCCCGAAATCTGGATATCCTTATTTTCATAGTATCCATTACTGATGTCCCCATTTAAGTCGATACCGTAATTGCTGGTGAAGCTGCAATTATAGAAAATAATTCAACCATAAGAAACAAAACTCAACTAAGTTTAACTATGCAAACTTAGCATTCATAAGTTATAGAATGTCAAAATGATTCACATTTTAAATACAGTGCTTAAATTTTATCACAGTTAAAAAATAAAAATTTCTACATTTTTTGTACAATTGTATACATTGATATCAAAGTAAAATAAATTAGAAATTTTAAATCATTACTTCTATATAACTAAAAGAAAAAAACATTTAAGATAAAATAGTTTTAACATTTATTTAGTTTACTATTCAAATTTAATAAAAAAAACCTTCACCATTTTGTCAAGAAATTTTTACATCAATTTCTTCAAGAATTAAAACAATAATTGTACGTATTTAAAAAACACCCTTTATATACCTGTAAGCACAACTGGTAGTGTCGTATATCCGAACCTGGGCTTGTCCAGCGCTGGGCAGTACCGGGTAAGTACTTTCCAAATTAATGGAAATTATAGCTGACACGGCAAAGGCAACTGCGGCGAGAAAACCACCGCAGCACATCCTTTGCAGTGGCGTCTTCAACAGGTTGCACTTGGCCAACAAAGGGTACACTCCATAAGTGAACAAAGGAATAAAAGCCAAAATAAGAAGAGGATTGACCACCTAGTGAAGAGAAAAATCTTTAATGAGGATTAAAGCATTTAAGTTTACGAAAACTTTTCAGAAAATCACTTGCCTGCATTTGGTCAGGCAGAATGGTATAAAATCCGATATCTCCGTCCATTCTGACTGCTTGGAAGGTCCACCCAGAACCTTGTTGATCGTACAGAGCCCAAAAAATCGGCAGTGGAATGTACAGTACCAAAACCTTGAGCAAACACTTGACATCGTTGACTAGTTCTGCCCCGAACGCGGGTTTGGATCTGTCTAGCCAGTGTTCCACTTTTGATCCTTTCCTGTGAGTAACAGCATACTGTCCAGAAAATGAGACACTTTAGTATTATTTCTATAATTATTTCATTTTTTTTAAACTTACGAGGGTAGTCTAAATTAACAGTTTGTCTCGTCTGAGCTCAGAAACTTATAGGACTACCTTCGTAGTGTCTTAAAGTTGATTACGTCACTTACCGATATGCATTTGACTACTTGAACTATAATGTTGCCTTTGGGTTGTTTGATTTTGTACAGTGGTTTTCCAAGTCCAAATATGACTGAGAAAAAAAATAGGTTTAGAGAAATACTGATTTTTGGTGGTCATCTTCACTCACCGATTGATACAATCATCAGACCTCCAGGAACTGCAAAAGCCAAAGGGTAGCAACTGTCCAAACCGAAGCAGTGGACATCGTTTCTCAAAATCGGAGTTAGGAATGTTGAAATTAAACTTCCAGCATTTATAGAGAAGTAGAACAAGGAGAAGAAGGTGGCCAGTTGTAATTCTTGCTACAAATGCCACGAAAATATTTAAGTTAGAGTCCCTAAAATCTTTTCTACAAACACTTCTTCTCACCTGGGGTAATATAAATTGATCTCCTCCAAAGGCAGATACACATGGTTTAATTCCTCCAGTACCGATGGCTATGAGGAGCAGCCCAAATATTGTAAACTCTTTTTGGGGTATTTGTAGTGGTCCAACTGATGTTAGAGCTAATAATACACTACCTGCAGCGTATATCATGGATACGTAGAGGATTGTACGGAATTTGCCCAACCAACTGTCTGAAAGAATAGCACCAAACACTGGGAAGAAGTAGACGAACATTGTGAAGGCGTGGTAGACGATTTTGGCATCTGCTTCGGTGTAGAGGAGGATTTTTGTGAGATATAAGATGAGAATTGCTGAAAAAAGAAATGCAGTTAGCATATTTCTTTTATTAGAAGGTAGATACTTACTTCGCATGCCATAGTAAGAGAATCTTTCGCAGAATTCATTGCTTACAATAAAAAATACAGATTTGGGGTAAGGAATTTTCTGAAAAACAAAGAAAAGGATCTTTATAAACTCTATATCGACTTTATTGAACACTTAAATTGCTTTTTTTGCTGATAATATAACAAATTACAAAAGTTTGGATGTTCAGGATGAATGTTTTTAGTACCCAATGAAGTAATAATTTAATATCACATATGTTTCTAATCTCAAATGTAACAAATTTTTATTTAATTTCTACATCATTTTAGTCCCTAAAAAATGAATTTTGTACAATCAGTTGGTTGCGCCAAGTGTTGCACTAACTAATGTCATTTAAAATAAAACGTGTGCAAATTTTTATACTTTTATAGCCAACGATTACCAAGTAGTATCATACAAATTACATTCCCAAATTCAATTTTCTTTTAAAAAAACAATTTTGATTTTAAAATTTACCGTTTTCAAAATACAGATTTCAAAATATTATGAAAAATATCAATTGTGTTTGTTGTTTTTATTTTTGGTATAATAATTATCACTAATCAAACAATTAATTGGAAATACGTACTTCAAGATTCAATGTTTTGCTTTTTTCGGTCAAGGTGGAAGTTTTGTATTCATAGCTGAGTTTAAAATAAAAATGACATAAAAATGCAATTTTATTTATTATTTTTTTAAATTTTTTTCTTCCAATTTTGAAATTCATGGGAAAAATATAACTTGATAACCTTCCGAGCCCATATTTAAATAGTTACCTACAAGAACATGTAAGGTATGGCAAATTAGAATTTCTAATGCGTTTCTTTTTAAAAAATAAATTTTCGCTCCATATTAAATTTTTTCATTATGTAAATTTGACTTTTGAATTTTATATTTGTTAAAAGTTGAAAATCAGTAGCGGCAATTGACCTAATATCTCTAATCAACATCAACATAAAAACTTGCAAAAAAACCTTTACAAATCGATTACAAATAATATTAATTCGTAATCTTTTATCTCGATTTGTTTACATTTTAATACTTTTTTAACGTTTAAATTAATGTATTTTAATTATTAATTTTATTACTCTAGTTTGACCTTCATTGAACGATATTTTCTGTAATATGGTAGGGAATCCTTGATGATACACCTCATGAAATACCGGTTCTAGATGGTATTTGAAATGGTACATCATAAATAAACAAAGGAACAGCGGTGTTTTGTAAATATTTTTTTTCCTATGCGATTAGATCAGCCTGTGAGAGATTTTATATATTGTGCGCCCAGGATAAAATGAAAGACATTGTATATTTTGGAGAAAAAGTTTCTTTAGGGCGCCTAGAACAAGATTAAAAATTTTGAACGCCCAGGAAAAGATTAAAATTTGTGCGCCAAGGATAAAATCAATTTTCCTCTGCCATTAAAATCAATCAATGCTGAACGCCGGAAACGCGATTTAAATTTTTGTGCGCCCAGGGTAAGATATACATTTTAGGCGCCCAAGCTTGCATAGATTTATTTATGCGCCCAGGGATGAAACAAAAGTTTTGAGGAGTATTAATAACCAAAGCTTAGTTTTGAGTGTTTAGAATAAGACTGAATTTTTGTGCGCCCAGGACAATAAGCTTCTCCTAAATTTTATGCGCCCAAAACAGCATTGATATTTTATACTCAATATTTTACAACAAATTTTTAGATTCTGTAAATTATTTTATGTCATAATAGCCATGACACAAATGAAAATGTTGACCACGAAACCGCAGTGTAATTATTATAGTAGTAAGGGGAAGGTATAGTTCTCATAAATTTTAAAATAAAAAAAATATAGATATTGTCTTAAAAAAAAATAGAGAGACTTAAATATAGAGTATGTTGCGAAATATATGGTATTTACGCACCTTTTTTTGTTTTTCTACTCCCATTTTGCTGAGATTTTTGTCAAACTCTTTACTAAATAATATTTCAGAAAACGAAAGTAATAATCAAGGAGAAAAATATCACAGATTGCGTCATGTAAAACTAATAAGTCTTTCAGGCACTTTTTCGAACTTTTACTCTATCCATTTTTTGACCGAAATTCGAATATCTAGGATTGCGCGACATACAAATTGAAAGAACCCGTTCTCTACGGTGTTTACCTCGCGACTGTTGATGAAAGCAACAACAAATTCTTTTCACGTTCTGTGGACATAATTGTTGAAAGGACGGTAGCCGATCGCAATTTAATAACAGTCACACGCAGACCATAATCTTTTTTTGTTTACACAATAACTTTATGCTTGGTATTTCCTGAAATTTTCAGTATAATCGTTGTCCTAAAAAAACTAATATCTTCTGATCTATTCAAATATACATTTTTTAAATGTCTTTGAACTTGGTATTTGAAGAACCAATTTTAAGATTTACATAGAGAAAGTATTCGAGATCGGTAGTTGATTTGCAACTTGTTTACTATAAATACAGTGTGACCCAGTATTTCAAAGAAAACTACATACAAATTTTTCTATTTGTGATTTTCAGTCCAATTCTTTTTTGCAAAATACATTCATTGAAAATATTTTTAGATTTTCAGTGCGATTTAAAAATATTTTTACATTAACGTTTTTGTAGTTCTTGAAATGGAATGCTGTTTCGGAAACATTGCAGGTTCACCCTGTATATTTTTGTTAAAAAATTATATAGATAACCCAACCTAATTACTTTTAAAATACTTATTTTATCTTCTTATTTAAAAATGTAGGAATGTTGGAAATTGATAAACTAAAATTACCTCAGGATACTGTAGGTTTAGTCAATAGAACTATGTACTTGTATAAATTATATTGAAAATATTATACGAATTTTAAAATATTAAAAAAATTAACGAGAGAAAAAATTTAGTAATAAAAATTTTAAATATGTATATCCTTTATAGCAATAAAATAAAAATATAAATTATCGTTCTTGATTGCTACAAGGTTATAGCAGACTACTATTATGTTTTAGAAGTGTAAAGGTACTAGAACTTGTCAGTATTTTGATATTTTCTTATAAGGACCACTCTTTATTAAGTTTGTATAACTACAGGAGAACGTTTTTTTTTTGAAAAAATATTATTACCTCTAGTGTCGATTCTTCATCTACATCGCCGTTTTGTTCTTGAGACTCTGTGGCATCTCCTCTTGATTCATCTACAATAAAAATAAAAACAAGTATAGTCTCTTTTTGATTGTTATATTTTCTTCTATCTCTTCCTCTTATAATATAACGAAGGCTTTATTTCAAAAAGATGTAACTTTTCTTCTGTATGTTAGTTATAAACAGGCAGCTTTAAAACAGCTGTATCACAATTTTTGTGTATATTTTTGCTTGGTAAGATATCTCTTACATTTAAAAAACAACACACCCTGTACAATTTGTAAATATTAATGCTAGACAGATGCACGGAAAAAAGTTGTAATTATTTATCAATCCACTTGAGAACAGTTCATTTTATGACTATATACAATTCTGACCCTATTATATAGCAATACTAATATTTGCACCTGCCTATTTTAATTATCTTTGATACGTACAACTCTTATAATAATTAAAACAAAATACGTAATATGTATTTCTATATTTTGAGATTACCACATACATCACTACGTCGCTACTTTATATACAGAGCGATATAAAAATTTAGACGAAAAACATTTTTTCGAAAATCTTCCCTTCAAAATCCCATCCAAATCCAAAATCCCCGTTATATCATACTGGGAACTAAGTTTTTTAGTTCCCCCATAATTCTTGCAAGCATGTATATTTAATGTTTTAGAATACGAATTACGGGATTAATTTTATGAAAAAACTTTAGTCATTGTGCATTCAGCGTTTTTGATTAAATCTGTTTCTAAAGATAGAAATTAAATGTAATTATAATGTAAGTACTACTTCTAGTTCTGCGGATTTTCAAAACGTGTACTACCTAGTGTGTTCCAATTGTGTTCTTTATCGCTATCATTGAGACTTGCATCATACTTTTCTTGAAATTCCACTTTTGTGTCGTAGTATAGAAAATTTATAAGTACCCTCATAATACTATAATCTTAATATATTATCAATATAGTCAATGAATGCATCAGTCAAAAAGTTCTTTCTAAGACTCAATAAGTGTTAAGTTTACATAACGTGGAATTGGCGCTGAAGAATTTAAATATGGACATTGTAGAAAACCTGTTGGTCAATGACAATCTACATTATTTCGTTCATTTGCATATCGATTTGCAAACGAATTTAAACACCGACATTGTTTATAAAGCTGTTTAATTTAAGTTAATATGGGGTCGACCCACTGACATTTCCAAGATGGGATTTCGGATTGATTCGAAACCCATTTTTGCCAATTGAGGAGGATGAAAGTGAAGAAAAATTATATTAGACTAGTTTTTTTATATCCGTTGACCTAGTTTGAATATGACAATAAATAAATCAGCATTGTATTTTTATTTGTATCAGTTATCTTAAAGTTTGATTCTTAATCTCATTTCTTAACTTTTCTCATTTTTTTTCGCTGCTGTAATTTTCTGTATTAGAGATTTCTTTACATTAATTATTTGAAATACGTCGATAAACTAGTTATAATAAAATATATATAATCCGGGACATTGTTTGAACGATAATACCTTGTAATCTAGAGATAATTGTACCCTCTTACAGCCATTGTTTCTTTTAATTGTTTATTTTACAATACGCGTACATGTACAAGGTGTTGTATAGATGCCAGAGAAATCAGGATAAATTTATTAAAACATGGATTTAAAGAAAATATGCTGGGAAATCTTGATGAGAATTATAGCATGTAATAAAATAATAAATAGTAAGGTTTTATAATTTAGATTTCTTATCTAGACATCAATCATTAATATGGTTTAGTTTTTAATCCTTCTAATAATATAAAAATGGTTTTTAATGCGGTAAATCTGTTTTATTGAATGTTCAGAATAATTTTGATGCACACAGTAAAATTTTTGGTAACTTTTTTACTAGGTACTAACTTAATTTACTTGCAGGTTTTTAAAAAAATTATTTACAAAAAACTCTTTTTTCAAAACTTCTTATTTTTTTTGTGTAAAGAGTCATTTACGAATGACTCTTTTGAGAGTTAATATATATTTTTTAGCATTAAAAAATCAAAATTTATGCATTTTTTATGTAAAAAAATGTATTGTTAATGATATTTAAAAACTTTTACAAAGCAAGTTAATTACCTTTGGTAGCTGTCATTTTGGGGTTTACTAAACTATATCACCCTTTAATATTTTTTGGACTCGAATCCTTTGATTCTTGTCCTTTTGGTGTATCACACACAACTGATCGCCTATTATAGATCTGATTCCAGATCCGTTAACAAATCTTATCACTTTTAATCGGTTTAGTGTATACTTCTTCGTTATCGCCTTTCATTATTGTCTTTTCGAGAGCAATAGATATTTATTCTCGATATATTACAATGATTGGCACAAATAAAAGAACAGAAAAATCCCGTTTTTTTAAATATATTTGAAAACCGCGGTTTTTTTCAAAATAAAGCGGCAGAGAAAATATTCGTTACAAAATGGTTTACGACTGCACGTCTGGCAATAAAATTTTGATTTGTTTTTTGATAAAAGTATAGAATATGATTATATATGCTGTGTATTTCAAATTCGTGATGCGGCAATTTTTAAATGAATGTGTTTTACGATACTGAATTTTTGGTGTAATTCGCAAAATAAACATCTGTTTTGTTGGAATTCTTGTTGATATTCTGTGTTATACATATATACAGAGTGGCAAAAAAAATTTCAAAAGATGTTTCAAATTTATACAATAAAATTTGGCGCCGGGCGGCACGTATAGCCGCCCATACTAAAATATGTTAATATCTCGAAAACTGCGACTTTGACTGATTTTGATGTTATTACAAATTTTGTTGCAAATATTATTCCTAATCTTAATTTGAAAACCGCGTTTCGCTAGCTGCTGTAATTTTGGAGTTACGATTTTTTTAAATTTTTAACCCCCTCCCATACCCCCTTACCAACCCCTCACCCCCACCAAAAACTAACAGCCAGATTCTCGGGTGCCACAGTATTTTTGTGCCAAATTTGGTTAAAATCGGTTCAGCGGTTATCGTGTTACAGACGGACAGACAGACAGACAGACAGACACCATGAAAATATTTTGTATTTAGGCCATTTATGACCCAAATAACTCATTTTGAGTGAAATTAAAAAAACTTTTTTTTTGCCGATCTTAATAACTTACCATACCTGTTGGTATGGTCGGCTAAAAAATGAAATTGGTGATCAGTACAATGATTTCTATGCTACCCTGTATATTATACCTGGCATTCAATTGATACGTCACTATTTTTTGACAAAATATTTGATAGAAGTATTTTTGAAAAGAAGCAATAAGAAAAATCTTAAATTTTAATGTATCTAGTAAGTTTTCGTATGCCAAATTAATAATTTTGGAAAAAAATGATCCTTTATTGCTTTCTTTAGGATTCCACGTATCCCACAGCGGTTTTTTGTATTATAGCGACGGAATTTTGCGAAAGATTCTCATTTTGTGGCTTGAGAAGTAAGCATGAAAAATCTCAATTGTAATTCATTATTTTTTAAACAGTTCCCAATATTTTTATACCTTCTACAGCTATTCTATCGTTGTATTTAAGAAATGTATTGGAGTTTTCTGAAGATGCTTCAACAGTAATATATCACATCTTTATAATGGCTTGCTATGTTCTTCCTGTAGTGGGTGCAATATGTGCTGACAGCTATTCGGGAAGATATAGGTAGGAATATCTTTTACAAAGTAAAGAACAAAATTTAAATCATTTGGTCTTTCTAGAACAATAAGAAACTTTTCTTTGATTTACTTGGCAGGCAATACTTTGATGTGCATTGCAGCTGTTCCTGTGTTAGACCACAATCCCATGTAAGTAACTAATTAACTCAAAAATAAGTAAATAATTATAGACAACTCTAGATTGCTATCATTTCTTGCGTTGTTTCTGATAGCCGTTGGTACTGGAGGATTAAAGCCTTGCGTTGCAGCTTTTGGTGCCGAACAATTTCAGCTACCAGAACAAAAAGAATTGCTCAGGTACGTCTCAATTTTTTTAATAATTTTCCAAAGTATTTATATTTTCCTTTCAGGTATTTTTTCTCTGTATTCTATTTCACCATCAACCTCGGAGGTTTCGTTGGCATGATAGTAACACCTATCGTCAGGAAAGCTGTCTCTTGTTTCGGAGATGACACGTGTTATTTGTTGGGTTTTGGGTTTCCAGCAGTTTTAATGCTCCTCTCCATTCGTAAATACGTTGATCTTATCAAAAAAATACGTAGAAATAAATTTAAAATATCATTTTTAGTGCTATTTGTATTGGGAAAGAATTTTTACAAACTCAAAACCCCCAAGAAGAACGTCATTCTCGAATTCATTAAATGTTCCTCGGTATGTATTGTGAAACTATCCCGAATAATAAGATTCTGGTTATATTAATATCTCGCAGTATGCTTTAGGTCAAAAACGGAAATTATCCAAAAGAATCAGACAAGAGCATTGGTTAGACTATGCGAAAAGCAATTTTGAAATGAAATTAATCAAAGATATGAAAATAGTGTTTGCTATCTTGCTTCTGTTCGTCCCTTTGCCCATATTTTGGTCGCTCTTCGACCAGCAAGGTTCAAGATGGACTTTCCAGGCTTCCCACATGGACGCTAGTGTTCTAGGGATCCAGATAGTACCAGATCAGATGCAGGTGATCAATCCGGCGATGGTACTAGTTCTAATTCCGGTTTTTGATAAAGGGTTTTATCCGTATTGCGAGAAAAAAAATATTTTGAAGAACCCACTGCATCGGATGGCTTTGGGCGGTATGGCCGCAGGACTTTCCTTTATTTGTGGTAATATTTCTTCTATTTTTTTTTCTAATAAAAATGTTACTGAAGAGTTTTAGCGGGAATTTTGGAGTTGGTTTTGGAAACGACGTATCCAGATGTACCGCAAAGGAACCGTATATCGGTAAATGTGATCAATACCATGCCCTGTGATGTTACCATTTGGAATTCTTTAGATAAAGAACGGAATTTGGAATCTGGTAATAGTATTAGGTAAAAATATTTAAATTTGTTCAATAAAAATACACTAGGAAAGAAATTTTCAGGTTTCGAAATATTTTAAAGCATAATAAAACTTCCTATAAACTCTCAGTCAATGCACCTAAAAATTGTGGAAATATTTCTTTAACTAATAAAAATATCCAAGTACAAAAAACCCTAGAAGAATCTCAAGTAAGTTTGGCAGTAATTCCCAATAAAAATTTAAAAAAAACTGTATTTTTGACCTTAGGAAGACACATTTATCATAAGTTACGATGAAATCAAACAAATCAGAAGTTATTTAACTGATCCTATTGATTCTACAAAATCGATCAGTGGAATACCGAAAATCAGGTACAATATTAGGTCCCATTATTGTGTATTTAATTTAAATATATATTTTTTTCTAGAATAGATTATGTAAAAAATACAAATTTGCTTCAGAACATTACTGTGACTTTTAGAAGTTCTTCTGGATTAGAAGATATGTATTTTTTGGGAACGGAAAATCAAGATTTTGGAGTTATTGCATCTCCTTATATGGAAATACCTCAAGGAGTGTAAGATTTAGTAAAAAAAACAGTTAAGTTAAGGAATAAGTAAGGTTTGTAGGTACGAATGTGTGATTAGTAGTGGAAATAACAATCGGGATTACGAAAAACATTTTCATTTAGCTTTTGGTGGAGTGTATTCGTTAATTATTACGGAAAATCATGGAAAAGTTGAGGTGAGATAGTTTTTCCTCCTTTTTTTTAGGCGAAAGGAAAAAAATCTTTTAATTTTAGTTTGTAAAACTCTTTACCACATCCGCACCTAACTCTATCAATATTTTGTGGCAGCTTCCCCAATATTTCCTTATATCAATAGCAGAAATAATGTTTGGAGTTGCTGGTCTAGAATTTTCCTTCACACAGGTACTAAGTATATTGAATAAAAAGTCTTAGGAAAGTTCCAGGTTAGGGTTCCAGTAACGTATCTATATTTTTGTTGTTAAATAGTATCTGGTATTCTTAGATATATTAGAATAGAACTTAATCCTATTGTAGGCACCCAAAAGCTTGAAAACAGTCACCATAGCTGGATGGTACTTGTCTACAGCAGCCGGAAACCTTATTGTTATCGTAATAGCACACGTGTTCAAAAGACAGGTAACAATGTAGAAATAAAAATATTTTAATTTAATTAACAAAAAAAATGAAGAAAATGTCAAAAATAACTTACTAAATTGTTTTTATCTTATATCTAAATCGTTTATTACACTATAAAACCACGAAATGATCGATTACAAGATTTGGATTTAGATTTTTATTATACAGTATTATAAGATTTTCGCACGAACGAAATAATTATTTATGATTAAGGACTAATAAAATTATCAACGAAAAAAATCTTAAAATGCGCTAAATCTTATTTTTCTTATCAAAAAAAAATGCAATTTATTAATTTCCTGGGTTTATTTCTATTTTCAGGCCTACGAATTTTTCTTATTTGCAGTGGTCATAGTGGCCGACATGGTAATTTTTACCGAAATGGCTTCAGGCTATCATTTTGTAGAATTAGAAGTGGACAGTTCAGTTTTGATTGTCAATCAGTCGAAAATTGAGGAGGAAGACCATTAAAAAGAGGCTAATCGTTAGAAGAAAAAATAAGATTTACTTAACTTTGTCTGAAATTACTTATGTATTATAAAAAAAAGTAAAATGGATACTCAATAAAATAGTTTAAAAGCTCATTTTGTGATCAATGGCAAGAACTTCAACTTAAATAAATAAAACACTTGGTAATAGTTTTGTAATATTTATATTACAACTTAAAAATCTACACTCAAACATTGTAGATTTACATACATATTTTAAATATTTTTTCGGTTTACATATTATACCGGGTGCGTCATAAAACTAACTTTGAAAAATCATTTTTTTGATGGTATTAAAGTTAGTTATTATTGATGGAAACCCGGATAAAATAAGAGAAGAAAAGATTCATCAAGTAGATATAGATATCAACGTAGTTTGAATAGATTATTAGATTGATGATATTATAGAAGTGGTTATATTATGGACATTTTTTTTATAATTATGTTGTACAGATATATGCTTGTATAGGATATGAAAAGCTTATTATATTATCTTAACTGAATTTTATTTAGTTATTTCAGTCACATCACACTTACGAGCATACATATATAGATTTTTGTGCAATCTAACTTTCGCAACTCACACTACATCGACCTAAATCATATAAAAAACCATTGCAAAAAATATTTTTGTGCTTCCTGTATTAATACTGAGTATTACAATACTTATTTAGTTATTTAAACCCTAAAAACTAACTAATACCAAACTAATACGGTACATTTTCTTTATCACATATCGAATATATTATACACGGTGTGTCAAAATAAAAAAAAAATAAATAAAAATATTGTTCCTACTAATATGAAGTTATGAAGTTGTACAAATATATAAATAGAATAAAATAAGTAATCTGATGGTAAATTTTTCTTTATTTATTTATATCCAAGAAGTATGGTCCCTCTCTCTCTTATTAGTTTGAGTTTGTCGGTGACGCGAAAAATTGAATCACAGTGTAAAAGGCTGCACTTAATCCAAAACTATATACAGCGTGATTTAGTTTTAATATACAAACTGTATGTATACACAGTGGCAGGTACAAAATTTTTTTATGCCACTGTATATGCACATAGTCGTAAACCGATCAATCTATAGGTATCAATCGTCGGTTTTACATGACATAGAACATAGAACATTGATGGTTAAATATTTTTTATCCTTTTTTATACACAGGCAACTTATTTTCTTTTTCTTTAAAGAAATGACTCTGATGCAAAATACCATTATTTAACACTGAATACTTATAGAAGTCGTACAAAAATCCTTTCCTTTTCAATTTACACAAACTTTATATTAATAAAACACATAGTAAAAATATGATTAATACAGTTATTTTTCTTATTTAGGCAAATACACTAGGTGTCCTCAAAAAGAAAATATTTATTTTCTTCTTAACACACCCCTGTATTGTTTTGCTATATTTTTCAATATATACTTATATTCTATATAAATACTTTTTTGTAAGTGCAGTAATACGTACATACATACATATATAATATATTATGTAAAATAATAAAATACAAACTATTTTCTTTTTGATATTTGATATTGTCTAATTTTTTCTTTACTCGAATTACAATAAGTTTATATAGAGGCACCGAGGGCTTATGGATCATACTTGTGACCATACCCTGTAGAATATTTGACAACGCCGAAATAAATTGTCATTGGTTCTTTGTTCCAAATATATTTATTTCGAAATGTTCAATAGTAATAGTAAATCAGATCAAGTTAGCCTGGTTTCAAAACAATCGAAAAGGACAGACAGAGTTGATGCGGACGGACATGCTTAAAATAAAACATTTTCATTAAAAAATAGCAACAATATCACCGGTATTCATAAGCGACTTTACTTTGTTATTGCTTAAAGGACTCGTAGCGAAATTTAGGGATTTTTTCGTAGACGCGGCAACGCAGCTGCTAGGGTTGTCCAAAAATAATTTATAGCCTCTTAAACTAAGAATATTATTAAGCGTGGTTTATATAAGTAACTCTTTCCATAAAATATATTATCAGTCTTTATTCGTTCAAATTTAAATTAATCTTAAAATTATTAAAGCTTTTTTAAAAAGGCATTTTTTTGTGTTTTTTATTCATTTAAATCCAAGCTACCTTGATCTGATTTTGTTTTCAAGCGTTTAGTACATACACCCCGTACTTTTTTCTTATGCCATATTATGATCAAATGAATTTATATTTATATACATTTGAGTCAGCCTTAAAATACAGTTTTATGTATTTTTTTGATATTTTTAAACCTCTATCTTAATCGCTTTTAGTTTTTAAGCTTTAGTACATACACCCTGTACATTTTTATGTTGTATTATCAGTGGCGTAGCTAGGACAGCTGTACTGTTCCCAGTTATTCCCATTGAAAATCGTATAAAAGAAAGTCTAAACAATTCACCCAAATTCCTTTTGTTGTTTTTACAAAGATACTAGATTATATCTAGCTACGCCACTGCGTATGATCAAATAAATTTGTAATAGATTCATCCTTAGAATAACATTTTCATTTTGTATTAGCTCTAGATAAATATACGAAACACATAATACAGGGTATATATTTTTATGAATGTTTTCGAAATAGTACATTATAAAAAAAGATAGTATGTGTGTATGTGTTGTTGGGAAATGTGTAAATAACCTATTTTTTGGAAATCCCACCGTTTTTTGTACAGGATGGGACAGTCTTATTCATAGGAGTATCTATCTACGTCCTAAACATCGATTTTAAAGCTTTGTTCCATTATATACCGCCCAGTGGCGGCGTCAGTTAAATAAAACCATTAAATCCACACACCAGGGTGGTACGATACGACCCTGCCATGGTCACTGGTCGCCTCAACAACCGTTGCCATATCTCCTCATCATAACTCGTAGACTTCCCTGCCGTTTGCCCGTGTTGATGCACATCTACAAAAATTGAAATAACATTGAGAATAAATTTAATGGAAATTGGGTTTTAAAAACTAACCTGTCGGTAAATCTTTTGCTTCTACCACCTTCGTTGGCCCTTTGTGGACTACAGTACATGTTGTAGCCCGGTATGATATGCACTCTCACATCACCAGACGGTCTAACACCTTCTGGTCTTTGCCTTCTGGAGAAGGACACTGTAGTCTTGCAACAACAGTACTGAAACAATCTGAGTTAGTAATTTTTCAAAAAAAAAATCTTTGCTGGATAATTTTTCTACCTGGAATAGGTTGATGTAAGCTCCGCGAAAATGCCTGTTCAGTACACCATACAATATACTGTTAATGCATGATTTGCTGATTGCCAGCCAAGCCAGGTTATAGAAAACCTTTCCAGAAACTTTGTTGACGTTGTCAATGGCTAGTACTACACCAAACGGTACCCAGAACACTAGAAATATGACGAAACTGTACATGTTGGTTTGTGTGAGGGCATAGTCCCAGTTAAATGTGACAGGCGCTTTGAAGTTTGGTCTGGATCTAAATCTGAAAGTTAATAATAAATCGTAAATATAAAATGTTTTAACAAAATGCAGTTTAATAAAAGTATAATAAAGAATTCGTATTATTATTGATTAATAAGATTTTTCTATGTGCGAAACCATCAAATATTATTTCTTTATTGAAAAACGCGAGAATTTTGTTAAAAATAATTAGTTCCAATAAAGAAAAACCGACTAATTATAGGTTATTAACTCTGCTTCCTATAAAGGGGTCATTATCGTGAACTTCTAAGGCCAGTCTCATTACTTATCCTTTTTTTAGCATAACACTAAGAATTTTAATCTATACGACATCAAGGCAATTGCTTTATCTAACACTAACCTTCTCACTTGATATCCTGTTCTCACATAGCAAAACAATGCTATGGATAGTGGAACGAAAACAAAAATCACTGACACGGTAGCCTGATAAGGTATCAGTCCCAGGTCGTTTCTAGTGCAGTAATCAAATGACAGATCGGAATAAAACTGCATTCCAGAAATGCATCCGCATGCTGCCCAGATGCCCAGCAAAAGGAAAGTTATCTTTCTGTAAAAAATGTTTGATTTAAAGAAAGCGTGTATATTTTTTTAAAAAAATTACCTTTTTGTTAGTTTTTGATAGACATCTACAGAGTAGCACAATCTAAAGTAGTTTTCCCATGCCACAGCTGCCAGTGAGAGCACTGTAACCAAGAAACACCACACTGCAATGAACCATTGGAACCTGCACACTGTCAAATTGTCTTTCAATCCTGCCAGGATTACCACTGCAGAAGCTGGGATTACCAAGCCACTTACCAAAAGATCTGCTAACCCTACGTTTACTATGAAGGTATTGCCTGAAACAAGTCCTTTTATATACAGGGCGCTCTTGAAGGAATAACTTTTTAATTAACATAGCAAAAATAATATTTAGAGAAATTTCTTATAAATGATTTGATAATTGGAATGTACTTCTTGTTATGTCAATTCTAAGATATTCCTGAAAAGATATTCTATACAGGGTAGTAGAAGTTAAAATGTTAAAATTCTTCTATAAAAACTGGGCCCACCCTGTATAGTACGTTCTAATTCTAATCTATGTTTTACTATGGAACTGAAGTCTAAGATCTATTTTTTTTTGCTAAATTTATCAATCACAATTTTTAATCACACTAGGTATACAGGGTGTGTATTAAATAACTGATGTTAATATTTCACCTTACTAAAATTTTAAAATATTGATATCCACTCTTATTTAAATGACGCCTTGTATACTGAATACCGAATAAAGTAATAAATGTATTCTATGTTTTCTAGCTCATATTAGTTTTGTTCAATTTAGTTACGTTTGCAAAGAGTAAAATTCGGCCGAAGTATATTGTTTTCTGATATTAATAAAATGTATTAATATTATAATTATTTTTTTTTTATCTAAATGGAACAAACCTAAGTATTTGTAGTATATACAGGGTGACAATTTGAAAACTAACAGTATTTAATATTGTCTCTACCGATGATAGTATGAAAATTTTCAAAAAAATAATGCAGTTTATGTAGAATTCTATAAGAAACACAAAAATGGTAAAGGAATAGGGGTTGCTATTTAAAATTTTAGGGGTAGATGCCCTGGGGGTTAAGGGGTTGAAAGTAACACGACAACAAATGCCTCAAAAATTGTCCCCTTGATATGTAAATTGACGTGTTTCGCCAAATTTTCATACTATCATCGGTAGAGGCAATATTAAATACTGTTCGTTTTCAAATTGTCACCCTGTATGTTTTGTTTTAGGAATAATTAATATCTATATATCACTAAAATGAATACTTGTTCTTAAAAAAACTAATAGTCTGTGATTACAGGAAATAGAAACAATCAAACTACAAGGATAATATTTCAATTTTATTTATGTATTTAAAAAGAACTTACAAATTCATATTCTTGTGACCACAGATAACCTATTATAAATATTCGATATACAGGGTTTTCTAAAAGAGTATAAGCAGTTTTTAAGTAGAGTTTATTAAAAAAAACAACAATATAAGAAACTAGTAAGAATAAATAGGTTTACTATATGTCTAAAAGAATTAAGAGAGATTCAGCGCTAATCACAAGAAATATACTAAAAGTAAAATAAAAAAGAAGTATCAAAAAAAATCACCAAAACATCACCGTGAAGTATGGTTAAAGTTGCCACTCCTGAAACAAACATTAATTTGTTTTTTTAGTGTTGATTATAAATAGGTCAGGTAACTTATTTAAGTTGTTAACGAACTAGAGCTTATTTAAAATTAAAATTACCTCTAAAAATCCAGGAAACGTAATTGTTCAACTAGGAAACTGTAATTCCGTTAAATTTTAACTCGCGGCTGATTTAATAAAAATCTTCAGCCACTTTCGATCGAAGATTAATTAAAATGAAGTTATAATCTTCACCTAGCTAAGATATTATCTTTATAAGAGATTTTTTCGATAAAAATATATTTTTTAAATATATTGAACTTAATGTAATGCAGAGCATGTAATTATTCAATCACCTTAAAACAACAGGTTGTTGGAAAATGCATTAATGCGACTTTGTCATGCCTCGGTTAGTCAGCAAAATTTCCCTTGGTAGTAGGGTGGAAATATGTCAAGGGGATAAACCCCCTATAAGGAAAAACTTGTAAATTACAGTTCATTAAAGTATAGCGTTTGAAAACTAAATGTAATTTACTCTTGTCTGCTCCAATGATTAACTTTTAGCAAACTTTTTTCTCTTTGAATATTTGAAACCTTTTTATTGTTGTGTTTTATTTGTTTTAATATCACGAAAAATAATATTCAAGCGCATAACTGAAATATCTTTTCACATCAAATTTTTGCACCGTTTTTTAATAGAGTTTTTATAAAAGAAGCATGCTAAGCATGCTAATATCTTGAAAAGGTCATTAAATCCTTCACTATAGGCTATTAAAGAAAAATAAAGGTCAAGTAAGGCGTCAAAAGGACCCATATTCAAGAGCTTTCATAAATTTATGAGGCAACACATTTTTATTACATTAATTCTTAGTGTTTTTTATTTATTTTCGTTAGTAACTTTTATCCACTTGATTTTCTGTAAAATTATATGTTATAGTGTTATACTAATAGGTTTTAATCAGTTATCTAACAAAGTATAGAGTCCAAAAAAAATCAATGTTCCTGACAAAATGGCGAAGGCGCCTATTTAAAAAATTGACTAATAAAAATTCTGTAAAAAACATATAATTTCTCAAAAACGGCGGTGCCGTCTTGCCTTCATATTAAAACTAGAACAATATAATAAATGATGTCAGTTATCAATTATTAAAAACATTATTATACTTTAAATCATTTAATTTACCACTAACTCTTGCTGATTTTAAATTTTATTCATCAAAGAAAAAGTTAAAAAATAAGACGTCAGAAAGACGTATTAAATTTTTTACTAGTTTTTTATATCAATTTCGTAGAGTTATAAGTTATAACATTAACTACTACGGATTATGAGCTATATTTCTATAATTTTTTCTTATACGTATGTGCGATAAAGTTTGGTTGTTAATTTATCCATAAAGAAAATGGATAATCTGAAATTTCTCGTCTCAGTTATGGTTATTTCAGTGTATTATGTCGGCTTTTATGGAAAAATATTGTTTGAGTGCAACTTTGTTTGTGGCTTGTGTTATTTTTGCGATTTTTATACAGCACAATAAAAATAGAGCGTAAGTATATTGATTGATGTCCTTCGTACACGACAACATAATATATTGTGTTCTGGCTTGGCAAATATTTACGGATTAGGAAGAAACGATGTGATATAACGACATTTTACTTCATATAGAACGCCCACTGGCAAAGTAATATTGTTTTCTTATATATTTTTACTATTTCTCTTTTTTTATTTAAGTATAAAAGGAAATAAATATATATTTTTGTTCTCGACGTTATAATTTTTATTTTTCTTAGGGTTTTGTCTGGAAAATTTGTGCAAGAGCAAGAACCTTCGTTCTATCCATGCTCCGATCTAGAATTAGTTTAAAATCGAAGTGGAACAGGAGCAAATTACAGTTCTAGCCAGGTATAATAAGAATCACGCGATCCAAACATTCCCTATCGAATAATTCCCCATTATATTAGCGTTTTGCCACCGATTCATTTTGCGATAATGTTTGTTTAATCTCGTTTTCAAACATGAAATCAAACTGACTCTATCCGAACAAATTTTCTAATCAACAACCTCGATTATATCTCAATTCATACATTTTTATTGCTACATACATCAAAACAATCAAACATATAAACATTTTTAATTATTTTTAAATTTAAATAATTTGAATAAAACTGGACAGTTAGGCAACCAAATATACACTATAAATTTAAAAATTTATTTGAATTTTGCGATGAAAAATTAATTAATACGACTATAAGACATATAAATTGATTAATAATTCGCTAAGAAAAGGAGGTGCGTGGTGAGTAGGACAACGGAAAGCAACTTGGGGACGTTGAACTAAGTAATATCGATATCGATCGCGTTGTTTTCTCGTTTTGATGCAACCCCTCATCCTGAAACGACTAAATATAAACTCAGTCGCTTTATTGAAGTCGTTATTTCCACGTTTCCTGCCTCCCTACCCTTTGTGAATTCCTTGGGGATCGATAAATAAGAAATTTTATCGGCTAGATGGATGGTGATAGGCGATAGTCATGTCTCTCTCTGTCTCTAAGGGAAAAAAATATATAACAAGGAAGCCTTCGCCCCATCCATGTTATTTTTGCGTGCGTGTCAATAAAATAGGAAACAGTTTGTTGAAAAGGTGAATAAATAACACCAGATAGTCCGTACCTGTTTCAAAATGACACGGAACAATAAAATTCAGTAATAATTAAGGAACTTTCAGTTAAAAGGGTAAAAGTATTCACTATATAGCACGAAATCCACGTAAAACCAACCTCTTTTTCTTAAATAATCCTCAATCATGACCGCGCTGATCATGAAAACGTTTCCAACGCTGCCTACTGCTGCCATGGAAGCCAGCAGGATCAAACGAGCCAGTCTGGACCAGTGGTCGTTTAGAGTCACCGGAGACACCTCTTCGGTGGGAAATGCATGGCTCATGTTCGATACCATCCCCCTAAAAAAGGGCCAGAACCTAAAAAAAATCAGACAAATATTTATTCAATAAATTTCTGGGACTTGGCGATGTTTCGAGATGTTTGGCAACGTGGAAACATTGCCGGAATTGCCATCAGCTGATTTGTGCGGCCGCATTTCCCTTCGATTTATTTCAAATATTCGGAGGTCGCTTGGATCTCTGCCAAATACCGAACATTCATTTTCTATAGTAAGAATAGAACCTACTCCATACATTGTTATGTATTTTAAACTTTTAATAAACGGATTAAATGTCGAATAAGAAAAATAATAAATATATTTTAAGGAAATATAAAAAATACTAGCGGCAACAGCGCGCGACTTTTATCAATCCGCGCTACGTCAGCGCCATGATTTTCGCCTTTTGCCGCTGTCAAAACGTCAAAACACGTCAAAACACAGGAAATCATCTTCTAAGTTGGTGAATCTATGTTTTCTATAAGTTTTTTGTTGTTTAAAGTGATAAATAAAGCATGACAAGTAGTTTTTTGTATTAAGGTAAGTGTATTTCATTAAAATATTTAGTATTTTTCACGTTTGGTATCTGGGCGAGGTCTCTATCCTATTTGAAAGTTGCCAGTGACTAACTTTTTGTTAGGTTATAACTGGGGGCGATTTTTTCGATTCCTAGAATTTATTAACTGGTTTAGTGATGTTTTCCTGTGAATAACCAATTCTGGAGAACCAATTCATCGCGAATTTAGGTAAATTACCAATATACATTGTGTTATTTGCATTTTTGTTTCATTGATCAAATAAAAGTGATAATTTTGCATTAAAGGGGATTCTAAACATTTTCAGTGATAACGGGAATTCTTTACAGGATATTTCTATTTTTCTATTGTTTCATCGATAATGACAAACATTTTCAACCTTCACGCTTTTCCAGCGATTATTGTAAGCAAAATTCGTGTCACAATTTAAGAGATAAAGCAAAAAACACGTTTCTTCTATAATTCTAAAATAAATATTCGTAATTCAAATATATTATTTAATATAATACTGCTGTTTTAAAAACTCTACAACGTTTTTAAAATAGGGTCGAATAACAAGAAAGTAATTGTTAATAAATTCTAATAAGTATTTTATCAAATAACATTGATACTTTTTTATTAAATATGTACTAATTAGTAGGAATTGTAATGATAAAATGAACGCTCATCTGGTATTTTCTCTTGTAGAAGTCATGTGTTCTGTTTATTTTATATGGAAATAATTAAAAGTTTGATTATTGATAGCAGCAGTAAGTTAAAATAATAGAAAACTGACCTTGCCAAGATAATAATAATTATTGATGGTTATTATTAGTCATTACCCTTGTTTATTACCAATTGGCTGACCTATATATGTTTATAGCAAATTAATAATTCTAAATTCTAAACTTGTGCAAAAGCAGTTCTTGTCAGATATTAAATTTCCTATACAGGGTTACAAAAAATCACAATATCAGGTTTTCTGTTTGAGTAGCGCACATTTTAATATAATTTTCATAGATATGGAGGTATTAAAATATTGAAGTGAAAGTCTTAATAATAAAAATCTTCATATATGGAGCTTTTTCAGAATATTGGATCACTCTGTATAAACAAAAAAAAATTTATAGTTATACCTCTAATGTGATAGATTATTTTGATGTTTGTTTATATTATGTTTATATTGTAAAACTAATATTTGACAAGAACTTAAAAACGAAATAATTGATAAGCATTTACCTAGATTTATTAAAAATTGTCTTAAAATAAAAAACTCTATGTATGCAGTAATAAAATGTTTAATTTTTCGTTTTTTAAGTTATTTTGTTACGATTTATATTAACGATATAAAATAAACGTTAAAACGTTGATTTCTGTACAATGCGCTACATTAAGCGTCGATTACACGGAGCGAGTTTACACGCCGCTAGTGCGCTATTTTACTATCCGCTAGTAAACTAGCTCTGTGTAATCGAGGCAGCGTGTAAACTAGCCGGATAATTTACTCGCTAAAATGCGGGCTAGTAAAGTTGAAGACCGGTCAACTTTACTAGCTACTGGCTGACTTATTTACTATCCGGATAGTAAAAAAGTAGCGTGTAATTATATCAGAGAGTAAACTATCCATAAAAAAATCAGAAAGTTGGTGACCAGTATTAAATTTGTGATGAAGCGTATTCATTCTCATTTCGAAAATGCCTAAAATGTCTAAAGAAATACTTCGTGGATGTGCTTCGGTTCTTGGGGCTATATTTCAGGAAGAATTAAAAAACTTTCCAAAAAAGAAAAAAGAAATGGATAAGAAATTAAAATATATTTTCAAAAACTTTGTAATATTATTTGCGTTCCACTTCATCTCGATAAACACAACAACAGAACAGGTTCGCAAGCTTGGGACGGCTTGTTACTAGCCACGTGCAATCATGGTAGCTTTTTTACACGCCGTGTTCGGACTAGCGAGATAGTATACAAGCGCACTAGCGGCGTGTAAACTCGCTCCGTGTAATCGACGCTTTATGCTGATAAGAAACCACCAATTCTTACGAAAAAAACGTCATAATTGTCTAATAAATCTCCTATTAATCATTGAAAGTTTCGTCAATATAACCCAGATATTCTAAAAGCTTTTTTCAGGATAATGAAAATGAAATGATACAAAATCCTAAAAAAAGTTATATTTTAAAAAGGTTTATTTTTTAAGTCACTTGAGTTTTTTTTTAAATATAACAAGGTTTTGTTAGACCAAAAATTTTTTTTGTTTGGTTTCAGACAAGCTCAACCACTTTAATCATGTGATAATTCTTCCGAAACCGCAAAACAACTAGTTTAGTTCATGCATCGCAGAATCATAGTCCAAACCAACATGGACCCGCTCACAGACTACTCCGAAGTGTACCAGAGACTGCCCCTAAAGGTATACCTAGCTTACGGCATGGGCCACGTCCTAAACGACGTCTGTGCCTCCATGTGGTTCACCTATTTGCTGGTATTCTTGCATTTGGTGCTAGATTTCACCAACGCACAAGCCGGCGCCCTCCTCCTAATAGGACAAGTCGCCGATGCTCTTGCAACACCCTTTGTCGGGTACTACTCGGACCAAGGGGACGACTTCTTCATTTGTCGTTACGGGAAACGGAAAATCTGGCACCTTTTAGGCACGATTTGCGTTATTTTAACGTTCCCTTTTATTTTTGCTCCCTGCGTAGGCTGCGAGGATGCCTCCAAGTGGAGCAGGATGATCTACTATTCCATGTTTATAGTTATTTTTCAATTCGGCTGGGCCGCAGTGCAAATATCACATCTGTCACTCATTCCTGAGATTAGTCCAAATGAACATGACAGGACTAAATTGACAGCTATCCGTTATGCTTTTACGGTGCTGGCGAACGTTTTGGTCTACGTGGTGACTTGGGCAGTGCTTCATTTGGCTGGGAACGACAATAACAAAATCAACTGGACGGATGCTCCGAAATTTCAGCATATAGTTTGGGGCGTTATGAGTTTTGGAGCGGTCTGTTCCTTTCTGTTCCATTTCCTAATCAAGGAACACGAACAACAGAACGGTTATCACGACGTTCGCGGTACGAAAGTTCGTACAGACTTAAAAGAGCTCTTTACCGACGTCCAGGTGTATCAAGTAGCTATAAATTATATGTGTTCAAGATTGTTTATCAATTTAACTCAGGTTTTCATCACTTTATACCTTCACGAAGCTCTGGATATGGTTGCCAGTTCTCTGGCTGTAGTTCCTTTAACAATGTACCTTGCCAGCTTGGTAACGTCTTTTGTAGTCGGCCAAATCAACAGAGCTGCCGGTAGGAAAATAACCTACACTTTCGGAGCGATGCTAGGCCTAGCCGCGTGCATTTTTATACACTTTGGCAAAGGAAAACTCTATACGGATTATCTAATTTATCTGGTAGCAGCTCTGTTGGGTTCGGCAAGCTCTATCGTGCTGGTTTCCAGTTTAGGCGTGACAACGGATTTGATCGGTACAAGAACGAATTCTGGAGCCTTTGTTTATGGAATAATGAGCTTCACTGATAAACTATCAAACGGGGTGGTGGTCGAAGTGATACAGGGACTCCATAAGGACGAGAAGAACACGTGGTTTTATCGGGACATTTTGACCTACGTTTGTGGGGCTTCGGTGATTCTGGGTGTAGCGGCTGTGATGTTTGTGAAGAGACCTCTGAGCGTCAGCGAGTCTCGAAGGGGCTTGTTGATCGAGAGTGATGATACAGGAGATGCGTTGAATTGAAATGAAAATGTTTATGTCGAAAAAATTACAAAATTAATATATTTTTTTTTATTTTGAGAAATTATTAGATACAACTCGTATACGATCGATTGGGTTATTTAAAAAAAAGGATGTTTATATTAATTCCCTCTATATTTTTATATAAATAAGCTGTAAAACGCAAAGTTCTACAACAAATTAATTTATTTTTACATAATTTTGTATTATATTTTTTTAATCATAATTTACAAAGATTAAAAATAACACGTATTTTGCGTGTGACAGCTCGCGTACATCTATATACAGATCTGAGATATTTTTTATTGTATATTTTTATGTATAAAATGTTATTTGAGGAAATCCTGTATATAAGAGATTCAAAAATTTATAACATCTAGTCTTATTTTCCTAAAATAGAGTACAACTCAAAATGGATATTATAGTATTATTAAAAAATAAGATTATGTTATTAATAAAACTACTTAGAGAATATAGTAATGTGTTTTTTTTTTTTCGTTAGTTTCAAGTTTCAGCTGGTATCATTGAACAATATTTTTACGTGGAACATTATTTGTTGGATTTTCGATTCGAGTGAGGAAAGAAAATGAGGTAATTGTGAGGAATGAAAAGGAAATAATAGAGGAAATGTTAGAGTAAGGGCATTGCGATACTTTTGTGTGCGCGCTCGATGTCGAATGGGAACTTTACTCCGGCCAATTTAAGGAAATTGCACTCTAAATTGCGATTGCTATCTCACGACTTTTTCCACGTACGCTTTTCTAAGTGCAAATATACTCTAGAAAATTTTTAAATTCTGTCCTAGGTGCTAAAGAAATTAGATAATGTTGAGTTGTAAATTTTAATTAAATTTTTACTTTATGTATTAAAGAGATAAAAAATATAACATAATATGACATAATATATGTTATTGGAAAAAATGAAATAGAATTTCTTTAGAATAGATTCCATTTGCAAAAATTTGTCTTATTCATCTTATTTGACCCCCATTATGGTATTTTCCGAGATCCTCATGGACACTATAGTATTTGGGACACCCAGTATATCCAAGTTCAAATATTAGTACTAACGAAGCTAAGGAATTAAGAGTATTTAATTTTTGCTATTTTTAGTGTTTTGTTTCTCAAAAATCTCTTAAAATTTCTAATTTTACATACATCGGTCTTGGATGATTTATAACCAAATTATTTTTACAGTTGTTTTTCGAGTTTAGTGTGCAATAAAACGAAATGTTAGTATTTTAGCTATAAAGCACATTTGAATTGTATAAACGGCATGGCATCTCAATGATCTATTTCACTTGATTGAAGTGTTTGTTTAAAAGTTCTGCCTGGACATTATCTGCGTTTTAAAATGTATTTTTGTAACAATTTATGTGGGTGTTTTTGTAAAAAAAACTTTTTTTTTTAATTTTTAACACCCTCTATTTTTAAAACGAATTTTTGGCCTTATATTGATATGAAATTTATCGTCTTGAATAAAAAAAAACTCTGCAACAAAAAATTCGACCACTCTGTATATTATAAATAAATTTAATATTAAAATTAAGATACATATGTTTTTTGATTTCCGAAATATTTTTTTTATTCAACACCCACGATGATCTCATACTGATTGACATTTCAAGTTCAAAAAGCTTTATATTTCCCTCATTTATTTACATCAGAGCTTATTAAATGTGCCCTTTAGATTTATTAATCTTCAGTATAAATCAGTTTTTTAAGATTCTTTAAGAATTAATAGAGATAATTATGAAAAATACTTGGATAATCTGATAAATGTTATCATTTACCAACCTGTAACCCCTGATCTGTTGAATTTAATTTAATAAATAATTAATAGAAGTTCATCATACGTTCCTCTAGGTACCATTAAATCGTTCTTTTATCCATAAATGTTATTTATTTGATTCAGTAAGAAAAATAAAAGTATTAAAAATCAAAAAACATATTTTTTTATTAATCCAATAATTCACCTACCTAAAAATTCAACAGATTTTCTCAAGAAAAACCTTAAAATTTACCAAGGTCTTTCATATCGTCAAAATTCATCGTTAAAAACGTTATTTTCACGAAAAAACGCTTTTTTCTCTTAAAAACAATCACCGGACTCGGTCGTATCCGTCTATCTACCGATAAATTTCACATATTCCGCCGGATAATTTGATTCCGGTTGACGTCCCGGAGTCTACTGCTTTGTCCCGGAGTCGTCGGCTCGTCAGGGCGTCGGTGGGATGCGTAGCGACGCCGAAATCAGATGATTTTCGAAAAATCCGCTCAAATACTTTACGTTCGGCCCTCGTATTAAACACACCAGCGCCAATTTGTCGACTGGTGGCCGTTGTGGGAACTTCGCGACACAGGTACGCCATCTATGAGTAAATAGTCGAAGTACTATATAATAAATTACAGAGTTCTTTATTGAACATGTGCGCCATCTGTGAGATAGTAGTCGAAGTATCAAATTGCAGAAATCTGCAAATTTGTTTGCGTTTAGTGCGCTATCTCTGGGTTAGTAGTTGAACTTTATACTAATTTTTTATAGATATTTGTCACTGTTTATCTGTAATACAGATCCCTTTAATAAAATCAATTTCGTGTTTATTCAGCGCCATCTATTGATGAACAAATCTACTAAACATTTTTTAATTTAAGAATTATTTGTTTTCGATAGGAGAAACTAAAATAAATACTCGTTAAGGTATATTATTGTTAATTACCCTCGCTTTTCCCGTTTCGGGCGTTGTCTGTGCTATATTTCTTTCAGTTCGAAACAGGTAGATAAAGAAGGGAATACATGTGCGGGTGGATTGTCAGGTTTTGTCTGAATATCAGCTGTTTTCCCAGAATTTCAGCTTGTTTTTTGACAGATCTCTGGTCCCGATGCCAGGTGCAAGGCTGTTATTCATTTTCTAAGGTAATTATTTGGATTATTGATAGTATTTTTATTTGTCGGGCAAGTAGAATTATTTCTGAATAATATAACGTGATTTCGGTTAAGTTTTTTAATGAAAAACAGTGTAGTTTTCCTAGTTTTTGTACGGGACTTCCGAACCGTATATTGGCCATAGTTTTTTGTGTTTTTTTTTCTTGATTTACCATACAATTTACTTAATACCGCCTGTATTTGGCTCTTTTGTTCCATCAACCATCGCTTTAAAGCGTCTTTTTAAGGAACATTTAAATTTATAGCTGTTTTTCTTCAAAATCAATTCACCTAATCATGACAGGTCCTTAAAAATGTCTGAACTTTAATTACTATATAATACAACGGTTTTGCTGTAGATATTCTTGTAGAAGAAGCCTAATTACAAATTATTAATACATTTTTCATTTTCAGGTATTCTTTGTTTAGGTTACCGTCATCCCCAAACCGAAAGATGACTTTTCTCAGTCTTAAAACCTACCAAATCCAGTTCCAACCACGTTTCTAAACGCTCAAACGACTTTTTTTGTTTTTTGTCTCTTTGGTTTCTCCTATCAAAATTTTTTCGCCATGTCGCACCATCAAAACCAGGAATCCCTGTTCGAAAAACTCGAATCCAACGACAAAAAACTGGCCGAAGACACCAAGTACAGTATATGGGAACAGTTTTCCAAAAGTAAGTAATCTATTGTGTATTTGAACTCTTTAAAACTGAAGTATTTTACGAATTTTAGCTCAGGAACCTTACGTTATACATGGTCTATACGAGTACTACTTAAGCACAAGCTCAGTGAGATGTATAGAGATAATAATTGCTTTAAAAGAACCACACCAGCAATTTTTATTTGACAGGTATGTACATATTAAATTCTCTCTAAATAAAAACTGGATAAAAAAAACATTTTTTTTTGTAGATTATTGGACTCAATCAGGAACCCGAAAACGGAATTGACCATTAAGGTACAGGCTTTTACACTTTTGGGGCATATAGCCCGCAGTCAGCCGTCGTGGCTGTACAAAATACAGGACCATCCTTTGTTCAGGGAGATTTTAAAATTTTTAACTGTAAGTTTTTGACAAAAACATTGGACCACCCTGTATATATTTATAAATTCAAACTTCTAGACTGAAACAGAGCTATTGCCCCTAATAAGTGCCCTACTAGTATTAATAATTTTCCTACCAATGTTTCCTACAGCGATTGGTGAACATTATTTGAATGATATATTTGAAATATTCAGGTAAAATATTATTGAACTCTATTTAATTGTTAATAATTCAAATAAATATTTTTTTAGGAGGTTGGCCGCCTGGAATTCTCACGTTCCAGGCAAGTTGGTCGAGGACCAAATGATTCATTTGCAGGTGGCATTGTACGCGCTGTTTTTACGATTATACGGAATGTTTCCTCAAAATTTCCTGTACTACCTTAGGAGCCAGTTCAAAGATAAAAACAATCCGGTGTTTTGTCACACAATCAAGGTAAATGTTTATTTTTTCTCGCCCAGTATCGATTAATATCTTTAAAAAATGTTTTTATCCTTTTTCTATTGAGTTTTTTATCTCTGAATCTTTTGTTGTGAATTGATACAAAGCCATCAGTAGTTTTTAGATAATAAACTATACCATTACTCTAAGAATATACTTACAAACCTTCTATAACTATAGAATGGTATTTAATTTTTGTTAAAAATGTATAAATAATTAAAAAAACAACTTTAAAACAGTATGAAGAAAGAATTAATTGGTATAATAAATTAAATATTTTTTTGCTTCTTTATTAAATATTTTTATAAAATAAAATTGTTTAATTTATGATGTAATATAAAATATAACATTGTGTAATGTTTCTTCATGTTTTTTTTATAAAAATGTTTTAATTTTGTAATACATAGTAATATAATAGTTCATATTAAAGAATAGTATTTTTCTGTTTGGGACTTGGTATGTAAATTATATTTTTCTTTATATATTTAGCCAATGATGGATACGGTAAAGATGCATCCATCTCTAGTGACTACCTCGAAAGAGAATGAAACAACAACAGAGAGGTAACAAAATTTCTGTCTTTTTTTATCTGTTTTCTGTCAAAATCCTTCCATCTTTCGCTGGACAGGCTTTAGTTTTTTTGGTTTTAGATGGAAAAAAATGAGCGTCCACGACGTTATAGTGGAGTGTGAACGATTCAGTTTGGACATTACAGATCGCTGCCCTCACGAGACCTGTCAAAATACCACAGAGTTCCGTTCCAGATCGGGTACCATGAACTCGGCCATTGTCGGTGGTAAGCTCAGACAAATAACATAAATACAATATGATAGAAAAAAAAGCAATGGCTATGAAATGAAGATCACTGTCATTTTATATGTAAAATTATATGGGGGGAATGTCATCGATCGTCATTTCCAAGCCAACTGGACGCCGTTTTTTTTTTTTTTTTTTTCAATCATACGGTATTATACATAAATCTCAATATACAGGGTCGCTTTTATGTATGGAAACGGTCGATTATTAGGTAAAACATACGAGGTACCGCAAAAAGTTAAATAAAAAAGTTTTAGGATTCTTAAATATCTATTAGCGAGCCATAAATTTATGTATACAGGGTCGTTCATAAAGTCGTGGCACATCAAAGTTTTATTTTTTTAACTAGAACCCTCTGTATATTATTACACATTTCAATTCTTCCTTCAATTCTAAGCAAAAATCGAAATACACACGATGTACCTCAAACCAAGCGTTTCCGAGTTATTGACTTTTGAAAATATCACTTAAACAATTCAATTTAATTAATTTCGATGTGTTTGGTTTGATTTAATGATGCCATTCTGCCGAAACTGTGATACTGTTGTAATGGGCTTTTAAATTCCTATTAGCTACTAGTAAATTTAAGTATACAGGGTCGGTCGTAAAGTTGTGTCACATCAAACTTTATTTTTTTAAATGAAACCTCCTGTATATAATTGTAATACACAATGTACATAAATTGAAGAATCGAAATGTTAAACGATAAATAATAATAAAAATAAATAAAAATAACTTAATGTCAAATATTATTAAGTAGAATGAGTGGGAGGGGGGTTAATCACTTCGACCTTACAGATCCATTGTGTCCCCCTTTCTTGAATCATAACTCATCATACAGTCCCAGGGCTTTGACAAAAGCCAGTATCTGGGACGGTTTTATAGAGGGTAGTTCTCCATCTCCAATATCAGTCGTACCAAAATTCATGGCACGAATGGTTGTCGTCTCGGCGCACTCAGTGATGAGGTGTACTGGTGTTTCACCATCTTCCCCACAGAATCTGCATTCGCCGTTTCTTCTTAGTTTCAATCTACTGAGGTGTTCATTGAGGAGACAGTGTCCTGTTAAAAACCCCGTGACAATCCGAAGATTGTTCTTACTCAGACCCAGGAAGATCTGTGATTTTCTTGGCCCTCAGAAACTTCTTCGAGTGTCCTAGACCATTGCAAGATTTCCATTCCAGGTTGCGGATGGAATCTTCCAAGTTCTTGAGTTCCGCCTTGAGTTGGTTACCACTTGGAAAGCAGAACGGTTCTGGTCCAGTTAGTGGACTGTTCGCTCCTTTCCTAGCTAGATTATTTGCTTTTTCATTGCCTTCTATCCCTTGGTGAGCAGGCACCCAGTGTAGGAGGACTTTGTTTTCTTTGCCTAATTTATTCAGCTTCTCTATGCATTCTTTGACCAATTTCGAATTGATTGATACTGAGTTGATCGCCTTTAATGCTGCTTGACTATCAGATAAGATGGCTATTTCTTGTTTCCGATAGTTCCTATCTAAGATAAGTTGTACGCATCTCTCGATAGCGTAGATTTCTGCCTGTAGGATACTAGGGTAAGTGCCCATTGGTTCGGAGTAATTAGCTCTCGGCCCAAACACTCCGATCCCTGTTCCCGTATTGGTTTTGGAAGCATCAGTATACCAAGTTATGGTATGGTCTTTTAACTGCTGGGCAAGCGTTTCGCTCTTCCAATCCTTCTTATTGCTCAATACTACATTGACATGTTTGTCAAAGTTGTACGTTCTTGGCATATCGTCCATTGGGAGTTGCAGAAGTGGTATTTCCTTTTGAGGGTGTTCCAAGCCCTGATCTGACAATTCTCCCAGTACTAATTCCGTTAGTGACCATTCTAATCATTGTCGCATTGGCATATCTACCAATGACAATGTGCAGTGGTGTTAGATCTAGAATGACCTCCATTGCTGCTGTTGGACAGGTTCTCATGGCTCCTGTGATGCACACACATGCTAGTCTCTGGACTTTGCATAGGTTTAGCCTTGCCGTCCGTTGCTCTAGTTTTGTGTACCAGGCAACTGCTCCATAAGTAATCATGGGTCTTACTATCATGGTATACATCCAGCGCAAAATGTACGGGAGCAGCCCCATCTATTTCCGGCCAGTCTTCTGCATATCATGAGAGCCTTTATGGCTTTGCTGGTAGTGTTCTTAATATGCCTGTTCCACAGGAGTTTACTGTCCAGGGTTATTCCCAGGTATTTAACTTCCTGGGTTGGCAGTATTTCCTTTCCATCTAGTTGGATTCTTTTCAAGTTTTTCAGACTTCGCCTTCTGGTGAATGGCACTATCGCGGTTTTGTCTGAGTTGATACTCAGCCCGACAGTCCTACACCTTCTAAAAAAAAATTCATTCTTCTAAATTATTAAGTATTACAGTTTCGGCAGAATGGCATCGTTAAATGAAACTGAACATATCGAAATTAATTAAATCAAATTGTTTAAGTGATATTTTCAAAAGTCAATAACTCGGAAACGCTTGGTTTGAGGTACATTGTGTGTATTTCGATTTTTGCTTAGAATTGAGGGAAAAACGAATGAATAAAGAAAAAATATGCAATAATATACAGGGGGTTCCATTTAAAAAACTGAAACTTTGATGTGCCACGACTTTATGACCGACCCTGTATAATTAAATTTATTACCCGCTAATAGATATTTATAAACCCTATAACTTTTATATTTAACTTTTTGCGGTACCTCCTATATTTTACCTAATAATCGGCCGTTGCTATACATAACAGCGACCCTGTATAATATATGTATAATACTGAAAAATAAATTTTATTTCATTTGTGTTTGTCTTAGAGTCTTCTTCGGCGTCTTATCACCAGCAGAACCTCAGGTCTTTGGCTTCTCTGCAAATGGCTGGTAACGATGGTACGTTTTTTTCTCCCAGTCAGGCCTACCAACTGCACCAGACGCCGCCCATCGTGGAGTCCCAGGCTACCAGTGTCCAACTGCGACACATTCAGGTAATCGAGGTAGGATTAGGTAAAAGTTTTTTTTATTTATTTTTAGTTGTGTTATGTTTCAATCGCATTTAATAAAAAAAAAAACAAGGAAGGAGTTTTTTATATTATTTTATTAAAATATAATATGAACGGGAAAAAAAACGGTGTCAGGGATGGCTATGAAATGAAGATTGCTGTCATTCTATATGTAAAATTATATGGGGAATGTCGTCGATGTTCATTTCCAAGCCAACTGGACACCATTTATTTTTCGATCTTACTGTAGTATTTGATTCCTTTCTTAAGTTCTTCTATTCAAAGAAAGCTAGAGAGTCAGAAAAATAAGTTAACCTAGAGAGGTTTGAAAATGGTTATCTTACAATTTGGCCACGTCTATCTAATTTAAAATATGTATAAGGCATTAAAATGAAAAAAAAAATTGTATTTTTATATATTTTTAGGGGCATTATAATAGAGGTTCGTACCCTTTGAGTCAAGAAGGGTCTCCGCCAGAGGCAGCCATTGAAGCCACCCCAGAAACAACGCCCATAAGGGTAAGTTTTTATTATTATTTATGATTATTATGGGTTACAAATCACTGCTTTTGGTTTGGCTGATCAAAGATCGTTTTTACTGATTCGTTTTTTTATGTTTTGTTTATTTTGTTTTTGTGGTTTTATGGGGATATCTTTTTAAAATCATAGAATACTTCAACTCTACAGCAGCGTAAAAATCGCTTGTATTTCTTCTGTTAATATTTAATAAAAACGTTTATTATAATTAGAAATCTCCCACAAAACTACTAGCATCTAAATTATCACCTCCATACCGGCCCCTCCCACTTTACCAGCCACAGCTTGCGCTTTCAGGACTTCAACACCACGCCCCTCGCTCTCACCACGCCCCCCACGACTAAAAGCAACGTTGCCAGAGCTCTCACGTCGTTCCGAACGAACGCTGCGGGTCATATAGTGAGCGGTACCCCAGCCAATAGCGTGCCGTCGTCTCCGATGAGGAAGGAACCGTCGCCCTTTGTGTTCCCGTCGAGCAGCGTGGTACTCATGGGTAGCAACGACAACGGGTACCTGGGGGAGTACAACAGTAGGGCCGGGTCGGCCTTCGCCAGGGCCGGAGGCGTGGCATTCGGTCAGCATTTGAGCTACAGGCTGAGCCAGGAGAGGGCGCAAATGCAGGTGAGTGTGTTGTTTGGCTTTGAAGATGAACCTTTGGGAATATTTTCACCGTCATCATTTTGGGCTTGTTTGTGATTCGTTTTGGGTGGGATATGATTTTCATTTAGCCTAGTGTATAGCTTAAGAATTTATTGCTCACTCTGAATTATTTTTATGACAATAAAAGTCCTTAGAATTATACTGCCGAATTTATAAAAAAAATATTTTTTTTATAAAACTATGTATTTTAGGTTAGCGAAAGTCCGGTTCAAGTTCTTAGTAAACCGCCTCCTTCGAGTCCTTTAAAAATAAAACACACAGACCTATCCATGCGCTTAAGAACCGAATCTCCTTCGGCTCAAGAGGACGAAGAAGTATGCGGTTACTCCAGCATTGCCAACAAGCACGATTACACCAAGAAAAGGCCTGCCAAGTCCAGCAATGATAACGTTTTACCAGATCTAGATGACTGTAAGTTTTTAAAATGCTTCGTTTCGGAGATACAGGGTGTAGGAATTTCATTTTTATTTCGATTATTTCCAAATAATTTTTGAAGTAACGTCAATATTTGGATGACAGTTGGTGTCTGAGAGTTTTTTGATATGATAAATTTGATTTTGATGTCAATATTGGTCCTACTTGTAGAGGGCGCCACCTACATACGTTTTAACTGGCTTGAAGACTAATAACTTTTCGTCTGTACCTGTATAAAACTACTGAGTTAAAAAATATACATTTACGACGTTTTTTTTTACGTAAAAAAGGTCTCTTTGTAAAAAACGCTACGAGTAATGGTACTGGAGATATTTGGAATCGAAATTATCAATGCCTGTCATCATCGACATAAATTAAACACGTTGCTTGTAAGGATTTTTACCAAGAGACATTTTTTACGTAAAGAATCATGGAAATGTATATTTTTTTACTCAGTAGTTTTATACAGGTACGGACAAAAAGTTATTACTCTTCAAAATAGTTAAAATACATATAGGTGGCGACCCCTACTAACAGGAGTCATATAGACATCAGAATCAAATTTCTCATGTCAAAAAACTCCCAAACGCCAATTTTCATTCAAATATTGGCGGTACTTCAGAAATTATTTTGAAAAAATCGAAATAAAAATGAACCTTTACACCCTGTATCTCCGAAACTATACTAAACTTCTATATCTAAGTTTAACCGTTTTTATCTAAGTTTACATTTACAGAGCATAAGTAAATCGTGCATTTTTCGGCATTGATTAATATTTTTATAAATTGAATTTGTCTGTCTTTTAGAAAAGGTTTCACTCTACCTAAATTAATATAATAATTAATTAAATGTTATACAGGGTGCTCATAAAGATACATTTAAAACAAACTACAGTGAAGAATGTTAGTAGGAGTAAATAAACAAGTATTTTTTTCTAGCTGATAACAACTTTAGCAATGAAATGGACCAAGGTTCTCCGTGCAGTGCTGGAGGTTTACACATGCCCAACTCCAAGTCCTTTACGAATTTCAAGAAGAGAATAAGACAGTTCAGCCATTCGAGTCAATACAACACTGAACCGGAACAGACGGAGCTTTCTACAGGAAGCAGTCCCGGAAATGGTAAGAGATAAATTGAAACAAACATATTAAAATATTATTAGTTTAAAAAATTATTTTTTTATGATAATTTTGGAGATGATCGTCTTTTTTCTTTGCAGGCGTGTTTTACTCTAGCAGTTCGACAGTTAGACGGGCCAATTCGTGCCCTGACATGAAGAAAAGTCCTCAGGCCCCTTTAAAAGACAACAAAAAGAAACCTTTTTACGAAACCGATGAAGAAACCGTGTCGGAGGACCAAGTTTCGAATACTTCGAACGGCGTCGATTCCAAGTTCACCAGGAAGCAGGTATGCAAATAAAATTTCTTTATTTTAATTTTTTTAAACTTTGTTCTTTGTTTAGAAGTTCCAGACTACTGATTGCCACACTCAAACGGAAGTATTCTGGCCCATGCCCTACGAACACTTGTTCCTGACCATATTTCCTTCCTTGAAAGAAGAAGCTAACGAAACCAAAGCTAGCCCTTCGCCGAGTCCGGCACCTGTGCCCTACCAATCCGTGGAACAGTACAAACCATCCCTCTACGACATTTTGGATAGGTAAGTTCATCTCAAATTATTTTTGTTTTGCTAACACACTTAAGTATCTTGTTAAACACTATGAACATTGATCCTATGTTAAGGGAAATTGCCTCTTAATATCAAAACGTTTAATATTAGTCAGTAGCTCAGTCCTAATTTTATTCAAAACATGTAAAAATATGATGTAGGATAAACTAAATAATTTGTAGTTTTATTTTACCTTGTCAATAAATGTTGGTAGTTATTAAAATTGTTATAAAAACGTATAATTCTAATAAAAACAATAAGTTATAATAATTATTTATTAACACAAACATCCGATACGTTACTGAAGCATGCAAATCAAATTGACGTATCTAAATTCTTTCACATCTAATCTTTGACAAGTAGTAAATAAAAGAGAAAATTACCTCTAGAAGTCTAGAACAAGCTTTAAAAAATACCTCTTCAAAGAACAATGCCTTAAAACATGAATTTTCCATTTTTTCCTATACTATAAAGAAAATTAGGGATAAAACTCAATAAAAACCACTTTTAGGAAAAAACGATATGTGTTTGTTGATAATTAACATCAGATAAACAAACTAGAATAAAAATGCCCTGAAGAAAAGTAATAGAAACAATTTTACAAGACTTGGTGCATCAGCTTCGTATACTATGAAGAAAATTAGAGATAAACTCAATGAAAACCACTTTTAGAAAAAAACGATATGTGTTTCTTGATAATTAACATCAGATAAACAAACTAGAATAAAAATGCCCTGAAGAAAAGTAATAGAAACAATTTTACAAGACTTGGTGCATCAGCTTCGTATACTATGAAGAAAATTAGAGATAAACCCAATGAAAACCACTTTTAGAAAAAAAGATATGTGTTTCTTGATAATTAACATCAGATAAACAAACTAGAATAAAAATGCCCTGAAGAAAAGTAATAGAAACAATTTTACAAGACTTGGTGCATCAGCTTCGTATGCTATAAAGAAAATTAGAGATAAAACTCAATAAAAACCACTTTTAGCAAAAACGACATGTGTTTTTTGATAATTACCATCAGATAAACGTATTGGAATAAAAAAGGCCGGAAGAAAAATAATAGAAACAATTTTACAAGACCTGGTGCATCAGCTTCGTATACTATGAAGAAAATTAGAGATAAACGACATGAATATAGGGATAGCATTATACCTTAATATTGTTATTCAACGCGTCAATTTATATTTATTTATCAGTGATATTTGATATACTTAAAGATATTTAAACATATATTTTTTTGATGCATTTAAAGAGAGAATTTCTTTTCAGATATATCGAAAACTGTGTTGCCACATCGGACACAGGTCTACTGAAAAATCAGCTGCAGTTGCTACACCAGCAGCTGCTGTTCGAGCGGCACAGGAGGGAAACGCACGCCTACAGAAACAGGAGGTTGCTGTCCGATGCCAAGAGCACCAGGTTGCTGAAGGAATACAATTCTGCACTGGTAACTTTTATAGCATTTTTTTTTGGAACGCTGTATAGAAAAATAAAGGCATTTTCTTTCAGAGGGACCAAGTTCAGCTCGAACAAAAAGAAATAGACGATCTCAGGCGGCAATTAGAAGAGTTTAGACTAAATTCTCTAGGTGAACATAGGCAACTGAGTAACGACATAGGGTTTTTGCAGGATAAGGTAGTAAAAAACAGCGTAACATTGAATTTTTTTGTTAAATGTAGAATTTTCAGTGCAAATCTCTGACTGAAGAAAACGATTTGTTGAACGAGAAGGTGAAACGTTTAGAATCCGAATACACCGATTGCAAAATTAATTGCAGTACTTTGGATAAGAGAAGACAGCAAGCTGAGGCAGCACTTTTAGACGCTTTGGCTGAAGTCAAGGTAAATGTAGTACAGTATGATCGAAAAAAAAACGGCGTCAAAGACGGCTGGGAAATAACAATCGATGGTAATTTTGGCGAGGTCAAGCCCTAGACCTCATTTAATTAGCCAAAAACTATTTTTTACGAGCAAAAAAAATTTTAGGCGTAAAAAACTATTTCTTGCAAAAACCAAATAGTTTTTTACGCGTAAAAAATAGCTTTATACCTGTAAAATAGTTTTTATGCGTATAAAACCACTTTTTAACTAAATAGTTTTTTACGTGTAACAAGTAGTTGAATAACTTGTAAAAAATAGTTTTTCTCGTGTAACAAATAGTTTTTTAATCGTAAAAAATATTTTTTTACGATTAACAAATAGTTTTATACGCGTAAAAATAGTTTTTTACGTGTAACAAATAGTTTTTTGAATGTAAATTTTTGTACTATTTTTTACTCTTATAAAACAATTTTTTGCGAGTAAAAAAATATTTTTATGCGTATAAAACTGTTTTTTACGCGTATTAAACTATTTTTACACGTAAAAATTATTTTTACACGCAAAAAACTATTTTTTAAGCGTATTAAACTATATATGGCATCCAAAAAAACATTTTTTACGAGCAAAAAAAATTTTTTAGGCGTAAAAAACTATTTCTTGCAAAAACCAAATAGTTTTTTACGCGTAAAAAATAGCTTTATACCTGTAAAATAGTTTTTATGCGTATAAAACCACTTTTTAACTATAAATAGTTTTTTACGTGTAACAAGTAGTTGAATAACTTGTAAAAAATAGTTTTTTAATTGTAAAAAATAGTTTTTTACGATTAACAAATAGTTTTATACGCTTAAAAATAGTTTTTTACGTGTAACAAATAGTTCTTTGAATGTAAATTTTTGTACTATTTTTTACCCTTATAAAACTATTTTTTACGAGTAAAAAAATATTTTTATGCGTATAAAACTGTTTTTTACGCGTATTAAACTATTTGTTACACGTAAAAAACTATTTTTACACGCAAAAAACTATTTTTTAAGCGTATTAAACTATTTATTGCATCCAAAAAAAACATTTTTTACGAGTAAAAAAACTATTTACATATCGTCAATGGCTTCAAAAATTTTGATTGCAAATTATAAGAGGGTTCAGATTTTATAAACAAATAGAGACTTTAATTCTTTATTGAACGGATAAAACTGTACTTTAATATCTCTTTTAATTTTAGAGATAAAGTTTTTTAAAGCTAACAAATGAATGAAATTTAAAGTCAGCAAGAGTTGGTGGTAAATTAAATGATTTAAAATATAATAATGCGTTCACTGAGAGTTTCAGATGCTATTTTATTACTTCATAATAAATAATAATACTGTAAAAAAGTATACGGTCCAAAAAAATCAATATTCCTGACAAAATGGCCAAGGCGCTTATTTAAAAAAGCTTGGTAAATAAAAATTCTATGAAAAAAATATAATTTCTCAAAAACTAATTTATATAGCGGTGCCGTCTTGATTACATATTAAAACTAGAACAGTAGTATAAATTGTCACACCCAAAAAACAATTTTTTACCAGTAAAAAAATATTTTTGCGCGTATAAAACTATTTCTTATGCGTATGAAACTATTTGTTACACGTAAAAAAAACTATTTGGTACACACAAAAAACTATTTTTACGTTTTGATAAAAGAGTTGCAATTTAAATTTTAGTTTGCGAAAGAACAGGCAATGGCGGGCGAACAAGTAAAACAAGAACTGCAGAGGGTCAACAGGGAACTGCTTTTAATAGGCGAACTGCACGTTAAATATAAGGAAAGGTTGGACCGATTGAGCACTTTGAGACAGTGTGAAGAAGAAGTGAGGCAAATTAAAGACAGTTACAAGGAGGAACTAAAAGGTAAGATATAAATTAATATTGTATATAGTCTCTGCAGTGGCAAAATCACTAGGTCCCTGCAACGGCAAAATCACCAGGTCCCTGCAGTGGGAAAATCACTAGGTCCCTGCAGTGACAAAATCACCAGGTCCCTGCAGTGGCACAATCACTAGGTCTCTGCATTGGTAAAATCACCACGTCCCTGCAGTGGACCCACTAAAAAACTATTTTTTACACTTACACATAACTATACTTTAATATATCTTTTAATATTAGAGATAAAGTGCTTTAAAGCTAACAAATGATGAATAAAATTTACAATCGGCATGAGTTAGTGGCAAACTAAATGATTTAAAGTATAATAATGCTTTTAATAATGGATAACTGACAGTTTCAGATGCTATTTTATTACTTTATAATAAACAATAATATTGTAACAAAGTACAGTCCAAAAAAATCAATATTCCTGACAAAATGGTGAAGGCGCTTATTTAAAAAAGCTGGGTAAATAAAAATTGTGTGAAAAAATATAATTTCTCAAAAACAATAAATTAATATCTTAACAATAATTTTATATATTATATCTTATCTTTATTATATTATAATTTCTATTTTGTAGCGATGAATCATACAATCGAATTAAAATCTGCTGCGGTAGAGGCGTACAAAATGAAAGCCATAGAGATGGAGCATCTGCTTCAAGCCAAAGACGAGGTGATATCCGCACAAAAAAGGACTTTATCATCTTACAATGAGAATGAGGAAGCTTTACTGGAGGTATTACGATATTTTATTAATAATAAATACTAAATAAATGATATTAAAAATAGTAAGCTTTTCGTGCACACTGTACAGGGTGGTCCGAACTGTATTCCGGAAACTTCGGCAAATTTGGAAAAAATCGAAACAAATTATTAAACTTCTACACCCTGTATCTCCGAAACTAAACATTTTAGGACATTCACTTATACGAACTTTTTTACTTATTTTTATCTGCCGAATATGCCGCCGAAGTTTCCGGAATACAATCCGGACCACCCTGTATACGTCATAATTTTCATTTTTTTCAGTCTATCCAGAGCAAGTACGAGACGCAGCTCTCCGTGAATTGCGTGCTGGAGGAGAAAATCCTGGAGTTGAAGCAGAAGCTGGAGGCGGAAACGGCCCGGAGAAAAATGAACTCCCCCGACACTTCGAGCTGCCACGAGGTGCAGGCTACCACGACGGCCGGTCTTAGCCCTCACTCGTCGCCGTTGTCCGCCTCGCTGGCGTCCTCGGCGGGCAGTACCACCGGGCCCAGATAAGGCGCAGCCGAGCCGAGAATGAAAACCGACTGATTTTCCACTATTGTTTTAGACTAGTTAGTTATAAGCGAAAAAGATCTTCGATAAGGTTCGTGGAATTGAAAAAGAAATCGTTAAAAATAATTTTTACTCGATTTTTTTAACGAACGTATTAAGAAGAAAGACGAAAAAATGAAACCTCATTGTGTAAGTCGTAAACTTGGACTATTTAATGCCTGGACACTTTCTGTGATCTGTATTTTGTAGCCAACATAGAATTTTATATGAGTTGCCTGTTTTTTTAAATATTTTTATTAATTTACAAAGAAATCAATCTTCTTTGTTGTCTTACTCTCTTTTTAACGCAAGCAGGTTATGTTGGCTTTGTACTAAAGACTTCAGAAAAGTGTCTAGTTGTTCTATGGTCTAAGGTCTTAAAATATATAAGTATTGAACCTGGATTTTATGTTTAAGCTACAGACTCGTGCAACACTTTACTTGAAACAATTTTAGATATACAGGGTGTTCACGTATATTTTAGGCAATAACAATTATTTCTTTAAAAAATCTTCCGTAATTTAAACTTTGTTCTGAAACTAATATTTAGGGAAGTAAGTAGCTATTGGTTAAAATGCATATAAACACTCTGTACATAATAATTGTCCATAACATTTTATTATAAATACATATTAATTACAATGGATAAAGGCATTCCGTTTTGTATATGCCGTAAAAAAATAATTATTTACTATTTTATGTACTGTTTTCACCGAAAACTTCCCTAAATAGAAACAAATTAAATGCGACAAATTTTTGTGTTTGTTCTTCGATAAGATATTATTAATTAAGGTGAAAACAGACATAAGGGAGTAAAACTATTTTTTGGTGCAGCTTTTTTCATGTTATTTTTATCTATAACAAAATTGTCCAATCACTGTACAAATCTAAGAAGTGTCAGATTGTTGATCTTTGACAAAGTATGTTGCTATGGCTATTATATTGTATTGTTAAAGAAACTGACTTAAAGTCATTTTTAATAAATGTGTTTAAATATTGAATAGTTGTTTTATTTATTCTAATTTTTGCATTAGTTCTGAACTAATATAGTTCCAAACTATTTTAGTTCAGAACTATATTAGTTCAATTAACAGAACTGTTTAGTTCAACTAACAGAACTATTTTAGTTCAGAAATATATTAGTTGGATTAACATAACTATTTTAGTTCAATCAACAGAACTATATTAGTTCAACTAACAGAACTATTTTTAGTTCAGAAATAAATTAGTTCTGAACTGTTTTAGTTCAACTAACAGAACTATTTTAGTTCAGAAGTATATTAGTTCAATTAACAGAAATATATCAGTTCAACTAACAGAACTATTTTAGTTCAATCAACAGAACTATATTAGTTCAACTAACAGAACTATTTTAGTTCAATCAACAGAAATATATTAATTCCGAATTCTTATAGTTCAATTAGCAGAACTATTTTAGTTCAGAACTATATTAGTTCAATTAACAGAACTATATTAGTTCAATAAATACCAAAAATCGTTTGTAAAGAGAATTTATTCAATAAAAAAATCTACAATTAATAACATGGTACACTTAAAACAATCATTTCACTGGCACAAACTGAAGAAGTCTTTTAATTTTTCTTAGCATAGCTTCCACAAAGCTCTTATCCGACTCCGATCGATCCTGGAACAAAGAAAAAATATATTTGTATTAATATTTATGTAAAGATTGCCTCTAATTTATTTATTTATTTACTAAACTTACCTGTGCAGTCTCCAAGAGCTGTTTGCTGAAACTGTCATTGAACAAAGACACCAGACCTTGTTTTAAGTTACTAATAACTTCAGTAGAAACCTTCCATGTCACTTCAGAGGAAGTTGGTAATGTTGCTAGAATAAACAAAATAAAATTAAAGCAATCTAAATAAAATTATATTACAAATCTTACCATCTATGCTACTTAAACTGGAATCGGGATGGATGTATCCAAAATGCCGGGGTTTTGGAATGGCTCTCAACATGTAGTAGTCCAAATGGCACCAGATGAGATACAGGGCGTTTTCGATAATAAACGCGCAATAATCCATTTCTTTTTTCTGTAACAATTAATTAAATATGTCTCAAAAAGTTATAACTACAAAAAAAAGAGTAATACAAACCTTTTTCTCTAGTCTGTCAGATATAACTTCGTAGGCTTTCTCTCTTTTAACAATTAGGTCACAGAGATCCAGAGAATCGTCTATAAAAATCTTTAGATCCACCGAATTCATTTGAGGCACTTCTTTGATTTTTCTCTCCAGTAGGTCAAATGTACCTTTCTCTTGATGCTGGTAGCCTACTGTACTTATTAACTGTTGAACTATTACACCTAAAAATGTACATTATTTGTCAGTATAGATGCAAAAATATTGTTTTTATTAGTCAAAACTATTGTTAAAAATAAATTGACAGAGCCAAAAAAAATCGATATTCTTGACAAAATGGTGAAGGCGTTTATTTAAAAAACTAGTTAAAAATTTTATTAAAAAATAATTTCTCAAAAACTAATTGATATAGCGGTACCCTCTTGACTGCATATTAAAACTAGAACAATATAATAAATGCAAAAAAAATCATGAATGGCTTCAAAAATTTTGATTGCAATGTTTAAGAGGACTCAAATTTTACAAACAGGTAGAGAATTTAATTCTCTGTCGAACGGATAAAACTGTACTTTAATATATCTTTTAATTTTAAAGATGAAGTGCTTTAAAGCTAACAAATGATGCATACAATTTAGAATCAGCACTAGTTAGAGGTAAATTACATGATTTAAAGTAAAACAATGCTTATAATAATATATAATTGATAGTTTCGGATGCTATATTATTATTTTATAATAAATAATAGCACTGTAACAAAGTATACAGCCCAATAAAATCAACGAAGGCGCTTATTTCAAAAAATTGATAAATACAAAAATATAATAATAATTCTATAAAAAACATTACTTCTTAAAAACTAATTAATATAACAAAGTGCCGCCTTGATTGCATATATGAGAGTACTTTATTATTTATAAAATACTGTAAAAGGTAATGCAATATCTAAAATTATTTTTTTTGTTTAAATGAATTTTCGGTCTCAAAAAAGAAAAAATATATTTAACTTATTAAAGCTTTTCCTCGTCTTTGCCTACTGTGATAAGGTTTTTATCTTTTCATATAACGCAATCAAACGCAATGATTACCTAAATTTGGTTCTTGTTCGTTGACGTTTCCTATGGACCTTCCGTGGAAAGTGTGCAGTTTGGAATCGGTCAAAGCAGGATAAAAAACCACTCCCACTCCTCCATGCTCGATATCGTGATTAGCCACGATATTTCTAGCGTAGCACAGCAAGTTAGCAGCTGTTTGCATAGCGTACAGCAATCTCTCGGACGTCTGGAACGAATTCTTCTCGAAAATGTTGTTGCTGAGCAGCCGTTTCACTCGGTCCTCGCTCAACACGAATTTTTGCATCAAATTCAACATCAGCTTCTGTATCCGGAACAGCTGGGCTCTGTTGCTTTGGACTATGTTCGGATTTTCCAGAACGTTGATCAGATTGTTATTGGCAGTTCGAGATAAGACCGATGTGAGTAACGCCAATTCTTTTAAGGACGTTGGTGACAGTTCTGCATGTCCAGATCTAAATCATAAAAGGTTGTATCCAAGTGGTATCCAAAAAATATCTAGTTATAGTTAAACTATAGTCTCATGATACTGAGACTTTAAACTATTTTTTTTTCTTAGAAAACAATAATTACCTCAAAATTAATTCTACGACATTCAAATTGCTGAGCAAGAAGTACATTATTTGGACCACCGCAGACTGATTCTCAGTACCTAGCGTGGTTAGAATGGCATTACATATATCCAAGGTGGGCATGAATATTTGCAAGTACTGTTGCTCCACCGGCGGAATGAAGTCCTCGAAGACGTCCTCGCCCTGCCACACCTTCGATATTTCCGGGTGGTACCCGAAAACGGACATATTACTGAAAACGCCCAGTAGTTTTTGTTCCAGGATCATTTCCGCACCCATTCTTGAACCTAAAAATGTTTAAAAAACGTTTTATTTTCCTTAAAAACCCATCTAAGAACTTCAAAAAGTGAAGCTTAGGTTTAAAAAAGATTTTTTGTTAATAGTTTTATCCAAAACTACTCCAAAAAACTTAAAAAGTCTGAAATTATTAAGGAAGTAGTGTTCAAACCATAGAACATAAAACAACTAGACCCTGCAAAGCACTTATTTAGATGTAGTCGAGATTAAACACAATGTTTGAAACTTATTTTTTGTTAAGAACGATATATCAGTAAAAAGAATTCAGAATTTACTCTATCTTCTAATCTTAACTTTAATATTAATCTTAGAATCTTAAAAATACCAAAATTACTAAAAAAATAGTTTTCAAACCATAGACATAGGACAACTAGATCCACAATCCCCACATTGATGTGTTAAATGGGAATCTTTATACAAATTTGTTCTAAAAACTTTAGGTTTCAAGTTAGATCTCAAATAAATATGTTTTTAGATGTTATATAAATAAAAAAAATGAATTTTTACCTGCTAATCTTGTCACAAGAAGCATTTTTGCTAAATACAGGTACATGGGCTTGATTGTCTCAGCTCCGGGCTCAAGCATGGTCCTGAGATCCTTATCGCTATCCAGGATACTTTGGATAATGTGCTTCAAGTATCCTTTGCCAGAAAGATAGATTATGAACTGGACATTTCCTGTCATCGTCATCAGATGACTGTATGATGACATTGCAAGAATTTTGCATATTTCCTGGCCTAAAATTTTCGCAGTATGATTTTATAACTTAAAAGAAATATATTTTTATCTTTAATAAATCTAATTACCTCCAATACAGTCGTGGCAAAGAACGTCCATCAGTTTTTCACCGAAATTCACTATAATGTCGTTGGAAAACTTCAAGTGTTTTTCTGTTTCCTCGATGTTGTAAGTAGACCCGTCCAATCTACTAATGTACATACTGTTATTTGTGACCGCTATGTCTTCATGCGACGGTTCTACGTTGGTAAGTTGCAAAAACGTCACTAGGGCAGCGTACAGGTTGATCCTGAGTTCACCATCGATCACGTCAGAGGTCAGGATCCATTCTACCAAGTTCTCTAATATTTGTTTCAAAGAACTGTAAGAAAAAAATATATACACACCTAAAAACAAAACATTTTTAAAGGAAACTTACCCAAAATAATAAGTGATCACGTTAAAAGAAGGCGAGTCCGAATCCAAATTCACCTTCTTAAACTTCTCCTCCCTGAAGTAGTACCTTTTTATGTTATCAATCATCAAAAGTACCGAGCCAGACAGCAACCTCGCAACTTCGGGAAGCAGCTGAGCTTTGGTGGCTTTGCCCAAGACGCCCAGGAGCAGGGTGATGCTCAGTACTTGCTGTTCGGTGGGATTCAGTACCTCCAAAGGCATAAAACTGACCAGGACTTCGGCCAGTTGCCTCCAAGCGTCCACTAGGTCGATTACGGACGAACAAGATTCGGTTCTCTTGTTCAGATTTAAGGCGTGTTTCAAGACTTTTGGGATTTCCTGATTGATAGCCTGGATTTGTCCGATAGCTGCGGTACCTTAAATTTTATTTAAAAAGTGTGAAAAACTTCTTATAAAGCTGTTTTCGAAATATTATTTTATATAGGAATGAAAAAATACAGTATAAATTGTTTTTGTGCCCTGATGTGACGTAAAAAAATAGTTATGTTGGCTACAAGATTAGGGATAAAAAGGTGTGTCTATTGATAAAACAGTCTAAGAATTTTTAAATACTATTTTAAACTGGAAGTAAGTAAATAAAATAAAAATGTTTCTGCCCTGATGTGACGTCAAAATATGAGTTATGTTGGCTACAAGATTAGGGATAAAAAGGTGTGTCTATTGATAAAACAGTCTAAGAATTTCAAAATAATATTTCATATTGAAAGAAAGAATACAATAAAAAAAATCTGCCCTGATGTGACGGCAAAATATGAGTTATTTTCGCTACAAAGTTAGGAATTAAAAAGGCGTATCTATTGATGATATTAGATAATAGAATAAAAAATACTGTTGAGATAAAAATAATATTTCTACCCTGATGTGACGTCAAAATATGAGTTATATTGGCTACATGATTAGCGATAAAAAGCAGTATCTATTAATGATATAGTCTAAGGATTTCAAAATACTGTTCTAGAACAAACAAAAACGATAAAAATATGTTCTGCCCTGGTATGATGTCTAAATACGAGTTATATTGGCTACACGAATAGTGATAAGAAAGCGTATCTATTAATGGTATAGTCTAAGGTTTCAAAAATACTATTTTAAATTAGAAGAAAAAATCTACATTGATATCACGTTAGAACAAAAAATAAACGGTATATATTTTCTACCCTGATGTAACGTCAAAATATGTTGGTTACAAGATTAGTAATAATACAAATTAGGCTATAAAATACGTATCTATTAATTAATATAGTCTAAGATTAATTCAAAAATTCGAATACCTTGTAGATTCTTCAATTCGTCGTACAGAATCTGATGCAACTTCTTCAAATCGATCAATTTCAAGTTGGATTTGGCCCGACACTGTTGCAAAATCTGATTCAGAGCGTTGTTATCGAAAAACTCCCAGGTCGGAAGCTCGATCGGCGGCACTTTGAACTCAAAATACTCCAAAAAGCTCGTCATGAAGTTGTTCAACTTCACCTCGTCCGGCGTTATGATCCTCGTTTCCAAAAAGTTCTTTTGCACCAACGAGAACATGTCTTCCTGACCATCGTCCTCGGCGGGGATGTTAATCAGAAAACTGGTCAGCAACTTGAGGTAGGTCACTTGCTTGCTGTTGCTGGTCACTTTCAGTTCGATTGCGAGGGTTTTCATCAGCCATGAGACCTGATTTACACCAGTTAAATCTGTAGAAAATGTAGTCATTTAGTTACAGTATAAATTTTATTTTAATTGTAAAAAGATGTGACTTTTTGTGCTAAAGCTTATCCCAGCTTCTGTAAGCTACAGTCTGTGTCCATCCAACAATCGAAAAAAAAATGGCGTCAAAAAAGGGAAATGACAATCCTGATCATTTTGGCGAGAGAATTAATTTTATTCATCATTTGTTAGCTTTAAAGCACCTTATCTCTATAATTAAAAGAGATATTACGATAAAAGAGATAAAGTACAGTTTTATCCCGTTCAATAGAGAATTAAAGTTTCTATCTGTTTGTAAAATTTGAGCCCTCTTAAAATTTGCAATCAAAATTTTTTAAATCTTTGATAACTTTTTTTGCATTTATTATATTGTTCTGGTTTTAATATGTAGTCAAGACGACTCTATATTAATTAATTTTTGAGAAATATTTTTTTTTCATAGAATTTTTATTTGCCAATCTTTTTTAAATAAGCACCTTCGCCATTTTGTCAGGAATATTGTCGCCGTTTTTTATATCATACGTTAGTTCAAATGTACCGATACAAAAACTCGACAAAAACCGACTTAAAAACTGCATTTTCTCACCTTTATCTAAATTTCTTCTCGCCTCCTTCAAGTGGTTCTTAAAAAACGTCTTGTTCAGCCTCAAGAACCTCAAAACCGGACCACTGGTACGATAATTGGCGGAGAGCAAGTACAGCAAATGGTATCCGGATTCTACAAGATCTGCCGGAGCGGATTCCATCACCGTCGAGATCACAGTGTCCAACAGAGACAGCAATGCGTGCAAGCAAGTTCTCGGAAAGTTCATAACGCCTGGATACTGAAACTCTGTTTTCGAAATGTCTCTCTTCAAATCGAAACCCATGAGGAAATGGGTTAAATTCGGCGTGTTGTAATTCAAACACTGCTTTAATAACCTAAAAAAATCAGTAGTTCAAACGTACCAAAATAATAAATTTTGTAAAAACCAGATTACTAACCTTAAAATTTCCTTTTTCGTGGCATTGATGGTTTCCTTATCGTCGTTATTCGAGTCCAGACATTCGAAAAATCCGCTTTTAATGACTTGCTGGGATTCATCAGTGGAAAGAAGAATGTTCATGAATTGGGTGTGACCAACGGCCGAGCTAGTGATGTGGATGAGAATTTTCACAGCCACCAAGCTATGCTTCGGCAAATACTGTTGGTAGGTCACGTATTTTGCGATGTTGATACAGTGGTCCGGTTTTCCCGACTTCCTGTTGATCGTTAGAAGAAGTTTTCCGATGCTGGTCAAGATTAAACTCGCAGAAGACATGGCTAAAGTACTGTAAAAAAATTAAATACATTTTTGTTTTGTTTATATCATTGAATAGAAAGACTAAGCAAAGATAAAGTAAGATTCAGACAAACAAGAAATAATATACTGTTGCGGACCCGTGTGGACTCGACCTAACCTAACTATATGTCCCGCCCTCAGATGACCTTAACATCGCATTAAAGAATAGACACCGTAATGATTCATTCGTTCGAGAAGAATCGAGTCCCACTGGAATAGACTAGTACATACGAGAACATTCGAAAACCTTCTCTATGCACCTAACAATCTGTGGACTATTCTAGATTTCTTTTGCTGTAGGTATAAAAGCCGGCGGCTGTGGCCTAGAGAGGGCAGTTATAAATAAACAGTACAGTTGACGCGCTAAAGTTCAAAATAAATTCTTAGTTATAAATCGTTTGTAAATAGTTCTATAAGTCTTTTATTGTTATTGTTTTTGTTAATTAGTGTTAAATAAATAGTGTTTAAATAAATTGTGACTTTCTATCCACACGGAACCGACGAAAAACGTAACAATACTTTCATTAGTCTTTTTGTCTTAATGGTGCATACCTGAAAAACTTTGACTGCAATACCAAGGCCCTGTGGACGATATTCAGACAAGTTAAAGAGCAGTCTTTGACTTTTTCCTGGCCGGGGAATGACACATAAGCGTCAAAGTAACGACTACCATCGTCAATGATGTCCAAAATGACGTTTAAAACTTCAGTTTTGTTGTTGAGCTGCAACATCAAGTGGTAACCAGGAGGACTATTGAATTCTGTGAAGAATCCGGAATGCTGCGGAAAATCCGTCACCTGTCAAAAGAAAGTATAAGATGTTGTTGGCTACACGATTAGCGATAAAAGGCGTATCTATTGATGATATAGTCTAAGAATTTCAAAGTACTATTTTATACTGGAAGAAAAAAATAAAAATATTCCTGCCCCGATGTGACGTCAAAATATGAGGCGTATCTACTGACGACATAGTCTAAGAATTTCAAGATATTATTTTATACTGGAAGACAACAAATATTCTTGCCCTGATGTAACGTCAAAATATGAGTTATGTTGGCTATAAGATTAAGGATAAAAAGGCGTATCTATTAATAAAACAGTCAAAGAATTTCTAAATACTATTTTAAATTGGAAGAAATTAAAATAAAAATATTTCTGCCCTGATGTGACGTTAAAGTGTGAGTTATGTTGGCTACACGAATAGCGACAAGAAGGCGTGTCTATTAACGATATAGTCTAAGGTTTCAAAAATACTATTTTATATTAGAAGAAAAAATCTACCTTGATATCAGGTTAGAACAAAAAATAAACGATATATTATGTCTATTTTCCACCATGATGTAACGTCGAAGTATGAGTTATGTTGGTTACAAGATTAGCAATAAAAGGCGTATCTACTGACAACATAGTTTAAGAATTTCAAAACATTAATTTATACTGGAAGAAAAAATATTCTTGCCCTAATGTAGCATTAAAATATGAGTTATGTTGGCTACAAGATTAGGGATAAAAAGGCGTATCTATTGAAGACACAGTCTAAGAATTTCAAATTATGTATTATTTTATACTGGAAGAAAAAAAATAAAACATTCCCACCCTGATGTGACGTCACAATATCAGTTACATATGTTGGCTACGAGATTATGGATAAAATTACGAATCTATTGATGATATAGTCTAAGAATTTTTAAAACAAATATTTGAACATTTATTTCTTGTAAATAAAAAAAATAGTTATATCGAGAATTCTTTTTTAGAAACTTTTACCTTTGGATCATACTGCATCAAAAACTTCTCAAACAACTTCAAACAGAGCGAGGCAACGTCCCATTTCTCCTCGGAATTCCTATACGACCTCGAATTGTATTTTAAAAACACCGAATTGATGATGAACGACAGATAGGGATCGAAACCCGGCTTTCTCGGTCCCGCACCCAAAGTTCTCGGTATTCCAAAGTTGGTCAAAGTATCCAGGAGCTTCAACAGAGCCCTGGTTAATGGATACTCTTCCATTCGGGATTCGATCTCTTCCAGTTCAGTTTGGATACCCCTGGATACAGAAAAAAATAGTAATAAAATATTTTTATAGAAAAAATTAGTTATTAGTTACCTTGGTGCATAACTGGATGTGGTGGGGATGGTAACTAAAATTTGGGAAGCTTCCAAATTCTCCCACATTTGACTGGCGTTTTCACTGGATTTTGACAGCGATGACAGTGTGAGGAGTAGGTCGGATTTGAGCGGTATGGGGACAGAACAGCTTATTAAACCTACGGTAAAATTAATTTTTTCTTGTAACAAAAAGTTAAGTATAAAAAAATTATTTTCAAAATAAACTGTTGTCTATTAACCTATTAATAGATGTTTTTTTATTATAAAAGATGTTCTTAAGCCTGTTCTGTTCTAAGAGAAAAACTTGTTATGAATGTGGATGTCCTAAACATTTTAACTTTTGAGGTACAGAAAAGACCTTAAATTGACTTGATCAATATTATTTAAAATATATTTATTTAATTTTCTGACAAATGTATTATTAAAATAAATTCTTACCTAGAAGAATGGTTAAAGGTGACCATCCAGGATGTTCACAGAGTGCCAATCTCGAAAACTCATCATGCTCAGCCACAGTTCGTATCAAAAGCAAAACCGCGTGCAAACCGTCCAATTCCTGGGGACTGACCCCCTTATGATACCCCGATCGACTTCTATAAACCGTATCAGCCTGAGCTGGAGCCTCTTGCCTCAAATTGTTGTAGTACTGAGCGAAAGACATAAAGAAATGGTCCCAGCTCAGCGTCTGAGACAGGTGCACCCCTAAATTTCCAGTAATTATTATAAAAATAAACCATTTTAATCCTATATGAACAAACCTGACTGTTTAAGCATGTTGAAACAGTGTCTTGCTGTTTGAGGCGATGTAGACAATCCGCAAAGCATTTTTATGAAAGGCACAAAAAGTGTGGAGGGCAACATATCACCTACAATAAAAAAAATATATATAAAAAATAAAATTTCAGTTTTTTTTTCTTCAAATTACCAGCAAATCTTATAAATTTGAATAAAGACACTGCTCTTGAGGGGGCCCTCAAATTCGACGTCTGATTCGGCGTGATATCTAGTGGACTCCACCATGCCAAAGTGTAGTCTGGGTCTTGTATATTGTTTGAGTAAAATTTTGCAATGCACAGAAGTAAATAGTCAAAATACCTTTAAAAAAAATTCAGTAAAAAGAATTAAAAAAAATAAACAAAATAACAACGTACCTTGGTAAATTTGCTGGAGCCTCTAAGCCCTCTCTGGTATAAAACTGCAAAGTTCTCGATACCTCGTTAGCCTTCATTCTCAAATCTTTTACTTTAGGATACATATAAACAATAAAATCTGTGATTAAGTAATGCAATCTTTTATACAAAAATTGTTCCTTATATAAGGTCTGATTGTCTAGAAAAATATTATGTAGAAAAGTAAAAACGTTCATTTCAATGGCCGTATCCACTAAGGTATCTTCCTTATTTATAGCTTCTTGATAGAGGTAGTTTTGTGGTACTACTCTTAAAGAAGCTAGGCACACAGACAGGCCAAAAGTTGAAAGTGCTTGTAAACCTTAAGAGAAAAAAAGATTAGAAATATTGAAAATAATTGTGTTAATTTAAGGTACCTTTAGAGACCCAGGCAGGTTTGTTAGGGAGAAACTCATTAACAACAGCTCCAATATAATTTGGATCTGATAAAATAGGTAAAAGCTGTACAGCTTCTTCCCCATCTTCTCTTGAATGCAACACACTTAAATCAAAGGCTGACAGTAAGGCAATCTGAGAATTTTATACAAAAAGTAAAACTGATATCCTATTAAAAATTAAATCACCCTACCTGTAGATACAAATTAACATCATCAATAACACCTGAAGCTTCAGATTCAATCTTAACCTCCCTCAAGTAGTTTATCAAAGCTAGTGTTGGATCTTTTGGAAGGCCGCACTGTGTGGACCAGGAAAAAACAATGTCTGCCAAGATGCTTCTTATATCGTTAAATAAGTCCATGACTTGCCTTTTGTGTTTTGCACCTCCCAGTGCTAGGTTCTGTTGCAATTTTTCAATTTCTTTGCTCAAGTCTAACGTTCTCAACAACTCAAATATTCTGTTGAATAGACCTCCTTCGACTAGCTTGTCTGTGTAGTCTGTTACAAACCTACCAAGTTCGGGTTTAACATTTACAGTCCATTGGATGCCACTTCTAGCTTGTACCAGGTATAATAAGGTAGTTAAAAGGGCTTTTTTACCATCGTAGTATAATAATATCGCTACCAAACCCCTAGGTAAGCCCGGGTAATAAGGCATTTGAATTTGAGCTGTGCAAAGTAAATCTAAAGCTACAAACTCGTTTATATCAAACATATCGGATATAATAACTGTTTCCTGGTATAGTTCTTTAGATAGAACTTGGTGACCGATTCCTTTAACGTTAATACCCTCTACCATGCCCTTCTTGAGGTCTTCTCGGTTTTTGGCATTTTTAGGCTAAAATACATTAGGTTTATTTCGTTAAATACTATAAAGAGATGCTGAAAATAACATACCGGATTCTGTAACAAGGAAAAGAAGCTTTGCTTGTGCCTTCTTAAAATATTCTCAAAGTCTGCTGAAGGTAGATCATAACCAGGACTCTGATTTAAATATTTCCACACGACGCCTTTGAGCTCTTTATAGGAATTCCACAAATCCTCCGAAGAATTCACAGCCATGATTCTACTTTTTACCAACTAGTCTGATTCTTTATTTATATTATTTATAATTCTTTTCACAATAAATGTGTTCACAAAACACTAAACATTCAAAAACAACAAAATACCGGTAATGACAAATGTCAAAACTGTCATATGATTATTTGATTGACGTACAGTAGGTGCCACACAAATAATAACAATATCGATAGTCCATAAAAATATATCGATATATCTCTACCATTCCTACTTGGGAGTACTAGTCTATCTATGGTAACAGAATTTTTATATTTTCTATTGGTACCACTGACACTTTTAACCACAAAATTTTAAAAATATTTTCCGTAAATAATGAAATTCCTCTTAGATTTTAAGGAAAATCTTTATTATTTGTTGTTCCCCACACCAAAATATGCCGAATACATCTCCGAAGAAGCCCTGGAGGAAAATATTGTACGATAAACAGGACTACCCAGACAACTATGTTGACCCAGCCGTTTTCTTGAAAGAACTTAAAAGAAACACCCAACTAAAGAAAATAACACTTTGGGAAGCGTATCTAGGAGCTAACTTATTCCTCCAGGAATTCACTGTTGTCGTACTTTTCCTCATAATTTATTATTACATCGTCAGTAAATTGGTTCGACCATGGTTCATACTACACGCTACAAATAGTGTTAGTTTAGTTGGTTTTCTGTTCTATCGACTTAAAAATAGATGTAACATAATCTAAGCATTAGCACAAAGTAATTCTCTAATCGTTTTCATTTGTAGGTAATACCATAAAGGAGACTGTAGGCCGTGATGTTCGCACAATTCTGACTTTTGTAGTGTTTGGACAACTATTTTCGCCAGTGCTTCACACACTCACAGACACTATCAGTACGGACACTATCTATACAACGACGTTCTTCATGATGTTGGTGCATTTAATCTTTTTTGACTATGGTGTCAGTGCGGCACTAGTATCAAACAGTTTATCCCTGAGTGCTGCAATGTTTGCTTCAATTTGTTTGGCCTCAAGACTGTCTTCGGCAAACGAGGCTTTTGTATTTTTGACTATTTCTACGCAGGCCTTTGTCCTGTTTCCTATACTGAGAAAGCAAATCGGTAATTCTGTGATATTAACTGTAATTTTAGTTTTAGCGGAACTGTATTTCTTACTTGAAATATCGTTGTCTATATCAGTTTTATACTTTTTGGCCTTAATATTTATAGAAACTTGTCCAGTTTTATTTGTAGTTTGTCACAAATATAGGGATAATATACATGGACCCTGGGATGAAGCAGTTGTTAATGTAAAATTTAAATAAAATCCATATCAAAAATTTTCTTTATCTTCCACTTTTTGAATATAAAAATAAACAATCTAATGATCAATAAAACTACAGAAACATCTATTATACTGAGAGCCATTTATTTGGTGACAAAAAAACGAAACTAAAAATACAGTCAACTTTAAAAAACAAGAGAAAAGAAAATGATCAACTCAAAACATTCTGACAATAATGAATATATTTACGGAAAGGCACAATTATATAAAATTATTTAATTATTATTATTATTGTACAAGTCGAGCCTACTAACTACGAATTTTGCGTTGGTGGTGGTGATCTTGCGAGCAGCTCGTACAAGACATCGACATCCTGTGATTGATAAACAAGAATTGAATGTGGTGGTGCATAGACGCCATGATATATCGGTGGTACCAATACTTCCTTACTTTAAAAACCGTGAACTTTTAGTTGGTCGGGCTTCGCCAGACCCGCCTTTGTCAGCCACTGGCAAATGTTCTCCCTCTGGTCGCCCTGTAACTGAAGAACCTCGCCGTATTCGGGGTGTTCTATCACAGTTCCATTGCACGCAAATTCCTAGGAAAATAAAGCAGTATTAGCAGTTGACTTTGTCCTACTTTTTTAAGCTTACCTTTTTACATGCTCGGACTATTTTCTTTAGGTCATACTCGGAAGAAAGTCCCTGAACTGTAGTTAGAGTCTTGCGACCATTTCTCTGTTGAATCCTTATATGAACGAGTCCGTCTTGTACATCATCGTCAGCACCCTTACTTGCATCAGCAAACGGGTCTAAAATTGTTAATTATTATTTAATTACCTTTTTAATCACGGTCAATTTCATTTTAGACCTAACTTGAACAAAAAAAACACTGAAAACCCACCTTACAACTACTATTTGCTTCTAATTTAGGTCAAGGGTGATTTTAATAGTCTATTTAATGGAAAATCGATAATAATTGATCATAATTAAGTTTAGTGAATAGGAATTTATTAAAAATATGTATAATATGGTAGGAAAAAAATATATTTATATAAATTAACGCTAAAAAGACCTATTCACGCAAATTGTGAGTCATCAATATCAACATCAGAGATAAAAATAGAGAAATTGAGTGCTTACAAAAAATTCATGTTTTTTCTTCTAAACTAGTGGAAAATATTGAATTACTAAGAAAATTGTTTACAAGGATTTTAAGATAACGATTTTAATCGAAAAATTAGTGGTTTCGATCGCCATTTTGTCTCCAAAGATAGCGTTTCGAACGAAACCAAAGAATCGAGTTTTGTTTTGATACTTACCGAATGTGTTGAGGTTCTGGATGGACATACGATATTCAAAAAACGAACGGGAAAAGAAAAATCTGCGACCGCACGAATTTAGGAAAATTTAGCGCACGAATCACTAGACTTTTCCGGTGTTTCTTCGAGCAGAATCGACGGATTCGAAAATTTTAGAAGAAATCGGGGGATGATTGACGTTGACGTTTCGCGACCCTTCCTGTCACAATACACAGTCGCACCAATACCGCCCCCAAAAAATCCCTAGGATATTACCATAATAAATCATACAACTAGACCCCATGTTTTGTAGACGTATTGATATCAATATAAAATTTAATCTGACGTCAGTAAAGGGCAATATATTGTATTTTTATTGTTTTTAGACCAATAATATTCATTAACATTAAATTACTTGTTCCATTAGATATGCTGGATAGAGATACAATATCTAGATTACATAAATTGAAAATAATTAGTTTCAAAACATTATAAAATATTTTGATAAAAAACGAAGAATTCCCTATTATACATAGAGTTTTGAAAGAACTTTAATATTGTGCAGAATATTTAGAATAATCACAAAACATAACTCAGTAATAAAATCGTTACTATTTCCGTGCTAAAATGATCAAATTTCGCCTATTGTCGTGACGTCACACTAAAATATAAAGTCTTCGGTGTCTAGCAACCGTATGGTCTAAAGTCGAACATAAACAAAAAAATAATTAAATAATTACAACTATATTATGATAAAATATATTTATAAACATTATATGTGGGAGGTAATGTAGTCTTTATAACTGACCGTTAAAGACATTAGAAAAAAGTACCATTACTACATAATTATATCCCATATTAAAAATATTCGTAAAATTAAAACGATTGCAACTCTGTCTTTAAATTTTGTGCGGCAGGGGCGGGTTGCAGATCTTGCAGCAGCTCGTACAACTGGTACATCGAAAACGTGATTCCGCCCATTAATATAATAACTTGCATAAACTTTTGATTGGTTAAGTAGATTATAAACAGCATTTTTACAAATTTTTTAATTTTTCACAAATCTTTATTGTATTATTATTCTCCTACCTCGATTTGGCGTTTAATTATGTAAACCTACAAAAACAACAACGCTAGTAAATTGAAATATATTAGATTTATTATTTCTATACCTTCCTATTACTTAAACACACCATATAAGCGTGGTCGTCGTACGTAATGGTAAGTCTCCTAAATCCTTGCTCAAAAGCTTCTGAATCTAATCTGTTTAAAGACAGAAATATATAATAGAACGGCTTTATAACAGAGAAATAAATAACTGTACCTGTCGTTGGCCAGACCAATTAGTTCTTGGAGCGTTTGAGCTGTTTTCTCATCATTATCCAAATCACCACCGCTGGCCAGCACTGCACCTTCAGAATTTAAGATCAGGTAGCCCGTTTGTCCGGGAAGCGCTGGTCGATCCATTACATAGTCAACTAAACTTTATTTTTAAATAACAAATAATCCTAAGTACAATATATCCATCCAGGTGATAAAAAGCTTACTCATACACAAAAAAATTTATTTTACCTTTTAACCTGTAATTTTCTTTGCAGACTATAATTTGCTTTCTAAAAGAGACTATTCGTGCTTCGAAAAGCTGATTTGCTTTCGTTTTTCTTATAAAAACTACTCGAAATTATCAAAAAATCCAACAGTTGTTGATGACAATCACAGATGACAATCAGCTGACGTTTACTGTGGCCACAGATTAATATCAGAAAATGTTTTATATCTACACCACAGAACAAAATAACTCAAACTAATTTTTATTCGACGGCGCGAAAGGCGCTTTTAAAATTTCTTCAAATTTTGGCTGATAATATAAATTATTTAAAGATCTTGGTGATCTAGCTCTCACAATCGGAGTGACTCTACTCAGAAGCATCAGAATACCAGAAACAAAAATCGTCATCAGTGCCGCGGCTCCTAAAGATAAAAATAGTTACGTTTTCGATGTAGAATTATTAAAAAACGCCTTACCCATAAAAACTAATTGTAAAACATAATTCGGAACCATGTGATTGTTATTATTCGTTGTAATAATATCACAGTGATGAGGACAAGGGCTGTAGTACATATACGGAACTTTTTTGTACATATCTTATTTTTTAATAAAAAAAATCCTATAGGTACTTCATAGGAACGCGCAACTGAACGAATGATTATAAAAATAATATCATTAAAAAATATAATTTTCATAGAGAACATTTTCCTTTTGTATGTGATTTTTTTACGCTCAGTTAATCTTATTGAAGATCAGACGTAATTTTATTACGCACTGAGAAACAACAATAAAGTCCTTTGTATTGTACAGGATTAGTTATTGAACTGTTTCATTCCGTATTGTTTATTTAATAAGAAAACGGTAAATTTCAAAAATATTTAGAACGGGAAAACAGTTATTTTTGCCTAATTTTTAAACTGTTGTATATTAGGTTGGTACACCTGGCGTCAAATATAGGAATGACATATTTTAAAAATATATCGATAGGTAACGTATTATATCGATACAGTGTTGCCATCCTTACCTACAATTAAAATTGGCGCCAAATAAAACATAACCATAGATAAACCTCTTTGGTGCGATCTGTGGAATGTAAAATGTAACCGTTTTCTGTTTTCGAAACTGCAGAAGGAAGTCAAAGAAAGTTTTTATTATTTTTTAACCGAATGTTTAGCAAAAGAAAAAGTTTAAACAGAAAGAAACGACACCGCAATTCGAATCAAACTGGGACAAGTATCTAAAACACGGAAAACACACTTTAAATATAAGTAACAACCAGTATCCAAGGTACGAAAGAAATACTTTTTTTTAACTTGTTTAATTTTTTTTTTCTGAATGGAATCTTTTAGATGGTCCGAAAAGTCCGCACTCCGACGAAAAACAAACAGGGCACCACGTTTTACTACGTAAACAACATGAAACTGGCCTGTACAGAGAAAATGATCAGACAAATGAAAAAACTACAAACGGACACCAACAACCTAATACCTAGGTTGCCATTCGGGCGGGTCGTACGCGAAATTATGCAGGACTACAAGGACGATTTAAGGATACAACTGACGGCGCTGCAAGCGATACAGGAAGCGGCCGAAACCTACCTCGTACAACTGTTTACAGACTCATACAGGTGCAGCAGACATGCCAAACGAGTCACGCTGTACCCCAAAGATATGCAATTGGTTCTATTTCTGAGAGGCGAATCAGACCCAGGCTTTGGCACTATTAAAAGGAGACCAGTTTAAACTGACAAGTATCTTTTTGATATACTCGTATTATATGTATTTTATTTTGAATATAGCAAGTGGGTGACCGATATGATGTTCATATCGAAAATTTTTGTAAGAAGAAATAGATATTTCCATGTATATACTTAGGTGTTCTAAAGAAAACTTCATATTTACGAAATCCAATCCAAGGCAAACTCATAAAGTATTTTTACAGGTAGATACAAAGCGATTCTGATATATTTCCTATATACTCAATATTTTCATTTATATAATACTTAGAATTTTCAAACAATTATGTTTCCATACTTCTTTAGGACACTAAAAGTTTTGTTTTTAAAATATTAAACTTTGTAACACCAAAGCTTTCAACTGTAATTTGTATAGTGTTAACGTTTATAATTGTAAATACTATACTTGTACTACTATACTGTTTTTATATATGTATACTGTAATTATTTTAAGTTTAATTTGAGATCTTTTATCAAAAAAAAAAAAAAATTTATTATGTAAGAAATGTAAGAAGGAAGGGAAATAAAGAAGTGACTAATTTATTTTTTTAAAACAAGTTGTTTTAAAACATTTTGTCTTTTTTTTTATTGGATAATCAAGGAAAAAACAATGAAATGGAAATATTACAACAAGGAAATTAGACAGACACTGTGAAAAATGTGTTTACATAAAGATAATACAATATGATAGAAAAAAAAACGGTGTCAGCGATGGCTATGAAATGTCATCGATTGCCATCTCCCAGCCTACTGGACGCCATTTTTTTTTTCGATAATACGGTACCACACGCACAGTTTGATATTCTAACGGTTTTATTTCAAATGAGACATTGTCTACAAACTTTCAAAAAAAAAAGAAACGTTTTAGGATAATATAATAATTCAAATTCGTCTAGAATTTGACAGTTATCACAATATGCCGCGTGACAGCCATGGACCACAAAATATCTGGACACTTTGTTAAATTAAAATTTCAAGTATTAAGACATCTGAAAAACGACTTTTAATAGTTTTGTACTAAACAACTTTTATTTAGTTGGTACGATAATCAAGAGGGCTTAGACTCTGACAGTTACATTACAGAAAAAAAAAACAAAGAAATCTCAGCGAACGAAAAAAAACGGCGTCACGGTAGCCTTTAGTCATTTATTGATATAACATTTGTCAGAAAAAAATAAATCTACTTTCATTCTAAATTAAATGTAAATTTTAGGCTAATTTGTTGATAATGGAAATTTTCATTGATTTTAATTTTTCAAAGGCCACTTTGACGGTGATTTATTTTTCGATCGGACGATATCTGCATCGAGGCGTGTAATATACAGGGTGGTAGTCCGCATTTTAATAATAACAACAGCCAATAGAAAAACTTATGAAAATGGTTCAAAATTGGTTGGTTTTAGCAATACAGGGTGTAGAAATTTATAGTTTTTTTTTAAATTTTTCAACACCATGTATTTTTAAAACAAGTAACTTTTAAGCATATGGTCTTTTTAAGTAAGTTTTTCAATCGAATGCTATACAGTATGTCCCCGGATTGTCTTTATAGAAGTTTTTCCATACCGTTTTAATATGTTAAAGAAGCCCAAAATTTTATTTAGTTGAGATTATAAATTTTGTGCTTCTTTAAAAATTTAAAATAGCAAAAAAATGAAATAAATGAAAAAAATCATAGAAACGCGTTTTGATTTTTAGGACTATTTTAATTTTATCATTTTTCTCAAAAACTCAATAATAAAAAAGAATTTATTATAAAGACGATCCGGAGACGTACCGTAGATTTGCTACTCAAAAGTCGACCCCACTGAATTTTTTAAGAGGCTAAGGTCCAGTTATTTTTCACCCTCCATGGTTGCGGCCGTTCAAAACACCTAAACAACTTACGGAAACAATACGAAAAAACGATATGAAACAAAATAAAAATCTTTTCGTCTAAACTCGAAAGAACGTAATATATAAACAATAATAAACCGTCGACCGACGCGTCGGCGCTGTTGCCACGTCTTGTCAGTTGGCCTGTTCCCTTACTTGGCGCTGGGCCGCCAGTCTGGCGCTCCTCCTCAACGGTTTAGCCGAGAACGAGTCTTTCGTTTTGTCCACGCTGTTCGTTTTACAGTACGTCCACCTGCCCACCGTACCGTCCCACTAAAATCATTATCAACAGCTAATACAGTATGGTTAGAAAAAAAAAACGACGTCAGCGATGGCTACAGTTGCTATAGATTGTCATTTCGAAGCCAGCTGGACGCCATTTTTTTTCAATTATACGGTATAGCGCTTGAAAAAACCGCGGAAAAGTAGTTTTAAACCTTAGACCATCACATTAACTAGACCCGTCCCTTGAAGTCCTTATCTTGAAGCCAACATCGTTTTTTAAGTGACATCATATAAGGGCTGCGCGTAGTCATTAGTAATAAAATATTAGTTCATTACAATCTTCATAAATTCATCTTACTTTATTATACAGGGTGAGTCTTAAATAAGAGCAAATATTTTTGAGATCGGAGTTTTAATGATCTGCTGACGATGCTAACATGGTTGTCGAAAAAACGCGCATCCATTGCGAAAGTAAAAATGTTTTGGTGTATTGTGGTGAATCAGTGTTTGATTTTGCTTCTCTGGGGCAAAAACGTAATAAAATTCGCATCCTTTTTACCCTCAAGTGACGCAAAAATTATAAAAAAAAACCCAATATCAAGCGGCCAAGTTGATATTCTTTTTCAATACAAAGAATATTGATTTTTTGTCCTCAAATGAAGTCACGCGTAAACTTATGTTGGCTTCAAACGCCTAATTAAATTCGGCGTCTAGGCACTTTATGGTCTAAGGTCCGTAGAACTTTTTTCGGTAAATGACATGAAAAAAAAACGGTACTTACCGAAGAACTGAGTATCTCGTTACGCGTCGGGTGCCACGAGACATCTCTGACGCAAGTGGAGTGCATTTTTAATTGTTTAACAGGTTTTCCCGTCAAGGCATCGAAAACTGAAAAAGAAAAAAAAACGGTTTTAAAAAGAATTAAGTCGTGAAATAGAAAAAAAACTTACTTAGTACGCGTCCAGTGCCGCACCCCGTATAAATATACCTCTGACCGGTGGTTTCTGCCGGCGAAAAGCGGGCTCTGATAAGCGTTTTGGCTACCACGTGACCCTTGTACGTCATGATAGACGTATCGCCATCCAGCCTGTTAGCTTGACAGACTGAATAAAAAAAGACATTTATGAAAAATCGCTTAAAATTGATGTCTGCAAGGACTATAACTTACATCCTTTGGGCACGCCCTGTCCCCGGTAGTCCCACGGGGGGTTTTTGACGGCGCACAGCGCCTTCGTCACCGTTTTTTCGTTGGAAAAACAGCGGACGTCCCACAGTTTTATCGTCTGGTCTTTGCTGTTACTGATCAGGTGTCGGCCGTCGCCTTTCGAGTCTATGTAAGTGATACCGTCCATGTGACCTAAAATATGTGGGTTAATCATTATATGTTGTAGTTTTTTGGGATACCCTGTATACAAAGGACGAAATAAATGATGCATAAAAACTTGCGTGAGGAAAATCAACCATGAAACTATATTTGAATCGTTCCCAGGGTGATTCGAATGATAATGTTAGACAGACTGCTGTTTCAAAGGCTACAGTGACGCCGTTTTTTCTATCTAGACTTTGCCTAGTTTTTTTTTGGGCACCCTATATACTAAGGACGAAACCTTTGACGAAACAAATAGTGCGTAAAAACCTTAGAAAATATATGAGAAAAAACTCAATGATGGAAGTATTTTTGAATCATCCGTAGTAACATAGTTGTTAGTTATTTTAAAGGCTACCGTGACGCCGTTTTTTTTTCTATCTAGATTTTGTCTCTAAAGCAGCTAAAGTCATTTTAACAAAAAATAATTAATTCATAATAGAATAAAAAAAAAATAATCAAGTTTTTTAATACCTATAATGTTATTACTATTATTACTCACCAGCCAACTGTCCTACAGGTTGGACATGCCTGTCATCTAGAGTCCTCCTGTCCCACACCTTCACCAATCCGTCATCGCTTCCGCTATAGATAATTTGGGACGAATTGTCGGCGAAAAGGACTCGGTTTATGTCAGAAGTGTGAGCAGGAATCTAAAAAAAAAATAACAGCCCACATTACACTCATTTTTATATGCCTCAAATTGAAACTCTGACTAAAAAACTAAGGAAAAATCAAATACTATTCTAGTAATTTCTTTAGACTTGTTTGAATATATATGCCAATTCATTATTGGTCTTTTGCTGAGTATAAATCTGCAAAGACATTGCGTCTAGGGAATGCAATCCCGCAAATGCTGATCCCTCAGAGGTTTCGCGGGATCAAAGTTGCGAGATTTACCGTGCGGGATCCGCGGGATCGACACATTATTACTGGGTAACCGAATCGATCTCGATTAAAATCAAACCGCTTCATTCCGGGCCGATGCGTCGACGCTCAGAACCCGGGGGATTCCCCTTACGGCTTGGCTATTAAAAATAAGTGAAACAAACAGGTTACTTATTAGATTTCTTTCTGGCGTATGTGCGTAAGTGAAGAAAAGCGTTTAACTAGTGCTTGTGGACACTTTCGTCAAATAAATTGCACGACATAATTATCGGGACAAGCAAAATTTTAGGGTAAATTTAAAGTTGAATATCTCTTGAACTAAAAAAGATTTTGAGATGCGGTTTGGACCAGGTTTTAGATGCATCTATTGTGATTAAGATGCTATGTGGTTTTCGAAAATATATTTAGCGAATTCTCGTATACAGGGTGTTTTATAAGAATGTGAAAATTTGGTCAAGTATCTTTATTACCGCAAATTTACAATTTTTAAAAAATCGAAATTTTTACCAAGTACGACTCATAGAGATCTGCACGGGCCGGGTAGCCCGAACGGGCCTCAGGCCAGGCCCGGCCCGAACACGGGCCACGGGCCGGGCCGGTTTCGCACTGTCAATAGGAGTCGGGCCTCGGGCCGGGCCGGTTCCGCACTTTAAATAAACACAACTTTGCTTCTGTACATGTTTTTGAGACACCCTGTATTATAATAGGTGTTTTTAGGCTATGTTTTTGTGAAATTGATAGATTGTCTGGAAGCGACAAAGAACTACTTGGAATAATTGTAATTGAAAGGATTTTTGTAATTTTATTTTGATCATTTTATTTTAATGGTTCGGGCCGGGCCGGACTAGTTTAAGTTTTAACTTTCCACAAACCGGGCCGGGCTTACAAAACCTACTTCTCTTCTCGGGCCGGGCCGGGTCGGGCTACAAAAAACCGGCCCGTGCAGGTCTCAACGACTCATCTGTATTGAAATTAGAAAAAACAATTTGATCGGTTTGTTATTTTTTTTTTTGGTTTTAAGGAAAATACGACGCTTTTTTCGAAAAATATGCATTTTTAGTCATACGTATGGCCCTAAATGGTACAAAAAGCTTTCTACATTCTGCATATGCCAAAAAATTATTGATATAGAGTGTATCTAAAAGCAGATAACTAACACAAGTTAAAAAAAACTTCAACATCAGAATAATATTTTTATTTATAAAATAAGTAGATAAATTATAATAAAATTGAAGTTTATTTAATATTAAATATATTTTTTGAACACCCTGTATACATCGTTCCAAATTTCTGTACAGCTAGTTTAAGATACACGCTATATCAATATATTGTGGACCTATGCAAAATGTACAATGCCTTTTGTACCATTTAGGACCAAATGTATGACTATTGTTTACAGTCCCGCAATTTTGCGGATTCGCGGGATTGATTGCTTTAATCCAGCGGGTTTGTGGGATTGAGATTTTGGTGCGGGATTGCATTCCCTAATTGCGTCAAGACTTACCCTCAAGATCCTGCTCTGCACTTCCATATTGTATATGTACAAGCACCCGTCATTAGTGCCGCAGACTAATTCTTTGCCGTCTGACGAATAGGTGACAGAAAATACGCAAAACCGCCTGCTGGTGTTGACTAGACTTAGGGGTTCTTGGTGGTCGGAAGAACCACGAACCGGACACATATGTACTGGAAAAAAATATAAAAAAGGTTAAAACTTGCCGCTGTTATACAAGGTGGCGCCTCCCATACGACGCGGAGGCTCCAAGGAGAACGACAGTCTGTATTAAAATAAAATTTTGGAGGCATATTATACCGATATGGTAATTTTAGAAGTCTGGATTTTAACTTGTAAGACAGTGATGGAAAATGGAAAATCAAATGCATTAAAAAGGGATAAAAAGTTGGATTGATACATTTCTTCTATGCGGTATTGCCGGATTTTGCATCAAAAGTTGCATCAAAACCGCGTTAAACTAAAGTTGGCGTTTATGGAAAATGTTGCATCTAGGGTTGGAACCTTATTTTTCACCAATTAGTTACTCATAATTTCTACACATACAATAGATTATATTTAGCTTAGATATATTATCTTCATTTCAGTAGTATACATGAAAGTTTTTAAAATAGCTTTTTTTCTACACAAATTTTCCTACAAACGTAAAAAACCGGCAACACTGTATGCCGTTTTTGATTTTGTCTCTCTGTCTGCATAGGTTATGAGACCCCATCCCATAACTCTAAATTAATTTACATATGCTTCCAAAATTGTATCTTAATACAGACTGTGGTACTCCTTGGAGCCTCCGAGAGGCGCCACTCTACACAGGGCGTTTAAAAAAAGTAATAATACGTAAATACTTACAACTGGGGGAATCGGAATAAACAAAATTACTGCCATCGGGACTGAAAGCCACATCTATTATAATTCCAAAAAAAGGTACACATCAAAGTGGTGTTTTTTGTAATGGAACACACTATATATTAATTTATTTTCGAATTCTAGGAAAAAAAAGGTAAGTTTCATTACAGAAGCAGAATATGATTAAAATGTAAAGTTTTTGATATATTTAAAATTGTCTAAAAATGAAGATCAAATTTTAAACTTCAAAATCTTACATTTTAGTCATATACGCGTCTCTAAAGAAACCCGCCTTTATTTTTTCCTAAAATCTGAAAATAAAGTAAAATATAGAGTCTTCCATTACAAAAAAACAAAACTCTGATACAGTAAAACTTCTTAATAAGGTTCAGCCAAAATTTTATGAAAATTTGATTGTTTCAAGGGGTGATCGCTATTGGGAGATGAATTGTGTTGTCACCGTACCAAAATTTTATGAAATCAAACCCATTCACGACCTATTAAGTAGGTTTAGATATTCAGGAATTTCCCATAATAAAAACTACTTCTTTTTTTTGGTGTTATTTTCCAGGTAGTTTTGTCAAAATATGGTTGTTCAAGTGACCATGACCGTTATTACAAGGTTCCGGTATTCAAAGGTCCTTTATTATAGAAGTGGTAGCCAAAATGGGAAGTTTTACAGTGTGTATTTTTTATAGAACTCAATATATTTTTGAAACATGCTCTAAATCAACTTACATACACTCACAAAATTTAACAGGGCTTTTAAAAAAAGGGTAAACACTTACAACTGGAGGACCAGGTGGAATAAACAAAATTGCTGCCATCGGGACTGAAAGCCACATCTATTATACTCCAACCGACATCTCTGGCTCTTATAGTTTTGTATAACTCGTATGAAGAACTTTTTACATCATATAATTTAATATTTCTATCTAAAAAAAACATCAGTACGTTAAAATATCTCTCAGTGACAAAGTGTAAAGTGTTTTAACCTTGTGAGGCAGTCAAAAATGTATTTCCATCTCCCGAAAAAATTCCACAAAATATTTTTGCACTACCGTTCTCTAAAGTACCGACCATTTCATTGGGAAGATACTGATTGGATATTTTGCACCTAGTTGCCTTTGAGAAATTCTCTTCTTTATACAGACCAGACTATAAAAAAAATAAGTTTATTTATTTACTCTAAAAAATGAAAATTATTCACATACTTCTCTATTCCTTATGAGTGCTGAGACATTATTTGTTTTGCTAAACCTTCTTTTTGGTTCTAACAATCCGCAGGCTTTCTTAGTTAGCAAAGAAAATTCACTTTTCTGGAAAAGATAATGTTATAAAGCAACTTAATTAAAAACTAACACAAAATCTTACATCTAAAATTGATGTATCTAGTTTATATTTAATTTTTGGCATCCGGATATCCGGATGGAAGTCCCTATCGTTGGTTTCCAGTGGGAGTTGTGCACTAAAATCAAAAAACCAATAGATGTTTGCTGAATACATCTTATTGCTTAGTTATATAAAACCGAAGAGTAATTCTAACAATAGATAAGAAGAAATTATCATAATCAAACTAAAGATAAGTTTTTTTTTCTTTTTTCTTAAACCTTTAGATTATATCCATATATTTTTTTTCCTTTCCTTGGGTATGAGATTTTTCATTAAATATAATAATAATAAAATATAATAAAATAAAAAGAAAAAAAATATATGGATACTAAAGAATAAGCTAATGTTAAAATGAACTGCTAGACCATAGAGTTTGCTAGACACATTAATAACAAATAACAGACTGATTATTTTAGAAATTTACCGATTTATTAGACTATGTAGCATGTCAACAAAGGACTGTTCTTCCGGGTCTGAATCAGACTCAATAGAATCATCGGAATCTTCTGAGGTGTCTTCGATTCTGGACACAGAATCGTCATCGTCATCTATCATCATAAACATCCTTCTAGAATTGCGAGCACCCATAAAACGTTAGAATGACCGAGTATATTTCAACATCCACCAACAGCTAGAAGCAACGTAATAATGGTTCTAGAACAGATATTAAACTTCTTACATGTGGTGCATTTTCTCCCGGCGTTTGATATGCTGGAATTTGAAAACTACCGCTACGCAAAATCGATTTAAATAAAAATATATTATAAAAACGCACTTCTTTTTAGCAATTTTACAAACATATCTCTAAAATTAACAGCTGTGTTTTGATTTTGCACACAGCTCGCTCACGCCTCAAACGTCACTTGTCAATTTTTCCAGAAAAGAAACAGTCTCGTAGTCCGCCAAACGGATGAATAAAATAAATTTAATCGTCCGTTTTTTACATTGATTCAGGGATGGGTAAAAAATTAAAAACAGAGTTTTTTACTTGAAAGAAACTAGTTTTTTTTAAAGAGGTAGCCTGGTTTATATATTGTTTATACAAGGGCTTCTTTTTTCGTGCTGAACTAGTTTGTTGCGTTGAGATTTTGTACTTGCCCATTCCTAACTATCGATAACTGAAAGATTTTTGTATTGATCCGTTCAGCCTACGACTAGACACGCCGATTTAAAAATGTTTTTCGACTGTAGTGACATCTATTTAATAATTACTTGGTTAAAAAAATGGAAAAATCAAAACATTAGTTCTTGAAACTGATTTTTTTTAACAATAATCCTAAATAATCCTAAAAACGAAATAAAACAAAGAAATTGTGCTTTACAAATGTTGGAAAATCTTGTTAGAATGTATGTTCATTCATTTATTTATGATTTCATTGTGTAATCGGTAAACAAATACAAATCCTGTTGCTTGTTAAGTTTATCCTGCAATATTTCATAGTAATTGTAATGGCACAAAATGAGGCAATTAAGAGGATGAGCACAGTTAAGAGGCTTCTCAAGCCAGATTTCGATAGAAATTGCATGGACATGGCTTTATATTTGCTTGGGAAAGTGCTGGTAAGGAAATTAGATACAGGAGATGTACTGAAAGGAAGAATAGTCGAAACAGAATGTTATTTGGGAAATGAAGACAAAGCCTCCAAGTCTTATAATGGCAGGTAAACATCAATTAAGTGATTATCTAAGGAATAAGAATAAGCTTTTATTAATTAACAATTTTCTTGACAATGTTGATGTATTTTTTTGATAAAGAAGATAAATAAACCTGTGAAATAGACAACCAGTAAAACACCCTTGGTGTATTACAATTACGTGTTGCCTATATACAAACTGCTAATTGTTTTTTAATGTTTTTTAATCTTTTTAATTACAAAGGTCAAGTTTCAAAGAAAGGATTTAAAAATATTTAACCATAACAATATAATTACAGTAAACAATATATGGCATTGTTTTGTGCTGATTTATTTATCTACATTCACGTTATCTTATCACATCATTTAGACTATTTTTTTAAATAAAATTAACTGCTATTACAACACTGCGACCTGCAACTCAAACAATTGATGATAAATAATGGAACTACTGAAGACTCCTTTTAATGTGGTGAAACATACATTAAACAACACCTTCCAAGACAAAGAACCATGGCAAATTGTCTCTATTACAACGGGCGGTGTCTTATTTTTGGTGTGGTTACATGATTTTGTTGATCGTGATGAAAGCTTACTTGTACGAGGCAAAAAAACAGCCTTCAAGCTGTTAAGACTGATCCCAGCAGTTGAAAGGAAGGTAGATACAGAACTGAGTGTTATCAGACGAGGATTTGAAGAAGACGTGGAAAAAAGGACTAGTCACTTAGATTATATTCTAACCTTACCCTCCAAAGGGTTGTCAAAGAGTGAAATTTTATCGATACTAGATAGGAATCTTACGTTAAATGAAGAATTATGGAAATCAGGGCAGTCCTCTGGGGCTGTGTATGTCCACAATGAAGCTTTACTGGACCTGGTGGCTGAAACTTATAAATTATCATCATATACAAATCCATTGCATCCAGATTTATTCCCTGGTACGAATTTTCAGTTTTCATTTGTATCGAATAAATATTACAGTAATTGTTATATAAATTTACGTATTTTTTAAGGTTTATGTAAAATGGAAGCCGAAGTTATTCGCATAGTAGCCAGTTTATTTCATGGCGATAAAAATGCTTGCGGTAGTATGACTTCAGGGGGTACAGAGTCGATTTTAATGGCCTGTAAGGCTTACAGAGACTATGCAAGAGAGAAGAAGGGCATTAGAAAACCAGAAATGGTGAGTTTTTAATTTACAGCATACAAAGTACTTTCATCTAGCTAATTTTAGTCACATAATTATACATTTATGTATCTAGTTTCAATTCTACAATAATTAAAATATGTTTCTTTGTCTGGGGATACCTTAATAGTTAATAGTGTGTTAATATTTTTAGGTTATACCGATCACAGCTCACTCTGCTTTCAACAAGGCCAGTCTCTACCTCGGTATCAGAGTCAGATCCATACCGTTGGACCCTCAGACTTGTCAGGTTAACCTGAAAGCAATGAAGAGAGCAATCAACGGCAACACTGTAATGTTGGTAGGATCAGCACCAAATTTTCCGTACGGCACCATAGATGACATAGGGGAAATATCAAAACTTGGACTGAAATACGATATTCCCGTTCACGTCGATTCATGTTTAGGGGGTTTACTGACTGTTTTTATGGAAAAAGCCGGGTATCCCCCTCCAGTGACTGATTTTAGACTGAAAGGTGTTACCAGTATCTCAGCTGATACACATAAGTATGGATTTGCACCTAAAGGAACCTCTGTAATCCTTTACAGGGATCCAGAGTACAGACACTATCAATATACTGTAACTACGGATTGGTTGGGTGGGGTTTATGGATCTCCTTCGGTAGGCGGCAGCAGGCCTGGGGGTAATATAACCACCTGTTGGGCCACATTACTGCATTACGGCTTGGAAGGTTATGTCAGTGCCACAAGGGACATTATTCATACAACAAAATACATAGAGAAAGGTCTGAGAAGGATGAAAGGGATTTATATTTTCGGCCAGCCTGCGACTAGTGTCGTTGCGATTGGCAGTCCTTTAGAGTTCGTCATATTCCGTCTGTCAGACGGTCTATACAAAAAAGGTTGGAATTTAAATTTCTTGCAGTATCCTCCAGGGATTCACATTTGCGTTACACTGATGCACACAAAGCATGGAGTAGCTGACAGGTTCTTGAATGACGTGAAAGACTGTCTTGCCGAGATCGCCAAAGATCCTTCCTTGCCTGTTGAAGGCAAAATGGCGCTGTACGGTACCGCCCAAAAGTTACCTGATAGGTCAATTGTTTCTGATATAACTAAGTATTTTTTGGACGCCATGTATTATATTCCTGAATCAAAACAACCTCCGAAAGAATAAAATATTATGTTTTATATAACACTTTTTATATAAGAGGATGGCTTTATGTACTTATATAAATTTAAAGGGATTTTTTATTATGTATCAGTGATTTTTGTTCAAATTAATCTATTTGTCTGTTATATTTTCTGAAATTTTACACAAATAAAGTTGATTATTTAAAAATATATCCTGTTTTATTTAAATTAACTTTGACTAAAAGGTCCGTCTACACTTATCGTTTTACCTGTCAGTAAAAAACGGTTCGTTTTACTAGACGTTATACAACTAAATATTTAATAATTATTCACTAAACACACTGCTATATAATTGATAAAACCGCAAGTAACTCGTATAGTGTATACCCTAGTTGTATACAGTTGTGTATATATACGTCTTTCCTGACAGGTAAAATGTTAAGCGTAGCCGGAGCTTTACCCCAAATTTTTTTATTACACCACATACTTGATTTTAGACGTACCCCAGCAAATGAACCCATGTATATGCCTCCCGGTACATGCTATGTCTACCAAACATACGGAATGTACCATTGCTTTAATGTATCCAGCCAAGAACCGGGTTCAGCAGTATTACTAAGAGCTCTTGAACCTATAATAGGCATGGATATTATGAGAGACTTTCGAAAAGGTTCCTAAATCGTTATCATTTGATATAAAATCATTAAAAATTTATTATTACAGCAAAAAAAGGCAAAGTTATAGAAAAATCCCATGTTATATGTAATGGGCCAGCTAAACTATGCATTTCAATGGACATTAACAAGGCCAACTGTAACAAATTGGATCTGGGCGATCCAGAAAACGATATTTTATGGATAGAGGATGATTTTCAAATGGAAAATAGCGAAATACAAGTTGTAAAAACTTCCAGAATTGGAATAGATTCAGCTGGCGAAGAATGGGCCAGGAAACCACTTCGATTTTACATCGCTGGTAATACTAGCGTTAGTAAATTGGACAAACGTGCAGAAAAACAATTAGAAAGTCATATTACTTCACCGTACTTTCCTTAAATTGTAATATAATTTTGTAAATTTAAATATTTAATAAAGCTGTATTCAAAAAATTATTTTTTTTAGTATAAAAGTTCTCCGTAAGAGGGTGACAATTATCATAGTTCAAGTACGGCAACCAGAAATACACAATTTCTTAATTATCTTAAAACAGTAATAAACATGTTTTTATTAATGAAAAAAATTCTAAACGATGAGAACTAGTTTAAAAATAAATTTTACAAGTCAAATAAACGGTAGTTTTACCTTTATAATGCTAAAAATCTAGAAATAAATTTTGGAATAGTTCAATAATTTCAAACTGTGTGGCGCTAACGTCGTTCATTTCCTTTTTTGATTTCTTGTCAAACATGGTGAGTTCGTGTCGCAAATCTTAAATTATTTCATCCATCTTTAGTTGTAATATTTTATATATCTTTCTAAACAATCTCAAAGCATTACCGAGTGTATTAATACGAATATTGTTTTACCTTTTTTTCAGGGTATTGACATAAATCACAAATACGACCGGAAGGTTAGGCGCTCGGCCCCCAAAAGTCAAGATGTCTATTTACGTCTTCTCGTCAAGGTATGTAACAGAAAATAAAGTTGATTTTTAAATAAAAAAACGTTATTTTAGCTCTACCGTTATTTGGCCCGTCGTACCGAAGCTAAATTCAACAAAATCATCTTGAAGAGATTGTTCATGAGCAACATAAACAAGCCTCCCATTTCTCTGGCCAGATTAGTGAGGTTGATGAAGAAACCAGGTCGTGAGGGCCTCACTGCAGTTATTGTAGGCACTGTAACTGATGATACAAGGATCTTTGAGGTGCCCAAGTTAACTGTATGCGCTCTGAGAGTAACAGAAAAGGCTAGAGCAAGAATTGTAAAAGCAGGTAAATTGTTTTTCGTTTTACATAATAAAAGTGCTAGAAAGTCAACATGATGAATCTTTTCTCAGATATTCTGTGATGTTATAATAAGTGGACGTAATTCTGACACTCCTAAGTCCTTTAATAGTCATTTTTTTAGCTAATATCTCTTTGTTAATGATGTTTTATCTGTTTTAAGGAGGTGAAGTGATCACTTTTGATCAACTGGCTCTACGTTCCCCCACAGGATCCAAGACAGTTTTGTTGCAAGGCCGTCGTAACGCTAGAGAAGCTGTGAAACACTTTGGTTTGGCTCCGGGCGTGCCCCACAGTCACACTAAGCCTTTAGTGCGGTCCAAGGGACGTAAATTCGAGAGAGCAAGAGGCCGCAGGAGGTCATGCGGCTACAAGAAGTAAGAAGGGGACTTTAAAAGTGATTTTCATAATATAATATTGTGACACGCATTGTTTTTAAAAAGATAAGTTAAAACAATAAACAGATCTATTGTAGGCGTTCTTTATTTGTTTCCTCCACCGGATCCAACGAATTCTATAAAGCGTTTCTGAAAAAAAAATTAAATCTGGATCTGGCAATTAGGTATCTAAATGTCATTTTGTTAGGGATGTGTAATTTTAAAATATCGATTTGCGTTTTAATTTAATAATAAATTGAAAGACAAAATTATAGTCTATTCATCTAGACGTATTTGCCGTGATATTTGGGTGTCGCCTGTCAAAGTGCCTGTCGCCTGTCAAAGTCATTTGTTCTCTCGTTGGACATACTTTAGATCGGTATATTTTAATATAAACAAGGATTTTAGTAAGTATGTCGATATCAGAGATCGATATTCTTTATCGGCCTTAGTAATCTGTCAAATTGCTCTCCTTTCAAATGTCAAATATTTGCGTGGGTTCGGTTTCTGTGCGTCATGATCAGTAAAAATTATTAAAATTCTTTAAAAAATATCCCTTTAAAGTACGATGGTGTCTTCGAAAACGGTTTTGGGATTATGTGCAGGAGTTTCAGCCACACTGTTCATCGGTTACTGCATCTATTTCGACAAAAAACGGCACAATGACCCCGATTTCAAGAGGAAACTACGAGAGCGTAAATTTCAGGTTAAGTTACATGGAATTCCAGTTGAATTGTGTAATTTCAGGTCGTAAGGCACAAAAGGCAGCCGCCTCGTCGGGCAAACGATGCAAGACCGTGTTCCCCGACATGAAGGACCACGAGGCAGTCCAAAGGTTCTTCCTACAAGAGATCCAACTCGGCGAAGAACTTCTAGCCGCAGGAGATCTAGAAAACGGCGTAGATCACTTGTGTAATGCCGTAGCTGTTTGTGGACAACCCAACGATCTTTTACAGGTAAGATATTCCTGTTAAAAATCGTTTCAAGTTAATTTTTTACCGAAATAACATTTGTAGGTTCTTCAACAAACACTACAACCTGAAGTTTTCCACCTATTAGTGAAAAGATTACCTGCAGTCGCACCCAGATTAATGAAAGCGCAATCTTCTAACGCAACTCTACAGGAGGATGATGTAGAATAATTTTTTTACATTCGTTTTTTGCCTAGTCAAGAGGGTCTCTAGTGAAAAATTCACTTTGTTAGGATAACTGCGTAAAGTGGTTATTGCATAACAAATATAATTTATATTTAATAGAGTAAATGTTTGATTTCAAGGGACATCACAGAATATTTATTATATAAATAGATCTGGTGATAAGCGTTGCCCCCTTTTAGCTTTTCACTATGGGAGACCCTTGCTTAGTCTCAACAAATAGAATCATTTTTATTGAAACTGTATTAAGCCCCCTTGTTATGAAAAAGCACTATTTTTGATTAATAAAAATTATTGCATGGAGCAATATATAGAAGGTATTTTTTACATGTTTTGTCTTATTTTATTGTAAATAAAATTATCCTTATAAAATCAGTTGTTTCATTGCATTCTCTACCCAACCCAACTAAAAAAAACTAGTTGATAAAAAGCTTAAAAAACTTTTATTTGAATAGTCAATGCTATTTGCCAGCTATTTTTTGTGATAACTTAAAGTAAGTTTCTTTAATTTTGTTTACAATATCTTGAGAAAATAGATTTGTATGAATAAATTCCACTGTATTTTGTACAAATCTTTTTGTATGTTCCTGTGATGATTTTACAGCACTACCACAAAATTCACCATAAGATTTGTACTCAATAGGTAATTTATTAACAGTTGTGTTAAAATATTTACTTATTGTATTTGATAAAGGTTGTAGTACTGGATGCTCAATGGAAATGAGTACCCACAACAATAAGAAGAAAATAAAGAGAAACAAATAGGAAAATGAGGACGATCTGTCTTTGTGCTTCCTTTTCTGGACATTTTTATTCTTCTTCGGCTCCTTTTTGGGTGGTTTTTCGGTAAGATTGTTTTTAATCTCTTTCTCAACATTATTCTTTTTGTTTTTCTGTTTTTCCACTTTATTTTTCTTTCTCTCATCCTGTTTTTTCTGCTTATTTAATTCCAGTTGCTTGGCTCTAGCTTTATTCCTCATCTCTACTTCGGTATCAACTTCCTCTTGTAACTTTTTATAGAAATTTACAATATCTCTAGCACATTGCTGGCACCTACGTAAAATATTTTTATCTCATTGTGTTTATAACGAAAACTAACAATTCCACTTACCCTTTGGTATCTACACAAGGGCCGGCTACCTTGGCTAAAACGGGAACTAAAGGATTGTCTTTCAAATCCAAAAATTTCAAGTGTATCAGTTGGTTGAAACTTAGAGGTAGCCTTTCAAGTTTATTTTTGTACAAGTCCAAGTACCTCAACTTGGAGAGCGTTCCAAACTCTTCTGGTAACTCTGTAATTTCGTTTTTACTCAAATCTAGTTTAGTAAGGCTTGTCAAAACAGTAAAGTTACTCTAAAATGGAGCTATTTAGGTTAACAGGTTAAAAACAGTGACAAATTCAAATAACTTACAGGTAAATAAGTGAGCCGATTGTTAGACAAGTCGAGACTCACTGTTTTCTTTAACGCTGCCTATTCAGAAAATATTATATTATTGAAAAGAATCGCAAAAATGATGATGCTTTCTAAGCTTACTATTTCTCTCACTGGAACTTCATCCAAATCTGACATGCTCAAATCGATTTCTCCATCGGTAAACCTTTCTTTAACGTTAATTTTCGTTTTCTTGGCCATATTTTATTTATTTTCACACAAAATTATTGAAAAAAGTGGTTGTTCAAATCAATTGAACAAATCCACGTCGACAAGAATTTATTTTCATTTAAATCTGGACGAGATTAAAAAATTAGGAGTTGTCAAAATAATGTGCTAGCGCCATAAAAAGAAAAACGAAGAACGCTTTATTGCTAACTTCGCGCGGGTAGGTGTCAAAAATGACATGAAAATGACAACATGTCAAGTTGAGGTGTGGTAAGAAAAATTATAAAATCCGAATGATTCACGCAAAATTTAAATAAACTGTAGATATAAATTAAATGTTAGTTAAAAACTTAGGCCAAAATGGATAGTGAAGGTAGAAAAGTCATTGTATGTGATAACGGCACTGGGGTAAGTAAAATTTCGTAGTTTTTAACGAATTTGTATCTTATCATCCCACAATTTATTTAAACAATCTTTATTTTAGTTTGTTAAATGCGGATATGCTGGTTCAAATTTTCCTGCTCACATCTTCCCCTCGATGGTGGGAAGGCCTATCATTAGAGCTGTTAATAAAATAGGAGATATTGAAGTTAAGGTGAGACATTAACTACTTTTTATTGTTCCATGTATTTACCTCAATTTTAACATGATTCAGTAATGTTTTGTACCTTTTTTAGGGTTTACATGTAGATGTAAGTCTATTGTATGTGCTTTTAACTATTTTATTTATTTCCCCTTTGATATAACCATTATTCAGTCTTATTTGTTATTTATTGTTTTTGGTGTGTTCTTGCTAATGTAAATTTGAGTTTTCTCATTGCAAACCACATCTAATTCGTTTTTAAATGTTTTACATGCATCAGGAGGTAGGAAGTACTCTTCCTGTAAGTAACATCGTAATGAAGATGTTAATTTTTGCATGAAAGCTATTGTGTTAGTTGATTTTTCAAATGTTACACATCATACTTTATGTTATTCGAGAGCTATTTTTTAGGATTTAATGGTAGGAGATGAGGCCTCAGCCCTAAGATCCCTGCTAGAAGTAAAATATCCTATGGAAAATGGTATAGTTAGAAATTGGGAAGATATGTGCCATGTATGGGACTATACTTTTGGTCCAAAGAAAATGAATTTAGATCCAAAGAACACCAAGGTATTTTTTTATCATAAACCGATTAATTGAAGTCATTTATAGTCTTGAATTTTCTTTAAGATACTTCTAACTGAACCACCTATGAACCCCACGAAAAACAGAGAGCGAATGATACAGGTTATGTTTGAGGAATATGGATTTGCAGGAGCCTATATTGCTATACAGGCGGTTTTAACACTCTATGCTCAAGTAATAATGATCCAGTTTGGTTTTTATATAAAATAATGTAAAAAATAATGTCATAGGGTCTTCTTTCTGGAGTTGTAGTTGACTCTGGCGATGGTGTCACACATATTTGCCCAGTATACGAAGAATATGCATTACCCCACCTCACAAGACGTCTAGATATAGCGGGACGCGATATAACGCGATACCTCATCAAGTTACTTTTGCTCAGGGGATACGCTTTCAACCACTCTGCCGATTTTGAGACTGTAAGTTGCTCTGAAAATGTTTTACTTTAATGTATTACTAAATAACTTGTTTTAGGTAAGAATGATGAAGGAGAAGTTGTGTTACATAGGTTACGATATAGAAATGGAACAAAAACTGGCTTTAGAGACGACAGTATTAGTGGAGCCCTACACCTTGCCTGATGGCAGGGTGATAAAAGTGGGGGGTGAAAGATTTGAGGCGCCGGAAGCCTTGTTTCAACCCCATCTCATCAATGTGGAAGGCCAGGGTATTGCAGAACTAATATTTAACACTATTCAGGTAATATTTTTGGCCTATTATTAGTGTTTCACCCTGTACATGGTATGTACATACAATATTTGTATTGAAATGAAATTTTATGAGCATATGTAGGATGTAGGTTAATTTGGAGCATTTTTTAGTCTAGATATTTTTAAAAAACGGTTTCAATTAACCTACATATGCTCCTAAAATTTCATTTTATTACAAATTACCGTTTTCCTATAATGTAAATAAATATAAATGTTTCTTTAGGCTGCAGATATTGATATGAGACCTGAACTGTACAAACACATAGTACTCTCCGGTGGTTCCACGATGTACCCAGGGCTCCCCTCGCGCCTAGAACGGGAAATAAAGCAATTGTACTTGGAGAGAGTACTGAAAAATGATACAAAAAATTTGAACAAATTTAAAATACGCATCGAAGACCCTCCACGGCGAAAAGACATGGTCTTTATCGGGGGGGCCGTGCTAGCCGAGGTCATGAAAGACAGAGCGGAATTCTGGTTATCCAAAAAAGAGTATGAGGAGCAGGGTGTGAAACAGGTTCTAAAGAAACTCGGCAATCGCATCGGATAACAATAAACAGTGATCAACCTAGTGCAAATAACGTGACTCTAATATTTTAAGCATTTGATTTTCGTATTTCTTTTATTCTGTAATTATTTTTACCCAAGCCAATATGCATTTTATTGTAATTTTAGGTTACTTAACTATTATTTTTTTAAATCGATTCCTAAATTAAGAAGATATTAAAGAGAGTTTAGTGTTGAAAGTTGTTAATAACATTCCTCTTTGAGTATGCTGTGAATTTTTCTTGTTCAAATATCCCGCTTTGTAAGTTTTTTACGTTTTGAGAGTCTACTTCGTAAAAACTTGATATTTTACACGTAAATACCTTTTTTACGACACCCATCCTTGGGTAAAATGGATATTATTGAGATATCGATATCTCTGTCCCATACCTAGTTGGCGACTGTCAACTGTCACTTGTCTGAAAAAAATAAAAAATTGTTCTGTGGTGATAGTAGTGAATCGTTTGTTTTGTCTGTTCGTTAAATTCTTGTGTTTCTTCAAAATTTTAGTGAAAACATAGTTAAAAAATGGTAAAACGCAAAGCCATGATCGAGAGTGACTCCAGTGAAAACTCCGATAGCGATTTGGACTCGGTAAGTGCAAAATTACCGTACTATTTCTTTCCTAACCTTCAAAATTGAGGATTTTGAACCCATTACCTGGAAATTCATTTTCCCGAATCCCAGTCGACTATGGGCGTTAGAAAATTAAAAAAATATTTTTGTTTCAATCCAAAGTGTCAAAATGATCGAACGTTTATTATTGTTACGATAATTTTATTTGAAAATGCTTTGCAACATTTTGTACCCCCAAAAACATATTTGTGTCTGGCTTTGCTTCCTCGAAATTTGTTTCTATTTAATCTAAACGCGATATTTTAGGAGTTCTTAGGCCTGGCAAAGAAGAAAAACAAAAAGAACGCGTCTCCTAGGCAGAAATCTAGTTCGGATGCTTCGAGCGGATCAGAAAGTGAAATAGAAATGAAAAACTCGAAGAAAAAGGTAAAAAAAGACTCTGCCGCATCAGATTCAGAGGCGGAGGACGTAAAAGGTCCCTCCAAAAATGACAAGGCATCGGAAAAGAGCAATTCTGAGCCTGAGGAAGGTAGTATCCTGGCATTTTGACAAAACTATTTAGAAAATAATAAAATTACTGTGATTTAGGTGAAGTATCGGATTCAAGTAGCTCAGAGGAAGAGTTTAACGATGGTTATGATGACCAGCTCATGGGCGATGAAGAAGATAGAGCGCGATTAGCCAGTCTCACCGAAAAAGAGAGAGAAACTGAAATTTTCAAGCGTATAGAACAAAGAGAAATGATGAGAACCAGGTGAGTATCTTTTTATCACAGTATGCTGTGTTTGTTTACAAAATTTTATTTTTGACAAGTGACTTTGCCTTGTAGATTTGAAATTGAGAAGAAACTGAGACAGCAGAAAAAGCTAGAAAGGGCCAGAGACAAACCATTTTCAAAGCCCAAAGATAAAGATAAGGAAAAAGTCAATAAGAAAAAGGAGGAAAAAATTGTCCAGGAAAAAGTTAAAGTTAAGGAAGTAGAGAAAAAAGTTGAGGAACCGGATACCAGCAAGTTGCAGACGGATTTTACTTCGATAGACCATAAGGAGCGTAGCAAGGAACGAAAGAAGAATATTGAGGAGAACAGAGGCAAAGCTGAAAATAAAAGGTTAGTGTGATTGAAGGGGGGTCCAGGGGGAAAAATATGATAAGGGCCATTTTCTAGGCATATATCATAAGATTTAACACCGTATTGCCCTGCAGAGTTTATACATTTTGTAGGAACCAGCTAGACCCACTATAATATTGTTATATTATAAATTAAAATTAAGAAAGTAGCGCTTATCATGTATTTCCCCTGGACCCTTCAATTATCTTAAAAAAATTGTTTCAGCCCGTTTTTTAAATTTTTTTTTTACTTAAAACGTTCTGAATTTTATTAGGTTGGTAGTAGTTCTTTTTTTTCAATAATTTTGATTTTTCTTTTAATTTTTCGATCGTTCTTGATTTTTAAACCTTCGACCATAATATCAGCTAGACCCTAATACTCCCTAGTTTGAAGCCATCATTATTTGGAAGTGACATCATAAAAGGGCGGTTGGTAGTAATTCAACAGTTTTTTACTATTTAACTTATTATACAGGGCATATCCCTCTATAGAAACCATCTGAACTACGTTAGGTTAATGATAATCCTTTTTTTTAAATAATTTTTAATTTTCTTTTAATTTTTTGTATGGTTTCTAATTTTTAAACCTTGGACTGTAACATCAGCTAGACCCTCCTTTATAATTATAAAGGTGAAGCTATCATTGTAAGCGACGTCATAAAAGGGCTGCCAGTAGTTAATTATTATTTAAGTCTCTTTCACTATTTAACTTATTAGACAGGGTGTCTACTAGAGTGTAGACTCTAGTCTACTGACTAGTGGCTGCTAGAAACCATCTAAACTCTGTTAGGTTCTTTAAGCTTTATTTTAATAATTTTTAATTTTCTTTTAATTTTTTGTATGGTTTCTAATTTTTAAACCTTGGACTGTAACAACAGCTAGACCCACCTTTATAATTCTAAATGTGAAGCCATCATTGTTTGTAAGTGACGTCATAAAAGGGCTGCCAATAGTTAATTATTATTTAACAGTCTCTTTCACTATTTAACTTATTAGACAGGTTATATGTGTCTACTAGAAACCATCTAAACTCTGTTAGATATAGTGATAATTTTTTTCAGTCATTTTTAATTTTCCTTAAACTTTTGTTATGGTATTATTTGTAAACCTTAGACCATAACATCGGCTAGACCCTTTTTTATAATCCCCAGTTTGAAGCAATCATTATTTGGAAGCGACGTCATAAAAGGCCTGCTAGTAGTAAATTATTATTCAACAATTTTTTTTTATTTTTAGCTTATTAAAATTATTTCAACTCTGTTTTATTTTATATTATTATATTATTAAAGGGTGAACGCTATGGCAGAACTGAAGGCGCGGCGCGAGGGCAAACAGAAGCGTGAAGAGGCCGAAGAAGAACGTAAAAGAAAGGAAGAAGAAAAGAAGAGACAGGAAGAGGAGGAATCGGAGCTGCTTTCCAAGAAAAACGAGACCAAACTCAAAGCCTCTGACATTTACTCGGATGACAGCGACAGCGACAACGCGGAGGAGGGCGAACGAAGCTCTCCGGTGGCCAGGGAGAAGGCCAGGTCCAGGTCCAGATCGAGGTCCGGCTCCAGGTCGAGGTCGTCCAGCTCCAGTTCGAGCAGTAGCGATAACGAGCGGGAGGAGGAGAAAAAGCCGGCGTACGTGCCAACGAAAAACGATCTGAACTCTATTAGGTTAGTGACAGTTCTTTTTTTTATCATTTTTATTTTTTTTTTATTTAAGCGGTTTGCGATTTTTTTTAAACCTTCGACTATAATATCCCTAGACCCTTTTTATAATCCTTAGTTTGATGCTATCATTGTTCTGAAATGACGTCATAAAGGACTGAGGGTAGAAAATTATTCAACAGTATTTTTTTGGTGTAAATAATAAAAATCTTGTTTCTTATTAGTTTACTGCTACTTGTTTTTTTCAATAATTTTTCTTTTCTGTTCAATTTTTCATGTGGTTTATAATTTTTGAACCTTAGACCATAATATCAACTAGACCCTTTTTTAGAATCCTTACTTTGAAGCCATCATTATTTGGAAGCGTAATTTTTTAATTTTCTTCTATTTTTTATGATGATTTTCAATTTTTAAAACTTAGACCATAACATCAGCTAGACCCTCATTTAAAATCCTTAGTTTGAAGCCATCATTACTTGGAAGTGACGTCATAAGAAGGCTGCTGGTAGTGTATTAACCAACATTCTTTTTCACTTTCTAACTTTTTATATCACGGGGTTCGTCTCTAATAAAAATGATCTGACTCTATTAGGTTGGTAGCAGTTAATTTCTTCTCAATAATTTTTATTTTTATTTTAATTTTTCATAGGAATTTTTAAAATCGAGACCGTAACATCATTTAAACCCTCCTTTAAATTTAAAAGCCTTAGTTTGAAACTATCATTATTTGAAAGTCACGTCATAAAAGGACTGCTAGTAGTAAATTATTATACAACAGCCTGTGCCACTTTTTAACTTATTGTACAGGGTGTACTACTAAAAGGTATCAATAATTTTTATTTTATTTTTTTTACAGTTTATAACAGGTTTATAAGTTAAACCTTAGACCATAAAAACAACTAGATCCCTTCTTTAAAATTCCGACTTTGAAGGTATCATGAATAAAATGATTGTTTTTATATAGGCTTTCTAGACACAAACTCGAACGCTTCGTGCACATGCCGTACTTCGACAAAATAGCCAAGGGCTGTTTCATCAAAGTGGGAATAGGCCAAAACAACGGCACTTCCGTATACAGGGCGGCCGAAGTGGTTGGCGTGTACGAAACGGCAAAAATCTACCAGTTGGGCAGCACGAGAACGAACAAAGTTAGTGCAAATTCATATAAAAATGATTTTTAACAAAGGCCTCATTGTTAAATCGTTCGATATTAGGGTCTGAAAGTGAGACACGGTGCGCAGGAGAGGGTGTTTCGGTTGGAGTTCGTTTCCAACCAGGAGTTCTCGGAGGGAGAGTTTCAGAATTGGTTGAAAGCTACTTACGCCGCCAACCACGACCTTCCGTCCAAGGGGCACATCGATCAGAAGCAGGCCGACATCAAGGAGGCCATCAGCTACGAGTTTAACGAACAAGACGTCGAAAGAATTGTAAGTGATGTTAATTTTAAAGAAAAAATTCTCATGTGTATGGTAATCGCAAAACAATTTCCGATGCTCGTCATCAACTTTGAGTGACAAGCGATGGCGACAGCGCTGCCCGATTGTGATGGATTTATGAGATGAAACAAACAATATATTTATTATATCATTTTTAAAGATTTTTACGTTTTATTTTTAATTTAATAACTAGTATTTTAGTAATTAATTGATTTATTTGTTTTATAGCTTATTTTACTTATTACATATTGGCAAAAACTAGTCCATTATAAAGATTATTCTAAGCGTTATTAAGGGTTATTTATTTATTTATTGATATACATCTTACAACGCTATAAGTGGCAATAACAAGTAAGAGGATGCTATTAATGCACAAACTAATAGTCACAGAATTTAATAAAAACTAACGCAGAACGTTCTTGTTCGAAATAGTTTTATCAGGGAAGCTACAAGCTCTTTGCCTCGACTGTTTAAATGCTTCGGCATATTTTCAAGAAATGCAATTCAAAAACTCGAAAATTTAGTTCTTAAAAGAACTGTTTGTACTTAAAAGTACAATTTTTAAAAAAAGACTATGAAAGTAGGGAAAAAAATGAGAATTACTCACAATGATTCAACGACAACACAATATTATACAAAATAATGACTGACGTTAGGATAATTGTCAAATAATAAAGGACAACATTGCTGAACACTGCGCAATGTGACCAACATAGCGATAATAAAATTCGGTTTAAACTAATTTTTGCAGCTTTAATTTAAATAAAATATCTGTTACCATCATTTGCTCTATAAAGTCAAATGATTGTTGACGTGCATCGGAAAATGTTTTGCGATGTTGTTTTACTCTTGTAATATGTCTGTGACAAGATATGCAGATTTAACAGTAAGTGACTTTTGCAGATTAAAGAAAAGGAACGGTTTAAGCCCAACCCACACAACTACGCCATGAAAAAGACGGAACTGATGAAAGAAAGGGACGCGGCTTTAGCTAGAGGCGACGATGACATTGCCAGAGAAATGAGCGACAAATTATCACAATTAGAAGAAAGGTTAGATAATTACTGCACTATTCTTTGACAATTTTAATGATAACGATCAACCAGAGATATAGAGGTAGGTAGAATAAGCTTCGACGAGTGCACATCTATTAAAAAATTTTCTTATGTTCGCGCTTAGGTTTACAGTGGAGATCAATAAGTAATAACAACAGTTGATGACTACTAATTTATTTGAGTTTAATTTCATTCATGCTCATTCTCCCTACCTCTATATCTCTGTGATTTTGATGAAACCCACTGAAAAATTGATGAAATATTCTTTAAATCTTAAGAAAATATTTTTCATTAGGGCTTCTGAATTGGACAAGATGCGTACTTCCACGATATCGAGTATTTCCTACATAAACGATAGGAACAGGAAAAGGAACGTGGAAGAAGCAGAAAAAGCAATTATTGCAGAAGTTAGAGCCAATAAAGGCAAAAAGGTAGGTTTAAAAAAATTGTGCAAAAGAAATATTACTATATCACTTAAAAAACTTTTTTTTTCTTAATTCTCTAAATTTACAAGTTTCTTTGGTTTTGTCAAAAGGTTGACGATCCGTTCACCAGAAGATCGACGAAACCGAGGATGAATTTCAAGTCCGGGGAAAAGGAGGCTCTGGCCGCTGCCGAGAAGAAGGCCCAGGAGGAGATGTTGCTGAGCGAGGCCCCCAAAGAGGTCGAACAGAAGAAGCAAGTGGAGAAACAGGCCCAAGTTACGCAGGAAGACCTGTTCTCCGCGCACGATTTCGATATCAAAATCGACCTAGAAGTTCCTTTACCTGGTAAAAGACTTCATATAGTATAATTAACTTATTTTTTAAACTACTTTAGTACCGTATGATTGAAAAAATAAACGGCGTCAGCGATGGCTATGAAACGAAGATCGCTGTCATTTTATATGTAAATTAATATGGGTCATTGATCGTCATTTCCCAGCCAACTGGACGCCGTTTTTTTTCGATCATACGGTATTTTCGTCTCAAAGTATCTGAGTTACCTTTAAATTTTATTGTAATATTAGACCATCTGTACACTAGATACTCTTCTTGTGATTTTTCTGCGAAGCCAATATATGTCCCAAAGTGACATTACGTCAGGGCTGAAAATGTTTGAAAACCGTTTTTTATGTTTTTTAAAAATTGACATGAAATTGGCATTAAAAAAACGGCGTCCAGTTGGCTGAAAAATGACGATTAATGACCCATATTAATTTACATATAAAAAGACAGCGATCTTCACTTCATAGCCATCGCTGACGCCGTTTTTTTTCTCGATCCTACGATATTTTCGTCTCAAAGTATCTGAGTAACCTTATTAATTTTTTCATATATTAATAATTTTATTGTAATATGAGACCATCTGTACACTAGACACCCTTCTTGTGACTTTTCTGTGAAGCCCATATATGTCCCACAGTGACGTCACGTCAGGGTTAAAAATTTTTGAAAACCGTTGTTTATGTTTTTTAAAAATTGACATGAAATTGGCATTAAAAAAGGGCGTCCAGTTGGCGGGAAAATGACGATCAATGACATTTCCCATATAAATTTACATATAAAATGACAGCGATCTTCATTTCATTGACGCCTTTTTCCTCAATTATATTCTACTAAGGAAGGAGCGTATCAATAAAAAAAAACGGGAGTTTTGGTTTATCAAATAAAATTGTTAATTTGTTCTATTTTATTTTTCTAGCCACAACTGTCAACGTAGTTCCCAAAACCACCACGAAAGACTTGGCGCCCAAGCGCAGTTTGAATCTTCAAGATTACAAGAAAAAGCGCGGGCTCATATAGTATTTTATTTTAAATCTCTCACCCTATATCCTTAGGTTTATTAATATAGATATAGTCTTTAAGTTATTTCCTCATAAGTAAGTTTACAAAATTGTACTTTAACGCAAAAGTATTAGGCGATATATATTATTATTATTATATACTCTTATTTTGAAGTTTATTTTAGACGTTGTGACGCGCTGTAAGCATAAAAAAACGTTTTTATTTTTCTAGCAATATATTATTTATTGTTAATTATTTCTTCCCCCTGTACATTTATGACGTTCGTAGAAAGACAAGGAAACAAAAAATGTATTGTGATTCTTTTTTTAGAAAACAAAAACGATTATTCATAATAATGATTATTATAATTATTTGTGAATAAACTCTGGAGTGTTTTATTTATTTACACGCGCAGATAATGCAAAAATAATCACCTTGTCCTTTAAAGGACACAGCGTTTTTAATTTTGTCTAGCGAAATTTGAATAAACAATGGAATTAAATGGTTCGGGATTTACTTTTTGCCATATAAGGAAATTTTGGTAGATTTGGCAAGAGTTCAGTGACCTTGGCACAGGTGGTTACCTAGAAAAAGGAGTGACGTATGCGACGTACCGAATTTTGAATACTCTCCCATACTTTCTCTATTTTTTTACGATTAATATACGGACGGATTTGCTAAAAATATTTTCGCGATTTTATTTGGGCGTGGCTAAAAATTTGAAATCGAAAAGGCGGCCATTTTGAAATGGCTCGTTTGCCTTTTATGGGCATTTCAAGCTGGCCGCGTCTAGATTGGTCCCTGCCAGTGAGTCACCGATTTTTCTAAATTTCTCTATTAAATTCTAAGTTTGTATGATCAAAAATCCAAAATAATAACAAAGATTCACCGAATAAATTAGAAAATGTTTGTTAAAAGTCAATTCTCCATGCTATTTAGCGATTATACGTCAAAACGTTACGTTTTAAAACTTCAGCGCACCTCCGCCACGAAAAACAGTCCGGCTTTTCATTTATTTTTAACGAGAACTGCACGTACTTGAAAATTTCTAGGTATAGAAAAACACAAGTAATTCTATATAAGGCTGTTTATTTTCGAGAGCGATTAGAAAATAATTTAAAAAGATTAATCTTTTTAAAGTTATCGAGTCAAGCGGCGCACGCAGGAACTAATTCCTTATAAAACACATCCGTTAACCTCGAAACTCAGTCGTTTTTTCACTCTGATCCTGCGAGTGTGACAAAGAAACAAACATAAACCGTTGGATTTTTGACGTAAACTTCACGTCGATCATCGTCCCTGAAAAAATATTCTCTAGGCGAGCCAGTCGTTTGAGTTCGGTGTTAACAGCAGTCGTGATTTGTGTAGTTTTTCCCTATTTGGATTAATTCAGCATGGTAAGTTTGAAACTACGATTAATTTCCCGTAAAAACCGACAGTTATTTCGGTATAAAACAGTCCGGGAAAGTGGTCAAAGTCGATATGAAATAATGCCGGTCCGCCATTGAACGAAGCATTTCCGATTTTACTCAAGAAATACACTTTTAGACGGTTTTATTACTTGTTATTACTGTTATAAGGAAAGTTACGATAAATAAAGCGACGGAGAGTTGTTTAATGACGAAATTTCGAGGTATTTCTGAGTCAGTTCGAAAATGTCTACGTGCTGTCAAAATGGGGTGTGTTAAAAGACCTTTTTTTTGGTCTGGGCACGTTGAAATACCGTTGGATTCCGTCGAACTCGATGCCCGATGGTGAATCACCGTCCACTTTGCCTTTCAAGGCTGAATAAAAGGCTCCTTGAGGAAGATTTTCAACGAAGACGGCCGGCGGGATTTATATGGCCATGTCATTCGATACAGTGCTCGTCGATAACGCCTTCCGATAAATTTGAATATTCCCCCAGTGTTTTTTAAATTATTCTTTGTTATTGTGATGAATAAACGGGAAGAGCGTGGCGTGAATAATATCCCCATCCCCCCTGGGAAGCTTTGAAAAGACGGTCTAAAAATAAGCTCCATGTGGGCATTCTAAATTTAGGCACGCCGGGATTGAAAATTTGTCCAAATTTGGCCGACTCTGTGTTATAGGTGAATACATTTTTTAATTCCTATTCAACGTTCTTTTTTTTGTCCCAGATTTTTTTGCAAAGTATTTTACATATGCCACGTTTTTATTGATTCTATCGCATTATTAATTAAAAAAAAACATATTTTTTACTTTCAGGACTACAAAGATTTATTTTATTTAACAGGATTTAATATTTTTTTACGAAATAATCTAAATTTATACCAGAAAAGTTCGTGCCAGTAGTCAAAATAAAATTAAGTGGTTTTTGTTGGCAAAATTTCGCTACACAAACAGTTATAGACGGATATACAGAGCGTCCCGAACTTAATTTGAAATTAACAGACTAAAAACATTTATATTTATCCTAATAATGATTTTACAAATAAAAAACAACTACAGACGAATATACAGAGTGTTCCATATAGTAATCTAAACAAAGAGAGGACAAATATTTATCATTTTGATTTATACAAGTCACCCTAATGATGTGATTACAAATAAAAACAATAAGTTATCTGAGTAATGTGTTAATTTGAATTATGATTCATATAATTATAGGTAAAGGCATGTATGGTATTGGATTATACAGTTATTTGTTGAGTTTTAATTTTAGAAATTCTATTTTAATGAGTGTAGATTGTTTTATCTTATCTTCTTTTTTTATTATTATTGATGATTCTTTGTGAGACTTATTGGAGAATATTGTTAAATATATTTTGCTGTCTATTATTGGAGTTATCTATCTCCTGCTAATCTTCTAGGTTTCTTAATTTCTCGTGGATATTTCTTGCCAGGTGTCCGGCCTATTGCCACTTCAGGGATTTGATTCTGTGGATGACATCTATTACCTGGGTCTTTTGTAGTATCCACTATATTTTTTTATGGTCTTTCATGGTTATTCCCAGCTTATTTCGATCCAATGAGGGTTGTGCGACCTGCAGTTTCGTTATAATGTCCGTTTTAAGTATCCAGGTTTTGCATGCATAGGTCATGATTGTTGGTAGACATTAGTCGAATGTTTTAATTAACTAATACTAACTTTTGTTGATTTCTGATAGTAGAGATCCAGAGCTGTGTATTAGTTGTCCCAAATATTAGCATTTCCAGTTTACAATGTTTTTTTTCCTAGTTCATTGTTTGTTGCTAAATCGTTTTGTGAATTACAAAGAGATTTTAACTAAATATGTGAGGGAGGCTACACCATTATTGGAAATGGTTAAATAAGCAGAAAATGGTGATGATGATATGTTAATTTTAGTTATTTCGTTTAGGCATCCGGTGTAACAGTATCAGATGCCTGTAAAACTACCTACGAAGAAATCAAAAAAGACAAGAAGCACCGATACGTGATCTTTTTCATTAAAGATGAAAGACAAATTGATGTTGAGGTAAATATGATTGAAAAAAAAAGTAAAAAGGCATCTTGTGTATTAAAAAAATTTTTAATATACCTTTTTTCTTCGAATATTAGGTGATTGGAGCTAGAGACGAAGAATACGACCAGTTTCTTCAGAATCTCCAAGCGGGGGGCGCGGGCGAATGCCGCTACGGCCTCTACGACTTTGAATACATGCACCAGTGCCAGGGCACGTCCGAGTCCAGCAAAAAACAGAAGCTGTTCCTTATGTCGTGGTGCCCCGACACCGCAAAAGTCAAGAAGAAGATGTTGTACTCTAGGTAAGCCCCAGAAAGATGTCCGAAGCACATTTTTTTATTTGAAAACTTGCCAAAAAAAATATGTTAGTGTAACCTTCTTCCAAGTACGGCAAATTTCTTTTATATAAATTTGTTGCTTGTAAAAGAAGGTAAATAAAAGATATGCGATGCAATAGAGGAAACATGTAAGGTTGTTTTTTCTAAAGAAACGCATATGACATTTATTAATTTCTGTTTTTTATCTCTATCTATGAGACTTTTTATTTCTAACACAATTTGACCAACTTTGGAGGCATTTTTTTATGTTTTAGGGTATCAAGTATCAAAAAGATTTTAATTTGTCTATAAAACCTTAGATCATGACTTACCTAGACTCCTTTTATTTGTATTGATCACTTTTTTGTAACTAACATACATTCGAATTTTATGCAAAAGAGGTAGACGTATGTAGACCATAAATTCTACATATAGAGACATAAATTCTACATTACCTTGTAGTCAACATGTGATTTTTTTTAAATTTTAGGCTATGTCACAACCTAGAGTCATGATCTAAACATTGAAAACACAAATTTAATAAAATCTTTGATACATTTTTTTATATCAAAAAAGATTATAATTTCTTTTAAGAACCTTTGACCATAACATACATGACACATTTTTTGATCATCTTCCTGTATCCAAGTTGCATTTCAAAGTAATGGACCATGAATTGTAACTAGACTCCTATTTTTAAAATCTTGTAGTCAACATAAACCTTAACTATTTACACAAGAGTTATGATTTAAGAATTTACATCACAAAATTTGACCAACTTAAGAGATATTTTTTTGGCTTTTAGAGGCTTATTGTAGAAAATATTATTATTTCTATAAGAACCTGAGATCATAACATACATAAACTCATTTTTTGATTATCCTCCTGTAGCCAACATACATGTCAATGCAACACAAATGACTGAAGACCATAAATTGAGCATAGAGTTTTATTTTCATATCTTGTAGTCAACATAAGGGGATGTTATTTAAACTTTAGACTATTAAACAACTAGAGTCATCATCTAAAAAAAAAAGATAACCGCATTTTTGACGTTTGAAGAACTAATATGAATTAACAGATGTATTTTCTTGTTTCAGCTCATTCGATGCCCTTAAGAAATCGTTGGTAGGCGTACAAAAGTATATCCAAGCGACGGACCTGTCAGAGGCGAGTCAAGAGGCTGTGGAAGAGAAACTGAGGGCCACCGATCGCCAATAGGTGGCGCCACGCGATCGCGCTTACTACTATTATTAATATTATTATTTGTTCTGTTCGTTCGACTGTATTTTTTTTTCTTCTCTTCATACGCACCAAAACGAAACAAAAAAATGTAACAAACAGTTCGTGGAGCGTGTCTATTTATATACAATAAGTATTTGAATAATATAAAGCTTGATTTTTGAAAAACTGTACTAGCGGTGGTTTTTATTACGATTTTGAATGTAAAAAAAGTGAATCAATAAAACGATAATAAAAAAGAAATTTTTGTTTGGGGCTTTTGTTGTAAAAGTTTCCAAACTAACATTAAATTAAAATAATTAATTTTTCCAAACTAACTTTAATATCCTAAAGCATAGCACGTAAATATTTATGTAAAATACCGTACGATTGAAAAAAAACGGCGTCAAGTTGGCTTAGAAATGGTGATCTATGACATTTCCCATGTAAAAGTTCGAAACTAGCAATCTATGACGCAGTTTTTTTTTATCCTACGGTATTTTTTTTAAACAAAGTAAGTACCATCGAAGATATAACCTTTTCTCAAAGTAATTACTTTGAAAAAAGATTTTATCCGTGATTGAAACAGTTATAAAGATGGTGCAAACTACCCTGTTTTATCCTCTTTTACCTATCCCTCTTTTTTTAATCTTAAAACCCGGTATATACACATAACTACTTAGGTAAGATAACGTACAATTAAATAAAAACGGCGTCGAGTTGGCTTGGAAATAACGGTCGATGATATTTCCCGTGAAAATATTTATATCTCGACGTCTATGAGGGCGTTTCTTTTATCCTACGGTACAATAACCTTATTAATCTTAAAGCTTCGTCTACAGATAACTGCTTAAGTGATACACCGTATGATCGAAAAAAACGGCGTCAACTTGGCTTTGAAATGACGATTGATGATATTCCGCTTATTAAAGGTCCCCCTAGCCATCTCTGACGCGGTTTTTTTTTCAATCTTACGGTACTTTCTTTGATTGAAATATTTATGAAGATGATTTAAGCTATGCTATAGTTTCTTCCCCGTTATTTAATTAAATAATAAACTTAACAATCCTAGAGCTTCGTCTACACATTACGTTTTACTTATACGTTTTGATTGGACAGCTAAGACTCGTAGGCAAGACGTTGCGTGTAGACGGTGCTTTAGGTTTTGTCGTAAAACATGGAGCATCGTCGTTTTTTGTTGCTACACGCAATATTTTACTTGTTGTTTTGAATAGACAGGTAAGACTGACAGGTAAAATGTTACGTATAGGACGGTGCTTTAGGTCGTTAAGGTTATTAACTGTATAGAAAAAAAAGGAACAAATACGTATTTATTGTGTAAATTTGTTAAAATTTGTCTTAAGGCGATGTGATTCTATCGGTTTAAGGATTATTTTTAATCAATTTTGATGCCTCTATTTTAATTTTTAATAGTCTTTTAAAGATATAATTGAAAAAAAAATTATTTACTCTCAAGTTAATTTACTATCCTTGTTTACATAAGATCCAACTAATAAATATATCCTCAAATTATTTTAAGCATTTTCAATACGTATTTGGTCTTATAACGCATTAATATAACTTCTAAAAGTAAATTGTTCTGTTTCAAATTTTGCATTAAGCCCGCGGACGCGATTGCAGCGCCAAATTAATGATGGTGGTGGTTTTTATACCTATATTATGAAGTGGCGCCATCAGTCTTTAATTAGTAAAACTACACAATTAACAAAGAAGGTTTCTGTAAAGCTGGCCGTATTTTGACATCTAGCGGAGAATACCAGTACTATGTGTTTATGAATTACAGAAATCTGTTATTTGGATAGAGTTCTGTAAAAAATCGATTGTTTTGACATCTATCAGAAAATAGTTGTACTATCAATTTTTAAAATGTATTAAATTAAAGAAATCTACTTTTTCGAGGTCCCAAAAAGTTTTTAGTCAGAGCCATCTATTATTTTACTTTAACACTAATTTTAAACAAAGATGAGCAAAGAACATGCAATGAAAGCCGGCCGGTCTTAGAATATTTTGTAATTTTAGCTAGAAAAAATGATTTTATTGTGTATTATTTAATCATAAGCTATTCCGAAGGCTCTACTCGATCCTCTGTAATAGTAAGTACCGTTTATTTCATACTGTTTTACATATTTTTTGATCTCAAAAGTTGTTCATCCTCGTAAACCGTCATGGCTGGTTCTTGGAATCTACAATATTTTTATGTAATTATATTGTTTCCATACGTTCTTTTATAATTCCCTAACGAAAAATTAGCCAACGTTACTACCTAATTGAAGATTTCAGTATAAATTACAATTTCTCTTTGTATTTAGTTACATTGTCTTTGTTTTTTTATAACTGAATTTGCACTTATGAATCAATCATGGAGACTCCAGTTTTTTTGTCGATATTATTAACATTTCTCTGTTTAGTATAGTATTTTCTGTTTTAACATCATAAAATATATATTTTAAACGTTTGGATATATTTTATTCACAAAATTTTATTATTTGTGGCATTTTATTTAGTATTATCAAAGTATTATCAAGATTATCAATCATCTTTGGTATTATTGTGGTATTATGTAATGCTCTTTATGGTTCTCATTTTTCTAAGGATTAAAAATTACTTTGAAACTCTTACAAAGATATTTCCTAGATGGCAAAACACTAATCTCTTGTAGGTTGTAATTTTTGAGTGTTCAAAATATGTTTTTTTGTTTTCTTTTAGTTTTAGACATGTTAATAGTACCAGACACGAGCTTACAATTTACAGTCTTCATACATCCTTATACAGAAGAGGAAATGGTGGTGTTCTCAGACAAAGGTTCTTAATTGGAATCGGATGTGACTGGTGAGGCTTAATCTTTGATCAAGGGTAAAATGTGATGCCAGAAGTTATAACAGGTACGGAGAGACCAAGGCTTGATGTTAAATGGAGGTGTATATACAATGTTCACCCACGGTTCAGCCTTATCGACAACTACAACATAGAAATTAAAGAAAGTAAGTTTTATTTTTTATTAATATCTTATAGAGGAAATTATATTTCTTATAGTTTTTATTTATTTTAATCACATTATTAAATATAAATCAAAGGGAGCATGAAATTGCATTTAGTTTTTACAGTTCTAATTTTACTGGTTGCCTATCCAATCCTTTAAAAAATTGAAATTAATTCCAAGAACAAAAATTATAACAATGTGGATTTTGAATATATAATAAAATAATTAATTTTAATTATTTTTCAGTTACATCTACTGTTTTAATGTACTTTTAATCTTACATACTATCTAGTAGATATAACAAATACTGCTTATGACTTTTTAAAGAAATAGTAATTTATTGGTTTTCTTTTTTTATTTTAGAAATAAAAACCATCAGGTTTTTCTCCCAATTTTCTTGATTTACAAGAATTTTGAAAAGCAGTTGCAAGAGTTTTTGTGATATTCAGAAGAGTTATTTGAATTAGATCTATCTACAGGGTGATACAAGTACCAGTTCACAGACACAACAGAAGATATGGATATAGTTCAATTACAGTTATATATGGAACAAATAAATTAAGGTAAATATAACAATATTGCCACAAAGGTACAGCATAAATAAAAAATAATAATAATCTTTTTATGCTATTTAGAAATTATCTCAACACAATATACACCATACATGAACAAAATACACTATACATTACTGACAATCTTATTGTAGTATTTCTGTTTTTTTTTTACCGTAACTATATCTTTTTTTATTATATCTTTATCTTTACTTCAAGTATTTGGACGAATTACTGAAATTACCGACAGATTGCTGTACGCTATGCAGATTGCTGCTAACTTGCTGTGCTGCGCTAGAAATGTCGTGGCTAATCACAATATCGAGCATGGAGTGGCTAATCACAATATCGAGTGGGAGTGGTTTTTTATCCTGCTTTAACCGATCCCAAACTGCACACTTTCCACGGAAGGTCTATAGGAAACGTCAATGAACAAGAACCAAATTTAGGTAGTTATTACTTTTGATTGTTTAATTATTACTCTTAATTTAAATACTCTTCTGTCTATATATCTATCATTGGTAAAAATTCAAAATAATGTCAATATTTAGCAAGACAGAGAAATTATTTTTTTTATTTTAATTTTTATTTACCAAATTTTTTAATAAGTTCACCATTTTGTCCGGAATATTGATTTTTTTAACTGTATACTTTGTTACAGTATTATTCTTTATTACAAAGTAATAAAATAGCATCTGAAACTGTCAATTATCTATTATTAAAAGCATTATTGTACTTTAAATCATTTAATTTACCACTAACTCTTGCTGATTATAAATTTTATTCCTTCCTGTTTTCGATTTGTTAGCTTTAAAACATTTTACCTCTAAGATTAAAAGAGATATTAAAGTACAGTTTTATCTGTTCAATAAAGAATTAAATTCTCGATCTGTTTGTAAAATTTGAGCTCTCTTAAAATTTGCAATCAAAATTTTTGAAGTCTTTGATGATTTTCTTTTGCATTTATTATATTGTTCTAGTTTTAATATGTAGTCAAGACAGCACCGCTATATTAATTAGTTTTTTTTCAAACGTCACAAAAGTATTTAACGCCTAAGCATAAAAGTACGGAAATATATTTTTGAACTGACATAATGTGTCAAATTCAACGATGCAACGAGCGTATTCATAGTTTCTTGATATATAATTACGTACAAGGTATTACTTTTAAATATTTTTATATTATTTGGAACGTTTGAAATTGTTTAAAAAATTATTTGTGACGTTTGAAAAAAATAGCATGTTCTATTCGGAGTAAAAATGACTTTTTGTGGCTCTTTTTGTGCCTCTCGACTTTTTGGCTGTATGTCAAACGTACAGCCACGCCCCAAAAAGTGTCATTTGTACTAATAAAACAATATACTATTCTGAGAAATTATATATATATATATATATATATATATATATATATATATATATATATATATATATATATATATATATATATATTTTTTTTTTTTTTAAATAAACGCCTTCGTTATTTTGTCAGGAATATTGATTTTTTTGGACTGTATACTCAATATTTATTATAAAGTAATAATATTAATTAGTTTTTGAGGAATTATATTTTTTTATAGAATTTTAACTAGTTTTTTAAATAAGCGCCTTCACCATTTTGTGAGGAATATCGATTTTTTGGCTCTGTCAATATATTTTTAATAATAGTTTTGACTAATAAAAAACAATATTTTTGCATCTATACTGACACATAATGTACATTTTTAGGTATAATAGTTCAACAGTTAAGCTACCAGCATCAAGAGAAAGGTACATTTGACATAGGGGAGAGAAAAATCAAAGAAATGCCTCAAATGAATTCGGTGGATCCAAAGATTTTTATAGACGATTCTCTGGATCTCTGTGACTTAATTATTGTTAAATGAAAGAAGCTTACGAAGTTATTATAATTTTTTGTATAATTTTTCTGAGAATTTTCTAAGTTATGCATTTTTTAAATTCTCCGTACCTCTATTTCTTCATTTGTCTTCCATATTGTCTTCATTCTATGAAATTTATTATTTCTATGTATGTACTCTTTATTTTGTTTCTAAATCCATTTAAAATTGAGTTTTTGGATGGGATATTGTACTACTTTGGATTTTTTGGGACAGCTGTACTTCAACCATCCCCTTCAAGATGCCATTAGGCTGATTAAATTCAACACTCAACAGTGGAATGAGGATGAAATTCATTATTGAAGAGGAACTAAATAACTTTAGGTAAATTATATTAAATGTTGTTTTTTAAATCAAATATATTATCAATTAATTTCGCCAGCGAAACTGCCACGGCCAAAGATGCTGCACTTCGCGACGCAGGAGCTCGCGTACCGGATTTCTTCGATTACTTAGGTAAAGTAGTTCCTAGCCATCTCTGACGCTTTTTTTTTCGATCTTACTGCACTTTTTTTAAACAAAGAAAGGACCATTTACGATAAATCCCTTTTTAAGGCGAACACATTTGAATTTTTTGTTTTTGATTAAGTAGTTATAAAATGGTTCAAGCTACTCGACATGTATTTTTCAATTTTTTTTTTAAATAAAATACTAACATTAATATTCCTAAAGCATAACACATTTTATCGAATACGATCGAAAAAAAAACGGCGTCAAGTTGGCCTAGTAATAGTGATCTATGACATTTCCCATGTAAAAGTTCGAAGCTAGCCATCTATGACGCAGTTTTTTTTATCCTACGGTATTTTTTTAAACAAAATAAGTACCATCAAAGATATAACCTTTTCCTAAAGTAAATACATTGAAAAAAGGTTTTATCCGTGATTGAAATAGTTATAAAGACGATTCAAGCTACCCTGTAGATTTCCCTCTTTTTTTAATTAAACAATAACCTTAATAATCTTAAAACCCGGTATATACACATAACTACTTAAGTAAGATAACGTACAATTGAAAAAAAACGGCGTCGAGCTGGCTTGGAACTGACTGTCGATGATATTTCCCATGAAAAAGTTCATAGCTAGACGTCTATGACGGCGTTTTTTTTTATCCTACAGTACAATAACTTTATTAATCTTAAAGCTTCGTCTACAGATAACTACTTAAGTGATATACCGTATGATCGAAAAAAAACGACGTCAACTTGGCTTTGAAATGACGATCGATGACATTTCGCTTATAAAAGTTTCTCCTAGCCATCTCTGACGCCATTTTTTTCGATCTTAAGGTACTTTCTTTGATTGAAATATTTATAAGGATGATTTAAGCTATCCTATAGTTTCTTTCCCGTTATTTAATAATTAAATAATAAACTTAACAATCCTAAAGCTTAGTCTACACATTACGTTTTACTTGGATAGGTAAGACTGACAGTTAAAATGTTGCGTGTAGACGATGCTTTATGTTTTGTCGTAAAACATAAAACATCGTCGTTTTTTGTTGCTACACGCAATATTTTACTTGATATGTTTTGAACAAACAGGTAAGACTGACAGGTAAAATGTTAGGTATAGGACGGTGCTTTAGGTCGTTAAGGTTATCATTAACTGTATAGAAAAAAACGGAACAAATACGTATTTATTGTATAAATTTGTTAAAATTTTTCTTAAGGCGATGTGATTCTATCGGTTTACGGATTATTTTTAATTAATTTTTCAATCAATTTTGATGCCTCTATTTAAATAGTCTTTTAAAGATATAATTGAAAAAAAAAACATTTTTATTTACTCTGAACTTAATTTATTATCCTTGTTTACATAAGATCCAACTAATATATATATTCTCAAATTATTTTAAGCATTTTCAATACGAATTTGGTCTTTAACGCATTAATATTACTTCTAAAATAAATTTTTCTATTTCAAACTTTGCATTAAGCCCGCGGAAGCGATTGCAGCGCCAAATCAATCGTGGTGGCGGTTTTTGTAATTATATTGTTAAGTGGCGCCATCAGTTGTTTATTAATAAAACTACACTGTTAACTAGAAAGATTTCTGTAAAACTGGGCGTGTCGTGACATCTAGTGGGGAATACAGGTACTATGTATTTATGACAACAGAAATCTGTTATTTGGGTAGAATTCTGTAAAAAAAATCAATTGTTTTGCCATCTATCAGGAAATAGCTGTACTATTAATTTTTAAAATGTAATTAATTAAAGTAATCTACTTTTTCGAATTCCCAAAAAGTTTTTTGTCAGAGCCATCTATTATTTTAATTTAGCACTAATTTTAAGCAAAGAAGAGCAAAGAAAGGCGGTCGGTCTTAGAATATTTTGTAATTTTAGCTAGAAAAAATGATTTTATTGTGTATTATTTATTCATAAGATGTTCCTAACGCTCTACTCGATCCTCTGTAATAGTAAGTACCGTTTATTTTGTACTATTTTACGTATTTTTTGACCTCAAAAGTTGTTCATCCTCGTAAACCGTCATGGCCGGTTCTTGAACATATTTTTTTGTGTAATTATTTATTGTTTAGATGCGTTCTTTTATAATTCCCTAACGAAAAATTAACCAACGGTACTATCTAATTGAAGATTTCAGTATAACTTACAATTTTGTTTTGTATTTAGTTGCATTGTCTTTGTTTTTTTTATAACTGAATTTGCACTTATGAATCAACATGGAGACTCCAGTTTTTTTCGATATTATTAACATTGTTTCTATGTTTAGTATATTATTTTCTATGTTTTAACATCATAAAATATATATTTTAAACGTTTGGATTCATTTTATTTTGTTTAATCTTTTGTAGGTTGTGATTTTTGATTGTTTAAAATATGTTTTTTTTGTTTTCTTTTAGACATGTTAATAATACCAGATACGAGCTTACAGTTTACATTCTTCATACATCCTTTTACAGAAGAGGAAATGGTGGTGTTCTCAGATAAAGGTGCTTAATTGGAATCGGAAGTGATTGGTGAGGCTTAATCTTTGACCAAGGGTTAAATGTGATGCAGGAAGTTGTAATAGGCATCGAGAGACGAAAGCTTGATGATAAATGGAGGTATATATACACAGTTCAGTCTTATCTACAACTACAACTTAGAAATTAAACAAAATAAGTCTTATTTTTTATTAATATCTTATAGAAGAAACTATATTTCTCATAGTATGTTATAAAATATGTATATATAAGCCATAACGAAATGTAATATATTTATTTCTTTTTTTACAGATTTTTTACAACAAATCGATGGATGTATACAGTTCCAGGACAGTACATTTATTCTTTTCATGAATATTGCCAGCAATGCATCAGGACAGCTGCACTTCAATTCAACCACCTTCTTCGAGATGCCCTTAGGTTGATTAAATTCAACATTCACAGTGGATTCAGAGTAAAATTCATCATTTACGAGGAAACTAAACAATTTGAGGTAAATTATAAGAAAAGCATTTTTTTAAATCAAATATATTTAACAAATACCGTATGATCGAATAAAAACGGCGTCAGCGATGGCTATGAAATGAAGATCGCTGTCATTTTACATGTAAATTTATGTGGGAAATGTCATCGATCCTCATTTCCCAGCCAACTGGACGCTGTTTTTTTTCGATCATACAGTACCATATTATCGAAAAAAACGGCGTCCAGTTGGCTGGGAATGACGATCAATGACATTTGCCATATAAATTTACATATAAAATGACAGCGATCTTCATTTCATAGCCATCGCAGAGGCCGTATTTTTTTCCATCATATTGTACCGGGTGATCGAAAAAAGCGGCGTCTAGTTGACTTGGAAATGAACGTCGATGACATTCCTCATAAAATTTTACATGTAAAATGATAGCGATCTTCATTTCATAGCCATCGCAGACGCCGTTTTTTTTTTCGATCATACGGTAGAAGTAATATTTTTTAATCAAGCTTGTTAGTGAACAGTTAATGAATTATGTATTTTTGTATTTTTCTTCCAGAACCAGGACTTTCCAGAAGGGTAGCCAGAAGTTTTATTTACCTCATCATAGACATCAGCATGTCCATCAGCACCTCGGATTTTAATATACTTTTAATATTATATTGTTAATAATATAATAATATATATTAAGTTAATAAATAAATAATAATTAATAATAAATGAGTTTTATTGGACTGAAATATATTATACCGTCTATTCGTGAACAACAAGAAAATGGCATTTAATTATAACAAATAATACATCGTAATACTAACGAACTTACAAGTTGTTCTGGAATAGACAGTATTCTATATATATTCCTGATTAAAATCCAGCATATTCAGATACAGATATATTTTTTTAAAATATATTTGACCTGCTAAATAATCAGATATTTAGATCAAAAATTCTTGACAAAATGGTGAATGTAACTGCTTACTCCTGGTACCGAAAAATACCTCCTCGCCACTCATGTGTTCCTGATATAAATTCAAGGCGTCTCACTTTTAACAAAAACTGCCCAAAATAATTTCAACCTGGCAAAAAACGGAGTACCCGACCAACGAGTTCGAACGAGTTAGATTTTTTCGAAAAACGGCTATAACTTCCAAACTATAAGAGATATCGAGGAACGGAACTGGGCAATCGATAGGGAATTCAATTCTCTATAAGGGTGCAAATTTAGGGGATGATCGGAGACAAAAAAATTTTTTGGCAAAAGTGAAGGAAGGTTTACCCCTTACCTCATTTTTCGCCAAATTTTTTTTTTGTTTCCGATCGCGCCCTCGTTTTGCGCCCTTATAGAGGGTTGAAATCCCTATCGAAAGCCCCCCTCCGTTCCTGTCTAACCCTTATAGTTCCCGAGATATTAAGGGTTGAAGTTTGGAAACGAGTTCGAAGTACTAGAGATAGCAGAAATATAGGTGAAAAATGCTTTATTTACGTGAGGTACTAAATTTGCTCCTTACCTCTTCACGCTTATGCTATCCTGATAGAAATCGGCGATTTTGGACACGATTTAAAAATTTTCGTGCGGTCTTTGCCAAAAGTTGAATTTTCTCGGATATGTATCAGGAGTACATAAGAGCGAGGAGGTAAATATTGGTACTTAATTTGCTCTTTACCTCTTCACACTTATGTGCTTCTGATAGAAATCGGTGATTTTGGACTAGAATTAAAAATGTTCGTTCAATTTTTATTAAAAGCGGAATTTTCTCGGATTTGTATCAGGAATGCATAAGATCGAAGAGATAAAGGTAGGTATTATTTTCATTAAAAATACTGTCTGTTCCTGAACAACTTGTTTGGTTTCTTAGTATTAGGATACATTATTTTTGTCATAATTAAATGATTTTCTATTTGTTCATGATTAGACAGTATTTCTAATATATTTTAGTTCAATAAAACTCATTTAATATTAATAAATACTCTTTATTAACATATCATTTTTTATTAACAATAATATCATAAAAAGTATATTAAAATCCAAGGCGCTGATGAACATGCGGATGTCTATGTTGAGGTAAATAAATCTTCTGGCTACCCTTCTGGAAAGTCTTCGTTCTGTAAGAAAAATATAAAAAAATAATTAATTGATTGTTCACCAACGAACTTGAAAACTATTACTTCAATAATATGATCAAAAAAAACGGCGTCTGCGATGGCTATGAAATGAAGATCGCTATCACTGTACATGTTAAATTATATGGGGAATGTCATCTTCATTTCCAAGTCAACTAGACGCCGCTTTTTTCGATGATAAAAAAAACGGCGTCTGCGATGGCTATGAAATAAAGATCGCTATCACTTTACATGTAAAATTATATGGGGAATGTCATCGATGTTCATTTCCAAGTCAACTAGACGTCGCTTTTTTCGATCATACGGTACAATATGATGGAAAAAAATACGGCGTCCGCGATGGCTATGAAATGAAGATCGCTGTCATTTTATATGTAAAATTATATGGGGAATGTCAACAATGTTCATTTCCAAGTCAACTAGACGCCGCTATTTTCGATCATACTAACTCTATGGATCATACGGTACAATATGATGGAAAAAAATACAGCGTCTGCGATGGCTATGAAATAAAGATTGCTGCCATTTTATATGCAAAATTATATGGGAAATAATGTCATCGATCGTCATTTCCAACCAACTAGGTCCCCTTTTTTTTTATCATAAGGCGTCAGCGATGGCTATGAAATGAAGATTTTTTTTTCATATCATCATACGGTATAATTTTAGAACCAGTAAATTAATAGGGTATAATTTATCTGTATATTAATTAGTTAATGAAAAATTATATTTTTTTATTTTATTTTTAATTATCAAATTTTTTAAAAAAGCACCTTCACCATTTTGTCAGGAATATCGATTTTTATGGCTTTGTCGAACAATATTAGGTCTATTCGTTTTCCTGTTATTATCGATTCTGAATCGTCCTAGAACTCTCCAGTGCATGCGCAAATGAAATAATGTCTTCATATTTCCTTCTGCGCATACGCATCACAATTCTAGGACGGTTCAGAATCGGTAATAACAGGAAAACGAAAAAAGCTATTATAAAATATATAAGAATCTTCGTATCAAAGAACTTTTCTTTAAATGAAATACAAAGAGAAAAACATGGTCCAATTACCTGTACTTGTTATTAAGAAATATTTTAGTTTGGTTTGGTTAAAATAATAATTAAAAAAATGTTAAAAACTAAATTAAAAAAAATAGCCATTTTATAGGCAACTCTATATACCCATTAAGGTATTTATGGTTGCATAAAACTGAAATAAAATGAGCGCCAAAATGTGTCATTTGAAATTAATCATTTATAGCTACATATTTTACAAAATACAATAATTATTACGTTTTTATTAAACATATTTCAACATATTCGACTTAAAAATATACCTTTAAATATAATTTACCTAAAATTATTTAATTTCCTCTTGAATGATGAATTTTATTTTCAATCCACTGTTAAATGTTGATTTTAATCCACCTAATGGCATCTTGAAGGGGGCTGTTGAGGTGCAGCTGTCCCAAAAAAACCTTGTTCCAAAGCAGTACAATATCCCATACAAAAACTTAATTTTAAATGGATTTAGAAACAAAATGAAGAGTATATAGAAATGATATATTTCATAGAATACAGATAATATGGGTGACGGAGACAAATAAAGAAATAAAGGTATGGGAAAAAATGCATAACTTGAATGACACAAAAAATTATACATATAAGAAGACTTAGAAATGCAATCAATAGAAAAATTCTATGATCTCATAGAATTGAATAATGACATTCTCATAAGAAGAATACATGAGAGACAATAGTGAAATAGATATATGATGCATTGAAAAAAATAAATGGTGGATATATTGAGTCAAATGGCATAAAAATGAATAAATCACAAAAAATATACAAATATATAAGACAGTCATTGGAAGAGTACCTATTAAACAGAATTCATGAATGATATTCCAATAATCAAGAAAATATGAGTGAAAAAATTAAATAAAGATATGATGAATCGGATAAAATGGCATAAACATGGAGGTTGAATTGGGATAAAATGGCATGAAAATAAATAAAAAGCTATAATGCTAAACAGACCATAGAATTGATGAAATATGTGTCTCAGAAGAATGACACAAAAAGGAGGAGTTTATAGAATTGATGAATGATGATATTGCATTAATAAAGAAAATATGACAAGACAAAAACTTAAAAAAGTAAAGAAATATGTGGTCAATAAGAAATGGGGAATTGACAAAAAGCTGCGATTAGAAAAACCTCCTCTCAGAAATATCTGGTCAATATATGACATAAAGCACATAGAAAAAAATCCTCCAGAGCATATAGGTTCGCCCCCTTCATCAGATTTAACCCTTGGCCGACGATTAAGCCTCACCAGTCAGTTCCCATCCCAGCTAAGCAGCCTCGTCTCGGGTCACCCTCGTCACCCATCGAGCGGACACCCACCGGGACCCCCTACAGGCGGACCCCCCTCCTCATCTTCAATGTGTCCGATATCCCGCCCCCTCTACTGTCGAGACGTCACGGGATACGTGCACGAAGAAGCCTCGTAGCTTGGGTGCCAGGTCGTATCCGGCCGAAGCCTCTAGCGTTAGAACACCTAGCTCGTAAACCAGAGGGTGGTGACTCCCTTGGGTACCTATGCATGCTACATAGGTCATCGATGGCCGAACATCAGGGTTAGGGGGTGACCCGGGTCTCCTCCTCTTAGGGGAGGCTAGCTATGATGCTCTGGAGTCGATGTTACTTAGGAAAATTCATTGGGAAAAATGCTACGAAAGCCAGAAGTGACATCATAGACGTCAATTTTATTGAGTAAATGGCGAATGCGCTAGGAATTAATGTGGAATTTTTAAGTGTTGTGGTGTTATTGAGTTACTAAACCAACATAATCTGTAAAATTACAGTAATTCATAGCATATGATCTGAGAAAATGAATCCATCAACTCTACAAGAAACTACACAAGCTAAAAAGTATTAAAAAAATGACACAATAATAAAAATAATACAAATAAAAGAAGACATAAAAATACAATCACTGGTATATTTTACAGAATTGATGAATGATGTTATTATGCCTACAATGGAGAATTTATGGGAGCAAAGCTATTATAGAGAAATAAAAGTAAACCAAAAACCAGATGAAGTAAAATTCTAAGTAGATGGTACTCTACCAAAAAGAAAGAGAAATGGCCTAAATAAAAAATAGTTGGTCTGGATTTGTCAATTATAATAAAGAATCAATAAAATATAACTCAGAGACTCATTGAAATTTTTTTCTTACTTGCTTAAATGTAAAAACAATGAAATCCACTGATGAACATTAAAAACCAGTAAAAATATATGTATTTATCCAAAAGAAATAAAATTTTTAGATATATACTTATAAGACCTGATGCATTGTTTGTAATATTTGCGAAAAGGATAAATGTACTGCCCTAGAACTGTATACATCCATCGATATGTTGTAGAAAATCTGTAAAAAAGAAATAAATAGTATTACATTTCATGCATATTTTACAAAATAAAATATTAGGTTTTTTTAAATATATGACTTAAAAAATCATTTTATTATAATTTACTTAAAATTATTTTTTACCTTAATTATTCCTGATGCATTTAATATTCATCAAAAGGATAAATGTACTGCCCTGGAACTGTATACATCCATTGATTTGTCGTACAAAAACTGTAAGAAAGAAATAAATAATAATTTTATTAATTATAATATAATTGTGGTTTGTTTTTTTGTTTCATATTAATTTTAAATAAATCTGAAAAAATATAGTTAGTATATTAATAAACATTTAATAAATTTATTAAAATTGCTTTTTACTAATAGCATACACTTACTTTTAATCAGATCATGGAAAACCCATCTCGTAAATCTGAATGATGGCCAAAAACATCAAAATTATACAAGGGGATATCCAGGTGTCTTCTTTTAGGTGGTCTTTATGTGCTGAGTGTGTATTATTAATATTCCTAAAAAAGAAAATTACAATTAAAGCATTATACTAAAACAATGCAAATTTGTTAACTGAAATATGAGGGCAGCGTATAATAAAAATGCAAAAACGTTTCTTTTCATCTGAAAGTATTATGTAATTGTTAAGATGTTGTTTGCCTATACGAATACACAGCTAAAAAACTAATCTTTAGGAATAAAAACATCCAAACTCTACCAAAAAAAAGGTGGCCCAAAAAAATACCAAATACCTCTAAATATGGAGCAAGATTCTAAGTTACTATGTTTTTAATATAAAATAGAGATATTGAGAAAAGTATCTATGCTTCGATATAATCGATTTTGAAAAAGAAAATTGGAAAAATGTATCAACTTTTAAATGATGATGTAATTGAAATATTTGAAAGCGAAATCTGCAGAAAACAGGGAAAATAATGAGTACTTACCATTTTCAAGAGATTAAACAAGCCTTACGGAACAGAATAAACTCTAACAGTGTACAGAAAAATCACTTTTTCCATAAAAAATCAGAAAATTATAAGAACGACATAATTAACCTGCCGTAAACAACAGAAAATGTGACACATGGTGACACACTATGGTGACACATATGTGACATATCTGGACATATCAACGTTGTCAAACTGAACACATGTAAAACTGGATGGTTATTTTTTGCTGGATAAATAATGTGTGTCTATAAGAAAATATGAATTTATTCTACTGAAACAACGTTTGTATTAAATATTTATTAGATTTAATATGATTTTGTAACGGTTCAATTTATTATAGACTTACAAAAATATTGATTTTCATCAATTTCAGGATTTCGCTGGTATCTTGGCAACCTTGGAAATACTTTAGCTCGAAATATTCCCACTTTGGCGCCACTTGCGTTTTTCTTCTTTTTTCTATTTCAAGACTTAAAAGAACGATAACCATAGAGTAAAAGTAACGTTCTTCTTCTTTTTAATATTTATGTTTGGAAACATGGGCAACCTCAGGTCTGCCATATATTTTCTCTTCTTTTTTTATATATGGCTTAAACTTATATAGATCATCCGGCCAATGTCCACAAAAAATAATCATTACAATTAATCTATGGTTAAATATTAGACAAAGATAACAACAAAAACAAACAAGGACAGTATCAACAAAGTTTAGATCATGACAAAATTTTTAATCATCTTCCAGTAACCAACATACATTTCAATGGAAAAAAAAAGACTATAGACCATGAACTGTCGCTAGAGTCATATTTTCTATACGATTTCGTAGTCAACATGTTTACTACAAGTGTGTTAACAAAAATTATGCAATCTTAAAACACTTTTTTGGACAAAAATAACGTTTATTGTAAATTAAAAATAATACAGTACAAATAGAAACAAAGACTTATCAATAAAAAGCTGGAAATATAAAAATAGCTATCAACAGATAACTTTAAATCATGAAAGACTGACCCTTAGCTGAAAACATAAATATTGTAGAGGTAGAAGTTTATATAAAAAAAAATCATTTTGAAACTTTATCACTCAAAAAAGAAAAAATAAGATTAATAAGAGATATTTAAGTATTTTTTAAGCATATATCGTATATATTTCTTCAAATTTAAGCGCTTACGAATCTTTACAGAGTTAAATATATTTGTAGTTAGTACCTTTCGGGAACTTGAACAAAAAATCTATACAATTATGTACGAGTATATAAAAAATTAAGTACTCTTCTAAACAAATATTTTTTTTAATTTTACATTAAGTACCTACAGAGAAGTTTATAAATGAATAGGACATATAGAAAAGTAAAAAATAATAGATAATGAAATCTTTTTTTTTAAACAGCCGTTTTTCTAATAATTTTAAGAACAAATGGAAGTGTTTTTAGTCTTCAGAGACAAAAAAGAGATAGAGACAGTGACAGGGCTTGAAAAATATCTCTTATTTGTTATGAAACTGTTCGATACAAAGATTGCAAGACCATGATCCCTCAGGTGGATTCTCTAGCGGTGGTGACAGACAGTACATGTGATAACCGCGATCACAGTCATCACAAAACAACAACTGATCCTATAATAACAAATAAATACATTATTTTTCCATAATTTTAAATATCAAAACCTTAGATCATAACATAACAAGACACTAACTTTGAATCTCGGCTTCGAGACTAGAAAAGTGACGTCATATCAGGGCTACGTTTTGATTTTACTGTTATTAAGATGATTTCTGGGTATGTACAGAGTGTAAAAGAGAACAGAACACGTTAATTAGCCCACAAAAGTTTTTGGTTTGTAGAAAATTAAATTCTGATAGAAAAAATAGTTTTTAATGTCAAGTTTAGACTATTTTACTTACGTCATTGTCCGAATTGCCACACATCGAGCAACACTTGCACTCGATGCACTGCCATCTGTATTTTTTGACGGAAATCTTCATGTTGTCGGTGAATTGAAGACATGTGGGGTGACCTAAGACAAAATATCGTGTTCCTAGCCACAAATCTGTTCATTTATATTTTTTGCAGAGCTAATAACTTATTTTTATAACAAAGTTTCATAGTCGATCACAAGAAAAATAAGACCCTTGATTTATCTGAACCTTATTCTCTTGCTTTAGTGAATTTTCTAATGTTTTTTCTTGTCTAAAAAAACTTACGACTTGCCGTACGACATGTCGTCTAGCCTGTGACCCGTTTTAAGACCTTTTGTGAACTTAATTTCTCGATTTATTAAACTGTTTATAATTTTTCACGTCGAACAAAGCTTACAAGTTGACACACAACATGTCGTATAGTCTGTGACCCGCTTTAAAAAATCTTCTGAATTTATTTTCTCGTTTTATCAAACTCTTTAATATCTTTCACGTCCAACAAAGTCTACGACTTGTTATACGACACGTCGTATAGTCTGTGACCCGTTTTAAAAATTATTTCGATTATTTTTAAGGGAAAATTAGGGGATAATGGGGAGGTTTTGAGTGCCGAAGAACAGGTACTTTCCAAGCAACGTTAATTTTTCTATTTCAACCTGAATTTCAATGCATCGAAATGAACACAAACAAACAATAAATAATGACTTGACTGTATTATTTATTCTTTTTCTTTTTAAATCGTAAATGAAACCACAAAAAGGTCAATGCATTAAAATAATAGAAAAATTCCAACGTGAATAAAATCTACACAAATATGTACTGTGAAAAGTGCACCAATTACTTCGGCACTACAAAAATTAAAACACTATTGCTTATGTCGAATGTCAAAAAGATTTATTGCACAATTTTTCTCTTATTTTAATATATTTTTTCTGTTTTTTTTTCAAGTGTATACAAGTAGTAAGTAAATCTTGGAAAATAACTGTTCTTATACAACACCCAAAAGATTTTTATTTTTTGGAAAAAAGCAAATTATATATGTCCTTACTCAAACAAAAAATATCCTACTTTACTATACACATTTTTTATCTCTATAGATATACAGGGTGTCCCAAATTGAGTGTAAAAGAACACATTTTTTTAAAATTTAAATATTAAACTCTTTGTTTCGTACACCCTGTATCATTACGTATATGTGCTAGCGAGTAATACAGGATGTTCCCTAACAAATCTAAAGCATTTTAAGAGACGTAACTTCATTTTATATATACAACATGATCGAAAATAAAACGGCGTCAGCGATGGTTATGAAATGAAGATCGCTGTCATTTTATATGTAAAATTATATGGGAAATGTCACTGATGTTCATTTCCAAGTCAACTGGACGCCGTTTTTTTCGATCACACGGTATAATAAAATGTAAAAAAATATTTCAACAAAGAAAATCTAAAATTGAATTCTTGTTAAAACCACCTCTTGAAATATTTCAGATTTATTTCAAGAACATTCCAATGTAGATTGTAAAATGCGAACTAAAATTACCATTAAACTATTCACAAGCATTCTTCACTATACCGTATGTCTTAAAAATATAATAAATATTTCTTATACAGGTCGAGACAAAAACACTTTATATTTAGGACACTAGTTTATCCAAAATCAACCAATAAAAGGTTTATTTAAAATACCTTTTACCCTGTATATTAGCCTAAAATATATGTATAATAATTAAACCGCAAAACAAAATATTGAGTATTCTAAGCTGACTCGCCCTGTATATGGGTAATAAAATCAATCTACCATAGAGAAATGTGCTATAGTGAACCACGAAAATATATACAAGGTTTTCAAAATTAAGACATATTTTGAAAACATCGTCCAAAAATTAAACAAAATTACAAATAAATAATAAGAAAATGCCCAAGTTATTTGGAAGACGTGCCTCTAAATTTTAGAGGTATCATTTGATTTAAATACTAAAAAATATTAAATAAAATATGTTTTTGGTTACCTCAGTCTCTCGTAAAAAGGTAATTTTATTTTTTTTTAAATTTTTACGTATATATGTATGTAAAGCATGACATTTTATATGATTATATTTATCTATATACCTCCTTTTAGCGGGAGATCTTTAAATCTAAGGCGATATATTAACCTATATCTATACGTATTTTGAATTGAGTTGCATAGACCAATATGAGTCAATTCTCTAAATATTACTGGTCTTCAAATTACATTAACTATTAAAAAAAAAACAGCGAAAAAAATCTTATCTAAAGGAACTATATAGCCTGAACATCAAAACTTTTTTTTAACCGAAAAACTGAATTTTTATTTTCGCATCCAAGAGATTCATTTACAAAAAATATCTTTTTTTTTTGAGGGATATCACAGAATTATATGAAACCAAAGTGTTCGAAAAATAAGAAAAAGTTTTGGCCAGATTTGAAATTTTGTACGTTTCAAGTTGGCAGCGCAGTTTATATACAGGATGCTCTCTATAAAATAACACTTTTTTTCTGAATAATTTAATAGATTTATTATTTAGTTCTTAAACACCCTGTATATATTGATAAACACTTTTAATTCTTTGATTAGTATATACAGGGTTTTTTTCACACAAGCGGTTCATCTAATAAACGACTTGTATAATAAACCCTGTATAGATTCTGATTCCTACAGGGTGAAGTTCGATAATTACCGAAATTAAACAACACCCTGTATAATAAATTACTGTATTATAGTACGTATATCGAAATTTGTTATACTATAAAATGTCGTAGTTAATAAAAATCATCCCTAGCTTAGATTTGATATTGTATGGTGTATGTTTTTTTTTCAATAGCGATATTTGCGCATAAAGTTAGTTTAGACCAAAGATATAGGGGTAGAAAGAATAAGCTTCGACCGGTAGGTATCGGATTTTTTTCTTTTCTACAGGGGAGATCGATAAGTTTTTCAAATATGACCGACAAAAAAGTTATAATTACTATTACTTTCTGATCTCCCCCTGTATATAGACTGAATGTCCACGTTTAGGCTCTTTATCCCTACCTCTATATCTCTCTGGGTTAGATCGAAAAATTTTGACTAGCAAATACATCTGACGTTTTATTAGCGAAAAATACGCGCGTCTAACTACAACAGCGCTAGAAAAGACCCTTTTTTAAATTTTTTAAACAGGAACCTTCTTTTTCCTACCCCTCTTGCCTTTTTCCTCCGTTTTAACTGCCGGCGCTGGCGCCTGCGCCTGCGCCGAGCTCTTACCTGATCGTCCACAGTCCGAACAAGACACCAACTCCTCCATTCCTCCAGTTTTCTTGTTCTGCGTCGAATCCCCTAGACAGAAATCGCAGTACGGACTAGGCGGGACCTTCTTGTCACCTCCCATCATCCCCATCATACCGCTAGGACCTCCCATGGGTTCCGGCGCCATCGGCGGAAGAGGCGTGGTCTCCAACGCCTTCTCCGGCTTCAACACCGGCATAGGCGGGTCTTCCACGGCGCTGCTCGAAGTTCCAGGCTGCTGAGGAGGCAGGTTCGGAGGTAGAGTGGGCGGAGCCGGACTCTGCACGTTCATTGGCTGCGAGGGCAAGGCGGGAGGAGCGTTGTTGGATGGGGGAGGCCCCGGAGACATGCCGGTGGCCGGTTGATTCGGCTGGCGACCTCGACGACCAGGCGTTCCTGTAGGCGTGACAATATCGCGGTTAGGGCGTGACTGAGGGACAGTGCGTCCGTTTAGGGGGTGACATGCCAAACAACATACATAACCGTGGAAATGTGCGTGTTTACGCTGTTATTTTCTACTGAGACTCGAAAGAGAGAAGAGTTAGTCTACTTGGTGCGCGTCTTAAAAAGAAATGTTACAGCGATACAAAAACAAAACGGAAATAAAAAAAATTAAAAACAAAAAGAGCTACCTGGATTGTTACTTAAGTTAAGACCGAATTCTACTCATGCATGCTCTACAAAACACACGAAAAAAAAATGTTTGAATGTGTCAAATCATTTTTTGACAACTTTGTTTGCGATGTACATATTATTTATTCGTTCTAACATAAGTGTGGCACTTCAATCAAAATAGCCAAAAAAACAATTCCACACTTTCTAATATAAATAATTTTAAAAAATAACAACAAAATATATTAAAAACAAAATAGTATCGAATGTTCACTTAAATTTAAACTTAAAGTTGGCTGTGAGATTAAGAACGTATATGATTGGTTTAGAAAAATATGCAGTTTGTTGATATGTTATGTACTTCCCTAGATCATCAATACTTACGTGGATATATCAACGTCAAAAAAATATGTAGGTGGCGTCACCTGTAAGTAGGAATCATATTGACATTATATATGTTTTGACATTGAAAAGTCAAAACATACTCATAAAATCATTTCATTAATGTCACTTTTTGTGCTTTTTGTATACTCTTTGATCCGTGATAATAAAGAGTTAATTTGGATTTCCGACGAGATATTTTAGATTCGTTTTCTTTTTGAAAGTTTGTTTTTGTAGTGCGATAAAGTCAGTGGATGAATAGACTAATAAAATTGTTACACAGGGTGATTCTTAACCTATACGCATAAAGTTGGGAAATTATTGCTAATGACAAATAATGACTAATAATGAAAAAAAAAGTTAGTAAAATATTTTTATTTACGGAGATAACAAACTATTTGAAATAAAAACAAAAAAACGTAGATTCCATTGAATTGAATGTGCACTAAATATTTTTATTTTGGGAGATAACAAACTATCTGAAATAAAAACAAAAAACGTAAATTCCATTAAATTGAAAGTGCATTTACTGATAAAGTTGATAATTTTTTGTGAAAAAAAACTCAAATTATTTCAGAATCTAAAAATATTTTACTAACATTTTTTTTCATTATTAGTCATTATTTGTCATCAGCAATAATTTCCCAAGTTTACGCGTATAGGTTAAGAAGCACCCTGTATGTGAAGCTGTCCGTAATAGGAAAAATATTATCCTTAAAAGAACCCCACAACAGAAAGTATAAAAACCTTTGAAGTATGTTCTATATTTTTAAAAAACAAAATTTATTTAAAATCGTTTTTTAAACCGACTTTTATTAAGCGAAATATATATGTTAGGTAACTTAATCACTTTAAACATTATTAGGTAATTTACCTTTGAATTTTTTTTTCTCTTTAAATAGTTATATAATTTATATATTTATATTTTCTTTATGACATACATATACACAAAAAAAAAGACAGACGATTGGTCAGTCAGTGTCAAAGACAAAGATAGGTGTGTCTTCAACAAAAACTAAGCGAATTTACTTATCAACGAAGTTTATATGATCTAAGATAATTCCCATTAAAATATTTCCACTTTATCACAGACATACGTCCCTAAAAATCGTCACAGCCAACCCTCCGTTAAATTCGCGGGAACGTCCGACACGCTGAGGCAAGTACCGGGTGTCTGGTTCAAAAACGACACATAGCTGTCTTGATAGACCTGTCCCAGGGCCGCCGCCGCCGCTGCTGCTGCCGCTGCCGAGCCCGTGGTGGGAGGAGCCTGCCCTGCGACCGCGCCCTGAGCCGGCGCCGTGGAGGCGGGACCTTCCGAGGGAACGGCGGGATTAGGCGGAGCCGCCGCGAACGCCGACTGAGCCACGCCCGCCGCGCCACTGCTGCCGCTGTTGCTATTGGGATTGGGCGGGACTATAGGCGAGGCCGTGGCGCTGTCGCGCGAATTTTCGTCGCTAGCGCCGTCTTTGTGCGAGTGGGCGTAATGGTAGGTCAGTCCTGGGCGGGTTTTGTAGCGCGCGCCGCACACTGAAAGAGAGACAGACAGAGGATGCCGGTGGGCTGGGTCTTGTTTATGTTATTTTGAACGAATTTAACGCTGGCCGGTTTGGAGAGCAAGTGCGGGCGGGGCTTGTTAAGGAACAGGTAAATAAGGAGAGGACAGGTGTTTAGTGAGAGAGAAAAAGGACAGGAAGCGCGTTATTTGTACAAAAATGATGAGATGTATGAGAATGTTGAGAGCATGTTGCCAAGTGATGGAAGAAGATAAAAATGGCAAATCTTCTTGTCGCAACGGTAAAAATGTAACAGTCAAGACGGATCAACAGTAATATAAAGTTAGTACCAAATCAAGCACAACTAGAGAAAGACAAAACTACGAGTTTATTTTCAACCGATGTTAATATACCTAGAGAACAGAAGATTTTCATTTTTTACTTCCGCACCATGAGAAAACAGAATAGAAAGATATGTCAAATTCAGATATTGTATAAATTTTCTTATTAAATTTTATTTATTTTGTTACTACTTTGTCATATCTTTCTAAAAAAAGAATGAAGGTCAGTTTTAAGAAGGGTTATTCTTGAAAAACGAAACATTAGGATCGGGACTGGAACCAATAATATCTTTTTTTTTAAACACAAAATGGTCTCTATGTTCTACAGGTCGACACATGTATATTTAGGTTCTGTTAGTACAAAAAAAAACGAGATGTCAGTAGGAAAGATTATTATAGTACCCGACAGAGATTTCAACTAATCCAGAAACAGTATGTTTAGAACCCAAGCGCCTGGTACCCTGAACCCGAACCGAAGATTTTAAATCATTTGTTTTTTACAACCAAAAATAAATAAAAATAATAATTTTCCTACTGAACGAGATTTAATAAAACTACTACTGCGATTGTGGCCAATTGGGTGAGAAATGTCAAAGATTTAGACACTGTTGCCAGATGTCGTTTCGGTTCGAGTCCCTTGCCTATTAAACTGGATAAAATAGTCCAAGCTGAAGCGGTATCGAAGCATTTTATCGTTGGATTTTAGCTGCACTGATATAATTTTATTTACAAAAATAAAGAATTACATTTGTCAAGTCCAGTGCTTTTAATAAAATATCTGAAATTGTCTTAAGTATATCTCTAACTTGAAAATATAGAATATTTTTAGCCATTTTTTTGTTTTTAAACATTTTTATTTAACTGACTTATCCAAGACATTATAACCATTTTTTTAATCTCAGTATACCCAGAACACAGATATAGTCATAATAGGCACTGGAATTGACATATGATTATTTTTCATTCAAGAGAATAATTAAAAAATGAGTCATGTAAAATAAATAAAAAATATCAGTAAGCTTCAAAGTTGGAATTCTTTTTATCACTCATTAAAAAAATATCTCCAAAATAGAGAGAAATATATACAGGGCGAGTCTTAAATAAGTGCAAAAATATTTTCAGGGCTGGTAGATCTCGGAAATAAGTCCAAAATAAACGAAATATTTTACTTTTCCAAAAATTTTAATTTTCAAAAAAAATATTTTTTGCTTCAAAAAAAAATTCCTAAATATTTTTCAAAAACCAAATTCTCAATTTCTTTTTCGCGAAAAGAACCTAATAATTGTGTTTCTGAAGTCTAATTATACAACCCCTAAAAATATTTGCACTTATTTAAGACTCCCCTGTATAAAAAAATACCCAAGAAAAAAATTCCAACCGATTTTAAATTTTTCTTTACACTATTAAAATCTACTTTAATAAATTAAATTGCTTTCATCGGGCATGCTGATGCAATGTAACTGCAGTTTTTATGTAACAGTATCATATTCTTTAATTTGTGAATCTCAATTAGCAATTAAAAAAAATCCTTAATATACAGTGTTGCTCATAAAAGCCCAGAGGCAAAGAAGAAATTTCTTTACTGCCCAGTATATTTGATATTTTTTCTATAATACTATAAAATGTCCAACACGGTTTAGTAATTCAATATTACATACAAAAAAGTTTTGAAGCACCCTGTATACTCCGAAATAATTTCAAATTATATATTTCAACATTCTCTAAAAATGTTCTATTTAACATATTTTCGTAATTCGCAAAACAACAGAGATAATGAACTTTTTATTGTTGACTCACTCTGTATCTAGAAAAAAATATGCTATAATTTTTCTCAAAAAAGGTACTATCCCTTTTAATATAAAATTCATTTGATTTAATTTTATAAGACTTTTATAAAAAAATAAATAAAAATATTGGAAAGAAAAATTTGAGCGACACTGTATATTATTTATAGCATTAAAAAATAAGTCAGTGTTTTAAAAATCTATAATATCCCCCTGTACCATTTAATTAAATAAACTTATAGCAAAAAAACCCTCTCCAATGAACATACAGAAAGATTATTTATTAAAATTAATATTTCAATAAAAATCCCAATTTTTAAATAATCAAATAAATAAACTCCAAAAAAAAATAAAATAAATAATTTTAATAAATAGTCTTGCTTGTATTTGTTTTAAGAATATCCAGAATAAAATAATAATATATAGAAATATACTGTATGTCGATTAATTGTGGTGCAATTATTAGCAAGTCTAAAATCTCAACTTACGTTCGCATGCAAAAGGTTTATCGGGATCTCCAGGAGTGGGTTCAAAGTTGTGGCCCGCTAGTGCCCCCTTTTTACCCCGACCGCGCCCTGAGCCCCTCTTACGGCCCGGGGTACTCGGCGAATCAGTACCGGAACGACCCTAGAACATCAAAAAATTATTTGTACTACTCTAAAAAAACCATATTATCTATTATTATTCGATTTTAAATTTTACGTATACTATATTTTTTAGCAAACTGTATATAAATATAACTTTAATTCTTAAAGTCAGTTTATTAAAAACTTTAGTGTTTGACTTATTATACAGGGTTAATTGAAGAGTTGTTTTTTACGCTATCTTTAAAACATCCTGTGCAATAATTTTTCTTACCCTGCCAGCACCCTTTCTACCCTTCCTTCTTTTACTGTATGTTTCCTCGTAATCCAAATCAGAATCTGGATCCGGTTCATCATAGGTATCCATTTCCAACATGTCTTGTTCATCATAAAACCATTCCTAATACAATACAGACTCAATGAATCCTTAATAAACACAAAAAAAATACAAACTCACCTTAGACACTTCTCCAGACAATAACTGACTATCTTTACTATCAGTATCCTGCAATGCCGGATTCTCTATCTGGCTAATACTGTGAATATCACTTTCACCATCGAGATATTCGGCATGCCTGGCATAAGCCCTGGCGTTCATTGTCAAGTACTGTCTCCTTTTCTTCCTCCAGCGTTGTCTGGGGTAGGAATAAATCTGACCAGGGAGGATCCCAGGCAGTCTTTGTCTTTTGTGCATGAATAGGGAGCAGTGGTTTTGAGCTACGCCCGTTTGGGTGTCTATAAAAGGCAGTCTGAGTCTTCTTTCGATGCATAGTCTCGTGTTGAAGTTGACCGAGGACTCTAGGATTTCTTTATATGCCGAGTCGTTGAAGAAACTGTAAAAAATCGATGGCTAAAGGTGATTGAACTGTAAGCGTCTTTTGATCGAAGCGAAACAATGCAATTTAGGTATGTAAAAACTTCAAAATATTGAACTATGATAGGATACACTGTAGTACATAATTTTAAGTATTAATTTCTTAGCTTACCTCTCGATTTTTTCTAAATTTGTTTGAGAATTGTTCGGAGGAACAACGGGCAAAGTTGTAGTTGCCATTTTTCCTCGCTTTTAATTTGGCATTGACAGGATTGACATGTCAATTTTGACAAGGTCGACCTTCGCACAGTTTTTTTATAAAAGCTTTAAAAACTACTCTTATTTTTTCTACTTTATCACAATTATCAGGTGAAAATTATAAAACTGTGTTAAAATACTTCAGTATTTCTACAAGATTTGTGCGATAACTTGTTATAAATTAATTATTTTAAAAATAAATGCTAGGCCCTCTGTTGAGCGTATTTTAAAACATATTTCAGCGCCCCCTAGTTAAGAACATCCAAACTATTTCTTAAAGAAGAAATCTTTTTAAAACTAATAATAAAAAGCATTAAAAAACGATGTTTATTTCCAATTTATCTTATCATTAACGCGACAGTATCAAAATTACATTGAAATATTTTTGTAGTGCTTAACAATTCTTAAATAAAATTAAATTAATCTCTAATGCATCGTTCTCCCTCTATTGAGCGGGTTTCAAAACATCATTCAGCGCCACCAAGCACAAGACCTCCGTACTATGCTTTAAATACAGAAATCTATAATATTAAAAAAAAATAAACATTAAAAATGTGTTATTTAAACAAATATTGAGCAAAGGAGAGCAGAATCGAAACAAACGGTATTATTACATTTGAATAAATTAATAAAGCTACAGAGTGTCTTAGAAATCGAATTATATTTAGTTTTAGATAGTGGATAAACAGGAACCATTTTAAATTCTTTTTGATTGATCCAGCGAACTCTAACCTGGGGCGTGAGAGTTCACTTTATTAAATGTTCTATTTTCAGGCCACTTTATCATTATTATTATATTTTCAGCTGCTTTCAGCCAAAAGAAAATGACGTTTCAGTAGTTTCTGCCAAATATTTCAGCGTTTCAGTTCTTTCAGTAAGTATAATTACTTATTTTTTAAATAGATTATTAACAATTTATAGTGTATTCATATATTATAGAGCTGTAATATTTAAATCATTTCTTCAGTAGTTTTTTAAACGTCGTCGGCGCAAAATAGATATATTTACAATGCAAATGTAATTCTGAATATATTAAGAAAAATATTCGTCTGTTTGTTGATTAAATTGTTAGTCATTTATGCAGAATATTTATTTGTTTACTAACTGAAAATGTAACAAAAGATGCGTGTTCGCCAGAATTTTATTAAATATACAGGAAGATACAGTTTTTTAATTAAGATATAAAATATGCGGTATATACATAGGTAGTTGCGCACTTTTTAAAAATGCTTTCATTGAACTCTTTTCTTTGGAGAAAAATGTATATTTACTGTAAGAAAAACTATATCTGATTGAATAAAGTTTTGCGCACAATTTGTTTGTTTGTTATTGTAGAATTCTTATAGAATTTAAAATCAATGCCAACCACAAAAGTGAGATTGAAGGATATACCTATAAACTTATTTGTGTCAATACCACACACTAGATTTTTAATTTTAAAAACACTTTAACGTTAAAGCATGCTTTAAATTTGTTTCAGACTAAATTTCTGTGACAATATTGCAATGCTTATGATTTTTCTTCATCATAATGGGTAAGTGAACATCCTTCTTTAATTTATTTTTAATTATATTCTATTGTTTAAATAAAAAGAGATTTAGATAATTTTTGTTATCAAGTGGTCGAAATAGGTATTGTCTCGTTCTGTTTTAAAGTTTATTGTTTTATAATGCAGTATTTTGCTGTTTTTCAATAAATATAATTTCTTTTTAGTTATAAGATCCATTATAGTTGATTATAATGTGTTTTTGGTATAAATGTAAGTAATAATTATTTATTAATAATCTCAACAGTATATACAGGGTTCCTGGGTTATAATCTTATCAATAAACATCCGGTTTAAAATATTATACAGATTTTCTTTTATATAATTTCAAAATTCCTAATTTTGTCTCCGAGTTTTTCTCAAAATTTTCAAATATTTTGGTTGATATGCAACCAGAAATACATGCGATATTTGAACCAAGATTGTTTCATAAAAATTAGGCACCAGTATGTATTTTCTTGTAAGTTTAACAAAATATTTAGACCCAAAAACATTTTATTGGGCTTAAATATTTTGTTAATTAACTTTTAGGCTTTGGATTCGTCTTGTTTTGCGTAAAATAACAACATTAAAAGCAATTTAAATCTAAAAAAATACTTTATTTTTCAAAATACATTATGGTTTACCGTTTTTAAACAAAATACTTTGTGAATTTCTAGCTATACTAACTACAGCAGAGTTATCGCTTCTTTTTCTTTTTTTAAATTTAATAATAATTTTACTATTTTTTAAGGTAATTTTGAAAGTAATTAAAAAATCTTTTTAAAAAGAGACTTTTCCTGGACCACCACTGGTTTAATAACAATTGAAACCCAAATTTATCAATTAACGATAAGCAAATCAGCTATTTAAGCATATCCTGTTTTTGTTTGAACAATAGCTTTTTTTTCTCATTAAGTATCAGTTAATTTTCGACTGTACTGCATTTAAGGTACTTACAGTTAAAATGGAGATTTTTAGAGGTTTTTTCCTCATATTTTTAGCGCTAGGTTTCCAAGTAGCCGCTGGTAAACAGAGAGTTGGTACCGAAACACCTATTATAGGAGTACTATCTCAGGAAACCTATATAATATCCTCTTATTTTCCTAATGAGACGTACGATAGTTATATTGCCGCTTCCTATGTCAAGCATTTGGAGAGTGGAGGAGCCAGAGTAGTACCAGTATGGTAAGCAGTACTTTAATTCATTATTTTTTATATTTTTTCTGTCAATCCAAAGTATTTATTGTCAAATAACAAATTTTGAAAGACCTCACGTGATATTAGGGGCGAGGGGAGTTGGTCGAGACAAATCTCACGACATTTTACCAGTGCAGGAAGGGGGGGTATCAAAAAATCCTCAAAAACGCCCCTTTATGACATTTGGTGTTTTTTTTGTTTGTAATAATACCTTTTATTTTTTTTTCTTGGCCCAACTTTCGTAAAGCACTTTTACGTCTGAGCACAAAAGTACGAAGATATATTATTAAATTGACATAAAGTGTCAAATTTAACGAGTGTAACCATAGTTTATCGAAATATAATTACATACAAGGTATTACCAGTTTTAAATCTTTTTATATTCTTTGGAACGTTCGAAATTGTTTAAAAAATTATTTGTGGCGTTTGAAAAAAAAATAACATGTTCTATTCGGAGTAAAAATGACTTTGTGCTTCGCCTGTATATCTTCGCCTATAGATATTCGCAAAAAACAGTCATTTTTACTCCTAAAAAAACAATATATTATTTTGATTTGAAATTTTATTAATGTAAATGAATGAATTAAAAAAAGTTATTTATTAGGATTGGCCAGAATGAAGACTATTACAGACGAGTAGTGAACTACACAAATGGGTATGTAAAAATATTTTTTCCCTGATTTTAATAATGTTGTACTGCTAGATGATGAAAACCTATACAGGGTGCTTCATAAATAAATCCATGTATGGACTAAAAACTAAAAACATATTTTTTCTTTACCCTATGAATTTTCGTCTTTGTTGTTCTTTAATACAGCTGAGGTAGTGTTCTTTATGACGATTGAATTAGCCTGTAGATTACTCTACATAGAATGCACCGTAGAATAAAACTGTGTTTGTGTATTTTTAGACTGCTTTTTCCTGGTGGTGGAACTTATTTCAATGAAACTGGTGGTTATGGTGAAGCAGCCACCCATCTCTACAACATAGCCTTAGAATACAACGATAATGGGGTAAAAAAATAGAAAATATACCTTGCTAACTTTTACAGATTAAAGATAAATAATTTAAAACTGAAATAGTACATTTTATTAATTTTTTTTTCAGATATATTATCCAATATGGGGTTCATGTCTGGGGCTACAAGCCCTCATGTACGCCGCCCTGAACGGTACAAAAGACATAAGGGTTGATTGCTCATTGAAAAATATAGCAGTACCTTTAGAATTCTCTGATGGTAACTTGTAGCCTTCAATACTAACGATACAGGAACAATCTCGTTAAAATCAACTTTTTTCCAGGCTACCAAAGCAGCAAATTGTTCTCTCTAGTACCTAAGGACGTTATTCAGACGCTGAAATCGAAAAACTGCACGTATAATCAGCACAGGTACTGTCTAACTAAGGCGGTACTCAAAGAGAACGACTTGCTCAACGATTGGAACATCTTGGCTACGAATAAAGATGACAATGGATTAGAGTTCATAAGCGCGATGGAACATCGCAAATATCCTGTTTATGGTATGGTAATCACATATTATATGATATCATATATAATTTATATATGAATCATATATAATTTATATATGAATCATATATAATTTATATACGAATCATATATAAAATATATCCTATATAATATATACATGAATCATATATAGCTTTATTATGTCACACTTAATTTTATATACGGTATCATATACAGGGTGCTACAAATTCGAGGTATGAGCATTGATATCTCGGTAACCGTAATAGATATGAACATAGTTCAATTGGGGCAAAGTTGCCACTTTGGGATGTTCACCAAGGTGCCATCAAAAAAGTTTTAAAAATTTCAAGGATTGCTGAGTTTTTTGTAAAAAACGGATTTTTTTGTAAATCAATTTTATTTTTTCCTATCGTTACTTTTTATAAAATCAAAAACAATACATACAATACATTTACAATATTTATTAGCTTTCAAACCTAACTATAATATAAAATAAATAATATAAAAATAATATAATATAAACAATCAAATCATTTCCCCGGAAGAGAAATGGTAGAAGGTAGAGGCAGTATAATGGCCAGCGAGGCTCCTGGACCTCTCGCCAAGGGTTGGAGGGGGGCATTAGTTGACGTTATTTGTTAAACTAAAATCAATACATCTCAACAATTTTAATCAAAGTACAAAATGCATTCGGAAGTATAAGAAGAAGATCTGTTCAAAGAGCTATAAATAAAATTGAACGAAAAATAAATTTGTGCAATAGGGAGGGTGGCAACCATTTCGAACATTTAGAGCATTAGCACAGATTAGGTATCCTATAAGTATAAAATAAAAATCTTGTCCCTAATTCGTGGTAGGAAAATTGTTTTTTTATGACGATGTGCAAACGAGTTAAATTTCCTGTGTGCAAAAATAAACTCGCGTAAAATAACAATAAACAGCGTAATAGAGAGATATCGCTAAACCGAATAGCGTGCATGGACGTTAATAAGGCCAGGTGGTATTTCCTTTACGTGAGGTGGTATTAACTCTCTTCATTTATAGTTATCGGATCGGAAAGAATTCTGATCGCGTCGCGTCCGCTATTTAAACTTAACCTAACTTTGAATTTAAAACTTTTTTAAAACTAAAGGGCTAAAGTGCTTATTTCCAGTGCTATATTGTTCAACGTCTGCCAGTGGGTTTAGGGCAACAAGCAACAAATTCTCTTAGAGGGGCTAAGTCGTCATCTGCTGTAAACCTAAGACTCTCTATAGGTTCTTTAGTATCGGAAGAGGTGGAATCCATATTTTGGGCCATATTTATTTAATTAAAACTAATCCCAGCTACTTAAATATCAAATTACCTAATAAAACTAAAGCAATAATTCAAAACAATTCAAACATAACCTAAAATAAAAGATCTCGCCGGCCGGCTCCGTTTGTCAAAAACCCGCACATGCCCATTTAAGCAATTTTTAAACGTTATCAAAGGTTATTTAGAAAGAGCGCTTGGTGTAATTGATCCGCAAATTACGTCAGGCGGTAACGTTATTATAATAGCGGGTGTTGCGTTAAAAATTGACTCGCGCATATCGTAACCATGATAAGGTACACGTAAATACTGGATGACGCTATTCGGTTTTGCGATATCTCTCTAATAACTGTGCCGGTCAGGCGCTGTGCACAATTTTAGAGGCCATAAGTGGGCGTGCTATGTGCGCAAACTAGTAACCTAATTAGTGCCCGATTCCGAAAATTGGAACCACGAAAAACAATAAAGAAAAAACAAAGATTATAATCTGTGGCATTAGAAACTAGTCTGTAGAAGTTGATTTATTTATAATAACTACGATTAATATGTTGCATATTATATTTGAAATTTATGAATTGATATTTATTAAAAATAATATCTTTAAATTGCTGACCTGGATATTATTTTTTGAATCTTTTAATTGGCTCGATTTTCCTAATTCAATATTAATTAGCGCTGATCAATATTGTTGCGATAAATATATAATCAGATTACATAATTTAAAAAACAGAGCCGGACTTGAAATTAGTATAAATAATTAAATAGTTTTGTTGTTGTTAAGGTACCCAAAACAAAAAAAAGTATAAAGTGTGGCATATCGTTGTACTCGGGAGACCGAGTTCTTTAAAAACCTGAAATAAAAAATGCAGGTCCGTATTTAAAAAAATTAAGTTGGCCTCTGTATCTCACAAATTATCAGTTAATTTGAAAATCTAAAAATACCAACATATAGTCCTAATAAAGTGGCTATGAGAATGTGCAATTAGTTTTTTTAATTTTCTAAAAAGTAACAACAGGAAAAAATAAAATTGATTTTCAAAGAAATCCGTTTTTTTTCTAAAAAACTCAACAATCTTTGAAAATTTTAAAACTTTTTTAATGGCCTCTTGGTGAACATCCCAAGGCGCAACTTTGTCCCAATATAACCATCTTTGTATCTATTACTTTGTATGCTCGTACTTCGAATTTGTAACACCCTGTATAATACGATATACTCTTTGTAGGCGTCCAGTTTCATCCGGAGAAGAACCAGTTCGAGTTCAAGAAGGGTAAGGGCTTCCCCCACTCGTTTGACAGTATAAAAACCGCGCAGTATTTTGCGAATTTCTTCGTAAATGAGTGTAAGAAGAACGCCAATGGATTCAGCGACGAATCAGTAGAATCCGAATCCCTGATCTACAACTTCAACCCGAAATACACGGGCTTGAAGAGCGCCTACTACGAACAGCTCTACGTGTTCCTGAAGGAAGATTTCAGGAAGCATCAGTTGCTGTGACATTAGACTGTATTTTATTTTGTATTGCTTGGTCAAAAAGTGTAATGAATCTTTTTGATCACACTGTAACTTATGTACGTGATATTGCTGTGCTTTGTTGATATACTCATACAATTATGTTTTGTAGTGTTTGATGATTTGCCCCTCCCCCTTGTTTACTTTCGAAATCATATACTGTATGACCGAAAAAAAAACGGCGTCGGAGTTTTCAGCCAAAACGGCGATCAAAAAAATGACGCCGTTTTTTTCGATCGCATGGTATAATCTACTATCATATATATTATATGATAGATACAATATCACATAATAAGATATACAGGGTCGCTGTAAGGTATGGAAACGGTAAAAAGTTTTTTAAGTATAAATTTAAGTATACAGGGTCGATCATAAAGTCGTGGAACATCAAGGTGTCATTTTTTTTAAATAAAACCCTCTGTATATTATTGCATATTTCGGTTCTTCCTATGGATCCGGATATAAAATCGAAATACACACAATGTACCTCAAACCAACCGTTCCCAATTATTGACTTTTGAAAATATCACTTAAACATTACAGTTGAGGGTTGGAACCTTTGGTGTTACACAGCAAAATAAAACACTAAATCACCACAATACACCAAAACACTTTTACTTTTACACTGGACGGGCGTTTCGTTAACCATGTTAGCATCATCAGCAGATGATTATAAACTAAAATACAATCTACAATTGGAGCGTTTATATACTCGCTCAGTGGGCACAGAGTGGGCGTGGCAAAATCTAGCCAACCGAGTCAGAGCCAACTGAGCGTAACAGTTAGATTTCCGCCACTAGAGTAGTAGGAACAAAGAACTTGAAGGAATTGGACCGTTGTCTCTGTTCATACTATCTTTACATTTATTAATTCTGATGCTTTCATATGCATCTAATTGCCTGTAATTTGAGACTTGTTTAACTAATTTCAAGTTATTAAGATCTATACAATGTTCTTTATCAACAATATGTTCGACAACGCAAGATTTATCCGGTCTACCATATCTTATCTGACCTAAATGTTCTTTAAATCTAGTTAATATTGATCTTCTAGTTTGCCCAACATATTTCTGATTACAATCTTTACAAGAAATTTCATAAATACCTGACCTTTCCAGTGGAGGTGTTTTATCCTTTGGATTACCTAATAATGGTTGTAAGAAAATTACAACAATTATTCCCCCTGTATATTATTGCATATTTCAATTCTTTCTTCAATTTTAAGCAATAATCGTAATACACAATGTACATAAATTATTGTTTAAGTGATGTTTTCAAAAGTCAATAACTCGGAAACGGTTGGTTTGAGGTACATCGTGTGTATTTCGATTTTTGCTTAGAATTGAAAGAAGAACCCAAATATGCAATAATATACAGGGGGTTCCATTTAAAAAAAATGATACTTTGATATTCCACGACTTTATGACCTATCCTGTATACTTAAATTTATTACCCGCTAATAGACATTTAAAAACCCTAAATTTTTTATATTTAACTTTTTGCGGTACCTCTTATATTTTACCTAATAATCGACCGTTCCCTTACTGTTCCCATACATATCAGCAACCCTGTATAATATTAATAAAACATCATAATATTATATCATATAAAATTATATGATATTACACAATACAATAAATTTTCAATTACTCTCTACAGGGTGGTTCAAAAGAAACTGTATAATAACAATAGAATAAGTTGTGACGGTGGATAATATAAAACCTAGTACCCTAAAGTTGATATCGAAGAATCCAGAAGCGCTGACCAGCGGTTTTCTCAAAACTATCAGATCCAGCAGGATGTTGATTTGTGCAATCATTCTGGCATGATTTTCAGTTTCCAGAGATGCTGCGAGTTTATTCAAATTGTGGCAACACCGTCTGACAGTTTTCTTATTTTCTTTTTCGACATTCTCTCCCGAAGAGGCTAACAGGACAGCTAGAGCCTAAGAACAAGTCTAAATACCATACGATCGAAAAAAAAAACGGTGTCAAAGACGGCGAGGGAAATGACAAATTTTGTATTTTTTAGAGATTGACGTCGCTAAAATTATTACCGATTGTCATTCTCTAGCCGTCTTTTGACGCTGTTTTTTTTTCGATCGTACGGTACCATTTATTAAGTTATATTGTATATGATATGATATATAATATACAGGGTGCACCGAATTGTATTCTGGAAACTTTGGCAGCATATTCTGCAGATAAAAATAAGTAAAAAACTTCACATAAATCTATGTCCTAAAATCCTTAGTTTTGAATTAGAAATTAGTCAAGAAAGATTATAATAAGAATTGGCTATAACTCAGTAATTTTCCGAAAAAACTATATTATAGCTTATATCCCTGAAAAGCTTACAAAATGAATTAAAAATTTAGTAGCCCACATTCAAAAGAATAACTTGATATTTTTGATTAGCCCGTTTACGAGTTATCGCCCTGTATTTACTTATGAGCACCAGTCAAGGTAAAAGGTAACTGTCAAATGAAGTTGTCATTTCAGAAATTTACCTATTTAGTGCTTTATTATTATTGAAAACTAATTCCTACATCGGAAATCTTAAAGATGTATTTATAAATACAAATTAATGTGAATTAAAGTAAAATAAAGTAATCAATTACAAGGTTAATTATAGTATTATTACAATATTCAATAACTTATTAATTTAGATACTATTAAATTGTTAGAACTTTAGGATTTAAGAAGATGTTCAAATATTCCTCCATCGACTGCTAGACAATAACCCAGGCGATCATAAAATTCTCTTCTTATATTCGCTAGTTGGTAAACTGAAATTCTATTGCATTCGGTAGAAATAGCATTTCTTAACTCGTCTAGATTTGGGTATTTTTTATCCTTGTATATTCTGTTTTTTAAATGGCCTCAGAGAAAGAAATCATTTGGCGAAATATCAGGAGACCTTGCTGGCCAATTTACTGTATGATTTAGATTATTACTGTACAATTTACTGTATGATGATTATGATGATATGATTATTTTTTTTGTATGATTTTTTTTTATTATTTTACCAATAACGTTTCCGTTAAAACTATTGTCTAAATATTCCCGAACAGCCAGGGTACTATGTACCGGGCAGCCCATCCATTTGGTACCAAACTTCCTGATTTTCCCTAGAGGCATCATGTAAAGCAGGTAAAATATGATTTTCGAGTAGTTCCAAATAATATTCTGCATTTAAATTTCGCGTAAGAAATAATGGCCCGATAATGTGTCCGAATATCCCTGCCCAAACATTTACTTTCTGTGGATATTGCGTCCTTGTTTCGACAAATCTGTGTTGTTTTTTTTTGTTCCTATATCGATAATTTTGAACATTGGGTTCATTATTTAAGGTAAACGTGCATTCGTCAGTGAAACATATGTTTTTTAAAAATTCCCTATCCGTGTTTGCTCTTTCCATCATATTGTTACGTTTTTCGTCGGTTCCGTGTGGGTAAAAAGTCACAATTTATTTAAACACTATTTATTTAACACTAATTAACAAAAACAATAACGATAAAAGACTTAAAGAACTATTTATAACTATATTTACAAACTTATTTATCTACCGTATTTATTTAGAGCAAAAACAAGAAGCCTCGACCGTAGCACACTAGTTTATTATCGTCTGTCCCTTGCGCACAATGCGCACCGGTGTCGGTATATATAGGCGTGCGACGGAGTCTCGAACGCTCTGGGCGGTGCTGGAAAATTCTTAGGCGCTGTGTTCTCGAATTTCTAGGCTCTTCTATTATAGGTCATATTAAAGCGGGACTAGTTTCGCAACAATATCAAAATAAAACGCCTGCCGCCGTATTTCGTCCCAATCTCGTTGCTCTTGGTGCTTTTCATATTTGAAGGAATAGTATTAATGTCGTTTCAAAATTCGAAACGCTGTAGTGTGATCTATTCCTATTTCATCCTCAAGTTTCCTTGTGCGGATCTTTCCATCGTTCTCTTCCACGCACAATAAAACTTCCCAGTCGATATCATTTCTTGCATCTTCTCTTTGTTCCTGCCTTGCTTCACATCTGCAGTTATTTATTAGGGTACCTTTAGTCTCAAATCTCTGGATATTCCTTGCGATTGTAGATTTTCCAGGTATCGGTCTATTCGGATACAGAGCAGCAAACATGTCCCACACCTTTTGATAACTATTTCCTTGATAATATCATTTAATCATCAATACTTTTTCTTCGGTAGTGTAATTCATGGCTAATATTTTCGATGTAGGTATGAGTTTTTAATAATAATAATAATAAAGCACTAAATAGATAAATTTCTGAAATGACAACTTCATTTGACAGTTATCTTTTACCTTGACTGGTGCTCATAAGTAAATACAGAGCCAGAAGAAAGGAGAAATATGTAAAAAGAAATCGGCGATAACTCGTAAACGAGCTAATCAAAAATATCTAAAGTTATTCTTTTGAATGTGGGTTTTAGTGCTCTTCAATAAACCTAAATAGAATTATTCTCTAAAATAATTGACCCCATTAAAATTTACATGGGATTTCCTATGTCCCGTCCGACGATGCAACACCCGGTATGCTAATGTTCAAATTTTTCTTACCATAGAGTTGACCATCCAGCAAACATAAACACTCACAATCCATTTCCCGATATCCACATTATCAAACGTGTCATTTCTGATGTGAAATTCCATGATAATCATCACACACCACAAGATATTCGTGATGATGTACATCACGGCGAATAGTATAACAGGTCCCAACATCTGGCTGAGCTTATCGACCAAATCACAGGCATCATTGTACTTCTTGATCGCTTCTTTAAGTTTCCTTATATATGCTTTGCTCCTGCTTTGAAAGGTTTCGGTCGAAAATATGGTAGAACTCCTTGAAAAATACGATTTTTCCATCGAGATCAGCATATGATTGACGTAAGAGAATTTGTCGGCTAATCGGAGTAGAAGGATAACGAAAGTGAAGAGTACCACTGAAAACACATAAAACTGCAGATCTCTCACCAAGTAGTATCTGTAATACCTCCAGCCAATGGTTTTTAAGAAAAAAACCATGTCGATTACAACCAAAAATAGAACTATAGCATAGAATATCTTCATATATCGACCCGATCGGGTTATATAAGCTTTTTTTCCGAGTTTTTGAATCAAGTTTTCGTGAGTTATGCTCTGGTAAAAACTTCCATACCTCTGATAGCTGATGTAACTGACTACGTTAGAAAGAGTCAGTGCAAAACTGGCATTTTGATCCACGAATTTTATAGCCGGATGAAGTTGAGCGTAGAGATATTTGTGTTTCCCATACGCGGAGTACGAATGGCTCACTATAAATGCAAGGATCATTACAGAGGTGAAAATAATGTTCCATCGTTTTTTTCGCAGAAAATATAAGCCCAGTCTTAGCAGGAGAGGGTAGTTTTTATGGTCAGACGTCATGGTTAAATGTACTTCTGAAAACAGAAATACTATGCAAGATTGTCAATAAGATTAAATAAAAATAATTGCCAGGCTGGATTAATAATGTTTAATAATGCAGTAATGATTTTTTCTGGATGACAAACAAAAGTACTTTATGGGTCATTATATATAAAATTGAATACCTATGCTAATTATATATTGATTAACATCTATTTCTCAAAAAATAAAACACATTGTTTACATTTTATTCCGGGTGTTTTTTAAAACTGGCCACCCATTTAACTTTTTTTAATTTCAGATAAAAAACAAGATTTTGTGTTTATGTATAAGACATAAATCAGAATTGATTGACGTGTTCAATTAATTTCCTCTCCGTCAATATATTATTACTTGATTATGAATTACATTTTCAAGCAAATATGTCAACTTTATTATAGTTAGTTATACAGGGTGAGTTTTCTACGATGTTCTCTATGAGTATCTCGGAAACTACTGGAGATAGAGAGTCGGTTAAATGGGAAAGAATTGCAGTTTTTTGGGGACATAAATATGCGCTTTTCAGATTTTTTAAAAAGTTCATGGCTTACTAGATATTTCGAAAAAAACAAAATTTGGCTATTTTAAAAATTGTCCCTAATTCCATTATAATCTATTTTAGACAAAAAGTTTTCAGATAAAAGTTGTAGATAATAACATCCTTATTCAGATTGTGTTCTACTTTTTTTTCTAAAGTCTGTCATTTTTGACATATGACACAAACTTATGTTTTTTTTAAATAGAAACCATAAAAAGCGCCATTTTTTAAGATTTTGAGTGATATAAACTATAAAATGTTTTTTTCGAAAAATTACTGAGTTATAGCCAATTATTCTTATCATTTTTAAACAATTTCACTTAGTTAGCCTGGGAAAAAAATGCAATCGTTGTTGCTCTCAGAAATGTCAAACTGTCACATCCAAACTTTGTAAATATGAATTTTTCAAATGAAGAAAAGCGTGTAGGATTATTAGTTCAACTTTTCTTGGCCATACTTTTTCGAGGATACGTTACATTTTTTGAGAACGGTTTTCAAGACATGTTAGAAAAATTAAATTTAGAGAAAACATGACTTTCATTATGACACTCCCACACATAATGAAAAAAATCTTAAAAATTATTTATATCTTAATTATTAATTAATTTATATTACTCAAGGATAGGAAGAGGTGGACCAATTGCATGGGCTTCTTTGATCACCTGACCTATCTAGTTTAGATTTTTTTTATGCGCTATATTTTTTGAATATTTTCTAAAATAACTTAAAGTGTATGTAGTAATATTATTTTTTTAAGTCTAAGTTTGTGTAATGTTAATTTGTAAAGAACTGTTTAATAAAATATTCTGTCTTTTTATAAGTTATAAATTATAATAATTAAATAAATAACATAATAAAAATACCATGCTAACTAAGTGAAATTAGCCATGAAAGATTATAATAAGAATTGGCTATAACTCAGTAATTTTTCGAAAAAAACATACTATAGCTTATATCGCTGAAAAGCTTAAAAAATGGCGCTTTTTATGAAGTCATGGCCTACTATGGTTTCCATTTAAAAAAAACATAAGTTTGTGTCATGTGTCAAAAATGACAGGTTTTAGAAAGAAACGGAGAACACAGTCTCAATAAGGATGTGATTATCTACAACCTTTATCTGAAAACTTTTTGTCTAAAATAGATTATAATGGAATTAGAGACCATTTTAAATTTTTTTTTCGAAATATTGTCACGGCCCATTTTGTGGGTTATGACTAGGGGCATAGCAAATAATAAATACTTCAATTTAACTTAATAATCAATTTAATTAATCTACGAATAATACAATAATTATAAAACTAAATGTGTACTTACATATTATATTTATGGACGAACATCATCACTGGCTCGGGGGTAGTGTCAGGGTAGTGTAACGCCAATGCCGGAATCTCGACCGCGACCTTATCGAACTTTACTATCGACTATCGACTGTGGACTGTCCCCCAACAGGTGACATTTTTGTATTTATTGGTTCGTTACGTCGAATCATCGAATCAGCATTATTGGTCTATCGGTGCGATGACCGGTGCGATGACCGCGTTAGTGCTGATTTGATGATTTTATAAATTCGTAGTATTGAAAGGAAATATTTTCGCAATTGCCAATTATGCTTATAACTTTGATTTTTTAAAACTTTACTTTTGTTGCGTAAATGCCAATGAACTTTAATTATTTTATACTTCCTTTCAATCGAATTATTAATTTGCGAAATATATTAATATTAAATATGTTATTTTATATATCGAATAATTCCATCCTTGACACTTCCCCCGCACCTCTAAAGCTGGACCCCAGCGATAATTCAAGATTTATGAAATTATACTTTTTAACAATAATTATTATACATTGCAATAAATTGTGCTTAACGTTTCATAATAAAAAAATGTTTTAAGTATACAATATTAAAAAAAAATTAAAAAAAAATGTTTTTAAAGAAATTACTAACTAAAAAAAAAATATAAAAAAAAAGCTTCTCTATAAGTTTAAGGATGGCGATTAGCCGTTTACATATAGACAAAAAAAAAATGTCTTTTAATACTGGCACTAACGTGAACTGCACAATACCTATATAGTTTTTAAGTTTCAATACTTTGCACTGACTTCGTTCATAAAACACCCACCCACAAATCTCGTCGGCTGCTCACGGAGGCTGAAAACTGAAGTTTTGATTGTAGTATCCACCTTCACATCATAAACCTAACGAATGCACACATGCCTCCCGTTCCCTGCACTTTGAAAAGCTCTTTGTTTTGGTAAGCTGTTTCTCAATACTTGCGTCCTTAGGGAGTTGTTTCTTGATATCGGTGTAGGCTGACAATGAAAACAAAATTCCAGTATGATTTTGTTTGTCATCTGGATTGGCGTCGAATTCATCTTTCGAAGAAGAGACCAGTTTTTAGACAAGACAATAACTCTTCCTGTAGCTGCTTATATCGCCAGACCAAATTTGACAGCATGTTCTGAACCCATTTTTGAATTGGACTACTTGCTTCGGACTGCATTACCATGGTGTACTGGTCACAAAGCTTCATAAACAAGGGTAGGCAGTTTGCATCGTATAGGCATGATGGTGTGGTACTACATTCTTCTTTCTCCTTCAGGGTTGAGTTCATACGTCAATTCTTCTCAGTGGTGTTCCTTGACTTGTTGCTTGGTATTGGCAGTTTTGACCAGTAATTACATGAAAAAAGAGAACAAAGAGTAAATATGTGCTCTTACTTACAGCTTATTGTATTAAATTATTATGTCGTATAAACTAGTTCTTAAAGTACTTAATCCTATTTTAAGTTTGTTTGTTTAATTTTATTTTTCAACCTAGTTCAGAATATCATTTTTTTTTCTTGACGGCAAGGGAGAATATAAAAATTTTATATGATTGGGCGTAAAACAAACAATAAACTTATATTTTCGTTGCAAATTTGTAGGATTTATGAACACTCCTACCTAATTTGTATGCCCTCTATCTCCTACCTACATTTGGGTTTATAATAATTTACTTTATTTCTTTTTTTTTTATTAAGCGCTAAATAATTAACTCTAGTGGTTCAATACTTTTCGTTTCAAATTGATATTTGTCCTAGAGTTTGCGCGCAGTTAGGGTTAAATATCAATTTAAAACCTACACACTAGGGGAGCTCCAATAATACATGTCATTAATAAAGACATCATTAATATTTTATGTTAAGAAAAACATATCTTTTTTCCAATTATTTCAATATTCCATCTTGATTTTATTTTGAAGAAGACTAACTTGGGCATACAGAGTTGCCTTTCCAATACACGTATACACAATACTTATTCTATTTGTATGCATTCAATAGTTGCATTTATTTTATCCCCAGGAGATAGAGATAGGAGGTTCTGATTATCATTTGGCTCTAGATTATAATGAAATGTTCGATTTTCGCTAGATACGCAAGAGAGTTTAATATTTTATTTTCATTGTTAAAATTACATCTATTTAAATTTTTAAACGCCTATTATTTTGCCTTTTAACTTTATAAAGTAATGCCAAATACAGTAAATAACTAAACATAAAAAGAAAACAATGAAAAAAAGTGCAAACTAGCCCAAAAAGTATGTCATGAGACGTGTCGTGATCAAGTTTCGCACCTTGACCGTGAACCATTTGAATTAATGACGTTGCAACTGCTAGTCTATTACGATTACATAAGAGATATATTACTAAGACAGATAATACGATATTCCATATCATGAATAAAGTATCACTGTGAGCGCCATAGGTATCACTATAAGAATCAAATATTGGAAACGAATTTTTAATTGAATCTATGACTGTATCGATATTAGTTTTAGTTGAGGTTAAGTTGAGATGCGGCACCTGAAGGGTCCAGTTTGAATTTAAACATTCAGATAAATTTTTGAAAGTTGGAGAGACGTGTAACATCTTTGGTTTAAGAATAAAAGATTTTAGATTTGACCAAACTGCAGGTATAATATGAACTACGTTTGTATTGAAATGGCGCCTCCACCACATATGTCACGGCCCATTTTGTGGGTTATGACTAGGGGCATAGCAAATAATAAATACTTCAATTTAACTTAATAATCAATTTAATTAATCTACGAATAATACAATAATTATAAAACTAAATGTGTACTTACATATTATATTTATGGACGAACATCATCACTGGCTCGGGGGTAGTGTCAGGGTAGTGTAACGTCAATGCCGGAATCTCGACCGCGACCTTATCGAACATCAATTCTCGACTATCGACTGTTCCCCCAACAGGTGACATTTTTGTATTTATTGGTTCGTTACGTCGAATCATCGAATCAGCATTATTGGTCTATCGGTGCGATGACCGGTGCGATGACCGCGTTAGTGCTGATTTGATGATTTTATAAATTTGTAATATTGAAAGGAAATATTTTCGCAATTGCCAATTATGCTTATAACTTTGATTTTTTAAAACTTTACTTTTGTTGCGTAAATGCCAATGAACTTTAATTATTTTATACTTCCTTTCAATCGAATTATTAATTTGCGAAATATATTAATATTAAATATGTTATTTTATATATCGAATAATTCCATCCTTGACAATATCTAGTAAGCCATGAACTTTTTCAAAAATCTGAAAGGCTTATATATATATGACTCCAGAAAACTGCTATTCTTTCTCCATTCAACCGAGTCTCTATCTCCAGTATTTTCCGAGATATCTACCCATAGAGAACATCGTAGAAAACTCACCCTGTATACTCTATTGATATAAAAGAAAACAAAAAATATTACATTTACAGTCAATTTATTTTAAAAAATATATATTTTTTATCCAACGAAGTACTCAGTTACAAGTTAAGTAGATATAATTTTACAAAATCAACCTAGAAATTTAAGTAAATAAATTAAGGAATCAACAAAAATTTCTTTAAGAAACACAAACAACTTCCAAAAAATCTTTGTTACTCGTGAGTCGACGATAGGTATAATTTTGAATACTCATGAGCAACAATTTTAGACTCTCTTCGGCCTAGCTGTATTTATTTTGTGTTATTGCCTACTTATACAGGGCGAGTCTTAAGTTTACTGCAAATATTTTCAGTGCTGGAATATCTCGAAAGGAATATATTTATTTTTTGAAAATATACCGGAAAATCTAAAAGAAAATGCACCATTTTCAACATCTTTTTTGCGAAAAAAAACTTATAGACGTGTTTCTGGGACCGAAATATATTCTTTTCATAGATTTTTATTTCTTTACTCACCACTCCTAAAAATATTTGCACTTATTTAAGATTCACCCTGTATATCCTAATTATCACTTTGTAGCTCCCTCTGTATATCTTCCAGAGTTTTTCCTTTGGTTTCCGGGACACAAAACACAACAAAAAACAATCCTAATACACAACACACACCAAAAAACAAAAACGGCACGTACATTCCGAATTGTTCGTTGGACCAATGAAAAACCTTCGATATTATAGTAACTATCACACTGTAAAAGATGTCAGCACCGCATAAAGCATACGCTTTCACGTCTGTAGGGAACATCTCTCCCATTAACAGCAAAGGAATAGTTTGTAACCCTATACTGAACACTGTAACATAACATAGCAATGCTGCTAAAGGCAGGAAGTTCACGCCTGAGACATCTACATTGGTAGAGTCTTTTAAATAGAGGTATATTCCGTTTGCAAACAACATAATAGCTGTTCCAATAAAGGAGATGATCAAAAGAGGTCTTCTGCCTGAGAAGTCAACGATTATTGAAGCTAGAAATGACAAAACCAGCTGGACAGAGAAATAGATAATAGTAGCCGAGCTTGGCGACATGAAATCGCGGGATTCTTTAAAGATTTTCTGACAGTAGAATATAATCGCCGTCGTTCCACTCAGTTGCTGGAAACCTCTAAGTCCATAAACTATGATCAAGGCTCTTCGGTTGCTCTTGATTCTCACCAAGTCCAAGCATTTCCCTCTGTTCTTGTTTTGCTCCCGGACAGCGTTCTTAATTCTGCCCAATTCGGCTGATACGTCTTCGAGACCGCTGAACTTTTGAAGGCTTTTCTTTGCTTCAGCAACCTTTCCTTTCATGAGGTAGAAGTAGGGACTCTCTGGCATCCAGATAAAGGTAATAAACAGCAAACTTGGAATGATCGTGCTTACGTATGCTGTTGTGGGAATGCTTAGGTACGATCCCAGGATGTTTATAAGTAAAATTCCGAAAATTATACAAACTGGACATACCGAAGCTATCAAGCCTCGTATCTGGGGGTCTGCTATTTCTCCCAAGTACATGGGAACTGCCGTGAATGACAATCCATCTGTCATTCCGACTACGAACCTTGAAATGAACATGACAGTACTGGATTTAGCCAGCGCTATGCAAATCCATGATGCTATGAAGGGGAATGATGATAACAGGATGAGTCTTTTTCTGCCTACTATGTCTACGATCATTCCTGTGATGAGGGCTCCCAGGATGGCTCCTAGGAGCGGGGAGACGACTAGCCATGAGCTTTCTTCGCTTGTCACTTTGAAGGTGTAGTTTCCGCTGACCAGGATGGGTAGCGATGGAGATGGCCAGCCGTAGTTCATTTCGCTGCATACGATGCCCAGGTTTGCTGCAAGGAAATTATAACTTTTGGTTAGTTTATATTGGTACGTGCTGGGAACTTACACTTACTTATAGAACTGTTTGGTTAGATTTTGCTTTTATATGGTCTCTGATCAAATTATAATGAAAGTGCTATAAAACATTGTTTTACTAACTAATTACTAAAAAATTTAAACTTAAATTGGATAATTGGAGATAAAAAATGTATAGAAATTATGTCACCTCGACGTATTATGGAAGAATTATTTATAGTTTGGGGGGCATCGCGCAAGCCAATGTTTAACTTTTCATAAAAAACTACTATTTATTTAAAATATTGAACTAAATATATGAGTGCTAGATAAATATTTGGGAATGACAAACGGGGTCCCTTTCAGTTACTTTTGCTTCTATCACGAGAATCGGCTGCTATTGGTTAAAAATGACGAAAAAAAAATCTAGATGGCTGAAAATGGGTACATTTATGTAAAATTAGGAAATAAACAACTTATTCAAATAAAGTTTTTCCAGAAAACATATTTTTCAGCCATTTATTTCTGTAAATGTCAAATTTGACAGATACAGGAGAGAATAGAGTAAATTTTCTTATGCCCTAAGTCAAATTTCACTAAAGTCAATAAATAAAAAAAGTCCCATATGCTATGCGCACTTTATCTGTGCCACTGTATATACTTTCGGCTCTAGGCTGCCATCATCTTGTTCACCCTGTACAGGGTGGGTCAAATTCGGCGCTTTTAAATGGAAACACCCTTTTCTATAGGAGACAAAAACTAATATCGGTGTCTGGAGCTCAATTTTTATCAAAAACATGATGGTGAAAACCACACATCAAGATCTGCTACCGTTTCGGAGTTACGGGGTGTTTTTCAAAAATGAGCATTTTTAACAAATCGCTGCAACTTTCTTACTATGGAAAATTTTGTATTTCTATGAAAACATTTCCAAAGCACCTTTTTACGTAGAATTTAATGATTTAAGAGTTATCAACAGAAAAAATGATTTTTTATTTGGGACACCCTCTATATTTTTAATTAACTGAAACGAATTTAAAATTACCTTTCCAAAAATATAGCACACTTGATATTTTGTTATAATCCCCTTTGAAATACAGAATTTTTAAAAGTTCGCCACTTTTAACTAGTAGGCTTTGGACCCCTTATTGATGATATGCCCTTAATGGAACTCGAAAACATATTTTTCCAGCAAGACGACGCACCGCCTCTGAACGCTGAAGTTATCAGCAATTTTTTGCAGCCAATTTCAAGAATAATTGAATAGCTAACCAAGATCCCAGCCGTTGGCCGTCGAGGCCGCCTGACTTAGTACCCATGGATCTAATCATATGGATATATTTGCGAAAGAATAAATGTTCCTTATTCTTTGGTATAATTTAGACAAGAATTAGAAATACTTAGCAGTTATGAGAGGGTATATTTCATAGATACTACTGAGTTAATGAATTCCGCGAGAAATGTTCAAAAACTGCCCCGTCTGTCCATAACAGAAGACGGTCGACTCATGTCTTGGTTTGCTATTTATTTTTATTGTTATTAGATATAGTTTAAATGTGTTGATGTTGGTTAAATATATCTTAAATTGTTATAAAATTCTACATCTCTCATAGCAAATATTATTTTCGTTTTAATTGATGCTCACAGCTAGAATTTTTTTTGCATTACAGCCGGTGCCCTTCAAAGTTCAAAGCCTACTTATTTAAAGCGGGCGAATTTTTATTTTTTTTACTCTTTATCTCGAAGAGGAATCGAGCAAAATATCAAGTGTGCTATATTTTTGGAAAGGTAGTTTTAAATTCTTTTTAATAAATTAAACATATACAGGGTGTCCCATATAAAAAATAAATTTTTTTGTTGATAATTCTTAAATTATTAATTTAAAAAAAATTATACTGAAACCATTAAATTCTACGTAAAAAGGTGCTTTGAAAATGTTTTCATAAAAATACAAAATTTTCCATAGCAAAAAAGTTACAGCGAGTTGTTAAAAATGCATATTTTTGAAAAACACCCCGTATCTCCGAAACGGTAACAGATATCGATGTGCGGTTTTCACCATCATGTTTTTGACAAAATTTGAGCTCCAGACACCGATATTAGTTTTTGTCTATCTCCTATAGAAAAGGGTGTTTCCATTTAAAGGCGTCGAATTTGACCCACCCTGTACATACAGGGTGTTTGTTAAATAAGTACATTGCAAGGTTTCGATACAACGTAAAATAATTGCACTTATTTATGGATACCCTGTATATATTTAAGAATCTGCTTATTAAAATATATCTAGCTATTTTTAAAGTAATTTTTCCAAATATATTTTTGGTTTTTAAAGATAAATGATATCGGCTTACTTCTGTTTGTTACAAAGTTCAAAAACTATTTTGGAAATAGGAATATTTTGGAAGAAGAAATTCTGATAATGAGTTAGTTGTACCAGTGAACGAAAATCATAGTATCATAAAATAAATAAGTCGAATGTTTAATTGAAAAAAAAAAATGAAAAAAAATATTATTGAGTGGTACTAGTCATTTACAAAGGTTAGAAACCGGATGAGATCGGATATTTTGTTGATAAGAGCTTGTTATGGCTGAGTATCGCGGTTCGGACCCAGTGTAAACACAGTCCGTACCAAACACTCTGTAGGTATTTTTTAAACCACCTTTTTTTTATTTTAAATTTAAGAAAAATATAAATTAGTAATAATCATAATTTTATTTTTTAACTACTCATTGTTCATGGCAATTGCGTAGAAACTGAAGCAAAATCTGAATAATTTTGTACAAAAAATAGTGTTTTCTGATGCATAAAGTTTTCTAAAATTAAAACGTCCAACGCAGTAGTTTGGTTTGACGACATTTTGGAAATTTTTAGAAACAAATTCTAAAATAAATTATTTAAATATATTACAAATGCCATAAAGCTTATTTTAAGTTGTTTTCTTCTCAATATAACTCATTGAAAACAATTAAAAATAAATGTAGAGCATTCCAATAAAGACATCTACTGTACGATCGAAAAAAAACGTCGTTAAGGACAGCTGGAGAATGATAATCGATAATAATTTTGTCGAGGTCAATCTACTAAAAATTGACATAAAACAAAATATTTTTTCTTGAATTTTAAATTATGTACATCAATTAAAAATCATTTTTACTCAGTATAAAAATACATTACAACTTTCTTTGGTCAATAAAAAAATAATTAAGAGTACGAGCCAATTAAATGATGTCCAGGGCTTGCCCTAGCCAAAATTATCATCGATTCTCATTCCCCAGCCATCTATGACGCCGTTTTTTTTACGATCGTACTGTATTAATTTGATTTATTTCTTTGGAGGCTTTGATTAGAAATGAGTAAAAAATCTTTTTAATTTTCAATGTTTTTTCTTATGAAATTTAGTAAATGAAAATATATAATAATTATTGTGATAGTGACTGTAGTTTGCGAAAAATATCTGTGACAATGTCAGAAAGACTTAATTTTTGAGGGTGCTTTTTTTAAATAGATTAAAAATATTTTATTTGTTATATACAGTATGTCCCCGGATTGTTTTAATTGTCGTACAAGAGAAAAAACTTTTCTATTTTTGATATTTTGAGAAAGTTTTTGCTTGTTTTAAAATGGTTAATGCCGTTTATACGTTTCCAAATTTCCATACCGTTTTAGAGAAAATAAAAAAAAACATAAAAATATAGTTGAATTTTTTCCAAAAACAAAACTAATTAAAGCCAAACCAAACCAAACCTACCTGTGATTGCCGCCACATACTGATAAATTCTGTTGCCATTTTCGTACTTCAGGTTGCTCGTGGATGAGATTTTCATAATTCCGGAATAACTAACTATACAGGGTTCGGTTGTTCGCCCTGTCTGTGTGCTAAATAGACTCACAGCGCGCGCGTGTATATTTACAAAGCAAACATAACGAAATATTTCGTTAGTTTGCGTACTGGACAGTCAATTGTATTTAATAAAAACCAATTTAATCGACACTGAAACGGAAAACGATATGTATGATATTCGTAGATGTTTGTGTGTCTTGCAGAAGGCTCTTAATTGTTTAGGACTTGAGAACTTGTGGAAATATACGCGGTGAGTCAGGCGATTCCATTGGCCAATTCATTTGCAGAAACACTGTTATCTGTGTGGAGTTGATTGGTGCTGATTATTGCTGACAATTACAGATTTTTTATGTGCTGATATAGCAGGGTAAATTTTATAGACCTAGGTATGCACCAGGAAATATACAACAAAGGGATATTAAAATTAATTAACTCTAACAAAAAATAATCTAAAATATGTCCCCGGATAGCCTTTACTAGAGGAAAAACTTTTTTATTATTAATATTTTGAGGAAAATGCGTTCTTTATCAACAATATTACTTGCTCTTAAATTATTATTCCCATTTATACAGGGTGCGTCGGGCATCTGTAGCTCCTAGAATAAAAAAAACTTGTGAATTTTGTTCAAGTCCAAACCTAAACTATGTACGAGGATGTATTTCAGGAAAATATTTTAACTTCTATAGGGTGGCTATAACTTCAAAAAAGTGTGAGTGGATCGGAATGATTTTTTTTAAATGGAACATCCTGTATATTATTGAATTTTTGGCTTCCTTTCTGACCACTTTACATAATCCTAATATATGAGTAAATATATTTTAATAGTTTCAGAGATATTAATAAATAAATAAAAAATATACATTTTTCAATCTTCCTTAAAAGAAATATTATAAATACAAGAACTGTCCTGAAATCTAAACGTTATTAGATATTTACTTTCGATGATCTATACTTAACTTTGCTGTAAATATCGTAATCTTAAATCATACAGGGTGTTGAAAATTCTACGCCAAACTTAATAAAATATAAAATAATTTTTCTTTGTTTTTTTTTAAATGGAACACCCTGTATATTATTTTTTCAATAGATGGAGAATTAAAAAATAAACATTTTTTGTATTTAGAGTATTTCAAAATTTTTAATAGTTTCGCAGATATACGCAGTATTATTTCATATGGTTCTTTCAACGATAAAATAAGAGAGAAATCATTGGGTGGCTCTAGTGGCGTTTAGTGGTCGTTAGTGGCTATTAGTAAGAAGTTTCACTATATATTATATTTTATAGTATTATATAATATATTTTTTTACGTGTAACAAATAGTTCTATACGCGTAAAAAATAGTTTTATGCGTGTAAAAAATAGCTTTTTATGTGTAATAAATAGTTTTATACGCGTAAAATAAAAAAATTAACAAAGAAATAATGACATATTTAAGATTATCTTTATTTTTACAATGACAAAGCGGCATTTTTTTAAATATACATATCTTCAAATAAAACTGCGAAAAATGGTCACCCTCATGTATTATTTGGGACACACTATACAGGATGGCTCAGAATAAAGCTCCATTTCAAGTTTTTAATTTGAGGTTTTCTTGGCAATTTCCCATCTAGTTTTGAATCACCCTGTATAAGCGATTCAAACAAATAAAAAACAATATACAGTTCAAGTTTTAGTTATTGTTTTATTATTATAAAAATTATATATTAGGTACTCTATTATTATATCTAACTTATATTAATACAAATACCGTATGATCGAAAAAAAAACGGCGTTCAGCTTGCTTGGAAATGACGATCAATGCGATCTTTATTTCATTGCCATCGCTGACCTGTTTTTTTTTTTATTATATTTTACATTCTGAAGCAAAGCAGTATTATTAAATCTTTTTAAAATTTGCTGCAAATATCAAATCATTTTTTTTTCTATACCAAAAATCACCGAATATCAAGTCTGTAAAGTTTTCTGTATATCTTCCAAAGTCTTGTTGTTGGTTTCCGGCACAAAAAAGTAATACAACACCAAACTAACCAAACTAAAACCGGTAAAACAAAACAGAGGAAACGATAAATCTATGGCATCCTTAGTGATTCTGAAAAACTGTGTTATAATTATAGCAAGAAATGCATAGTATATCGTAGCTATGCTTAGAGCTAGAGGTTTGAACTTGGGGTTGAAAATTTCGGACATAACTAACAAGGGAATGTTCCTTACACCTAAACTAAGGAAAATTACGTTTATTAGTAATGTTACTGGTGCTAGAATGCTTATATTTTCTAGATCAATGCTTGTGTAAGATTTGATGAACGTGTAAAGAGCTAAAACTAACAAAGTTAAAGTTGTGCATGATAAGGATACTAAAAACAAGGGCCTTCTACCAAAAATATCAACTATAAACGATGAAAATACAGAAAACACCGCTTGTAAACAAAAAAATATAATTGTAGCTGAGCCGGGAGATAGTATTTTATCGTTTTCTCGAAATATTGTTTGACAGTAAAATGTTAAAGCTGTTGATCCACACAGTTGTTGAACACTACGTAGTCCCAATGCGATTAAAAGTGCTTTTTTGTTTTCTTTGGCTTTGAAAAACTGTAAAAACTCCGTTTTCTCTTCTGTAGATTGTAAATTCAGTGCCGATAGTCTAGAAAATAAAAATTAAAAGTAATAATAGTTTTACTAAATACAGAGTGGTGTCTCTAATACAACGCGGAGGCTCCAAGGAGAATGACAGGTTGTATTGAAATGAAATGTTGGGAGCATATGTAGGTTAATTTAAAACATTTTATAAAAATACTAGCGTGTACCAGCGACTTCGTTCGCGTCGAATTAATCATTTGTAATGGTGATGATAAAGCAAAGCAAGAATTTCCATTAACATACAAACTGGATAAAATTTTCTCACATTTATGTCAGCAGGAGAAAAAACAATATGGCGATATTATTATATAACTTGGTAATATTTGAGGGGTAGTTTCATCTCGTTGGAATTTGACTTTCGAAAAATCCGTTTGCCAAAAATAAGCTTTTTACGTCAAGCAGTTTAAGCAGAATCGTGGTTAAGAAATTACCCAACTTTTTGGAACACCCTGTATGATGTTTTAAAAAAATTTAAAATATGTAAAAAAAACAAATAAATTATGCTTGTCCAAGCGTTTTCCCGAAAGACTAACCGTTTTTTAAATAACAAATATTGTAATATTTGAGGGACGTTTTCACCCCCTTGGAATTTGAAATTCGAGAAACCCCTCCTTATCGAACCTTTACACCCCACAGTCAATCCGTTTGCAAAAAATCAGCTTTAAACGTCAAGTAGTTTAAGCAGGATCGTGATTACTCGATGGAAATATTTTATGAAACATCCTGTATAAATTTATAAAAAATCATAAAAATATGTAAAACAACAAAATAAAATATACGTGTTTAAGAGTTTTTCCGAAAAACTCAACCGTTTTGTAAATAAAAAATATTTTAATATTTGAGGGATAGTTTCACCCCCTTACAATTCGAGTTTCGAAAAATCCCTTCTTATCGAACCTCTACACCCTAAAGTCAATCTGTTTTCCAAAAATCAGACGTCAAGCGCTTTAAGCAGGATCGTGATTAATCAGTGACCAGATTTTTCGAAACATCCTGTATACATTTTTAAAAAATCTTAAAATATGTAAAAAAAACAAAATAAAATATACGTGTTTAAGCGTTTTTTCGGAAACTTGACCGTTTTTTAAATAAAAAATATTGTAATATTTGAGGGGTGGTTTCACCCTCTTGGAACTGGAATTTCGAAAAATCTAGGTGGCTGTGATATATCTATTGTTAATTTAACAAATTTTGAAGAAACGTGAATTCCCCGTCGAATATCGTAATAATATACTGGGTGTTCCATTTAAAATAAAAGAGTAACTTGCTTTTAAACGTGACCAATGTTCAATATTAATTTTGTCTCACCCTGTATAACTTTTCGGGTCCAGTTTTAATTTGATTTAAAGTACAATGGTTAATTTAACTACACAGTAGGCTATACCGGGTAAATTCCAATTTAGATAACTCTTATTGAAACTTAAAATTTGTTCTTCATTTTTTCTGTTAAATATATCATTTATATATCATTCATATATCACAAAGCTCCTTCGCGTCGTATTGGAGATGCCACCCTGTATAAAATTGAAACATATCAAACCTTTCAAATTCTTTAAGTCCATTGTCTTGACCACGCAACACTATGAGGTTTTCTTTGGCTTTTTTCGATTCTTCTTTGGAGAGAAGCCAAATTGGGCTTTCTGGCATCCAAAAAAACGTTACAAAGTTGATTAGGGGTATGCTTGAAGCGATGAGAGCGGAAATGCTTATAGAGAAAAGTCTGCACAAGACGTTGATGAACAGCATTCCAAAAACCACGAAAACTGGACACAGCGACGACAAAAATCCTCTGATTTGGGGTTCTGAGATTTCTCCTATGTACATTGGTACTGTGGAAAAGCTTATTCCACTACCTATACCACCTAAAAAATTGGTAAATAATAAATAATATTTTGGGTTTTTATTGCAAAAATTCTTACCTAAAAAACGCCCAACAAAATAACTTATTTTATCACCGCTAAAGCCAATAAGAAGCCAACTGACCAACATCGGCAACGCCGTGGACAGAATTAATTTCCTGGGTCCACAGGATTTTGCGAAACATTTGGCAACGACAGCTCCCACAACTATTCCCGGAAAAATGGCCACGGCCAACCAGGATGCTTCGTTGTGGGAAATCTGGAAAATGTGCGTGTCGTTATCTGTGAGGATTGGCAACGCTGTGGAGGGCCAACCGAAGTGCATTTCTGATGATAGAATGCTTAAGCATGCTGAAAAAATTAAGAAAAAAATACAGGGTGTCCCAGAAATAAGTGCAAGTATTTTAACTGGTAGTATTATAGTTCAACCCCAGAAACACGCCTGTGAGGTTTATTTCGCGAAAAAAATGTTGTAATTTTTTCAGTTTTTAATTAAAAAACATAATTTCTTGATAATATGGCAACATAGGTATTAGATTAAATTTACAAGAAAGAAAATACAGAAAAGATCCAGTGGTTCTCAAAATTTTAGCAAAAAATCACTTTTTTGGAAATTTTCAAAGTAAAATAACTCTGTTATTTTGGAGTTTATTTGAAAAACGATACTTTAACAGCGAGGATAGGTTAAAAACTTTATTTCTTCTCGCACGTTTTTTAATTGCTTCGATTTTTGAAAATTTTTGTATTCCTTTTCATAAGTTTATTCGGGATTTAAATGGAAGTAGTTTGGCTATGGCGTTTATCGCCTCAGCCTGAATATCTGTTGGTAATTTACTTATTTCGTTTTGAGCCATTTCTCGCTCCAATTCAATCAGCAATCGGCACCAAAGAATATACCTAGCTAGAAAAAGAATGGACTCTGCCATACTGAAAAATGGTCCTACAGAAGTGGCGCCACCTATTGAGTAGGGCTTGTTTTAAACGGATCGAAGCGCGGGCTTTTTAAATGAGCGTATTTATTGAATTTTAGTCTAAAATAATTAAACTTGATTGTTGGGTCTTATTTTTTACACAAATTCAACATTACTAATAACAAGTATCGTTGTGATGTGTAAAAAATAAGATTTAACAGTATAATTTATACAATTAGTAAATAAAATTAAAGCCAAACATGTGTAAATATTATTTATTTTTTAAAGTTTTTATTTATAAGTCGAATATTTAAACATCGTTTATTATAATAAAACAAGACCAACGTAATACACCGAAAGTTTTGTAAATGGAGTAAATATAAATAGGTACTTAAATGATGGCAAAAATAGACTTACATTATATTTTTAGGGCCACAAAAAAAAAGAATTGTCTAATTAAAACACATATAACAAATAAGTAACAAATTATAGTTTGAAAAACGTTTTGATAATCATTTGATAATATTATGATTGACGCTATGACAACGACAATATTTTTTGAGAATTTGACAATAGTATGACAATGGCCGTTGGAAACTATGGGAACTAAAAAAAAAATGATTTAACGCCATCTGGCAGTAACTAGTAGCAACTTCTTAACTTAAAAATTAATTGCACTACCACCTAGCACCTGAGGCAGGAACTATTTTATTTGAAATTTCCGTGGAAACGGTGGAACCGCTTTTGCTATTTCACTTTCCCGCCCCTGATCGGCACGAAAGAGAATTAAAAAATATTGACTCAAAACTGACAACTAAAGAAACAGCTTTATTTATTACTACTCGTAATAAATTCCTTGAAATAATAATTTTTTTAAAACGTAACTCGCTATGAAAAAGAATATTGTTTTATACACGACGATAAACTGCATGAACTGGTACCATTTTATCGTCTTGTATAAAAAATAACTATTAATTTAGTATGTTGCTAATTACTTACCTGTAAAAGCTGAAACATACTGAAAAACCTTGTTTCGAAAACGATTAACATTAAACATGGTTCTTCTTCACTTTCTAACATCGAAGCATGAAAACGAACTGAATTTTAGACGAAAAACGATTGATAAAAGACACGTTTTCAATGCAAAAGTGTGAAGAAACCAGCCGATAACACAACATAGTTGAAGAGTGAGTAAAAAGTTGATAATAGTGGGAAAATTTTTCGTTTTAAATCCATTTCCGATAGAATTTCAGATATTTTTATTTGCCATTCTTATATTGAATGTGGTTGTGTTTAAGTTATCGAGGTAGTTAAGCAGAAATCTATAAATTATACATGATTAAAAATAAATTAAAATTATATTTGTGCTAGAATGGGCAGAACTGGCTGATGGCAGTAGTTTCATTTTTTTTATTTTTGAATTAACGAGAAAAAGATGTAGCAAAACTTTGCAAAAAAGACACTACTTGTTGCATATGTGGATCACTGATCACTCTATGTGTGTACAAAAAGTAAGCAACAAATTTTTGGGGTAAGTGTGATAAATCATTGTATTTGGGAGGTGATAAGCTTTCAAAAGGCTATTCTAAGGCAATAATAGAAGCCCTAGCGAAACTAGGTATTGACAGATCTTATATAGAAACTCTTGCCAATATATACAAAGAAGTCAAAGAAAGAGTAATGCTATATAAAACAACCCTAGAGTTCCCAACTGGCAAATTAGTACGACTGGGAGACGCGATATCCCCAAAGCTGTTTACAGCAACATTAAAAGAAATCTTCCGTCAACTGGACTGGACCAACAAAGGATTAAAAATAGATGGGGAATATCTTAACTATCTAAGATTCGCTGATGTCATTAGTCCTAATTGCCAATAGTTCTGAAGAACTACTGCGGGCCGCACAACCTTCAATGGAATGAAACAATGCTGGGAATAACAAAAAAATTCTAGATCTTAATAATCAGCTTTTAGTTTAGGACACTCTGTACAGGGGTTTTACCAATGAGTTCTATCTCGGTTGTTAGTAAAGATAGAACTTTGCGGTTTTCACGAGCCCAAGCCACTTTTTTATGAAACCAAACATGCCACGAACAAAACTCTCATGGGTTCGTGTTTTTATGATACAGGGTGATTCTAAAAATGTCCCAGTCCAAAATATCACTCAGTTGTCTGACAACCTATCAAAAAGATAAAAACTGATTTTTACAGGACCTTTTACGGAACGTCTCACAATATACCGTTTGTGTCGGGGAAGAGATCATAGTTTCATATAGTTGTCGATTTTCGAAAGAAATCAGTACATGTATATTATTTCGTATATTTTTCATTTTATTGATTTTATGGAAAGCACTGTTCATTAAAATGTTGTATCCTATGTTATAGGGCTTGTTTCTCTCTACAATTTCCTGTCTCACAATGTACCGTTTGTGTCCGGGAAGGGTTCATAGTTTCATATAGTTGTCGATTTTCGAAAGAAATCAGTACATGTATATTATTTCGTATATTTTTAATTTTATTGATTTTATGGAAAGCACTGTTCATTAAAATGTTGTATCCTATGTTATAGGGCTTGTTTCTCTCTACAATTTCCTGTCTCACAATGTACCGTTTGTGTCCGGGAAGGGTTCATAGTTTCATATAGTTGTCGATTTTCGAAAGAAATCAGTACATGTATATTATTTCGTATATTTTTAATTTTATTGATTTTATGGAAAGCACTGTTCATTAAAATGTTGTATCCTATGTTATAGGGCTTGTTTCTCTACAATTTCCTGTCTCACACAATGTACCGTTTGTGTCCGGGAAGGGTTCATAGTTTCATATAGTTGTCGATTTTCGAAAGAAATCAGTACATGTATATTATTTCGTATATTTTTAATTTTATTGATTTTATGGAAAGCACTGTTCATTAAAATGTTGTATCCTATGTTATAGGGCTTGTTTTCTTCTACAATTTCCTGTCTCACAATGTACCGTTTGTGTCCGGGAAGGGTTCATAGTTTCATATAGTTGTCGATTTTCGAAAGAAATCAGTACATGTATATTATTTCGTATATTTTTAATTTTATTGATTTTATGGAAAGCACTGTTCATTAAAATGTTGTATCCTATGTTATAGGGCTTGTTTCTCTCTACAATTTCCTGTCTCACAATGTACCGTTTGTGTCCGAAGGGTTCATAGTTTCATATAGTTGTCGATTTTCGAAAAGAAATCAGTACATGTATATTATTTCGTATATTTTTCATTTTATTGATTTTATGGAAAGCACTGTTCATTAAAATGTTGTATCCTATGTTATAGGGCTTGTTTCTCTCTACAATTTTCTGTCTCACAATGTACCGTTTGTGTCCGGGAAGGGTTCATAGTTTCATAGTTGTCGGTTTTCGAAAGAAATCAGTACATGTATATTATTTCGTATATTTCTCATTTTATTAATTTTATGGAAAGCACTGTTCATTAAAATGTTGTACCCTATGTTATAGGGCTTGTTTCTCTCTACAATTTTCTGTCTCACAATGTACCGTTTGTGTCCGGGAAGGGTTCATAGTTTCATAGTTGTCGGTTTTCGAAAGAAATCAGTACATGTATATTATTTCGTATATTTCTCATTTTATTAATTTTATGGAAAGCACTGTTCATTAAAATGTTGTACCCTATGTTATAGGGCTTGTTTCTCTCTACAATTTTCTGTCTCACAATGTACCGTTTGTGTCCGGGAAGGGTTCATAGTTTCATAGTTGTCGGTTTTCGAAAGAAATCAGTACATGTATATTATTTCGTATATTTCTCATTTTATTAATTTTATGGAAAGCACTGTTCATTAAAATGTTGTACCCTATGTTATAGGGCTTGTTTCTCTCTACAATTTTCTGTCTCACAATGTACCGTTTGTGTCCGGGAAGGGTTCATAGTTTCATATAGTTGTCGATTTTCGAAAGAAATCAGTACATGTATATTATTTCGTATATTTTTAATTTTATTGATTTTATGGAAAGCACTGTTCATTAAAATGTTGTATCCTATGTTATAGGGCTTGTTTCTCTCTACAATTTCCTGTCTCACAATGTACCGTTTGTGTCCGGGAAGGGTTCATAGTTTCATATAGTTGTCGATTTTCGAAAGAAATCAGTACATGTATATTATTTCGTATATTTTTAATTTTATTGATTTTATGGAAAGCACTGTTCATTAAAATGTTGTATCCTATGTTATAGGGCTTGTTTCTCTACAATTTCCTGTCTCACAATGTACCGTTTGTGTCCGGAAGGGTTCATAGTTTCATATAGTTGTCGATTTTCGAAAGAAATCAGTACATGTATATTATTTCGTATATTTTTAATTTTATTGATTTTATGGAAAGCACTGTTCATTAAAATGTTGTATCCTATGTTATAGGGCTTGTTTCTCTCTACAATTTCCTGTCTCACAATGTACCGTTTGTGTCCGAAGGGTTCATAGTTTCATATAGTTGTCGATTTTTCGAAAGAAATCAGTACATGTATATTATTTCGTATATTTTTAATTTTATTGATTTTATGGAAAGCACTGTTCATTAAAATGTTGTATCCTATGTTATAGGGCTTGTTTCTCTCTACAATTTCCTGTCTCACAATGTACCGTTTGTGTCCGGGAAGGGTTCATAGTTTCATATAGTTGTCGATTTTCGAAAGAAATCAGTACATGTATATTATTTCGTATATTTTTAATTTTATTGATTTTATGGAAAGCACTGTTCATTAAAATGTTGTATCCTATGTTATAGGGCTTGTTTCTCCCTACAATTTCCTGTCTCACAATGTACCGTTTGTGTCCGGGAAGGGTTCATAGTTTCATATAGTTGTCGATTTTCGAAAGAAATCAGTACATGTATATTATTTCGTATATTTTTCATTTTATTGATTTTATGGAAAGTACTGTTCATTAAAATGTTGTATCCTATGTTATAGGGCTTGTTTCTCTCTACAATTTCCTGTCTCACAATATACCGTTTGTGCCCGGGAAGGGTTCATAGTTTCATAGTTGTCGATTTTTGAAAGAAATCAGTACATGTATATTATTTCGTATATTTTTCATTTTATTGATTTTATGGAAAGCACTGTTCATTAAAATGTTGTATCCTATGTTATAGGGCTTAATATGTTAAATAATGACAAAAATCGGAATTTTCTTAAATACATATTTAAAATTTTGCAGTAGTTTAAATGTGTCTTATATTTTGTGTATCGATAAAAATAATATTGATATTATCATGCAATCATTCACTTCAAGTCAAAGACCTAGTTAGGAAAAAAAAAACACCTCAAATCAATAATATTATGCGTTATATACGTACGTAATACATAGAGTGTTTTGGTCGAAAATATGAGACATAATATACAATGGTTTATTTTTACTATACATATTTATTTTTAATAGAAAAAATACGATATTTTGGAACATCTCATTAGCTTTATTATTAGAATTTGGTTTTAATATTCTCAAATACATCGTTTGAACCAATATATTTCAAGTTGAATAAGTAAGTGGTATCCGGCATGCATCCAAAACAAAGTATAACAAATATTTTTGATCCATCTCCAAGTCTTTATACATGAAAACTTACATGTATGACGTCATTTTGGCCCATAGATGTAAAACTATGACGTAGCAGTGGAGATGGCATGTTTATAGTTTGTGCGCTGTTATTTTTGTTTTGGTTTTTCAAAAATATCAGTCTGTTACTCATTGAAGAAAGTTGAAAATGTTATATGATATTATTTGGATGTATTCTAAATAAATATAATAAAAAAAGTATTTATTATCAATATTTTCAGCTTATTCAATCATTTCTTAGTATTTAGTAATTTTTAGAAATTCATCCCCATGAAAATGTATTACATTCGAATCAAGAATAATGAAATTTGCTATACAAAAGATTTTGATGTTTTGAGGAAGAGAACGTTTTAAAAAATTATAGAATAATAAGATATTCACGTAACGTTTTGTTTTCAAAATTTCCCTACATCTTTAAAGAAAAATATGTTTTGCTACCATTTTTTTTCATCAAATCGTAGACATACGTATGTGTACTTAATTTATTTCACAATTATCCTAACAATTATGGTATATATTATTATTCAGAATATTTTAATTATATTTGCGTAACTAATCCGAACTTTTGTTAATTTTGATAACAATCTCTCACGTTTTATTGTTAAATCTTTGAATAAATATGTTTTTAGTGTCCTTATCTGATTTTAAAAGATATTTTGATAGTTATTAGGCATTGAAATTAACACGGTTTATAACTTTTTAATTCTTCTGTCAATGAGGGAAAAATTCCTTGCGGGGGATTATTGTTTTGAATATGATCTTCGTCGTTTTATTGACTTGTACATGGTGGATACATTTTTTAAATTAATCAGAAAATATATTTCTTGTATTGCAACTAGAAATGATCAAATAATCGCAAACTACAATTCAATCGCAGCCATTTTAAAATCTCAATCGCAACCTGCGATTGGCTCTCATAGGAAAAACTGCGTTTGCGATTTCTTCTATTTGGGAGTTTCAATTTAGCCAACCAATATTACTATAGTTGCGATTTGCGATATTGTTGCGAATGTAATTTTGTGGTCTATTGAAGCATTTTATAGTAAACTGCGATTGATTTTTTTCTCTGATATTATTTATTTCTTCTTTTTCTTATCATGCCCTCTCCTGCCGAAGGTTGGCGATCCAAGTGGCTATTGTAGTCCAGAGCTACACTGCAGCCCGGAAGATTTCCGCACACGAGCGTTCAAACCATCTTCTTAAATCCTTTAGCCATGAGTTCTGGCGTCTTCCTACTGATCTTTTCCCTTGCACTTTGCCCTCTATTATGAGGCGCAGTATTTCATATCTACCACCTTTCATCACATGACCCGCAGGTATTGCATTTTTCTTTCCTTGATGGTGTTCAGTATCTCTTTTTGTTTCTGCATGCGCTGGAGTACTTCTTCGTTGGTGATTCGCAGCATCCGTCTGTACACATACATTTCGAAGGTTTTTATTCTCTTTTCCGTCTGTGAATCCAGTGTCCAGCTCTCACATCCATAGAGTAACACAGAGAAGACACAGAGTTCCGCACTGAGGTCTCGTCTTGTAAAAAATGATTTCATTCTTAGAAGATATTTCTCGCTTGCTCTATTCTTGAAAATATTTCTCTTTTCGGGTCGCACTGACTATTGATGTTAGCTCCTAAATACTTTATTGAGGTCACTTGTTCGATTGTTTGTCCCTTGACACGCAGGTGTGCATTTATTGGAGTCTTAGAAAAGACCAATAGTTTGGTCTTGGAGACATTGAGATGCAGTCCAAACATCTCACTATAGTGGACTACGGATCTATAAAGCTTTGCAGTTCTTGTATATCGTTGGCTATTATAACCGTATCATCGGCATATCTGATATTCTTTATTGGGATTCCATTGAACTTGATTCCGCCCTGGATTGGATCCAGTGCTTCTCTAAATATAGTCTCCGAGTACAGGTTAAACAGGAGCGGAAACAAGACGCAACCCTGCCGCACACCCCGTCTGATTTGTATATCTTCCGATGTTGACTGCTTCATCTCAACTACCGCCGATTGATGCCAATAAAGTTCTTCATATGTATAAACTTCATATGAAACGTAGGTCTTGTTCGTCAACTCCGGTTGTTCTTAGAATTTCGATCATCTTCTGATGATTAACACAGTCGAACGCCTTACGATAGTCGATAAATATTATTTATTTATAGAGAAGGTATTATTTTTCTAGGGCCACAATCATAATATACCTGGCGTTTCTCAAGAGTGGTTCACCCCTATAACTTTTTTATTTTCTCTTATAAAAAACGGAGATTTGGTACAGTACGTCTGTCCGTTCTGTAGCTACGGGGTATCCGTGAGAGGGGAAACGATATTTCTCTCGATATTTTTCCTAAAAAATAGACGACGCGTCCCGTCAATAAAAATTCGACAAATTTGCAAGTAGCCAATAAAATGAGTGGGCTGAGCGATTTGCGGTGACGTACTCGTCAAGTCGACGCGACGTATAAAATATATTGCTGTTTATTTAAATCAGTTAAATATTTTTTGTCCGCATTCCTTTCATAGGCACAGATCCAGCAGACGTACTTTATGTTAGTATATGATATAAATTAGGATTGACTGACGTATTCAATTGTTTTTAGTCACTTCCTGTTTCATCGGAAATGACTACAATTTTTGATTTTCAAATGACACCCTCGGTATTTTTTTAGTTAATTCGGTAGAAAAATACACTCTGAATAAAATGGCATATCGTATGGCAGCTTTTGACATTTTTGCTTAAAAAAATCGTATTTTAAATTTCAATCTTGAATGTCATGGCTGTGTTAAAAACACTAGTTTTAATCAAGATGCCTTAGAAAAATAGACTTGATCGTCTATTGTTTTTCGCGTCTTGTCTTGGCCTAGTTAAAAGATGCCTAAATCGTATTTTTAATCATATCTCTTTTTTTTTCAAATGGAACCAAGGTGGATTATTCAGAAAAGCATTTTTTACGAATAATTTACGAATAATTTATGAAACACCCTGTATAAATTTTTAAAAAATCTTAAAATATGTAAAACAACAAAATAAAATATACGTGTTTAAGAGTTTTTCCGAAAAACTCACCGGTTTTTAAATAAAAAATTTGAGGGGTGTTTTCACCCCCTTAGAATTCGAGTTTCAAAAAATCCCTTCTTATCGAACCTCTACACCCTAAAGTCGATCCGTTTTCCAAAAATCAGCTTTTTACGTCAAGCGCTTTAAGCAGGATCGTGATTAATCAATGACCAGATTTTTCAAAACACCCTGTATACATTTTTAAAAAATTTAAAAATATGTAAAAAATAAAATAAAATATACGTGTTTAAGCGTTTTTTCGGAAACTTGACCGTTTTTTAAATAAAAAATATTGTAATAATTGAGAGGTGGTTTCACCCTCTTGGAACTGAAATTTCGAAAAATCCCTTCTTATCGAACCTCTACACCCTAGAATCAACCTGTGTGCCAAAATTGAGCTTCTTACGTTGAGTAGTTTGAGCAGGACCGTGATTAATCAGTGAGTCACTTAAAGATTTTATATATTAGTATACATTAAAAACAAATTATATAAAAAAATAAACATTTTTGATGGAAAAATTTCAAAATATTTTTCTGCGTCACCCTGTAACTGTTTTTGGAATCAAATTTTCGACGCGGCACACACCAAGCGTGTGTACTCGCGTTATATTTAAATCACTACAGCGTACTTTTAGGACATACACTTCTCACAATATCCAGCTGATACGACCATATATCCAGACAGCTTTGATTCTATCAAATATTCATTTGTTTTCGTCCATCATAGTGATGTAAATTCGAGACCAGCCCACTACTCTTAGTTCGCGTTCTTTTTTTTTTGTTTTTGTTTTCGGTTTTCTTTTGTTTTGGTTCGGTCAGTTATTGGCTTCAACAGCCAACAGCAGTAGGCTTCGATTCGCGCTATTCGTTTGTTTGAAGAAAGGAAGAAAAACAATATGACGATCGTCACAGGATCCACACAGAAAATCCATCAAGGAAGCGACGTGTTTCAGTATTTAGCAGCAGTAACATGTAAGTAAATATATTGTTTTAAATTAAAGTGTGTGTTGTCTATAGGGGTTAATGTATTGAAATTATTCAAAATTGCTTTGATTTAAATACAGACAGTCAAGGCAATTTTTTCTGGAGTTAATATTAAATTTTATATGCAGTTTATATAGAAAAAAAAAGATGTTAAGGTAGTAATGAAGCGTTTTTAAATAGTCAATATATTGGCACTAATCCAAGATGCAACACGCTTTAAAAATGCGATAAAGGAATGAACTTGTGGATACTTTCCAGAGTTTTTTTTTCGTTTATTTTTGGCATGTTTTCTAAGGTCATGGAATGAGTTTCTTTATGTTTGCTCCAGGAAGTCATATTTTAGCTTTTATTGCAGTTTTTTTTCTATACAGGCTGATTGACGACCATGATAGGTCAATTTTTTTTGAAAATTTGTTTTTTTATAAAGGCACCTGCTCCATCTGTCTAAATTATTTTTAGTTTGGGTTGGTTTGGATAGTTTGGTTTAGTTTAGTGTTAAAACTAGTAGCATCATTGTTGTTTTAAATGAAACACCCGGTATATTTTTCATAATTTTACTATTGTACCTATTCCTATTGTATCTCTTATAGTCTTTGAGACTTAAAGTCAATATTGATACAAAAAAGATTCGAGCAATTTTATAACAAACGGAAATAAATATTTATAAATATATAAATATATACCATCGTCCTGTATGATATCCAATTGGTTGCTTTAGATATCTATACTAATATGTCCTAGTATATAAAATCCGACTCACTGATTAATCACGATCCTGCTCAATCCACTCAACGTAAGAAGCTCAATTTTGGCATACAGGTTGATTCTACGGTGTAGAGGCTCGATAAGAAGGAATTTTTCGAAATTCCAGTTCCAAGAGGGTGAAACCACCCCTCAAATATTACAATATTTTTTATTTAAAAAACGGCCAAGTTTCCGAAAAAACGCTTAAACACGTATATTTTATTTTGGTTTTTTACATATTTTGAGATTTTTTAAAAATGTGTACAGGATGTTTCGAAAAATCTGGTCATTGATTAATCACGATCCTGCCTAAACCGCTTGACATAAAAAGCTGATTTTTGGAAAACGGATTGACTTCAGGGTGTAGAGGTTCGATAAGAAGGGATTTTTCGAAACTCGAATTCTAAGGGGGTGAAACCACCCCTCAAATATTAGAATAATTTTTATTTAAAAACCGGCGAGTTTTTGGGAAAAACTCTTAAACACGTATATTATATTTTGTTGTTTTACATATTTTAAGATTTTTTAAAAATTTATACAGGGTGTTTCATAAAATATGACCATTGAGTAATCACGATTCTGCTTAAAATGCTTGACGTTTAAAACTTATTTTTGGCAAACCGATTGACTGTGGGGTGTAGAGGTTCGATAAGGAGGAGTTTCTCGAATCTCAAATCCCAAGAGGGTGAAAACGCCCCTCAAATATTACAATAGTTGTTATTTAAAAAACGGTTAGTCTTTCGGGAAAACGCTTGGACACGCATAATTTATTTTGTTTTTTTTACATATTTTGAAATTTTTTAAAAAATTATACAGGGTGTTCTAAAAAGTTGGGTAATTGATTAACCACGATTCTGCTTAAACTGCTTGACGTAAAAAGCTTATTTTTGGCAAGATAGGTATAGGTTGGTATAACAGAAAAATTGTGAGATATCAAGGTACTTTTGAAAAATGTGGTAATATACGGGGCGTTCTATTTAAAATAACAAAGCTGCTGCCACTTTTCAAATGAGGCGGCAACATTGTAAGGCTGAAAATCATTTAGATAGATGAAGCAAACGCCTTTATTTAAAATTCAAAATAGTCAAAAAAATCCTGACAGCTGTTAATCTCTACCATAGTCATGGATCACCCATGTATAGTGTGCATCAGCTAAATGGAATAAATTCAATAATAAATAAATGGAAAAGTTTTTGAAAAAACGCTCAGACACGTCGATTAGCATTTTTAATTGCGCATTTTTTTCAATAAAGACTTTTTATACAGGGTGTGCCGTGTAACAGTTACCAATACCAACTTTCTTATTTTAAATATAACACCCTGTATATTATTTAATTTTTGAATTTTTCACAAAGTTCTAGACATATTTTATGTAGAATATCCTATACCTATCTTTATTTGTTTCGGAAATATTAAGTAGATTAATTGTAATTAAATTGCTGTTCCACTGTAGTTCAGTAGTTGTCAGTGTTATTAAGCCATATGAATTTAGCTAACTGTATATCAGGAAAAAAACAGTTCTACTAAGAATTTGTTCCATTTAGCTGATACACTCCGTATATATGTTTTCGACAAGTTTGAGAGAAATTTTAAATGAAGAAATTATAACAAAAATTCCTTATATTAAAAAATATAATATAAATTAATAAAAAAATACTACTTAATTTTTTTTTAATTAATTTTAATGTGATAACATTGACATACTATTAATTTAAAAGTCATATTTTTTGAATGTTAGAACCCGTATAATAACCATTATTAGATCATTTCATTAAAGTGACACTTCAAATAATAATGAATAGTACAGACGCTTAAACATTTTCTCAGGCATACTTTGTTGTTTATTAATGTTTTTATTGATGTATATACAGGGTCATTCATGATAATTTATAGTCAATAACAATTGAGAGGGAAATAAATTGGTGCTATAATATCTTGGGAATTTTAAGATTCATCATCAAAAATTAATCAGTTCTAATAAAAAATGCTATTTAATAGATCAGTTTTTTATGTAATTATACCGGGTGTTTCTCAAAAGTGGCTTACCCCTATAACTTTTTTCGTTTATGAAGCAAACTACCCTTTATTTTGAACAAGGAATCACCACCTGAAGTTTTTCGCATTTGTTTTGAAACACCCTGTATACGACATAAATTTCACTTCCTGTCACTTCCTGTTTCACCGGAAATTACTACAACTTTTGATTTTTAAATGGCATCCTCGGTATTTTTTTACTTTATTCGATAGAAAATTAGACTCTGAATAGAATGACATATCATATATCAACTTTTGACATTTTTACTGAAAAAAAATCGTATTTTAAATTTCAATCTAGAGTGACATGGCTGTGTTAAAAACACTAATATTTAATCAAAGATTCTTGGAAAAATAGACGATTGTCTAATGTTTTTCAAATGGAACGAGGGTGGCTGAAAATATTTTTTAAACAGTTTGGACTTATTTGAACAAGAGATATATCAGTACTGAAAATATGTGCACTTATTTGAGACTCACCCTGTTTAAACATATGACATAACATTTTGAATCAATTCAAAATCGATTGAAGCACGAAAAATATAATAATAGTACTCACAATTCCTGCTATTACATCATAATTTTAAACCAATCTATTTCTATTTGTTTCAGGTACAATCAACGTAATAGTCAGTGGCATGCACTACGGCTGGACATCACCCTCTCTACCCAAACTCATCTCCAACTCATCCTCAATCCCAGTGACCAATGACCAAGGGTCCTGGATGGCAGTCATGCCACTTTTGGGTGCCCTGATTGGCTCACTCCTCGTAGGCGTCACCGTCGACATTTTTGGCAGAAAAAGAACCATCATCATGTCTTCCATACCATATTTCTTTACCTGGATCATGATAGCTTTCACCAACTCAGTCACTGTCATCTACATAGCTCGGTTTATTGCTGGAATAGCTGATGGTTGGGTTTTTACAGCCGTTCCCATGTATATTGGCGAAATCTCTGATCCAAAAATACGAGGATTACTAGGTTCTGGAGTTAGTGTAACCTGGATTTTCGGAATTCTTCTCATAAACATCATCGGATCATATCTCAGTGTCAGCATGGCAGCTTTGGTTAGCAGCTCATTACCAATTCTAGCTTTAGTTACCTTTGTATTTATGCCAGAATCTCCATATTATTACTTAATACGAAACAACATTTCTGAAGCAAAAAATAGCTTACAAAAACTCAGAGGTTTGAGAGACATAGAAAGCGAATTAAACCGACTGAGTTTAGCGGTGAAATCTGAGATAAAAGGTTCAGGAAAGTTCTTCGATTTGTTCACCAAAAAAACCAACAGGAAAGCTGTATTGATTATGGTGATTCTACGTGGAGCTCAGCAACTCAGTGGTACGACAGCAGTAACCTTCTATACCCAAAGTATTTTTATTGAAGCTGGTGATCATATTTCATCAGAATTAGCTACAATAATCTATTTTACTGTGCAGCTAGTCTGTGCATGCTTCTGTTCGAGCATTGTGGACAAGGCTGGAAGAAGACCTTTGCTGATAGCTTCCATAACAGGCTCAGCAATATGCCTTTGCATTGAAGGGGTGTATTTCTATATCAAATCATGCACAAATATTGATGTAACCCCGTTCAGTGTGATGCCTGTAGTAGCTTTAATAGGATTTGTAGTTGTATTCTCGTTGGGGATGCAAACTATCCCAATTCTGATGTTAGGTGAGCTTTTTTCACCAAGCGTCAAGGCTTTTGCACTGTGCTTTGCTGATATCTACTTTGCCGTTATAGCAACGATAGTTTCGAAGTTTTTCCAGATAATGAAAGACTCATATGGCATGTACGCTCCGTTTTTTGCATTTTCACTCAGCTGCATCATTGGATTAGTACTTATTACATTTTTTGTACCTGAAACCAAGGGAAAAACCTTGGAGGATATTCAGGCGGGGTTTAGAAATGACAGGAAGTTAGTGACAAATGATGTTCCTGGTGATTCTGAAAGTATTTAACATGTTTCATGTGATTTTTTTATAAACAAAATGACGTACTGAGTCTTAGAATTAATGTATTTTAATATGTATGAATGATTATTGTAAAAGTGCAAATGTTTGTTAGATTTAATATTGTAAAGTAAGGTTTATTTATTAATTTTATAGCTAATATAAGTAAGATTTATGTATTTCTAGGTTTTAAGTTTTTTATATTTAAATAAATTGATTTTTCGTAGTAAAATTTTGACTTTTTTGAGTCTTGAATTATAACTCATCATACAGCCTCAGGGCTTCGACAATAGCCAGTATTTAAGACGGTTTTACAGAGGTTAGTTCCCCATCTCCAATATCAGTCGTACCAAAGTTTAGGGCAAGAATGGTTGTCGTCTCGGCGCATTCAGTAATGAACTGTTCTGTTGTTTCCCCATTTTCCTCTGCAAATCTGCATTAACCATTCTTTTTTACCTTCAATCTATTGAGGTGTTCGTTGAGAAGAAAGTGTCCTGTTAAAAAAACCCGTAACAATCACAATCTTTGATTTTTCTCTGTCATAAAAGTTGAAGAATTTCTTCGAGTGTCTAGACCACAGTCTAGACCTTTTGGAGGATTTCTATTTCAGGTTAGGGATGGAGTCTTCCAGGTTGTTGAGTTCCGCTTTTTTGACATCTATTGAAAGTATGCAACTAAAAATACACCGACTTTTAATGTTCTTATCTCTCTTTAAATTTTTTTTTGGCTTGGCTTATTCTGAGTTGCATAAGCAGGACAATTAGCTGATTTTTTTTTGGATTAACATCACAAAAGAATATTTTTCTGACTAGGAGACAAAAAGGGGAAGTAAAAAAATCTTTATATTTATGTATAGGGACAAGAAATACTAAATTATCACTTTTTTGAGCAACAGAAACTTTCATCCTTTTTGGGGATCAAATAGTAATTAAAAAATTGTAAAGGTTATAGCCAGATTAATATGGGAAATCTGTCCCCGCGGCTTTTTTGACTCGCACTCAGTAAATCGAGTGAAATAATGGAACAACTTTTCGCTAGTAAGTGACTATATAATATACATACGTGTAGTAAACCGATCATTTATGAAATTTACTTAAATTAACTAATTATATATAAATTTTGTGAATGCAAATAATAATACATCACTATTAGTAGATATTAAATGTTTTTTGTTAAATTAGATCGATTTTCAAACCCCAAAATTTAAAATATATTTACATTTTACCCTTTATCTTATGTACCTATACATTATTTGTACATTGTAAAACATTTGCTGCATTTGTATGGTTCATAGTTTATTTTCCAAAGTATTTATTACTATAAATAGGTATATATGTTGTAGTAATTAACTGTATATTATGTATATTTCATTTAAACTATATCATTTTTAAAATACAAACCAAAAATCTGAGGAATAATTATGTTTTCCATGTATTCTACAACATATTTATTAATCCGTTATATCTAACTAGCGTGACGTCATAAATCTCGCCCATAGGCTGATCTTTTAATAGAAGGCACTGCTTCACCTCGAAATTCAAATAAGCGCTCTTTATCAAATGTTACACAGTATCCTTTAAACAAACATATTTACAGCAACATTATATAATCTTGATACCATGCTGTATTGATCAACTTTTCGATGATTTACTAGAGATTTTCGTACGGTTAACGCTCTGCAATAAAAACCAACGCAAATATTTGATTTGTATGCGTGTTTGTGTAGAATTTCCTATCACGGGGGGTCCACTTGAACCTGATTAGTTTATAATTAGTACAATAGACTGAGGATGGCACCTTTTAGATAGTCTCTAAAACTATGGAAATATTAAAAAACTTGTTTCGGTTATAAAACGTGCTAATTTAATTTTTGCCGTTTTTTTAAGGACGGAAAATATAAAAGTGGTATTTGCATAGGTATTTAGTTGTTATTTAAACGTTAGTAGGAAATAATTTTAGGTCTGTAAGCTTTATTAAATATTTATTTTTCATTGCGGGAGACTGTAGCATTGTCTGAAGCTTTTTTTTATTTGTTTTAGGTGGTGTTTTTGCTTTCATGTCTGCTACGTCAAAGGGATTTGATATTTTAGACGTTATTTAGAGAAATTTAATTTGGGATTATTCTTTTAGAACTTTGCATGCGTATCGTACGTTTTTTTTTTAAATATGATACAGTCTATTTTGAGTAAATATTTGTTCTGTAGTCTCAAAGGGGTCGTACTGTTTATTTTGCGATTACTATATTGATTCTTTTTTAAAATCATACATTCCTAACATTTATTTTATTTGATGTGCTTCTGTTATAATAAAAAAAGTCTTTTTTGTATATGTTTAACTTGAAGACAGCTAAAGGAATATTTTAACGAACATCTACGTAATTCATTGTCTACGTTTGTACTATTTTTAGTGTTTCTTTTTTAAATAAACCATACTTTTAATATACGTTTATAAAACTACAACTCATTTTGTATTTACAATATTTTACAAATAGGCCATCCGAATTTTTAATTTCTCAGTACAAAAGATATGATATTTTTTACGTTAATAGTACCTTAACGATAATCATCTTGTTTATCTATGTTATTAATAGATACTCAATAGATATTGTGACATTTTTAATACACTAAAATTGGAAGAAAGTACCACACGCTGACAAAAATATAAAAATATATTTTCTATTAATTTTCTTTTTTTGGGGTCATTTTAAAGCCTAGGCACAAAAGTGAGGCACTTTTACGCCTATGCACAAAAGTAGAAAAATAAATTATTAAACTGACATTATGTGTCAAAATCAACGAGCGTAACCATAGGTTCTAGGTTCTCGATATATAATTACTTACAGGGTATTACTTTTAAATCTTTTTGTATTATTTACAAAGTTTCAAATTGTTTAAAAAATTATTTCTGACGTTTGAAAAAAAAATTGCATGTTCTATTCGGAGTAAAAATGACTTTTAGTGCTTGGCCTGTAATGTCAAAATTCTCCAAACGAATGGACAATCATAAATAAAAATGTCTGAGTTCAATATGACAATGATATACCTTTTATAGAACTCTAAAAAACATTTTTAATTCACTAAAAATTTGGAGAAAATACCACAATATGACAAGAGTATAAACATTTTTAATTTTCAATAAGTGCTTTTTCTAAAAAAATATATTTTTGATCAGAATTAAAATCTATGCACTATATTTTAGCTTGGTTTGGCTGAGTTATTAGCTTTTAGATCCAAATAATTGAACAATCTAAAAGTGCTGTGATCAAAATGACTCTGATTAAATTTTCAGATACTGTGTAATCCTTCATTAAATTAAACAAAAAATAATTCTAGAAAATATAAATAAAGATTATTTGAAAAAAATGTAAAGCTCTTGGGATTTGTGCTTGTTTGATTCTTGGTGGGAGGTCGGCAATAATTACCTATATATAAGTGGGGGGTCCTATCGCTTATTTCACAGAAGATTTTTAGCAATAATTCACATTATCGGTGAATTGGCTGGTGAGGTAGTGTGTAGTGGGAAGAATTTATAGAATTTTACGATGATTTTTGGACTGGGAAGTAGCAATTTAAAAATAAAAGAAGGCAGTGCCAGGTTCCAGTACTTAGCCACTGTAACAGGTCAGTAAAATATTATTTTTATTAATTTCTGTTTGATTTTTTGAAAAAAAAAATATATTTTGTTCTTATATGAAATTAAATGGCTTTTAGAACATTATTAACGGGAATTAAGATGTTATTTACAATTTTTCCCTCTAAATTTTATAGGAAACAACCATGAAATACAATAGAGATTTTGAGTAATAATATAAAATGAAACAAAAATGAAACTCTTCTAACTACCCTAATAATTTATTTACATCATTAATGTCACATAATATAATAAATTTACTATCAAGATACTTCTTACTTTGATAGAGAATATTTTAAAAATATTTAGGATAACTATAAAATTCGCATTGGTTTATCAGCTTTCTTTTCCTTTAACGATTTTATAGACACAATTTTGCGAAATTTTAACAAAATTTGAATTTATAATCCACAGAAGAAATTTCAATATTTAGATACAGTTATTATAGATCCTATAGTACGTACAGAAATGCTTGAATACACACAACATTAATATTCACAGTGATGTAGTTCGATATAGTCTTTGAATAAGAAGACTAAGGAAGGAGCATATCAAAAATCTTAGGTACACCGCGATGGGCCTCAAATATGGCCGACTTAAATTCCGGTTTATCAGTGCCGTTCTAATTTTATTTAAAAAATGTAAAACTATGATGTAGGGTAGACGTGGGGTAGACTCAATAATTTGTTATTTTATTTTACGTTGTGAATAAATGTTGGTAGTTATTAAAATTGTTATAAAAATATATAATTCTAATAAAAATAGATAAGTTATAATAAGTATTTATTAACACAAACATCCGATACACTACTGAAGCAGGTAAGTCAAATTAACGTATCAAAATTCTTTGACATCTGATCTTTGACAAGTAGTAAATAAAAGCTAAAATGCAAGAAAATATATAATTTAGTTAATTTAAGTGAATTTCATAAATGATCGGTTTACTACACGTATGCATATTATATAGTCACTTACTAGCGAAAAGTTGTTCCATTATTTCACTCAATTTTTGCCGAGATCTACCGCACGCTACACAACCAACTATTTTAGAGTCTTTTTCGATAAATCGCGATAATGTCACTGTTAATTTAAGTTCTGCCACAATTTCCATCTAGATTTACTACCTTTATACAACTATCAGTAGTAGAATAAATAATAAATAACATAAAATAAGCTCCGTAAAGACTGACAAATCCACAAAATTTCAAATCAAATTCAATTCTGTCAAATGAATCGTCAAACAGAACTGTCAAGGATCCCCACCCTAGAGTGCTTTTATGGTGCTTTTTCCGCCCACCATGCATGAATACATGGATAGCATTATGCTCCTTCCTTAGTCTTCTTATTCAAAGGATATAGCCTGTCCAACGACAAAATCTTTGATGTGTCTGTCATTTTAATTTCAAAGTAGTTTATTTTATTTTACAAAGAAATAAGTTGGTACAAATGGAAGGCATAGCAAGAAATTAATATATTTAAAATTTGAGTGACAAGTGATTACTTCAAAATATTGTGAAAAAAAAAACTGTATAAACTGTATATAACTGTATATTTTAAACAAAACACCACATACGAAAAAAATATAAAAAGAACTATGTCTTACTTTCAAACTTCAAGAATCTTCTTGCTTTTATTATTATACCTATTTATCAATATAACTTATGTACAAATTAGAAAAAAATATTATTGCGCAGGAATAAATAAAACACAATATGAATGAAACAAAATATTTTATTAATAATAACACTTAAATAATAGTATTAATTGATAGTTTTGCCAGATATAAATATAAAAAATATTATACAGAAAGGTTTTAAAAAATAACATTAACTTTTTATCGCGTTAAAGTAATTGAATAGCATTAAAATTTAGATCTAAAGCACGAATATTAATATGAAATAAACTACAGCATAAGATGAACAAAATAAAACCTAGATAATAAAAAGCGTGTCCTAAATTGCGTTAGCGAGTATTTAGCAACTAGTAATAATATACCTTGTGATAAAAAGTTTCCAAATATTAAAAAGTTTGAAAACTATACGTTTATCGACAAGTTAAGAAAATGTATTGTATATGATAACGGCAAAATACATTTTAAAGTTTAATTAAAAATAATTGTAAAAATTTGCCTAACATATTTAAAAAAAGTGGATATCAGAGAGAATTAACTATTAACATTAAGTAATTTGTAGTTCGATGTTCATTAAGTAACCATCTCCATAAATCGTAAATAAAAAGATAAAGATATCATTTTTTTATATAAAATACTGAAATAAAGTACAAATTCATTTAATTTCTTTAAAATATATTGCCATTTCATAATAATAATAATACTTTTCAATATTTATTTCATCCTGAATTTCCAAATCTTGTTTTCTTTCATCGGGACGTTTTCTCTTTATGGGAACATGCACAGAGGGTCCATAAGAGGGTTGATTTGGAAAAATTGTAGGCACAGCATGTTCTGTAGGTTTTGGACGTGACCAGACGTGACCTAGTTACAGTTAATATTGTTGGGAAAGAGAATGTAGACAGATCCTGAGGACTTATTATAATTGCTGCTACAAGGCACAGGCACAGAACAATGTCGCGGAATTTTTTATTTCACAAAGTAAAAATAAAGAAACGAAAACTGTTTTACAAAAAAATACACGTCACTTACGTTGGTTTAACACTATACACTAACACTAACGCTATTAATTATGTTTTTATATAAATTCCCCAACTTTTTCCTAGTCCGGATACACAGCCGGCATCGCTGGTGCTACTATAATTTTTACCGAAAGTATGTTTTTTTTCGCGGGTAGGATGTTATGAATCGGATCTAGATAGTTCACTATTCACTCAAAATTATTTAGTATAATTTTATTAGCATAGCAACGCGTAAAAAACACAGATTTGTTGCGAAACTAATGAAAACAATTGGTTTGTTTACGACTACTAATTCTGGACCACTTCGGTAGAACTGTCAAAACAGTCAGGCCTTGAATATGACGTTAGCCACGCTTGGACGTTTAGTAGTAGAGTAGAGTAATAAAACACATTATATTTTGTAGGCTTTCAACCATTTCTGGTTGTACTATAACATATTTCTTAAAGAAAAATTCCGAAATATTTTGCTATAGAATTGTTATTCATTCATAGAACAAGCTGGAAACAACTCACAATCTTTCGAGGAGGACTTTGTACGTTGATTTTGCTGGTATAAAATAATAAAAAATGATTTCTGCTATATTTTGTCTGTCATCATATTCTGAAATGGAAATTATATCAAAAACTGGTTCCTCGAAAAAGATTGCAGGTGCTTAAAATACAATAAAGCAAAAATTTATATGCTTCTTTTGCTATATACTATATTAATTATTGTTATTTTTATCTACATAGTTCTGTGGCATATCAATCGTTTAGTTTAATGTGCCCCATAAAAAATAAAAGTTGCATCAACCAGCAATTCAAAAGTAAATTTAAAAGAAAATACTAAACTATTAAGATATTCCTGTAGAAAAATCTACAAGATGTTATATAATTCTGTTTACAATTTCAAATTAATCAAGTTAATCAAAAATCTGGTTGCTTTAATTCAAATCTCTTTTTTTCTCAGATTTTTAATTTATTTAAATATATGCTTCTTCGAAAAATTCGTCTGTGTATCCGAAAAACAAAATATTCCACACTTGCTTTTGAGAATCTTTAACATTTTAGTTATACTGTGGAGTCTAGCTATATTACTGACTTGAATTCTTAAAGTTTTTTTTATTGCCAGTTCATTATTAATATAATTACAGCACCTTACATTTTAATAAATAATTGTTACTATATATTAATTAAATATTAAGCAATTACTGGCAAAAATTAGAATTTTTGTTTCTTAATAGTTTTAGCATAATTTCGTACATCTTCTGAATTTTAACTACACTTTAAAATTACAAGACTTGTAATTGGATTGGAATTTTAAGATTTCGTAATTTTTTTACATGCTAAGAATATGAATTGGCCAGGGATATAGAGAGATAGGGAGACAGACTACTCTGTAGCCGACTGTAAGAATCTATTACGCTGTACGTCGGGTGTGTGGCCGAAGGAAATATATTATATTCCAGAAATCTGCCTAACGCTTAGCCCGATCCAGTCGTGTTAAGCCATATCCAAAATTCCAAACACAAGTGCTTTGATTAAGGCTTGATTAAGGTTTGCAGAGCTTCAGCATTTGCCGGTAAATAGCCAGCAATTTGTTACAAAACTATATAAATTATATATCACTCTAATCACTAAACTTCAATCTATTTCTTTAGTGTAACGGAATTTTAAATTACGTCTTTATTTTCGAGAAAATTTAGTCCAAACATAAGGAATATTTTGTTGATGTTTGACCATCAAAATAACAAAGAAGTCGTCTAAAAATGTGCTACAATACGGATATAGTATAATCCTTTATCTTTAATTTCCTGCTTCACTTGTTTCAGGATGCCTGGGTGTGATTTCCGGTGCCATGCACTTTGGCTGGCCCTCACCGTCCCTTCCCAAACTCCTAGACGACTCCTCACACATCCAAGTTACCAGCGAAGACGGCTCATGGCTAGCATCCATGCCCTGCATCGGTGCAGCTTCAGGCTCCATCATGACAGCCTATTTAGTGGACAGAATAGGTCGGAAAACTTGCATGCTCATGACAGCACCGGCTTACCTGATTGCCTGGCTCATGGTGGCCTTCGCCACAACAATTTGGGAACTGTACACGGCCAGATTCATTTCTGGATGGGCTGATGGACTGGTTTTCACCGCTTTCCCTATGTACCTGGGTGAAATAGCTTCGTACGACATCAGAGGGCTTCTTGGTTCAAGCATACAGCTCTCCATGATCGCTGGGATGCTTATTATCAACGCCATAGGATCATATTTAAGCATAACAAACACAGCGTTAATATGTTCAGCACTACCTCCAATATTTTTCGTTACTTTCATGTTCATGCCTGAAAGTCCTTACTATCTAGTCATGAAAGACAAAATCAAGGAAGCAGAGAAGAGTTTACAGTTGTTCAGACAAAGCAGGGATGTTTCTAATGAACTAAGTAGGGTTTCAGAAGTTGTGAAAGAAGATCAAGCCCAGTCGGGTCATTTCTATGAGCTTTTTACAGTCCCATCTAACAGAAGAGCTGCTATTATTGTTTTTGGACTTAGGACTTTCCAGCAATTCAGCGGTACTACTGTGATAACCTTCTATGCTCAGAGTATTTTTAGAGAAGCTAGTGGAGATATTTCTGCCAGTACTGCCTCAATGATTTACTTCACCTTGCAACTAATTTGTGCAATGACCTCATCGTTTTTAGTAGACAAGGTTGGTAGGAAACCTCTCCTTGTCATATCCATTATTGGATCAGGTGTAGCACTTTCTTTGGAAGGTACATACTTTTTCCTTAGCAACAATACCACAGTAGATGTGTCAAATCTCAAAATTATACCTTTAGTAGCTTTATTGGGTTATGTAGTGATATTTAACATCGGTATGGGTGTGATTCCTGTACTGTTTCTTGGAGAAATGTTCTCAACGAATGTCAAAGCTCTTGCTCTATGTCTAGCAGACATATGGTTTGGTATTCTGGTTACAGCAGCATCTAAATTCTTCCAGATAATGCAAGATGGGTTCGGTATTTCTGTACCATTCTTTACTTTCGCTATCTGTTGTGCCTTAGGCTTAGTTTTTATATTCTTTGACGTGCCAGAGACCAAAGGCAAAACGTTGGAGGATATCCAGGAGGAACTAAAAGGCAAAAAAGAAAAAGAAATAACGGAGAAGAACCCTGTGTTATATTCTATAAGTTCTTAGGTTTAAAAAAGTAAAACGCTTATATATTTTTATACTGTTTTTTTATAACTTTATAACTCAAATATTGTACTGTTTTGAAAAATTATAGCAAGGTTGTAATACAATAATTGTAAGATTTTCATACGTCTGTTTTTAGGCATATTTATTTATAAATCATACAAAAACAATATTGAGTTATAACAAAATAAATTATTTATATTTTTTTATATAAAATGTTTTTTATAATTAAAGGGAATATATTATTTCCGAAATATTCTAGTTTTATTTCAATTTATTTTCTACCTTGTCAAAAATTTGCAATTTGGAAGTGTAGGTCTGAATTTAGTCTTGAAATAGCCCTTAAACTCATCGCAACCAGCCAGCTGAAATAAATAAAATTTTTGATAATTATTTTTTTAAACGCCTTCACCATTTTGTCATTAATCTTAGAACATTTATAATTTTTTGTTAAAACATGTGTTTAAAATGCTGTAATTTAATGTTCATGCTTGAAAGTCCTTACTATCTAGTCATGAAAGACAAAAACAAAGAAGCAGAGAAGAGTTTACAGTTGTTCAGACAAAACAGAGATGTTTCTAGTGAACTAAGTAGGGTTTCAGAAGTTGTGAAAGAAGATCAAGCCCAGTCGGGTCATTTCTATGAGCTTTTTACAGTTCCTTCTAACAGAAGAGCTGCTATTATTGTTTTTGGACTTAGGACTTTCCAGCAATTCAGCGGTACTACTGTGATAACCTTCTATGCTCAGAGTATTTTTAGAGAAGCTAGTGGAGATATTTCTGCCAGTACTGCCTCAATGATTTACTTCACCTTGCAACTAATTTGTGCAATGACCTCATCGTTTTTAGTAGATAAAGTTGGTAGGAAACCTCTCCTGGTTATATCCATTATTGGATCAGGTGTAGCACTTTCTTTGGAAGGCACATACTTTTTCCTTAGCAACAATACCACAGTAGATGTGTCAAATCTCAAAATTATACCTTTAGTAGCTTTATTGGGTTATGTAGTGATATTTAACATCGGTATGGGTGTGATTCCTGTACTGTTTCTTGGAGAAATGTTCTCAACGAATGTCAAAGCTCTTGCTCTATGTCTAGCAGACATATGGTTTGGTATTCTGGTTACAGCAGCTTCTAAATTCTTCCAGGTAATGCAGGATGGATTCGGTATTTCAGTACCATTCTTTACTTTCGCTATCTGTTGTGCCTTAGGCTTAGTTTTTATATTCTTTGTCGTGCCTGAGACCAAAGGCAAAACTTTGGAGGACATCCAGGAGGAACTGAAAGGCAAAAAAGAAAAAGAAATAACGGAGAAGAACCCTGTGTAATATTCTATAAGTTTTTAGGTTTAAGTTTAAAGAGTAAAACGCTTATATATTTTTATACTGTTTTTTTATAACTTTATAACTCAAATATTGTACTGTTTTGAAAAATTATAGCAAGGTTGTAATACAATAATTGTAAGATTTTCATACGTCTGTTTTTAGGCATATTTATTTATAAATCATACAAAAACAATATTGAGTTATAACAAAATAAATTATTTATATTTTTTTATATAAAATGTTTTTTGTAATTAAAGGGAATATATTATTTCCGAAATATTCTAGTTTTATTTCAATTTATTTTCTACCTTGTCAAATATTTGCAATTTGGAAGTGTAGGTCTGAATTTAGTCTTGAAATAGCCCTTAAACTCATCGCAAGTGCACTGGTCTTAAAAGCATAAAGAACCAACCAGCCAGCTGAAATAAATAAAATTTTTGACAATTATTTTTTTAAACGCCTTCACCATTTTGTCATTAATCTTAGAACATTTACAATTTCTTGTTAAAACATGTGTTTAAAATGCTGTAATTTAATGTTCATGCTTGAAAGTCCTTACTATCTAGTCATGAAAGACAAAATCAAAGAAGCAGAGAAGAGTTTACAGTTGTTCAGACAAAGCAGAGATGTTTCTAGTGAACTAAGTAGGGTTTCAGAAGTTGTGAAAGAAGATCAAGCCCAGTCGGGTCATTTCTATGAGCTTTTTACAGTCCCTTCTAACAGAAGAGCTGCTATTATTGTTTTTGGACTTAGGACTTTCCAGCAATTCAGCGGTACCACTGTGATAACCTTCTACGCTCAGAGTATTTTTAGAGAAGCTAGTGGGGATATATCTGCTAGTACTGCCTCCATGATCTACTTTACCCTGCAGCTTATTTGTGCAATGATCTCATTGTTTTTAGTAGACAAAGTTGGTAGGAAACCTCTCCTGGTTATATCCATCATTGGATCAGGTGTAGCACTTTCTTTGGAAGGTACATACTTTTTCCTCAGCAACAATACTACAGTAGATGTGTCAAATCTGAAAATTATACCTTTAGTACCTTTATTGGGTTACGTAGTGATCTTTAACATCGGTATGGGAGTGATTCCTGTACTGTTTCTTGGAGAGATGTTCTCAACGAATGTCAAAGCTCTTGCTCTATGTCTAGCAGACATATGGTTTGGTATTCTGGTTACAGCAGCATCTAAATTCTTCCAGATAATGCAAGATGGGTTCGGTATTTCTGTACCATTCTTTACTTTCGCTATCTGTTGTTGTTTATGTTGTTGTTATATTAGTTTTTATATTCTTTGGCGTGCCAGAGACCAAACGCAAAACGTTGGGGGATATCCAGGAGGAACTAAAAGGCAAAAAAGAAAAAGAAATAACGGAGAAGAACCCTGTGTTATATTCTATAAGTTCTTAGGTTTAAAAAAGTAAAACGCTTATATATATTTTTATACTGTTTTTTTTATAACTTTATAACTCAAATATTGTACTGTTCTGAACAAGTATAGCAAGCTTGTACGTAATACAATAATTGTAACATTTTCATAGGTCTGTTTTTTAGGCATATTTATTTATAAATTATACAAAAGCAATATAGGAAAATAAATTATTTATATTTTTTTATATAAAATGTTTTTTTTATAATTAAAGGGAATATATTATTTCCGAAATACTTTATGTTTTATTTCAATTTAATTTTCTACCTTGTCAAATATTTGAAATTTTGGAAGTGTAGGTCTGAAATTAGTCTTGATATAGCCCTTAAACTCATCACAAGGGCACTGGTCTTCCAGGTAAAAAGATCTAAGACATCTGGAAGACTCCAACTGCAATAAATAACATTTTTGAAAAATATTTTTTTAAATTACCTTCACCATTTTGTCATTAATTTTAGATCATTTATAATTTTTAGTTAAAAAATGTGTTTAAAATGTTGTATTTTAATGCACAATTTTAATGCAATACGCATTGTAATAAAATATGCTGTTTTTCTACTATTAATTTCTTAAATTAGACAAAAAATAAATAAAATTAAACTTTCAACGTTGTTTTACTGGTTGCCTAGCAAAATGAAATGTTATAAATTTTCAAGTAATTTATTGAATTTTTACTGGGACTGGATTCTCTAGGGATACTACAAATTAAAAACAAATATTTGTACGTTCCAAGTATATAATTTATTAAAATATAAAACTTTAAAATATATTTTTGATGTATTATAAGAAAAAATAATATTCTTAATCAGTTCCTGATATATTGCTAAACTAAAACTCTGTATCAAAATTAATGAAAAGAGATACGTATGTGTTTAAAGGATTGCTTTAATAAAATAGAACAAATATAACACGTTTGCGTGTCAAGCTTTTTAATAAATAATTAATAAAAAGTAACTTAATAACTTGATTTCACTATATGGCGAATGCGCCAGGTCTTCGCCTTTGTTACTTAGATATAGTTATTTATTTTCTAGATCATTATTAAATAGATTTAACCAACAATATGGATTTTAACAGAATATATAGCTAGCCAATATATTTTGTGATATTAGTTTATTTTTATATATTATATTTTGGTCTGGTTTTAAATAAAAAAACAACAAATAACTTTTTATATGCATTTATTTAATATACTTGTCAAAGTTCACTAATATTAAGGCACATACATTTAACTAATTTAATGTTCTACTTTCTCGTACTAAAAATAATATATTATCTAACATACACATATAAATATATATTTATTTTTCTCTACACAACAATTATTGTGCGTAAAATCTTTATAAAATTTCAACCATATATTAAAAACAGGGTATATATATTATTATTTCATTTTAAACAATGAACAAATCACAGCAAAAGTTTTTAAATTCGCAAAATAAAATCTCTTCTTCATTTAAGAATAGAATATAATGTCATATCACTATGGTTTATTGAGTTTTTTGCTTGTTCTGAATACAGAACATAATATAGCTAGGAGCTACATAACATTAATCTATTTTTATTTCTAAAAATATATGTTTTTTTTTTATTAAATTCGGCATTCTTTGACTTCACGTTCATTCAGTGGAAGTGTAGGTCTAAAATTAGTCTTGACATAGCCCTTAAACTCATCACAAGGGCACTGGTCTTCCAGACAGAAAGATCTGAGACATCTGAAAGACTCCAGCTGAAATAAAAAAGAAATTTTTTTGAAAAATATTTTTTATAGGCACCTTCACCATTTTGTGATTAATTTTATATCATTTATAATTTTTAGTTGAAAAATGTGTTTAAAACGCTGTATTTTCAAACAGTAATTTAATACAACATTCATTGTATTAAAATCTACTGATTTTGTACTATAAGTTTCATAAATTAGACAAAAAAATAAAATTAAATTAAACTTTCAACGTTGTTTTACTGGTTGCCTAGCAAAATGCAACGTTATGAATTTGCAAGTAATTTATTGAATTTTGACTAAAACTGGATTGTCTAGGGATTTTACAAATTAAAAACAAATATTTGTACGTTGAAAGTATATAATTTATTAAAATATAAAAGTTTAAAATATTTTTTTGGCGTATTATAAAGAAAATAATATTATACCTTACCTGTTCTTGAGATATTTCTAATGGGTCTTTAAAAACAATCCAAATAACGCACTCTGAGCACGGCGGTGTTGTTAGAGATCCTTGGTAAGTGTAGTAGCCACTGTCTTGAGGTAGGAAAGCCCCAGGGTTTACTGGAACTAAAATTTTGGCGGTTTCACCCATGTACTGGATTTTGTTCAGTTGGCACACGATTTTGTCCAGTTCCAAGTTTTTTCTGCCAGGCTATAAGCAAATAAAGTTATATGTAATGGTTTTGCTTTTTCTGTGTAAGTACATACTAATAATACATGACATTCAAGAAAATAGATTAAAAACTTGGGGGCCAAGCAATATATAAAACAATGTGACAAAAGGTAATAAATTTTAATAAATTATTTTAATAAGTGTTAATTCTTAAGTAGTTTTATACCTTTAAAAAAACTCCTAAAACGCATAGGCCATCTGGATGTTTGGCTGCTTCGTTGAATGAAGAATACTTGGAAGCATTCCAGTGGACCAGATGTAACTAAAAATAAAATAAACATAAAATAAAGCAATTTACTTTATTACAAATTTATTGGAGTTTTTTTTCAACAACGCTTTTTAACAGGAATTATTTTATGAGGTTACTATGCTATATATTACTATGCTATTATTTTTATTATAAATCAACACAGTTTTTATCTAAATTTATGTTTTTAAGCTCTTTCTATACCCAAAGACTGTGTTAAATTAAGTATTTTTTTTTAATTTTTAACGTTAAAACAGAAATTCAAATTTTCTTTCAGTTTAGCCAAAATCCCTAGAAATAGAGATTTCTCTCCTTGGCTCTCTCTTAAAACTACTAAAATTTTAGATCAAAGTAAGACATATTTTGAAAGAATATAAAATTTTACACCCGACAAATATAGTTTCACTTGATTCAGACCTTTACTAATATATTTTTAAACGCCCTGTATACTTTATTCAATATATTGTATTTGAAAATACTTAATTTTACAAAAAAAAACACTATCATGAAGGATGCAAGTCAAATATTAATATGGGGTATAAATATTATACAGTCAATCTAATATGGACCTATTTCGTCATCTTGAGTCATACTGTATATATAAAAATGTATAAATACCTCTCCAGCATATTTTTCACCGTTGATGGTATGTTCCGAACCTTCCTGGTTGGTTTTACCCCAGTGACAGTGGAATTGTTCCAGAATATATCTCCCCTCCAATGGACCACCACTTAGTTCTACAAAAACACATCTTTTTTAACAAAAAAATAATTAGAATAATTTTTTTCTTCATAATCTTACCTGATCCTTCACCATTTACGTGTACTTTCCAGCAGTACCCCGGATTGGTGACGTCAACGACGTTCTCTGGAATGTACTTCCAGGTGAGTCTTCTGTTGGTGTTGATTGTTTTTAAGTCGATGGGTACGATGTCAATTGGGCTCTGGCGCTGGCCATTGGCTTCGGGGTAGCACTGAGCCCATTTATCTGGACCTACAAAAAAAAAGAGTAATAATCAGTTAAATACTATTATTACTGAATAATTTGGATTTTTTTTTCTAAAAATATGCCCAATGTAAATTTTTGCCCCCCGAAAATGTCCATTTTTAATTTTTCTCGAAATTTTCCGCAAGTTTAAAAAATAGTACTTTCTATGTCCGAACCTACTCTCCTATACAACCCTATACCCTGAACCAACTTGTGCAGGTCCTTGTTAGTATGGGAGCATAGTTCCTTCGATTCTAGCATTGCTTTCCCAAATAAAAAGTGTCGTTTACGATCCAGAGCCTCACAGTGACACATTATGCGCTCAGATGTTTTAGGATCTTTATCGCAAAGTTTGCAGCAAAGACTTCCATGATACATGTTGAGCTTGTTCAGGTAGCGCTTGACAGCCATATGTCCTGCCAGGAGACCTGTGTTATAATCCGTACTTTATTCCTGCAAAATATTAGCAGTTCCTTTGGAGTTTTGGAATTAGGTCCTTGAATACCTTAGATACTTAGTTACCTTGAGGCCTTACCATGCTTTGTCTGTTTTTGAAGTGGACTTTTTGCTTTTTCCTAATCCGAGTTTTACTGTGTTACGATATTTGCCACTTTAACCAATCAATTATTAATATTCAATTTATTTTCAAGACATCCTGTTATATTTATACTAGCGTGTACCCGCGACTTCGTTCGCGTCGAATTAATCATTAGTAATGGCGATGATAAAGCAAAGCAAGAATTTCCATTAACATACAAACTGGATAAGGATTTTATAGCAAAATAAAACACTAAATCACCACAATACACCAAAACACTTTTACTTTTACACTGGACGCGCGTTTCTCTAACCATGTTAGCATCATCAGCAGATTATTATAAACTAAAGTAGATTGTAGATTGTACTTTAGTTTATAATCATCTGCTGATGATGCTAACATGGTTAGCGAAACGCGCGTCCAGTGTAAAAGTAAAAGTGTTTTGGTATATTGTGGTGATTTAGTGTTTTATTTTGCTGTGTAACACCAAAGGTTCCAACTCTCAACTGTAATAAGGATTTTATATATTAGTATAGATTTGAGGGGCGTTTTCACCCTCTTGGAATTTAAGATTCGAGAAACCCCTCCTTATCGAACCTCTACACCCCACAGTCAATCCGTTTGACAAAAATCAGCTTTAATCGTCAAGCAGTTTAAGCAGAATCCTGATTACTCAGTGGTCATATTTTATGAAACATTTTGTATAAATTTTTAAAAAATCTTAAAATATGTAAAAAAACAAAATAAAATATACGTGTTTAAGCGTTTTTTCGGAAACTTGACCGTTTTTTAAATAAAAAATATTGTAATGTTTGAGGGGTGGTTTCACCCTCTTGGAACTGGAATTTCGAAAAATCCCTTCTTATCGAACCGCTACACCCTAGAATCAACCTGTATGCCAAAATTGAGCTTCTTACGTTGAGTGGTTTGAGCAGGATCGTGATTAATCAGTGAGTCAGTCATTTAAGGATTTTATATATTAGTAATAGATATACATATTAATTATTGTTCTCTGCAATATCCACTGTTTTACAAAAATACTGACCAGCGTGACCTACCATAGAACAAGATTTTTAAAAAATCGATGTATAATGAGCGTCCTTCTTGTTAATAAATTGCTCATATAAATAATCACACAGACAAGTTGTTCTAGATTTCCTATACTCGTAGCCATTCATATCTGATAATTATAGTTCATTTAACTTCTTTATCTGTCAATATTTCTATAAAAGTTTTGATCTTGATTTAAAAAAATAGATAAGCATTAATTAATGTTTAATTAATGTCGTTTGTTATTGATAAATAATTATACAAAGCGTGTATATTTATTTACACCCTGTATATTTGGCGATGGGAAAATCGCATGCTATAATTTTTAAAATTAATTTTATGAGTGTAGTTAAAAAATAAGTATAGTGTGTTTTTTTAGAGTTATTAATAATGGCACTAATATAATTAAAATTGATTTACGTAATTTACTGTATTAAAATTACTGTATTTTAATTTTAATACAAAAATAGATATTATTATTACATATATAGACTGTATGATCATAAGTTTCAGAAGAATCTACCAAAACACTAAAAAGATTTTTTTAATTTCTAGAAAAATGTCAAGAAAAATGTATAATTTTAATTTATTTTTGTAAATATGCTTACAGATGTATTTCCGGGATCGAAATATACTGTAATGGAGTTAAAATACTTGCACCTATTTAACAGACCCGCTGTATAGTAAAAGTAGACACTTATTTCGATTTTAAAATGGTTTTTATTGGAAATGATCTCAAAAAAAAATATACACCTCATCAAACTTTTTTTAAACAGTACTTTGGCTGTATTTCAATTTTTTACCGCACGAAAAAAATGTTATTTTTGTTATGGACCTTTAAAATAAACTTCAAATTTATCGACTACCTATACCAGATGTTTCTTTTTACCTTTTCTACCGATGCATTATGTCAGAGATTGCATTTTTCAAGTTCAGCCAGATGCAAAACTGATCGGGTTTAAAAGTTCGGATTTTAATTATAGAAAATCGACATTTGCTTGAATCTATATATTGCTTTTTATCACAGTCCAGTAAGTTTGTACCAGAAATACTAAATGAAATAGATCACCAATTTTCATAAAAATACAACATTGTTCAAATTAAAGTGATCTCAAAGTAAATGCGAGTAACTTAAACAATGCTAAAATTTTAAATTTACATTAAATCATTACATATTATTGACTATAATGTCGTATATAAATGATGTATAAAAGATTAGACTTTCTAGTTTTTAGATGTTTTTAATATGACTTAATATGGAAGCATGTTAGTCTGTAGAACCACCCACTGAAGTTTGGTACAATGGTACACTATTTATTTTACTCTCTACCTAGGCATTCTATTACTACTAATGTTTATGGTTGACAGAGTTTATTTTTCTTTAACTCCTTTAAAAGTATTAATTTGTTCATGTAAATACGTCTTGTAAATAAGTCTGTTAACATGCAATGATGCTATCAGGTCTGTATATTGCAAAGAATATATTTTTTTAAGTCGTATCATCAGTGATTGTGTGACATGGTTAATTTTATTGTCAAATTAGGCGTCATAAATATTTATTATCGTTGCATATAAGTATGGCAAGACATATGGTAAGGGCTATTTGCATATTTATAAATATTTTTATAAACAGTTTGTTAATATAGAGTATAGAGGAGCTACAAAACCAAACCTTTGTAATATTTTTCATTTGCCATTTTTAAAAGAAACTAAAATATATAATGAGGTATTTAGCTTTCAAATACCTATTTGAAAATAATGGTTACATTTTGAAAACCACTGGTATTAACAGGGGATCAGCCAGCTTATTTGACACCCTGTGTTGCCACCTGAGGTTGCCACATATGGACGAGAATGAATATCTTTTTGAAAATACTTTTCAATCTGATGATAAAAAAAATCTGTAATAATTGTAAAAACTTTTTGTCCCAATAAAAAAAATCAAAAAAATCCCAAAATTAAAATTCAAAGTTGAGTTTTTCCAAAAAAATCTAATTTAATTTTTTTCTGTAAACATAAGCTGGAAAAATTGATAATTTTTTAATTAATAATTGGTTGTTGATGTAACACACGGTATAAAAGGAAGCATTTAATCAGATAAAACTTTTTAAAAGCTGTATTTTTTGCTTTAATGCGCAAAAAAAATCTATTGTTTTCAAAAATATCGTGTCCAAACTTATTAAATCCCATATTTTGTGATTATAATATTTTTCTATTTGTGCATTTGCATGCATCTGCATATTTATTGCATCCTTTCCTTAATAACTTAATAATCCCTAATTATTTCTTATTAGGCAAACGTAACAAAATTCTATAATTTCGTAGAAAAAAATAATAATACATACATTGGTTTTTCTTTAATATTAGGAAATGCAATAGGAATATCATTATTAAAAAGAAAATGAAGCATTTGATTCATTTTTTTACGAAAGTATTATTATTGGCAAAGCCTGAAAGTTAAATTTATTTTATTTTGAATTGAAAAAAAAAGTTATGCAAATTATAAAAAATATAAATCGAAGTTATTTTGAAAATTTCAGTATATTAGAAATTTTAAGAAAATTTAAACGTGTGATGGATATATTCAATTTCATTTAATTTTCTGTATGTGTAGCTTATTACTTTGATGATGTTTACTATAAACAAACAAATTAGTTTGATTGAAACTATTTATTATATTCATAACAAGTGTATTAAACAAAACGATATTGATTTTTATTGCAAGGGCCCTAAACAAACAAGAAACAAGAGCCATTTTTATTTAACATTCTTCTTTTTTAATTTATATACGATACCCGTAGGAAATAAATAAATTGATAATAAATTATAAACAGAAAGGAAAAGTTTATCGTCGTGACTAGACTGCCATTTCCTCTGCTAATTGTTCATAATCAGGATGCGTATATTTATTTATGTTGTTTATATACATGCATGCGAATTTAAAAGATCTAACTTACTCTTTAAAAGTACGTTGACCATGTTAAACAGTTACAAAATATATAACATTCTAAAAATATATATAATTTTGTATATTTTTTATACATTTGAGATATTCTACCTACTACAACCAAACCAAACCAAACAACAAAATAAAATATACGTGTTTAAGAGTTTTTCCGAAAAACTCACCGGTTTCTAAATAAAAATTAGTCTAATATTTGAGGGGTGGTTTCACCCCGTTAGAATTCGAGTTTCGAAAAATCCCTTCTTATCGAACCTCTACACCCTAAAGTCAATCCGTTTTCCAAAAATCAGCTTTTTACGTCAAGCGCTTTAAGCAGGATCGTGATTAATCAATGACCAGATTTTTCGAAACACCCTGTATACATTTTTAAAAAGTCTTAAAATATGTAAAAAAAAGAAAATAAAATATACGTGTTTAAGCGTTTTCTTCGGAAACTTGACCGTTTTAAAATAAAAAAATATTGTAATATTTGAGGGGTGGTTTCACCCCTTGGAACTGGAATTTCGAAAAATCCCTTCTTATCGAACCTCTACACCTTAAAATCACCCTGTATGCCAAAACTGAGCTTCTTACGTTGAGTGGTTTGAGCAGGATCATAATTAGAGTAACTAGCAATTTATCCTGGGGTGGGCCTGGGGGGAGCCTAGGGTTGAGCCCAGGGGGGCCTAGGGCTTTGTTTTTTTTTTTTTAAATGAAAAATAATTTATAAAACACATTTTTTGAATTAAACGTTTACATGAATTTCTCTATCAATAAATTTCATAGACTTGGTTATCAAACCGTGTTCCCGTAGATTACTTAAATACCTACAAATTTAAAAAAAAATAAAATTAACACATTTTTTGAACACAACAAAATAATATTAACCAAACAAAACTAGAAAACGTCATTCTTACTGCATCACAAGCAAATAAAAATTAATACGTAGCCAAGAGTCATAATTCAGGATTTCTCTGAAGGGTGTCCAGCAGTACCTGGGGGGGCCCGGCACCCCCGGGTACCCCTGTAGTTACGCCAATGGTTGCTGTAAAGAGCTTTGGGGATATCGCGTCTCCCTGTCGTACTCACTTGCCAGTTGGGAACTCTGGGGTTGTTTTATATATTATTACTCTTTCTTTGGCTTCTTTGTATATATTGGCGGGAGTTTCTATATAAGGCCTGTCAATACCTTGTTTCCTCATGGCTTCTTTTATTGCCTTAGGATATATTGAGTCGAAAGCCTTCTCAAACTCTATAAAGGCTATGGCTAGACAAAGTTCGTATTCTTTTGTTCGGCTGATAATTCCTCTTAGTGTATGTAAGTAATTTTAATTATAATTAGCAGTATATTAACAATAAAGTCTTACCGTTGTCCTCGTTGTATCCCCACTCCAGTGGCATCCTGAAAAATACAATTAAAAATATCAAACGTCAATGACCTATCTGTATCTGTTTGGAAACTAGGCAGGTGTAAAAATACTGTTTATTTTTGTAACAGAGAATGTTTTTCACTGTACTCATGTTCCCAAGTAACATAAATCTTTGTTTATATTATTTTGTATTAAAATATCGAAGAAAAATTGAATTTCAAAAATAATAAATGGTATTTGACATATAAAAGCTGTTTTTGTGAATTTAAAATTTTCCAGTGTGAGACAGAGGACTTGAAATGTGCTGGAACACTTCCAAAGATTATAAGTATAAACAAATTAGACAGACGTTTTAATTCAATTAATTTTAGATAAACGACTTTGTATTTAATGCATCTGTATAGGTAGTGTATTGTGGTAAACCGAATTTCGAAGAAGATACTATTATACAGTACTGCCTGTTAAACATTTTTAAAATCCTTCAAATTTAGAATTTTAAGAAGGCTTTGAATAAACAGTAAATTTACCTGAGCTTATAAAATATGCAGTACTTTGGTATGAAAATATGTATATACCCTGTATGTTGACAAAAATATTTTCAAAATGTGCGTTACGATTGCCCCTATATTATGTAAAAAAATGGCGCCGGGAGGCACGTATAGCCGCCCATACTAAAATATGTTAATAAAAGGTTGGTAGGCAGTTCTTTTAGTTTCAAAGAAAAGGAATATTTCCAATTTTTTTTTATCTCAAAAACTGCGACTTTGACTGATTTTGATGTTATTACAAATTTTGTTGCAAATATTATTCGTAATCTTAAATTGAAAACCGCGTTTCGCTAGCTACTGTAATTTTGGAGTTACGATTTTTTAAAATTTTTAACCCCCTCCCATACCCCCTTACTAACGCCCCACCCCCACCAAAAACTAATAGCCAGATTCTCGGGTGCCACAGTATTTTTGTGCCAAATTTGGTTAAAATCGGTTTAGCGGCTTTTGAGTTATCGTGTTACAGATAGACGGACAGACAGACAGACAGACACCATGAAAATATTTTGTATTTAGGTCATTTATGGCCCAAATAACTAATTTTGAGTAAAATTAAAAAAACTTTTTTTTTGCCGATCTTAATAGCCTACCATACCTGTAGGTATGGTTGGCTTAAAATTGTAATAAAGTTCACAAACCAAAAACCTAATATAGAGCTTTTTCGGAAGCCTGATTCTCACCCTGTATATGAAAACATGGATATCATTATACTCCTTCCTCCTTCCTTAATTTTTTTTTCCAAAAACAGAAACATATCGTTCACCTGTGTTTTTTTTTAATTTCTTGTGATTATTACTACGAGCCCTAACAACTACATCTTGGAACAAGGTCATATTTTGGAATTATTGCCCTGGTTTTTCAAAATGACTGAAAAATATATGTTTAATTTTTTAAATATAAACATAGCCATATATCCTAAACAACTTGACAATATTTTTATGAATTTGTAAATCAATCCATATTTACAGTAGCGGATTTTGTTCATAAAAGGACAAATTTGCTGACAACTAAATGTTGGGACAAGTATTTTTAAATAATTAATATCATCATAGGCGGCTTTGCTATAAACGTCGCAAACTGTTTACTTCAGCATTGACAGCTTGTAAGTGACCCGATACTTTGAGTAGTGAGATTTACTGAAAGAAATTTTAATTTTTTTAATTTTCAATTTTGTTAATTTAATCCAAAGTAATGGTCCGTGGAAAAGCTACAAATCAAAAACTACGCGAAATTATCATTCGTCAATACAGTACGGGAAAAACAATTCGAAAAATTTCTGATGATTTAAGTTTTCCAAAAACCACGGTCTTTAATATAATAAAAAAAAATAGGGCGAATCTGCCAATGTAGACGTTAGAGGTAAAAGTTCGGGAAGGCCAAAAACTGTATCTCAAGAGATATTTACGAAATTTAGTAAAAATTTGCAAGTCTGCGAGAAGAAGTACTCTTCGCGAAGTAACAGTTAAATGGAATACTGTAACTGGTTTAAATATATCAAGAGAATGTTGCCGAAAATATATCCATAAATGCTGTCTGGGGTTTTACAAGGTAAACTTTATTTTGTGTTGATAATCAATTACCTGAAGATTATTGATACAAATTCTTATTTAGGCCAAAGAAAAACCGCTACTGACAGGAATTCAAAAGAAAAATCGCTACAATTGGGCAAAATCTAAATTATCGTGGACACAAAATGATTGGAATAAGGTTATATTTAGCGATGAGTCTAAATTTGATGTTTGCGTTGGAGATCATCGAAAAAGAACAATACGAAATAAAGCAGAAGCCTTTCATAAAGATTGCTTAAAGAGGGTTGTTAAATTTCCTAAGGGGATTATGGTTTGGGGTTGCATGTCAGCTAGAGGTTTAGGCAAATTGAATTTTATAGATGGCACTGTTAACTCCCAAAAATATCAACATATACTTGAGACCTCACTTTTGCCTAGTGCTCAAGAATTGTTTCCAAACGAAGACTATATTTTCCAACAAGATGGAACATCGTGCCATTCAGCAAGATCAACTAAAAATTGGTTCGGTAAATACAAAAGTTCTATCCCATCCTTCAAGTAATCCGGACCTCAATGTTATAGAAACTGTGTGGCATAAAATGAAGCAATATTTAAGAAACCACCCTCAACGAACAATTTTTGATTTGCGGACAAAACTGCAGGAAATTTGGGATAATTTTTCTCCTCAAATGTGCCAATCTTTGGTAAATACAATGCCATTAAGAGTTCAGGGAGTTGTTAAGGCGAAAGGTGATGTAACTCCGTATTAAACAAATTTCTTGTTGTGCTCTCCCAATATATAGTTGTCAGCAAATTTGGCTTGATTTTGGCAAAATAAGCTATTATCAAAAGTGATTTGTTTGCAAAGTTATAAAAATATAGTAAAATTGTCTAGATCATATTGTAATGTTTGAATTTAGAATAATAAACAAAATAAATTGAGTCGTTTTAACAAATTACTATATTTATTGCAAAAAAAGACCTTGTCCCAACATATAGTTGTTAGGGCTCGTATAATAAAAATACGAAAAATTTCAAAAAATACTATTAAAAGAAGCTGTATTAATCAAAATATTAGATAAAATAAACAAAATTTCTCTTTATATTGGACGGTGTTGATATTATTTAAGACCATTAAACAAAGTTGAGTGCCAAAAACATAAAATAAACAAAACTTTCATCGCCAATCGTTATAAAGTGTTTTAGGATAGATCTATAATAAGATTTCTATACACAGAAAAAAGTAAGAGCCAGGTGAATAGTTTAATATGGATTTTTTTATATTAATTGTAATGTATAAAATGTGTAATATTAATTTAATACATATTTGTGTGCATTGCTGTTAACATTAAACATACAGGGTGTTCTATTAAGTAGAAATAAATATAGTTTTCTGATACAAATTTTATCAAATAATCTCGAAACAAGGAAAACTTATACGAGAAAAACTATATAAGTAGGTTGTATACGACGTGTTTTTCCTAAACTACAAGACATCGAGTTTCCTTGAAAAATTATAGAAGAGTAAAACAAGACAAACTTACAACTGCAGTCCATTGGAAGTTATAACAAGTCTGTCCTTGTTCCTTGTAACTTTCAGCCTTAGTAATATGTTTTGTTTGTTCATTTTTGTTCTAGTTTTTTCTTGTTGTTAATTTGTTTAATAGTATGCACTGATCGACTGAGGTGTTTTCTTTGCGGTATAGCCTTTATGAAATATTGGGTATTATAGATGTTAAATTATATAGATCGACAATTTTTAAAGTCAAGTGAGTAAGAAATGTATATTCTACTAGCGTGTACCCGCGACTTCGTTCGCGTCGAATTAATTATTTGTAATGGTGATGATAAAGCAAAGCAAAAATGTCCATTAACATACAAACTGGATAAAATTTTCTTACATTTATGTCAGCATGAGAAAAAACAATATGGCGATATTATTATATAACTTTATTACAATATATAATTGGTAATATTTGAGGGGTAATTTCATCCTCGTTGGAATTTGATTTTCGAAAAGTCCGTTTGCCAAAAAAAAAACATTTTACGTCAAGCAGTTTAAGCAGAATCATGGTTAATCAATTACCCAACTTTTTGGAACACCCTGTATGATTTAAAAAAAAAATTCAAAATATGTAAAAAGCAAAATAAATTATCCTTGTCCAAGCGTTTTCCCGATAGACTAACCGTTTTTTAAATAACAAATATTGTAATATTTGAGGGGCGTTTTCACCCTCTTGGAATTTGAGATTGGAGAAACCCCTCCTTATCAAATCTCTACACCCCACAGTCAATCCGTTTGCCAAAAATCAGCTTTAAACGTGAAGCAGTTTAAGCAGAATCGTGATCACTCAATGGTCATATTTTATGAAACACCCTGTATAATTTTTTAAAAAATCTTAAAATATGTAAAACAACAAAATAAAATATACGTGTTTAAGAGTTTTTCCGAAAAACTCACCGGTTTTTAAATAAAAAAATATTTTAATACTTGAGGGATAGTTTCACCAGAGTACCTAAACCGACGAGTAGCGACAGTCCCGTTTTCAATTTTCTTTGCGGCTGCGCGAAATAAGTAGGTTATCTGTCATACGAAGAAGCGAAGTTGCCACTGTTGCCATTTATCAAATATCTCTATATACTTTATTTCAAGTATACCTCAGGCAACGAATCGTTTTTTTTTTATTATTTATTAGCAGTAAGATATTTTATACATTCAAATTTAGAAATAAGGATAAAACAAAACAAAAAAGATATGTATAAAACTTTATAATTAATTCCACTTCAAATTGTGAGCAGTGTATACCATGTTTATAGGACCACTTCATAAGTTGAGCAGTTAAATACGTAGTCTATCTGTCAAACACATCAAAAGAGAGAGAAAGAAAATTTGGTCTCACCACATCAAAAGAGCCGACGGTTTCTGTCGCTACTCGGCGATCTACGTACTCTGGTTTCACCCCCTTAGAATTTGAG